TTACTTAAGTCATGGTAGAATTACATTTTACCATTTTGGCCTTAAAGCGGGTATGAAATTTTACATATTTAAAGACCTATCTTTTGTGCATATTTTCACCTTCCGATTCAAGGTTGGTTGGTTTGTTGTTTAAAACTGCACTCAGCAATATTCTAGCTATATGGAAGCGGTCTGAAAATAATCAAGTCTGGACCAGACAATCCTGTGATCAACAGCAACAGCAGCAGATCCACAGTAAATGATGACCTTTATCAACTGTTGTCATGTTTAAAGCCCATGTCCAGCTGAAGGTCACTGCAATGGACTGACTGACTGACTGACTGACTGAGTTTAGTTTTACGCTGCTTTTGGCAATATTCCAACAATATCATGGTGAGGGAGACCAGAAATAGGCTTCACACACTGCAATGGAAATTCAGTCCACAAACGTTCATGAATGAGTATATTATGTTTTTCACTACCTTCAGCAGTGTTCCACACAATATGTGGGCAAATCTTCAATTCAAAGCACATTATATAATGAGAGGCCCACCTATCCCAAAGCTATTTGGACAGCAGTGATCCAACAGACGACAAAAACATCCCTTTAAGAGAACGTTTTAATGACAAGTGAAGAAAGCAACTGGTATTAGAAACATTATCATCAATATCTTCAAAATGAACTGAAGAACCAGTGTCTAACACATCTCAATACATTTTTATGGATAAGATAACATAGTCTCTCAGAACTTTCAAGTCTACATTAAAATGTATATCTTATCACGTTGGTTTGGGAAAAATATGACTAGTATTACTGCAATATGCCTTGACATTTAATTCCTTAATAAATAAAAACTGTACGAAATATCTACATCCATCAACAGTATAACTGGTGAAACAGTTCAAAATCATAACAAAAAAATCAATGAAAACAAAGTTGCTAAAACAAAAATCAAAGTAAATGATGAGAACTTCATAAAATAAAACAATTAATCTACAGATCAGAGTGGCAAATAAGTAAGGCAACTTGACCCAGTCTAACAGAGTATGATAAAATTACAATGTTTGAAGTAATGAAGTAACAAATCATGACATGAATAGATGTATGTTTAAGTAAACGAAGTGTTTCTCTCATATTACAGTATTATCACAACTGTCGTAATATATCCTGGTACTGGATCTGTCTTCGAATAGGAGACATCACAAAGTATTTCCTGTCAACTTGCAGCACAAGCAGATTCAGTGACAAAACAATATTTAACATCAAACTTTGTTATAAAGTATGGTAGAATTTACACAAACAAATAAGATTTCTAAAAGACGTAGCAATTCAGAGTTGACTTTGAGAAGTGCCAGTCCAGTCTACTATCCAACGACAAAATATAACAAACAAAACACATCTTAAAAACATCCCCATCCCCAAATGAAACTACAAATATAACCTTTGGGTATGGAAAAATGAGTATGGATTTATTTTTGTCATACATGACACTGAACTTAGTTTTGTCATACATGAACACAGGAATTAATTAAAAAAAAAAATAAAATAATTTTTTTGCTCAAATCGTTTTGGATGTGAGTGAGTTTAGTTTTACGCCGCTTTTAGCAATATTCCAGCAATATCATGGCGGGGGACACCAGAAATGGGCTTCACACATTGTACCCATGCAGGAATCGAACCGGGGTCTTCGGCGTGACGAGCGAAAGCTTTAACCACTAGGCTACCCCACAGCCCCTCGTTTCAGATGTACTGATGACATTGTATAGTTATGCTATACTGAGATGCAAGTACACACTGAAGTTAAGTAGATGAATCTTAACCAACACAAAACATTCACATTCAACAATCAAATCACTCCAGACTATGGACCAGGGAATAAAAGCCGTAACCTGGCATGATGAGTGAAAGTATATCTATATGGATTGATATTTCATACAGGAACTAGCCTCTCATACAGACCAGACTGGCACATTGATATGCAAAATAAAGAATGCTACAATGTTACTGGTACATACCAATGTACACTTATCAATATACACATAAATATGCACACATAAATCATAAAACTAAACCTTATAAATATCTGAATTTTTGTTTTTGTTATTAAAGATGGACACCTGGTAGCAATATTGAAATTCCAATTTTGATACCTTGAACAATCTTGAAGCCCTAAAGTGCAAGAAACATCCATACAAAATTTTAAGCTGAATTTTAGATTTGAAAATGTAAAACACATATTCTTATATTGAAAACAAGATGGACAACATAATGCTGCTGATAAAAGACTTACAACCACATTAGCTGAGTTAGTGAGGATGCTTTTACGCCGCTTTTAGCAATATTCCAGCAATATCACAGCAGGGGACACCAGAAATGGGCTTCACACATTGTACCCATGTGGGGAATCGAACCTGGGTCTTTGGCGTGATGAGCGAACGCTTTAACCACTAGGCTACCCCACCACCCCCCACATTAGCTGATGATTGAGCTAAAGAGTGAATGCTAGTAAATAACATTTTTAATAATGTTGCAATTGCACCCATTTTGAAAATTGAATTCAAACTTCTAGAACAAATCCTGACATCATCGGTGTGAGTGAGTGAGTTTCGTTTTACCCTGCTTTGACCAATATTCCAGCAATATCATGGCGGGGAACACCAGAAATGGGATTCACACATTGTACCCATGTGGGGAATCGAACCCGGGTCTAAAAACATTTTCTTGCACATTTACGTTTTTGACCAATAGAAATATTTAAATTTTATTTTTTGAGCAGGGAAAATTAATTTAATTTTTTTTTCTTATTCTTGAAAAAATACGACCGGCGGAGAAACAAGAAATAAAATAGGTCTGGCCTAAAGATCAATAAATTGACAAGAGACTACCATAAATACCAACAGGATCCTATCTACAAACACAAACAAGGCATTGTGCCAGTGATTCTGGAATGACATAAAATTGTATGAGATAATGTTTTATTAACTCTCCCATGAATATGAGTGAGTGAGTTTAAATTTAAGCTGTTGTTAGCAATATTCAGCAATAGTGAGTGAGTTTAGGTTCATGCTGATTTTAGCAATATTTTAGCAGTATCATGGTGGGGGACATCAGAAATGGGCTTCACACACTGTACCCATGTAGGGAATCAAACCTGGCTCTTCACCATGACAAGCAAACACTTTAACAATTAGGCTACCCTACACACCCATATATTAAGCAATATCATGGCAGGGACACAAATAAATATGAAGGAAGATATATCCTTTGATGAGAGATTGAAAATATGTGAGTATGAGAAAACAAAAATTGGATAGTCGGGCATGAGTGAGTTAGATAGAGCCAGTTGGTGAGTGAGTGAATAGCTTAGAATTGTGTAACAAGAAGTACAACCTTTTCCCAAACTTTCAGTTCACCATGATAATGTTTTCCTATGATCCGAGGTCATATGTCGGTATGAATTGAGTAATGCATAAAAACATTTTAAATGGAAAGACAAGTAATTGTGAAATATAACTTTCCAATAAATATATATGAGATCACAAACCTCTATTTTTCTAATTGACTTAGATTTACTAAATGTCTTTGTTCCGCCTCTATTTCTTCCTAATGATGGAATATGGTTGAATACCTCTCCAATACAAATCAAGGGTAGAGCTTTTTGTGTATCATATTGTGACCTTATTCACCATCAAACTAACCAGCACATAAGTCTGTCGGTACAATGTAGCTGAGTGTGACTTTGGACACTTAAATAGCAATGTAACACTTATTTTTATCCAGCCTCATGTAAGAATGTCGAGTTTTGATTGGTTCACGTGACTCTGATGAAATACCATGTACACCCATCACGATCCGCGAGCAGGGAGTACAAAAGTCATATTATCCAGCCACGCCTCGGTGACCACGCGAAGTGAGAAAAGCATGCATCGCCAAGCCTTTAGTGACGTGCGCTGCATTGAGGTCAATCGATCAGCTGGTGTCAACATGGCAGCAAGGTAAACGTTTTGCCACAACAACTGAGAATGAAATTGAAGCAAAACGTTTGATTTAGCAAAAACATGCGGCTAGATAAATGGTTATCACATCGTGTCAAGGGAAATACGGGGTTTTATCAGTCCCTCGTAAGGTTGTATTCCCCTCGCCTCTGGCTCGGGGAATACAACATTACCCGGGACTGATAAAACCCTGTATTTCCCTCCACATGATGTGATAACTTATGTCAAAAGCAGGATGTAAAGTCTTGGTTTGAACACATTTCTCAGTGGTGGTTTTCAGACCAATTTCCTCTAGTTAGTCATTTGCCTCCCCCCTGAATGACAAACAAGGATCCTCTCGTAAACTGAACTGTTACATCACTGACTCACTCACTATAGACTTTTTCGCATTTTCCATAGATTGTGATTGTCTTTATATGCATTCTCCGACTTCAATAATATCAGCACCCTTTTAACCTTGATCATTCTTATAAGTGATCCTTTAACATGCAAGATGAGAATTTTCTTTATTATCTTTAGGATCCCTAGACAGTCTAAGTAAACTTAGGCTCAGTATTATTCTTTACACTGCTATACTGAGTCTAACAAAACCTTGTGGAAGGTCCCGTCAGGTAACCTTTAAGCAACATATGACTGTCCAATCAAACGCGAGACGGCCGAACGGATTTAACCAATCAGACAACAGCTACTATTTAGGGTTCGCCAGGACTTACAAAATGGATTTTCTCTTCCCCGTTCGCCAACACTGATCTCCCAACAAATGAAAATTGCATAAAACACAGATATTTGCCCTGCAGTATATACCGCAGAATACGCTTTGGGGTTTCTGGTGACATGGCTATCATTAGCTAATATTTCAGCAAGCTGACATGCTTGAATACTGACAAAACGCTATTTTCAGCGACTGTTTACTCACTGCTATGGCGTGCCTCACTAGGAACCGATCGTACGGAAAATAGCATTTGCAGGTAAAAGTTCAAAAGGTATGTGTGAATGTCAACTTTAGCGATTTGGTAAGCTGTGTTCTGATTGGTCAATTGAAAAGGTTATCTGACGCGACCTTCCACAAGGTTTTGTTAGACTCAGTACAGCAGTGTAACGAATAATACTGAGTCTAAGTTTACTTAGACTGGATCCCTAGACTTATGATAATATCAGCATTTTCTTTTTGATTTTCTTGATTGTCTTTTTAAGGATTCTGTGGACATCACTGGTTTCTCCTTGAAGCTGAGAGATCCTGGAATCCAGGAACTGTACCATACTGGATATCTGCTCCTTGACCTTGAAGTCTCCTTCCTCCTTGCCACTCTGGGTCTCTGCTGAGTACTTAACTAAAACAAAGATTGAAAACAATCAAGCAATCAGCTTGTACATCAGTCGTCTGTTCAGTCTGTGATGTTAGTTTGTGGAGCAGAATATTTAATATTATTTAAACACTTCTTTTATCAAAACTTTGGTCTGTGGTTAAACCAAAAATATTATATAATTGTAACTTTGATTATATAATTCAAATGAAAACAAGAAGACATGGTCATCAATATCCCCACCACAGTGTTCTGTTCCTATTTGGGTCCTGTTTTTTAACTCCACCACGACATTCATGTCCTGAAAACACATATCACATTTGGTTTCCCTATCTATAACAGTTACTGAGAAAATCCCATTGGGGATCATGTGCACTAAGTCAAGAAATGCATGACAAGGGCAATAACTCTGTAACAAATTGCAACACAGTTTCCGTTTTTGAACTCTATCAAGGCATTCTTGTCCTGAAAACACATACCAAATCAAATTCGGTTTCCCTATCTATAAGGAAATATTTTTGCGAAAATCTGTCCCCATCAAACCTATATCCCATAACACTTTGTGGTGGAGGATAATAAAGAAGCATCTTTAAAATTAGCTGAAAATATAGCAACAAGGCTCTGTAGCTCACCTGAATGTGAAATAATAATTTGATGTTTGTTGGTTAATGCTTCACTCAGAAATATTCAAGCTACATGAGTATGGTCCGTAATTATCGAATCAGATAATCCAGTGATTGACATCATGAACAATTCTAATCCATTCTATTTCTACTAATTTGATGATACTTTAACCTTATTTAAAATATATTTTAAATGTATATTAATTCTTATATTTTAAATAGTCAACTGCAAGACACAGACCCTTCTTTGAATAATTGTGGGTCAATAGCCCTTACCACAATGGCTGAAACTCAGTGGGTGCCAATCTAAGTGAGTGAGTTGGGTTTTACTCCACTTTTAGCAATATTCCAGCAATATCTAGTGGGGACACAAGAAATGGGCTTCACACATTATACTCATGTGGGGAATCAACCCGGGTCTTTGGTGTGATGAGCGAACGTTTTAACCACTGGGCTACCCCACCACTCTGCCTATCATAATGAGTCCATAAATGATAGTGATTCATTAACATGCTCATGATATAGGTACAAATGTATTATTGACTCTGGTTTCTAGCACAGACTTCTTTATTAGGAGGTTTCTCCTCGACACAAACTGTGAAATGAAGAATTTAACAAGGTGAGTGAGTGAGTGAGTTTAGTTTTATGCTGCACCCAGCTATATTCCAGCTATATGGCGGTCGGTCTGTAAACAATCGAGTCTGGACCAGACAATCCAGTGATCAACAGCATGAGCATCGATCTGTGCAATGGGGAACCGATGACATGTGTCAACCAAGTCAGCGAGCCTGACCACCCGATCCTGTTAGTCGCCTCTTACGACAAGCATGGGTTACATGGGTTACTGAAGGTCAACATTCTAACCTGGTCCTTCACGGGTAAAATTTAACAAGGACACATGAAGAAAATATTTAAATTTGCAGTTAATTAAGATCTCTACAGTTGTGAGTTAAAAGAAATGTTCTCACCGACAACAGATATGTCTTTCCATGTCTCAGGTTTATCATCACTGGATTCTCCACCCTCCAGCTCTTCGTCAGGCACATCCATTTGTTCCTCACCCTGGTTGACGTCTTCGTCCTGCTTGAAGGTCACTATATTCAAACAAACATGTCTCCATTTTATGAAAATACAGCTACAGTCAAATCCCGATGAGTCGAATCGCTGGGGACCAAGGAATAAATTCGACTTATCCATGTATTCGAGACATAGGTATGTCTATGAGGGTAGAAAAAAAGATGATCCAGTCCTAATTCCTCCGCCTAAGCATTTGTTTATCTAAAGATTTCCATATCACTAATAGGGGCACCTTATCAGTTCCAGTCTGATTAGCACAGACAGTGATTTCCATAAAATCACTAATCTGCCTTTTGAACTCACCCGTCAATGGCGGAAAGGTGTGAGCCGCGCTAGTTTGTTAATTGGATCAGTTTGCTACACAAATCAACTTCTCCTTGACTGACTTCGGCTTATGTATACAAGATTGCTGTTGTCTGAATCTCATGGGACCAACTTACCTTTTCGAGTCATCGTGTGTATTTATGAGACGAATTCGTGTAACCAGTATTCAAATGATGACAACTATAACAGGGAATGGTCGGGACCGACAGCTAGTTCGAGTTATGCATAATATTCGAGACACCGGGCATTCGACTCATCGGGATTTGACTGTAATTTATAATGGCATCTCTAATATTAGTTTAAGGAGGTAGGATAGAAATATCAACAAATTGCAAATGTTTTTGCCTGATATCAATGTATACATGAGCAGCCCCTCCACCACCATTTCTTCAAGGTCTTTCTTTCAAGTATGTACCATTCCTTAAATATTAGTCCAGACAATAAGCAAGAAATGGGATGCAGGGTGTACCCATGTGTAATATTGAACCCGAGTCTTTGGTATGAGAAGCGAACGCTTTAACCACTAGACTACCCCACCACCCTGCCTGTTATTAGAGAAGGTGTATATCAAGCTTAATATTACATCCTTTTATATTTCCTCAAGGCCAGACCAATTGTATTTCTTGTTTTACAGATTTTTTACCTCAGAAAACCTAAAGGCAGGAGGGGAAAAAAATACATAAAAATTCACCAGTCAAAGCAAAAACCCACATGAGTTTTTCAAAGGCATTGTTTTTCACGTTCACACTTGCTGAGATGCTCGAAGCACTGATTTCTAACACAAATAATGTTCGATAATTCAGTTTAAAGTCTCTGAGAACAGATACTGGTGTTTCAGTGTCCAACAAACTGCCTTGCATAGTCGAAGTCTCACTCCCATATATCTTAACATTAGGATTTTATTTTTTGAACGGGGCAGATTTTTATACATTTTTTTTTATTCTTGAAAAAATACAACCGGCAGATCCGTAAAACGAGAAATAAAATTGGTCTGGCCTAAACACAAGGTTTCATAACCTCAACCTGTTTATGATGTGCTGAAACCATTCACCCCATGCCATATCTATATAATATTATTCCATATGTAACAAATCTTTTAGCTGCAGTCATTACTACCACCTGTAGCGGCATTGCTGATCCAATCCAACAGCTGTCCTGTTTCATGGGCTGTTACTAATGTAAATATTGTCCTGTTTCATGGGCTGTTGCAAATGTACATATTTAGCATTCATGCCATTGATAGTTTCAATAGTCATAATAGAATACAAAAATACCGTATCAGCCATTTTGACTGAAAATTGATCTTCTTTCAGAGAAACATATGGGTATCTATTACAAAAACACATTACAAAAGCTCATTACTAAACATATCTCAGACAATAATCAGAGTTGTACCTCAACTACACTAAAACCCTTGTAGTGCTCTGCAGATTCTGGAATGATTTCATTATGTGTAGTTATATATGCAACTCCAGACTGGTGCGTCAAGGTGTGGTGGACTGACTGACTGAGTTTTGGTTTAACGCCGCTTTAAGCAATATTCCAGCAACATCACAGCGGGGTCACCAGAAATGGGCTTCACACATTGTACCCATGTGGGGATTCGAACCCGGGTCTTCGTCGTGACGAGCCAACGCTTTAACCATTAGGCTACCCCACCGCCCCAGGTGTGGTGGAATTGGATAGAAGAGTGAGTTAGTAATTTTGGTTTAACAATGCTTGGAGTGAATGAGTGAGTTTAGTTTTATGATGCTTTTAGCAATATTCCAGCAATATCACAGCTTGGGACACCAGAAATGGGTTCATACACTGTGCCCATTTGGGGAATCAAACCCAGGTCTTCTGTGTGCCGAGCCAATACCTAAACCACTAGGCTACCCCACCACCCCAACAACCATTGCAGTTAACCTGGAAGTCCTTACATCACATGAAACCCATGATCATAGATATGCCACTTGGCACAGCAAACAGCAGTGCCTCAGACAAATGGATAACCTATACTTTCGAACACATTGTGGAAAGGTAAATGTACCGGGATTTTCCGGAAAGCCACCCAGGGCTGTAAAATGGAAATTTGGGGAAAATTTGGGGGGAAAAATGGACCATATAACCGCCCGGGCGATAATTCAGAAATAAAATAATTCAATAGTCGGGAACTAAAATCAATTTTCATCCCAATTAGATATCGTGTAGATGCACGCAAAATATTGCCAAAATGAAATCTTCGCAATTCAACATGCAGTAGTCATAGCACTCATCAAACTGTTCCAAAACTAATAACCTGCACTTACATTGTGATTTAACTGTAACAGTAGTGAAGACTGCCAAACAATCATGATGATCATTGCAACCAGGAACCCAAACCCATAGGCTCTGTAGCTCACCTGCTTATTATGGCATTTAACACTGAAGGAAAGTGGTCATCTGTTTAGTTTAGACAAGGCATAACAAATATTAGTAGAGAAAACCATCCTTTGTCTACATTTTAGTCCTCAAATATATGAATGTTGTAGTGTTAAGCATACTATAAGCCAATCATACCACTGTTTTGCAGTGAACATGTAAATTTTCATTTAAGCATGCTCTTCATAATTATTTTCAGTTTTTGACTATTTCTTTTTTTAAAAAGTCAGTTAATATACATAGCATTTTTCAAATCATCTGAATGAAGATTTAGTGAGCTACCTTGCAGTTCAAAACTTGTCTCATCCAGTCGCTCTTGGACACACTCGGCAGTCTGAATCATTAGAGTCTTGTACAGCCTCTGCAACATTCTGGAAGCTCCGTGACCCTCAAGCTTCCGTCGTCTTGGAAACATGCTGGACCCACTGGTATCTTTTTTCTCATTTTTCTCTAAAATACATTCAAAATTAATCTGGATCATGAGTGACTCAAATGTCAGTTGTGCACTATGAACTAGTAGACTATGTTTTGTTTCAGACTGACTGACTGACTGACTGGGTATGACTTTAAGCTGCTTTAGCAATATTCCAGCAATATCACGGCAGGGGACACCAGAAATGGGCTTCACAAATTGTACCCTTCTAAGGCCTTACATTTGTTGCTTAGTTTACAGATCTGCCAACTTAAGAATGGAAAATTCAGAGTGAGTGTGTGTGTGAGTGAGCTGGGTTTTATGTTACTTTTGGCAATATTTTAGCCATGTTGAGACACCAGAAGTTGGCTTCCCATAATGACCTTGACATGAATGTCATAGTGTATGAAATATGCAAAAATAGTACTAAAGAAATTGCTTTTTGAAAAACATTCAAGGGAAGTCTTGAAAGTCTATGAAGAAAATCCAGTGAACCGTTCTTGAAATATCTTGCTGACAATTCAGGTTAACATGCTGAAATCTTCAAAGTGTTGTCGTGACCCTGAAAAATGATGTGATGAAGGTTTGAGTCAAATATGAAGAAAATCCAGGGAATATTTTTTGCGATATCTTGCTGACTATCTTTACATGCAATTTAACATGCTGATAATCTTCAAAGTGTCTCTGTGACCTTAAAGCTTGGTGTTCAATATGAAGAAAATCCAGGGAACGGTTCTTGAGATAGCTAACATGCTGAAATCTTCAAAGTGTTGCCATGACCTTGAAAATTACGTGAAGGTCACCAAAATCAACTGGGCTCTGTGCCTTCCCTAGATAAAGCTTGGTATTGAATATGAAGAAAATCCAGGGAACGGTTCTTGAGATAGCTTAACATGCAGGTAAAACGTTTAAGTCCCCTTGTGACCTTGAAATGAAGGTCAAGGTCACCATACCCGACTTGGACCTTTCTTATACTGTGATGAACCTAGGTACCAAATATGAAAAGAATCTAGTGAACGGTTCTTAAGATATTCCAATTTGTACGCACGTACGTACGTCGGACGGATAGAAGGATGGAGCCTTATACTATATCCCCCCGCTTCACGCTAAACGCGCGGCGGGGGATAATAATAATAATCCAAAGGAATGCTATAAAACAGAACAAGTCAAATAGCGATATTATTTATGGACTAAAATCAGGTCAAGGATTTAATAAAAAAAATAAGATTTTTCTATCACCTACCAATCCAAACCAATCTTTGGATTTGCATCATTACTTTAGCATGCCATCTTAATATATATGAACGTTTACCAGGAATTTCATTTTACCAGATACTTCAATCAAAAGGTCTTCTATTCTAGCCTTTTTCCGAGTCAGTCTCTTCACAAGTTTTCTTCGACTGGATGGTCCAACTTCCTCCAGGTGAGCTGCTCTCTTCTCAAGGAACTCCACCATGTCAGACAGACACTCCTGGTAGCTCTGGACTAGACTATATCGTGTTTCATCAGAAGAGTTGGTGTCAGCTCCTGTGATTAAGTGAATGAGCGGGTGAGTTGGATTTGAGGTTTTCAATACTATTTGCAATAAGAGGAATCCATTTCCTCCTTTGACACTATATGAGTCAAGAAATAAAGACACATTTAGACCTTCATTTTTGTAATAATCATATTTCATATGGAAACTTTGTTATGCATGTATGCTTCAAAACCCCTAAATTTATTAAAAACAAAAACCTGAAGCTATCAATGCATCATTAAAACTGTTTTGTTATGGCGACTGAAAATACATGCGAGAGACTGAGCTAGGTTTAATGCCACTTTGAACAGAATTACAGTTATATCGGTACCTTTGCATGATGTGAGAGTGAATAAGTGAGTTGGGTTTTATGTCGCTTTATTCCAGCAATATCACAGCAGGGGACACCAGAAATGGGCTTCACACATTGTACCCACGTGGGGGCACGAATCTGTGAACGAATCTGGGGCACGAATCAGCGAACGCTTTAACCACTAGCCTACCCCACCACCCCTCTTGATGTGAGAGAGAATGAGGAGGTCTCACACATATACCATGGAGGTCTCACACATATACCATGGAGGTGGGCACCTACCATGGAGGTCCACACATATACCAATCTCCACACATGGGTACACACCTTATACCATGGAGGCCCACACATATTTCTGGTGTCCCCCCGCATATACCATGGATGTCTCTGTAATATTGCATAAAAGCCTCACACAATACCATGGACTCAGTCAGTCTTGAGGGTGAGAGAAATGCCTGAAGTGATGGAGGTCTCACCCATATACCATGGAGGTCTCACATATACACACATATACCATGGAGGTCTCACACATATACCACTTTGGTGAAACCCATGAGCACATGTATGGAACTCACACACCACAAGTCAGACAGAAGTTCAAACCACAGGCCCTCATGTCTTTGTGATATATTTCTTTAAGAAAAATATTTTTTTGAGATAACCCTGACTCGAAATGCTACAAAGTACAAAACATTATGACAAGGACATTTCGGTGTACCCCACCGACCTGCTTTGCCGATCGCTACGCTACCATCTCATGCAAATGGCAAAGCAGGCGGGTAGGGTGTACCCAAGTGTCCGGCCTTGTCATTACGTATTGTACTGTGAAGGATTTCCAGTCGGGGGGTCATCTCAAATGTTACAGACTATTTTAACATCTCTAATCCTCGCAAAGATACGAGGGCCTGTGGTTCAAACCTATGAAAAGTTTTTCCTGCACATATAAGGGATACAACTCTGAATAGCAATTCATGGCAGCTTAGATTATAGGCCATCAGTAACCCTTACCTTCTATGAAGGAGGAAAACTATTGTCAATGATATTGAAATACATTTCATTATTATATACACAAATTACTAAAAAAACACCTAAATTACCCTTGGGATTTTCTGCATCTGGTTCAATGATAGTTGTTTCTTCAAAAGCATCTTGAGTCTGAAAATAATCATGTGTGCAAATAATTCCTAAAGCAAAATAAGAGATCTCAGCACTAAGTTCTTTTTAATTTTATGACCAAATTTTCTTGCACAATTACTGAAGTCATTTTGAAATGCCTACAAAATAGATCAGAAATCAGGCCAATAACAAAGAGAAAAGTGCTAAAAAAAGTTTCAAAAGAGTTTTGAAAATAATAACAGTTTGTATTTTGAATACCTGGTACACAACCTAATGAATAGATGCATTATGCAGACATGATGCAACTACCTAAATGTTAACAAAGATAAGTTATTAATGTAAATTGAGGTAAACATCAGTGAAAACATCCACAGGTAGTTAATTTTGATGTTTTGAGTTAGTGAGTATGGTCTTACGCTGCTTTTAGCAATATTCAAGCAATATCGCGGCGGGGGAATCCAGAAATGGGCTTCACACATTGTACCGATATGGGGAATCGAACCCGTGTCTTCAGCGTGACAAGCGAACACTTTAACCACTAGGCTACCCCACTGTCCCCATGTATACAGAGTCAAAATAAAAACTTCACAATTCATATTTGTAAATAAAAATATTTAGTAGACAAACCCAAAGCCCAATATGAAACTAATACATGCACTCTCCTTAAATATAGCTCATCTGTTTAAGTGTTTCTCCATACTGACCAACAAAAACACATCGTGAAACGTTTAAATAGTCATTTGGCCCTTATGTGCTAGAAACTTGCTCACTAAAGCTTGATAATCACTTATACTCACCCTGTCCTCAAAGAAAGGAAACATACATGTCTCAGCTGGAACATGAGATATGACACTAAGATCAAAGGGTGCACTCCTTGTGACTGTTTCTATGGCTGATGCATCATCAGCCTCAGCTGGAATTGTTTCACTACGACTTCCTTTCCGCTTAGATTGTTTCTGAATCTCTTGAATTGTTTCTCAATCTCTTGAATTTCTCCTTTTCAGCTTGGTTGGTTATCTTGAACTTCGGAGCTTTCTCTTCTCGACAAACGTCCCCCACATTGTACATTCTCCTTTTCCAGGATTGGTTGGTTATCTTGAACTTCGGAGCTTTTTCTTTTAGACAAACGTCTCTCACGTGGTACATTCTCCTTTTCCATGACTGGTTGGTTCTCACTAACTTCGGAACTTTTTCTTTTAGACAAACGTCTCCCACATGGTACATTCTCCTTTTCCATGATTGGTTTGTTATCTTGAACTTCAGAACTTTCTCTTTTAGATAAAAGTCCTCCAGATGGCCTGTCCTCCTTTTCAAATATATCACTCCTACATCGTCTCTTCTTTGATATGTTCTTGTCCTTTAGGAATACATCATCACTGCTCAGTTCTGCCATAAAACTATCAGATTTCGACCTTAGCTTTGCAATAATGCCATCCAACTTGGCCCGTCTGGTAGTGCTGCTGTACTTCCTCTGAGTGAGGTAGGTCATATCATTCTGACTACTTACATTCTGACTCTCCTCTTCTGTATTCTGCTCAGCTTCCTCTGCTAACTCAGTGCCCTCAAACCAGGCTGTATCTTTATCCTTGCAGCTGCTTTGCCCTGGAGCAGACATATGTTCTTTATCCTTGTACCGGATTCGCCATGGAGTTGACGTATGTTCTTTATCCTTGCGTCTGCTTTGCCCTGGAGCAGACATATGGTCTTTATCCTTGCGTCTGCTTTGCCCTGGAGCAGACGTATGTTCTTTATCCTTGCGTCTGCTTTGCCCTGGAGTTGATGTATGTTCAATATCCTTGCGTCTGCCCTGCCCTGGAGCAGATACATGTTCAATATCCTTGCAGCTGCTTTGCCCTGGAGTTGACGTATGTTCTTTATCCTTGCGTCTGCTTTGCCCTGGAGTTGATGTATGTTCAATATCCTTGCGTCTGCTTTGCCCTGGAGTTGATGTATGTTCAATATCCTTGCGTCTGCTTTGCCCTGGAGTTGACGTATGTTCTTTATCCTTGCGTCTGCTTTGCCCTGGAGCAGACGTATGTTCTTCACTGTGAGTTTGCTTCCTCACTTCTTGACTTCCACTCTCTAATGGTTGAATTTCATCAAAGTTATCAAAGTCATACACCTTACTCCTGGTGTTCTTACTTATCAAGTTTGATGTTCCTGAATCTTTTGGCGAGATCGTACTTTGGTTCCTATTACCGACTCCTCTCGTCTTTCTGGAGGGCACAGCTGAATATTTTAAGCACTTTTTGGATGTTTTTGGACGACTTAATTTGATTCGCGGCAGAGATACTGGGCAACTTTTTCTCTGAAAAATATCAAGTATTAATTTGAATTTGTGTAAATGAGTGAGTGATGTTGCATACCTTATTATTCCAGTGACATTATTAAGCATGTGTCAGACCAGATAGAGGTCACAAGAAAGATTAGCATGAGCATCCCTCCCCCAACAATGAAGAACATTTACAGAATTCTTGTCAATATTATTTCATATAACCAATAATACTATCTTGAAATATGTATCCTAGGTACCGTTACTCAATATACTGACTCATCAAATGACCTTTCTATTATCTTGTGATGCAGTCTTTCTCTGTTGTGAAACAAAGTCATCATATTCGTGATCGGTCCTGAAAATATAAAATGCACATCATTACCATCAACCTTGCCTTTGTAAGCGCTATAACCAAATAGTTTTACAGATATACTGACCATAATGGAAAACTTCTTTAAGTGGCATTTAGAAGCTGGTATGATGAAGAGGAACATTTTTATGGTGAGGTGAGGTGAAATTGGGTTTTACGTCGTGCTTGAGAATATTTCGGTCATATGACGACGTGCATGCGTGTGTATGTGTATGTGCGGCTGCTTGTACTAGCCCAGACTTAAGCTGGTTTTATAGTGCTAGCCCACTGAGATACCATGCCTGCAGTGAAGCATGAATACCCCACTCAGACACATTATACTGACTCCGAGCCGACCAGTCCTTGTTGTAACCATTAATGCCGAACGCCAGGCAGGGACCAACAAGTACCATATTTTAACGTCTTTTGGTATGACGCGGTCGGGGATCGAACCCGCAGCCTTCCTCTCCGGGCGGACTATTTTTTATGGATTGACAAACATAGTATCTATTGCAATAAAGAACAGAGCTACAGATAACGTTTTGGGTCATTGAGTTAAGTACTCGCTTGTGTTCATCTTAATTGGGTATCCTACCTAAGTTTCTTTTGAGTAACCAAATAAATTGTACTCACCTGACTCAAACTCAATTGGGCATTTTGAAATGTTCCATTAATTTTTAAAATATAATAAAGTTTAAATGTTAGTGTTTGTTATTTATATTTGATACCTGCATACTTGATACATAATATGAGAAACGATAAGAAAGACTGCAAGTTGTCAAGTTCATGTCCTGAAATAGAACCTCTCAATATACCTCAGTTATTTTATCTATCCACCCAGTACGCAAGTGAAGATTTGACATTTTTGTGTGTGTACGCATGTTAGATCACAGTTATTGAGTATTTACAAAACTTCAAGCGTACTTGTACGCAACAGACTTAATAGGAATTGAGTTTTCACATAAATATTTGCGTAATTTACGCAGATACGCAGCTTATCTGTACCTCTGAAAGAGGTTTACAATCCGGCACTTCATTGATAAACTTATAAATATTTCTATTCAAGAAGAATTGAAATTATGAAATTAGCCACAGTTTCCTATAAAAATCAGCAGAATGCTTTGAGACCAATTTCCTGTACATAATGAGTGAATACTTAATCGGATGTGATGTGACCATAGCTACCTTGAAACAAAACACAATGTTGTCAAAAATGTGTGGGTACGTTTTTTCAGGTTCATAACTTATCATAGGTGAAGGACTGCAAGCAGTATGTTGTGGTTTGAATCACAATTCCTCAATCAGTATTGCAATAATTTGTGATCCGCAATTCAGTGAGTGAGTGAGTGAGTGAGTGAGTGAGTGAGTGAGTGAGTGAGTGAGTGAGTGAGTGAGTGAGTGAGTGAGTGAGTGAGTGAGTGAGTGAGTGAGTGAGTGAGTGAGTGAGTGAGTTGGATTTTACCCCGCTTCAAGCAATATTCCAGCAATATCATGGCGGGGTACACCACAAATGGTCTTCACACAATGTGCCCATGTGGGGAATCGAACCTGTGTCTTCAGCGTGATGAAGGAATCAATTCCAATGTGCGAATTCCATTGTTCCCCTGCTGTGATATTACTAGAATATTGCTGAAAAGCGCCATAAAAAACATACCCACTTCCTCACTCATAAATCAAGACTGGTTAATCTCTGGCCTTTAATATCAGGGGGTTTCGACTCACATACATGGGGGTACTGGGGGCCCCCAATTATTAGTTTTAAGGGTCCTTGCAGGTAATGTGAGAGTCCTATGAAATAATGGTATAGAGAACTGTACATTTTGATAATTCTTAAGAGCCTGGAATGAATCATTGATCAAGTGGACTGGTGGATGACGTAACTGCTCTGAAAGAAACAACCAAACAAAGTCATAGATGTTTTGTTGGTACAATGAATAAATTGTCCATCTGCCAGGACACAGTGAATGTTTTTTTCTGCCTCCATTACCTACATTTGTGCTTACTGGAAGCACATGTGGGCATCATGTAAAACCCTGATGGAATATTGCTAAAAGTGGTGCAAAACCCCATGCACCCACTCACCCACACTCTGTACATATAAAACTGTACGCTGATCTGTTTATCATTCTAATGACCATGTACAAACCTCTTAGATTTCGTCACTGGCTGCGTGGAAGGGTTGACAGCCTTCTCATCTGTCTTCTTTACAGTTGTGGGTAGTTTCTGGCTGCTCGTAACCATGTTTTGCGGTGTGAAGCTTTGGCCTGGACTTGCATCCTGAGGTAGTAGCAGAAACAATGCAGCTGTGATAACAACAAACACGTAGCCATGGCTTGTTTGGGGGAAAACGTGTAAGTGTTAATATCCCCACCCCCAATAATTGGTTGTTTCACATGCTCAGGGAGGGAAATAACTTTAAAATTGCTAGTGTACTCCGGTACAGTGGCACATGTAAAATCACTTGCCCTGATCATTTTCCCACTATACTGGCCGATTTTCTTGTTGATTTTTTAAATAAACAACATAATTAACATTGGAAATTCAACTGGACACTAGTACAGCGTGACATACAAATTTGCTAGCCCGAAAGAAAAAAACACTGGACTCGGACGTCGGGCAATGGGTTATTTCCACCCCTGCATGATAAATGTCATGAAAAAGAAAAAGACGGACAATCACAGACATTCTAAGAGCAAATCATAGTCATACATGTTTTAGTTCTTTAGTTTTTTTCATCGCTGAAGACAGTATTCTTGAACAAAATAATATCAATATTTGATTTACTAAGAAAAAGAATTCTACTAAAAGTGTCCTGGTCTGGACAAATGTATATCCCCAGTATGTAGCTATAGGACATTAGGCAAAAAAAAGATATGTCCGTTTCCTATTACATGCTATTTAAAAATTGAGTAGGCGGGTCGATTTAAACTTTTAAAAAAAATCTTTTACAAGTTTTTAGTAGCACCATGTGGGTACCTGAGAATGTCTTCAAGGATACCACATCATGTTGTTACAATGCCATGTGATGAAATATTGACAAATTTCTATATCAAATCATTATTCATGTTATTTATTTGCAGGTTTTGTCAGTGAGAGCCCATTATGCCAATTCAATGCAATCCATTTTAGCCCTACGTACACTGTAAAACACGAAAATATCATACTCGATTTGGATGAAAATGATGAGTTGAAATGCACTCCACTCATGATTTTGATTTTAGGATAGGGTCGGTCGGATAACTGGAAACGGACATATGAACTGTGAATATCTGACAGAATTTGCACTACAAATCATAATGCTTGCGTGAAAATGAACTTGCAGCAAAGCAGGGAAGTTTTGCTTTTTACCCATTCAGCAATCTTTCAGCAATATCACACCAGAAATATCATCGTATGGATCAAAGTAAATGGACTTGAGTCTGTGGAGAATATTCCATCCATAAATGTTAGGGACCGTTCATAATTTATGGCTGGGTGTGTGTGATGTGTGTGTGTGTGTGTGTGTTTGATGATGATTTTTATGGAGAAGCATGTACAATGTAAATGACCCCACCTGAAATTTATGTACAAAATAAGTGACCCCTGCATGACAAAATCAGTGACCCTCCCCTTCCCATAGTTTCTAAGTATAATTTTAAACATACAAAATTCCCCCTGTGTACAAAATTGCTGACCCCCCTAGCTCCCCAGAACAAAATGGGTGACCCCCAACCCCTGAAAGTCATCATCACACACCCCTGCCATAAATTATGAACGGTCCCTTATTTGATGAAAAAAGATCTTTAAACATGGAAAAAGGACAATAAGGCAATGTGAAGATCAGAGCTTAATACATCTACCATCATTTTGTGGCACAGTTTCAACATGCACTTCTTTTTCATTGTGCCTGGTCCACCAAACCTCTTCATGTTCTGAAAGTAAATTTGATTATCAAAATCAAGCCATTACAAAAATGCAAGCAAACTTGCAGTCATCCATGACTAACTAGTAAATTCAGGATTCAAACAGGATGAAGTTAAGAAATTGTTATATTTTAGAAGCAACTAATTAGGACATAAAAAGGATGTTTTTCAAAACAATGATTGAGGATATAAGTTTTGTGAAGCATAGCTTGTCAGTTATATCATGGGTTGTCAACCTGATATGAGAGTATTTCAGTTAAATCATGGGTTGTCAACATGATATGAGAGTATTTCAGTTATATCACGGGTTGTCACCCTATAATGAAAGTATTTCCATTATATCATGGGTTGACATCCTGATATGAAAGTATTTCCATTATATCATGGGTTGTCAACATGATATGAGATCTAGAGTATTTCATTTAAATCATGGATTGTCTTCCTGATATGAGAGTATTTCCATAATATCATGGGTTGACATCCTGATATGAAAGTGTTTCAGTTAAATCATGGGTTGTCATCCTGATATGAGAGCATTCCCATTATATCAAGGGTTGACATCCTGATATGAAAGTATTTCCATTATATCATGGGTTGTCAACATGATATGAGAGTATTTCAGTTATATCATGGGTTGTCAACATGATATGAGAGTAGTTCAGTTAAAACATGGGTTGTCAACATGATATGAGAGTATTTCCATTATTTCATTGGTTGACATCCTGATATGAGAGTATTTCAGTTATATCATGAGTTGTCATCCTGATATGAGAGTATTTCAGTTAAATCATGGGTTGACATCCTGATATGAGAGTATTTCAGTTAAATCATGGGTTGTCATCCTGATATGAGAGTATTTCATTTAAATCATGGTTTGTCAACCTGATATGAGAGTATTTCAGTTAAATCATGGGTTGACATCCTGATATGACAATAATTCAGTTATATCATGGGTTGTCAACGTGATATGAAAGTATTACCTTAACGTCATCCCTTGTAGTGAACACAGTATCAGAACACCTGAATCTATTTGCACAAAATGATTTAATTGTCAAGACTACCATAAACCTTATGTTGAAGTATGAGAGAATCATCATGCATAGCACAATGGTTGCATGAATATTGCTTTGTGGGCCCCGACTCACACAAGCATTGTGAGTAAGTTTAATTTTACGCTGCTTTTAGCAATATTCCAGCAATATCACAGCAGGGGATACCAGAAATGGGTTTCACACATTGTACCCTTGTGGGGAACTGAACCCGGATCTTCAGCGTGATAAGCGATTGCTTTAACCACAAGGCTACCCCACCGCTCCCACAAGCATTGTGAAGGTCTGCAGTTAGTTCTGTTATGTCATGCCTAGTGTTGGGAATTGGTTGAAATCTCACAATTGATAATTGGTTCATTACCAACGAGCAATCATCGAAAAAAATGGTTTATTTTTAATATTTTCCTGTTCAGGTTGTTATTGCAGATAAGTATATGTGGTTCTCTGTTGCTGTTTTTTGGTTTTATTTAGAAACTGCTCAAATTGCATTTGTAAATTTCACATCCTATGTAAAATGATGCAACTTGCTACTTTAAAGTGATGACAAATGATATATCATGAACATAAACTTCCTGGAACTTCAAGAAATATTCAGTCATGACTTTTTAGGAAGTGAAGGGAGTTTTCGAAGTAAGTAAACACGTTTTTGGCCCTGAAAACTTTGAAAAATATGTTCCATCGTCAAGTGTTTCACACACTAAAACAGCAGTTCCAAAATCGTTTGTGTTCGATTATGATAAAAATGTGATCGATTGTTTGGTCGTTTGGTCACTGCAACCAATCTTTGATTATTTCAATTAATTGGAACACCACTAGTGATGCCTGCAGTCATTCTTACCTTACAAGTTCTACACATTCGGCAATCATCAATTCTCACACAACCTGGACAGATTCCACATTTTCCTCTTCGTTTTCCTCTTCTCTTCTGGAGGACAAATGGGTTAAATAATAATATCAATAAAGATAGCTACTTAACAAAAGTCGCTTTAAGCATTGTTATTTGAATATTTAACTTAAACACTCTAATCCTAATGATTGTATGACAGTAGGAACAAGAAGACAAAGTCATCAATATCCCCACAATGGCAAAATACTCTTCATGTTTATGTCTACGAGTTATGATTATGTCAAATATTTAGGTGTGTATATAGAAAAGTGGAAGGAGAGTATTAAAAGGGTTTTAAAGTTCTGCTCCAGAAAGGAGCACTTTCACCAGTTTCAGTCTATGTCAAACTTGTTGCCATGGAAATGCCAAAATTATTTTATTCAGAAATCACCAAAAGGCACCAGTACACCACCAGATCTATGTATGTGCCAAGTTTGGTGAAGAAACATTGAATGGTTTTAGAGTTCTGCTCCGGAAAAGAGCACTACCACCAATTTCAGGCTAAGTCAAAACTTGTTGCCATGGAAATGCCAAAAATATTTTATTCAGAATTCCAAAACTACCAAAAGGCACCAGTACACCACCAGATCTATCTATGTGCCAAGTTTGGTGGAGAAATAGTTAACGGTTTTAGAGTTCAGTTCCGGAAAAGTGTACTAGCACCAATTTCAGGCTAAGTCAAAACTTGTTGCCACGGAAACGCCAAAAATAGTTTATTCAGAATTCCAAAATTACCAAAAGGCACCAGTACACCACAAGATCTATCTATGTGCCAAGTTTGGTGAAGAAATAGTGAACGGTTTTGGATCTGCTTCGGAAAAGAGCACTACCACTAATTTCATTCTAAGTCGAACTTCTTGCCATGGAAATGGCAAAAATGTTTTATTCAGAATTTCAAAACTACCAAAAGGCACCAGTACACCACCAGATCTATCTATGTGCCAAGTTTGGTGAAGAAATAGTGAACGGTTTTAGAGTTCTGCATTTTAAAAATTGTAATATATTGCAAAACTAAAACATGTGTTGAGCTCCAATTCTAAATAAACATTAAAATGTTACTGAAATATGTCATAAACAGGCTTTTGTTGCTGAATGATTGAGTCAGTGAGTATGGTTTTACACCACCTTTAACAATATCACAAATACAGTCGAGCACCGTTGTCGCGATTTTCATGGGACCAAGAAAAAATATCAAGTTATCTGAACTTTGAGACATCCGACCTATCATTGGATTCTCTGTATGTTTTGATTTGAAACTAAAATCCGTTATCAGTAAGTGTTTAGTAATTATCAGAAAGTATTTAGTAAGTGTCAGTAATTATTTTTCACTACTGCATCCCTTTGGTTCATGCCGCACCGTGCATAAACGTGTGGGAACAACCTCTGTTCAGAGGAATACTTGCCCATGAAAAACAGGTGAATATTGAGATTCTTTGCAAATATCAAGTTAAAAGGGTAATTTTGTTTGTTGGGACCATGAAATCATTTCGAGATATCAGAAATATTGAGTTAAAACACCTTGAATAATGATAAATTATGAAGGATTTTGCCGGGACTGAGATGTTATATCAAGACAACTGAGATACTGAGTTATCAGAGTTCGACACAACGGTGCTCGACTGTATTGTGGTGGAGGACACAAGATATAGGCTTCACACATTGGGAAATCGAAACCGAATCTTTGAACAGCATGATGACTTAAACAAAAGGCTACTCCACGTCCCTCAAAGTGGCTGAAGTGGTAACTCTGCTGATAATCTGATTCAGCCTCCCAAACCAATTTAAACAAACATATGAAGTTTCAGCGTAATTCCTACAGTTTTTTCAGAGAAGCATAAGATATAAATTTACCAATATGGCTCCTGGCCAGGTTTAAGATTTCTGACTTTTCTTTTTAAAATTGTATATTTCAATCCAAAATACTGATAACTATCTGATGACCATGATGAAACTGCAATTTGAACTGACTCAAACCTCATAAGGAACAACCTTTTTTTGCTAAAAAATGGAATATCCATAACATATTTACTACTTTTTATTTTTTGCTCACATACAAGATGACTGAAATCACAGGTGTCTGCATAATCACCCAATGTAGGCTGTCGACATAATTGAAGACACTGGGTGCCATGTTTTATGAGATATCGCGTTTACATAAGTTTAAAAAGTTGATACAACAGTGCATGTGATGTTATGTTAACAACAGTTTGAAAAGTATTCAAAGTGTCGCGGTGACCATGAAGATAAGGTTAAGGTCACCCAAATAATCAGGTGTCTGGGTAATCCCCCAATGTAGGCTGTCACCAAATTTGAAGACATTAGGTACAACAGTTCATGAGATATCGCATTAACAACAGTTTGAAAAGTGGTCAAAGTGTCGTGGTGACCTTGAAAATAAGGTCAAGGTCACCAAAATCACTTGGCGTCTGTGTAATCCCACAATGTAGGCTGTCACCAAATTTGAAGATATTGGGTACAACAGTTCATGAGATATTGCGTTAACAAGAGAAAGTGGTCAAAGTGTCACCGTGACCTTGAAGATAAGGTCAAGGTCACCCAAATCACTTGGTGTCTGTGTAATCCCCAAATGTAGGCTGTCACCAAATTTGAAGACATTGGGTACGACAGTTCATGAGATATATCGTGTTAACAAGAGTTTGAAAAGTGCTCAAAGTGTCGTGGTGACCTTGAAAATCAACTGGTGTCTGGGTAATAATTTGAAGACATTGGGTACAACAGTTCATGAGATATCGTTTTAACAAGAAATGGGACGTATGGACGCCGCTAAATACATAGTCCCCCGTTGCGGGGGACAATAAACGCCTAACTTGATATATCACAAATACTGTTCAAAACTTAGTTACACCATCCTCACTGAGACACTCATTTCAGCTGAATCCATCAGGCCGTTTGAGGAAGTTAAAAATGTTCAATGTTTGTGGACAAGATGGATGCCAAAAGCTCACATGGCCTGTCAGTCTAGGTGACCTAAATATATCTGTTCCAGTGTATACATCAACAGTTTTCCAAAACACCAGTGCAGAGTTATCACTCTTAAGTATACAATGCACCAAAGGTTTGTTGATACAAATGTTCCATCTATTATAAAATGGCCAACAAACTGGTACTGATAAATATTAGCGAATCACTTGTATTGTATGAACTATTCACACTGTACACGTATTGCCATTATAGTATTGTAAATATGTAATATTGGCATTGTCATGGAAATATACTTCTCTTCAAAACTTGACTCACTTAAAACAATCACTATATGTTATGTATGTGTGTGTGTGTGTGTGTGTGTGTGTGTGTGTGTGTGTGTGTGTGTGTCTATATATAGAAGATTGATTTCTCCACTAACTTGGGGGAACCACTGCAAACTTTATGCAGATGAATTGCACGAGGATCATACATCAAATTGCTGAAAAGTATGTGCAAATATTGTGCATGTGAACAGCTGTTTTTTAGGTGTAAACTTTTGTTAATGAATTTGCCAATTTTCACTGATTTTTATCATTTACAGAACTCATGATAATAATCTTTTCAATGTTCCGAATTTATTTTACAATACCGGTACATCAGTTCATGTGTAAACAGTACCTTAGACAAGAGTCATCAGAAGATGACATATCCCCCGGCCCCCATATATTTGAAAGAACAAATCATCTGACAGTTACTTAAAGTCCAGCTTGATGTCTTTTTAGACTAAGTCCAAATCGTTTCCATGGAAATCATGAAAACTATAAATGCCAAAAATGTGTAAATAGCAAAAGGCACCACTTCAAGATCTGACTCATAAATCTGCCAAGTTCTGTTGAAAGATATTAAATGGTTTTCAAGACTTAAGTCTGAATCGTTTCCAAGGCAACCAGGAAAAATAAAAATGGCAAAAATCTGTAGATAGCAAAAGGCACCACTTTGGGATCTGCCTCACATATCTGCCAAGTTTTGATGAAAGATATTGAACGGTTTTCGAGTTGTGCTCTGGAAACGAAACCCACCCCTCCCTTTTGAGACTAAGTCCAAAACGTTTCCATGGAAACCAAGAAAAATAAAAATGACAAAAACCTGCAAATAGCAAAAGACACCACTTTACGTTCTGTTTGATAGATCTACCACGTTTTGTTGAAAGATATTGAACGGTTTTCGAGTTGTGCTCCGGAAATGAAACCAAGAAAAATATAATGCCAAAAATCTGCAAGTAGCAAAAGGCACCACTTTAGCTTATGTTTGATATATCTACCAAGTCTTGAAGAAAGATATTGAACGGTTTTCGAGTTGTGCTCCGGAAACAAAGGTCACCCTCATTTTGAGACTAAGTTCAAATCGTTTCCATGGAAACCAAGAAAAATAAAAATGACAAAAATCTGTAAATAGCAAAAGGCACCACTTTAGGTTTTGTTTGATATATCTACCAATTTTTGTTGAAAAATACTGAACGGTTTTTGAGTTATGCTCCGGAAACAAAATGATTACAGACGGACGGACAGACGGACAGACAGACCGATGAGCCGTCGACTATATCTCCCCGCATTACATGCCGGGGGGATAAAAAGTATGGAATATTTTGCAAAATTTAGTTTAGAACAATTGCCTGAAGTAAGTGGCTATATTTACACTAATGACTCTAAACTTTTGATGAGAAATATATGTCATTTGGCATTGTCATTACAGTCATGTAAATATGTCATTAAAAATTGATTTTTGAAAAATATTAACCTTTTGTAAAGGAAACAGTTTTTCATGACATTATAGGCTGTCACAAAAGGTATAGGTTTGTGTCCAGGCACCAGTACACCACCAGATCTATCTATGTGCCAAGTTTGGTGAAGAAATAGTGAACGGTTTAGAAGCTCTGGTCCGGAAAAGATGAAAGTGCTGGGAGGGACGGAGCGCATTTTAATACACCCAGCAAAACGCGTTGCGGGGGATAAAAAGCCTGTCAACGAAGGACAGTAAAAACAACTAGATTATCACAGTTATGGATATAAAACTAGCATGTAAATCTAAAATGTACTCACTACAGAAGACAATACAATATAAAAGCATGCTATGAATTGCCAACACCTGAAGGCATATCACCATGCTAGGGACCATGAGGACTTACTGTACATTTGCTTCCTGCATGGACCCTAGCTGGATTTACACCATCCCTTCAGTTGTTAGCAATTTAGACAAACCTAGCCATAAATAAAAGAACACATATCCCGTGATTAAAAATGTGGCAAGAATAAATATAATTTGATCATTTTGGGACTAACATATGGTGCAAAATGCTCCATAGTAGATACAGTGAAGGACTAATGCATCTACCTTTCTCCAAGGTAACTTTGGAACACCGTAATCAAATCGAAACTCTTCTCCCCTTTTGATATCTCTATTGGCAAACAAGCAGATATACGACTTGTTTTCACACTGCACAATTCTTAGAAAACAATTCTTTTCATGCTTCTTCCAGCCATCGTTCACGAATCGTCCCACTGCCTTTGAATGTGTAGCATCCACACTGAAACCAGAAAGCCCAGGTTTACCACAGAAAATCTTGTTTGCTGGTTTGTTTAATGCCGCCCTTAGCCATTTCCCAGCTATATGACAGCAGTCTGTAAATAATATAGTTTGGACCAGACAATCCAGTGATTGACATCATGAGCACTGATCTATGCAATTGGGATATGGTGACACAATTGGGATGTGTTAATGAAGTCAGTAAGCTTGACCACACAATCTCGTCAGTTGCCTTTTACTACAAGCATTGGTTGCTGAAGACCAATTCTAAGTCCATAATAATATATAAAAGTGAGAATTTTATACTTCAAACTTTGTTTTATAGTTTGATTCATACTGCATGCAAAATTTTATATTAATGTTTGAAAATAATGAAAATTAGCACAAAAATAAATGATACAATTTTCAGTGAACAGAAAGGTACATCTGAAGTCAGTCATCAATAGTTTCAACATTTATTGTAAGGTGCTAAAAGTTCTTGTCTTGGAAAAAGTCCCATTTCAACATGGATGTCCCACAATGGAAACACAACTACTGAGTCAAGTTATTCCACTATATGCTGGAATATGGGGTGGTAAAATCAGCGTTGTAAAGACCGGGTTCGATTCTAAACTCCCATCACTCCCCATAGAGTGCTAAAGATTAGAATCAGTGTAAACTAAACTCCCTCACTCACGCATAGAGTGTAAAGATTAGAATTTACATACCAAAGTCGTGTTCCTTTCTTGTCTTGGAAGTACACAAGGAATGATCCTTCTTTGTCTTTTTCATACTTCTCATTCCGGACATTGGCCTCTTTCATGGAAATGAGTTCTCCATGGTATTCCAGCACAAAGTCACCCTCCGATAGGTCCTGAGTTGCAAATACCCCATCACCTGTAAATAAATATACTTGAATGAGGTAATTTTAAAAGTAAAAAAAGAATACAGTGTTGTTTCAGTCTGAGCATTTAGCTCAACATAGATGATAGAGGAGTAGGAACGAGGTAATTGCACCCTCAACCCCCCTATCCTATCATTTTAAGGAATGATAAAATAATTTAATTTATGCACAAATATATTGAAGAAGAACTCTAAGTTATTTGTTTGTGAGAATCACATGCAATTCGGTACATTTATTATGACTAAGAAGACCCATGAAGATCCGGGTTAAAATTGATCTTCAGTAACCCATGCTTGTCTAAGGAAAAACTTCATACTTGTTCATAATGAACTTCCTTAAATGTTGATTTTATACCCCAAACTGATCTCTGTCCTATAATGCACCCATGAAGATCCTGGTTAGAATTGGTCTTCAGAAACCTGTTCTCCTTGTAAAGGGCTCTCTAATGGAATCGGGTGGTCAGGCTCGCTGACTTGATTGACACATGTCATCTTATCCCAGTTGCGTAGATTGATGCTCATACTGTTGATCACTGGATTGTCTGGTCCAAACTCAATTATTCACAGATCGCCACCATATGTTAGGAATCCATGTTAGGAATCGAACACAGATATTCGTCATGACGCAGCAACGCTTTAACCACTAGTCTACCCCGCCGGCTGTACCATTTCATGTGTATGTCAGATGGAAAAGGGGTAGCCTTGTGGTGAAAGTGTTTGCTTGTTCCACCTGATGTCCAAGTTTGATTCTTCATTTGGGTACAATGTGTGAAAACTTTTTCCATTGTCCCAGCCATAACATTTTGCTGGATTAATGGCAGTGTAAAACTATGTATGAAGTGAAAGGCTTACCAATCTTACTGTTGACGTGTTTGACTTCACAGAAGGGAGGATCAATTTCTGCCATGATATAGCCCCTAGCTATAGATTCCACCTCTTCCAGCTGAATACAATCAAATGACATCAGACATGTTGATATGCATATTATCAACTATCCAGATATTAGGCCCAGTCTAAGTAAACTTAGGCTCAGTATTATTCGTTACTCTGATATACTGAGTCTAACAAACCCTAGTAGAAAGGTCGCTTCAGCTAACCTTAGAGCGACCTATGACCGTCCAATCAAACGCGAGACGGCCGAACTGATTTAATTAATCAGACAACAGCTACTATTTATGGTTCGGCGGGACTTACAAAAAGGATTTTCACTTCCCGGTCACTGACAGATCTCTCAACAAACAAAAATCTGCATAAAAAGCAGATATTTGATCTGCAGTATATACGCTTAGAGGTTTCTGGTTACTATTTGCTTATATTTCCTCATGATGACATCCTGGAATATTGACAAAAACTGTATTTTCAGCGACTGTTTACTCACTGGAGTGAATAATGGCATCCTCCATGTGTATCACTCGGAAGCGATCATGCAGAAAAAAGCAATTGAAACATTCGAGTACAAACATTTTCGAGGTAAAAGTTCAAAGGCTATGTGCGAGTGTTAACTTTCGTGATTTGGTAAGCTGTGTTCTGATTGGTCAGTTCAAAAAGTTCTAGTGGGGTTTGTTAGACTCAGTATAGCAGTGTAACAAATAATACTGAGCCTAAGTTTACTTAGACTGATATAAGGCCCAACGGATGAAACAAATTACAGTAAAATTACAGCTTAAAATTGAGAGGATTTCAATTCTTTGAAGAGAGTCTTCCTTGTGGTTCATATATGCCTTTTCTGCTGCTGAAAATATCCTGTGACAGTTTGTGACAATGTTTCAATAAAAATATTGAACAAAGAAGAAAATAAACTTATCAGGCAATCAGAGCCAAAAGGTCAATGTACATACAGTAGAGGTGTGACGATACAGAAATTTCACGATGCGATACGTATCGCGATATCTTGGAACGATACAATTCGATTCGATGCATATCACGATATGCTATCTTTAGTCGTTTTCTTTAAAAATGTATATTTTGCAAGCAAGTAATAGTGTAAATTTCGACATAACTGTCAATTTCTATCGAAAATTAATAATGTTAAAGTCAACGATACATATCACGATATGAAAAAAAGTATCGATATATTTATCGTCAGATAAAGTTTCACGATTATCGATACTACGGCATATCGTCACAGCTCTAACATACTAGTGGTGGTCCGATTAATTGAAATAATCGAAGATTGGTCGCTGTGGCCAAACGACCAAGCAATCAATCACCTTTTCTCATAATCGAACACAAACGATTTGGGAACTGCTGTAATAGAGTTTGAAATACTTGATGATGGAACATATCTAGGACATTGTCAGGGCCTGAAAACGTGTTTATTTCTAAGAAAACTCACTTCACTTTCTGAAAAGTCATGACTGAATATTTCTTGAAGAATCTGGGAAGTTAATGTTACACTAGAACTGAATCATTTAACACTAGATGTGAAATCTGCAAATGTAATTTGTGCAGTTTCTAAAAAACAACAACAGAGAACCAAATGTTTTTTTCTTTATACTTATCTGCAACTACAACCTGAATAGGAAAATCTTAAAAATGACGCTAACCAATTTTTTTCGATGATTGGTCGTTGGTATTGAACCAATCATCAATTGTGAGATTTCAACCAATTCCCAACACTATAACATACAGTATCCAAAGTCTCAGACATCTTTGCAAAGAATCAAGAGCAGGTCAGTGTACATGTTCACTTTTCTGTGACAGCAGAAGGAATAATGATTTTGGGCAGAGGGTTCGACCACACCCACGTTTTGTGCGGACGTACTGTCACCCATTTGTTTCAAGATCATTTAGTTGAGGGTCAAAATCGGGTTTCAATCGACTTGTAGACATAACAATAAAGATTTGGTAGGTGCCATGAGTGGTGATCAATAGGCTAATCATCCATGATTGTGTTCACATTAAGTTTTAATCGATTGCATGCAATGGTAGCACAGCAAAGAAGGTGGGTAGGGTATGCCAAAGTGTCCGGTCTTGTCATAATGTATTGTACTGTGTTGCAATTCGAGTCGGGGGGGTATCTCAAATTTTTTATATTGTTTTAACATCTTTAATCCTCACAAAGACACAAGGGTCTGTGGGTACAACTGGCTATCCGAACTAGAGTGGTAAGGGGGGTAATCCCGGATGATTGGGAGCCATATAACAGGTAAGAGACAAGTTTATTATTTGTACAATAAATTTAAATTAAGAGTGTCACAACTGTCAAAAGACATTTTCAGCAGCAGAAAATGCATGTATGTACCCCAAGGAGGACTCTCTTCTGAAAAAGAATCCCAATTTGAACTTTGTTCCTAATTTGAGTGAGTGAGTGAGTATGGTTTTACGCTGCTTTTAGCAATATTCCAGCAATATCACGGCGGGGGACACCAGAAGTTCCTAATTTGAACTAAATTTAGGACAATATGAACATTAAAACAAATCAAAATTCGGAACTATCTCAAAGTCCCTTGGTTGGTTGTAGCATTTAGTACTCACCCTCCATAACTGTTCCTTTAATGTTATTTGTCGTTTGGTCATATTGCTTCAGGTAGGCAGCTAGAAGTGAAGGTGAACAACAACTGATTAACATCTAGCACAAAAGGATGAAAGTGCAGGCATTTTCAAACACCTGGTCAAAGCAGGTGATAATTTGAGGGATAATTTAGAAAGAAATTGGTTTCTCCTAACTTTAGGAATCACAACCAAGTAAGGTAATTGGGTCTTGTAGGGGGTATATAAGTAAAAAACTTCATTCTCAGTTGTGGTGCATTTGTGGGCTTTTATTGTTGCTTCTTTATTGTACAGATGGTCTTTACCATGTTAACATACATTTCAGGTAGGGGTGAAATGGTATACCACGTTATTAGTAAAACCGTGTTATTTTGCCTTCAGTTCGGTATACCATAATGCAATCCCAAAATTCGGTATTTTCGGTTTTCATACAGTCATTCATTAACCTTTTAAAACCTTTTCTAAAATGTCTTAGAAATCGAATCATTTTGTCAAAATCTATGCATTTCTTTGCCAGACGGCCGCTATTTTCTCGGAAGTAAGTTCTCATATACCGAACCGAAACGGACCGAACCGAAGGCCTTGTACCACAAAACGTACCGTATCATGGTAAGAGCGTACCGTTTCACCCCTTATTTCCGTGACGTTCTCATCTGAGTTCAGACATCTTGCCCACATTACAAAGAGGTTAACCCTGACAGTAAACTGACGAGGCTACCCACATAGCTGGAACATTGCTTCCTTCAGTCCAAAACATTAAGGCCAAATAAAAAAAATGTTGTGGTTCCGATTACACGTCTTTAAAATTTAGTGTAGGTAGGAATTCTGGGGGTTTTTTTTACATTTTTTTTAGAAGTAAAGTATGAGTGAGTGAGTGAGTTTAGTTTTACGCCGCACTCAGCAATATTCCAGCTATATGGCGGCGGTCTGTAAATAATCGAGTCTGGACCAGACAATCCAGTGATCAACAGCATGAGCATCGATCTGCGCAATTGGGAACCGATGACATGTGTCAACCAAGTCAGCGAAACTGTCCACCCGATCCCATTAGTCGCCTCTTACGACAAGATAGTCGCTTTTTATGGCAAGCACATGGGTTGCTGAAGACCTATTCTACCCCGGATCTTCACGGGTCAGTAAAGTATGAAGTAATAACACATTGATCAATGTGTAATTGTTTATTCAACCAAGCTTGCAGCCATCATGTCCACGTTCTCTATCAGAATGACCGATGTCCATTGGTGCTGAGAAAAAACAATGGTGTCTGAAAGCTTACTTTATTCATAACTCTTAAAAAAACTAGGGTCGGCGCCAGAATTCAAGGGTCGGTCGGGTAATCAGAACCATAACATTTTTCTAATCCACTCACTCCTTCTCTGGTGTGTCCCTACCATCACAAGCCCTTGGCATCTTGAACCACTGTGCTCCCCATTCTACCACTTATTTAGTTATTACAATGCAACCCCAACAAATGTATGTCCACTGATAGTGTGTTTCACCTGGTGATATTCCTTTGTCTCAAGTTAAATAGATTAAAGAGAAAACAATGTATGAGACTGAAGTGCAATCTTTTAGTGGAAAGATCAGACTCTCCTAAAACTGTATATGGCCATATTTTCTGAGCTATGTTCCCCATCATTTTCATTTAAGGATCCAAGTGTCCAAGTGCTAAAAATATAGCTCTGAGTAACTACAGTACCCCTCAGACAATTTTCTTAAAGATCATAAATATGTATTATGTAAGCGTAATGTAAACATATGTAACATTTATCTATTTTGCTACAGTTACTATAAGGTGGTGAACATATTCCATAATTAATTACAGCAAATTGTCTTCTTCACGTTCTACTGTGTGAGTGTGTATGGTTTTAAGCTGCTAATACTCTAATAGCAATATTACATAAATGGCCTTAACACATTGTACCTATGTTCGGAATTGAACTTGGTCTTTGGCATTAAGGGCAAACATTGCAAACTCACTAACAACGGAAGTACTAGTACTTCACATCTACCCCATGCGGTACTTTTGACTGTCCTCACATCCCTTAATCGAAACGAAAGGTTGGTTCAAAGGTTTTTAATCAAACTTTCAGTCACTGAGTGTTCTGCAGACGTACCAGTCCATCACATGAATAGACGACGTTGCACGATACCAAATTGTGTTCAATGTTGGCCTTGGGTAGATAATACGAGTCTATTGATATGAACTACAGAAGCAACTACCCTTGTGTCACTTAATCACACTTGTAAATCCGTCTATATCCAAACAATTACACGGGCAGACTTTCTGGACGGAACGGACAATAAATTAAGTCAAGTTGGACTAAGTTATGTCTTTGGATTAAGACAGTTGACCACCCAATGTTGAAAATGTATGCGGACAGACGAGCAAGTCACGTGATGTCTCGCTATTTCAAGCTGAGTTCTATGTCATAAATACACAAATGAATGTTAATAGCATATGTTAACATAAAGGAAATGTGCTATAACCAGTTTATACCACAGAAAACTGCGCTGGTAACACGAGACTGAGTTCAAACGAATATTGGATCACGTCGATTGGATGACTTGCAAGCCTGTGAAACATTGTTGTCTGGTTTCGCGTGCGTAGCTACTATTTACGCAGTTATCTCTTCATACAAAATCGTCTTGATAATTACTATGGTTACCTATTAACCATGCCAACTTTTGTATTACACTGACATCACAATAATATGTAAGATATTAAATACTGTCCCACACTTACCGTTAGTTTTGCTCCATCAGCTTGAACCATGAACGCGTCTGGCACGTGCGCTGGTGTCACGTGATTTTAAAAAAACGTAAACAAACGTCGTGCGCAGACGACCTCAGAAGAACGATAAACTGTCGTGACTGGGTTATGTGAAAAAGTGAATTAGTATGGTTTTACGCCGCTTTCAGCAATATGAGATTGGTTTTAGGACTTCACATTTTGCTGACAGTCCATCCAAAGCCCTCCATTTTTCATGGCCCCTCAAACAAAAGTAACTTTTTCAATTAATAAACATGGGTTTTTAAGACTCCTACCTTCAATCTGTCCCAGTGATATTGTTCATGACCCCAGCCACCCTTCTCATCGATAGTAGTGACCAGACCCTAAATGGATTGGTTGGTCTGAACACCAACTTGAATTGTCATCGTATCCCTATGGAATAGATCGTTGTGAATATTAGCATGCTCAGTAACTATTTTTGTCTTGTCGAGACAGAGACTACTGTAATATTGATTGAAATTTGCTGGGTGCGCTTTAAACAACAATGGAAAAAAAACAACAATATATATGTTTCTGTGTATTTATTTATAACATATGCTATATTTGGGATTACTCTTTCTCAGTAAAGTACAGATTCTAGTACTTTTTGGGGTTGAATCCCATCCGGGATTCGAACCCACACCCTCAGAGTCAGGCACCTAATCGCCAGCACACAAGAAAACCCGATGGTACGAAACACGTCTCTTAGAATGTGTGTATTAGAAATTCTCAACATTATGATTATGTTGATCACTACAGTTAAACATTGATGATACACAGACATATGGCAACAATATAATGAGACAATCACCCTACAAGGTTTGCCGCCTCCGTGGTGTAGTGGTTAGAGCGTCCGCCCGGAGAGCGGAAGGTCGCGGGTTCGATCCCCGACCGCGTCATACCAAAAGACGTTAAAATATGGTACTTGTTGGTCCCTGCCTGGCGCTCGGCATCAATGGGTACAACAAGGACTGGTCGGCTCGGAGTCAGTATAATGTGTCTGAGTGGGGTATTCATGCTTGACTGCGGCATGGTATCTCAGTGGGCTAGCACTATAAAACCAGCTTAAGTCTGGGCGAGTACAAGCAGCCGCGCATACACATACCCACGCATGCACGTCGTCATATGAGCGACATATTCTCAAGCACGACGTTAAACCCAATTTCACCTCACCCCTACAAGGTTTTAATTCATCGCAAAACCTTTAGGACGTGGAGTGTGTGTGTGTTCTTTTTTCGCCGTTTTAACAATATCCCTGCAATGCCACTGCAGGGGACATCATAAACGGACTTCACATTTTGTATCCACGAGAGGAATCGAACCACGATCTTCCGTATGACACGCTCTCTTCACAAGGTCACCAGTCTGACCCTAAAGTCCTCGACAAGGGCGTAGCGTTGGTTTACGGAGAAATGACAATCTAGTGTTGCAGTTGGTCAAGATGTATCGACATGGGAAGCGAGTGAGTGGGTTGGTTTTTACGCCGCTTTTAGCAATATTCCAGCAATATCACGTCGGCAACACCAGAAATGGGCTTCACACATTGTACCCATGTGGGGAATCGAATCCGGGTCTACAGCGTGGCGAGTGAACGCTTTATCCACTAGGCTACCCCACCGCCCCGTGTACATATATAGACAAATCAGACGGAAAAACCAGGACAGGTTAGTCAAATGACCGATCAATATGTTATATTACTATTAGGCTTTTCGTTTTCGAGCATGGTAGAAATTACCTAAAACCGCTACAAGATGTCTTGTAGGAAATGGTCACGCTTCTCCAGTACTTGTCGACACACAACTATGGCAGATATAATTATATTCTTTGTGAATATAGTAATAGCATGCATTCCCATACCTTTCGAGGTGCATGGGCAAGTATAGCACCTTATAGTAATATAGTAATATCAAAGAATCAGTTCTTTGTTACCATAGTAACGTGGAAGAATCGTGAGTTTCTTTAACTTCTTTTGCGGCACAGATTAACTACAGAAAGAATCGGGATTTCTTTAATGTATTCCAGTAGCATATGTTTGGTACGTTTGTCGATCGTAGGACGAACGAATGTGTTTTGTATTTGTTGACAGACATAGAAAACTACGATCATAAACAACGACTGACTTTAACATGTGTTTACGATTGCTTAGCAACCAGAACCGAAGCGGACATAAAATATACACTATAATACACGTATTGTCCTCAGCCCAATCACGACTAGTGAGTGAGTGAGTTTAGTTTTAATCCGCACTCAGCAATATCCAAGGTATATGGCGTCGGTCTGTAAATAATCGAGTCTGGACCAGACAATCCAGTGATCAACAGCATGAGCATCTATCTACGCAATTGGGAACCGATGATATGTGTCAACCAAGTCAGCGAGCCTGACCACCCGATCCCGTTGTCGCCTCTTACGACAAGCATGGGTTACTGACGATCAATATTCTAACCCGGATCTTCACGGGTCAATCACGACGAACCCCTCTTCCTCCCGTCCCTACATTTTTCCCCATCTGCTTAACAATGTGAAAAAATAAATAGTTTTTGAAATTGGATCATGGGATGTACAATAACCCAGATATATCTGTATCAGTCTGTTAAATATACTGAACTGACATGTCACGCTGAAAACCCGGGTTCGATTCCCCACATGGGTACACTGTGTGAAGCCCATTTCCGGTGTCCCCTGCCGTGATATTGCTGGAATATTGCTAAAAGTGGTGCACTCATTCACTAATCCAAAGCTAAAATTGAGCGGTTAAAATGAAAGGTGAACAAATGAAACAAGACAGTTTATTGTTTAATGTTTCAGAACCCAAATGCTCAGCTCGAATTTACTTACATAAACTGTAGGGCAAATGAAAGTACACATGTAATTGAAATCTCTATGTCCCTTTGTTCCCATCTATGTCATGACCCCGTCATCTGTTGTGAGATAATCACTTAACATACCCTTTCAAAGAAATCAACTTCGGGCACGAGTTTCTTGTTGGTTTGGGTTCAGACCACCACTGAACATCGTCTATACTTTCTTCTGTCCCCCGCCGTGATGTTGCAATACATTACGGCGTAACTCAAACTCAGTCAGTCTTGTTGGTTTTTCCACCACTGACATGGTCGAATACATGTTACTGAAGACGAAGGGGCATGTTACTGAAGATAAAGGGTACAGATATAGATATACCCCAGGTACATCAGTGTATACAGAAACGTACCCAAGAGTGAGTATACGCTGTGTGCAGAGTTGCATCCCTTAACGCACCCTAGCCAAAATCTGAATACAGAAACGTACCCTAGCCAAAATCTGAATACAGAAACGTACCCTAGCCAAAATCGGAATACAGAAACGTACCCTAGCCAAAATCGGAATACAGAAACGTACCCCAACCAAAATCGGAATACAGAAACGTACCCTAGCCAAAATCGGAATACAAAATACAGAAACGTACCCTAGCCAAAATCGGAATACAGAAACGTACCCTAGCCAAAATCGGAATACAGAAACGTACCCTAGCCAAAATCTGAATACAGAAACGTACCCTAGCCAAAATCTGAATACAGAAACGTACCCTAGCCAAAATCGGAATACAGAAACGTACCCTAGCCAAAATCGGAATACAGAAACGTACCCTAGCCAAAATCGGAATACAGAAACGTACCCTAGCCAAAATCGGAAACGTACCCTAGCCAAAATCTGAATACAGAAACGTACCCCAAAATCGCCAAAATCGGAATACAGAAACGTACCCTAGCCAAAATCTGAATACAGAAACGTACCCTAGCCAAAATCTGAATATAGAAACGTACCCTAGCCAAAATCGGAATACAGAAACGTACCCTAGCCAAAATCGGAATACAGAAACGTACCCTAGCCAAAATCTGAATACAGAAACGTACCCTAGCCAAAATCGGAATACAGAAACGTACCCTAGCCAAAATCGGAATGCAGAAACGTACCCTAGCCAAAATCTGAATATAGAAACGTACCCTAGCCAAAATCGGAATACAGAAACGTACCCTAGCCAAAATCGGAATACAGAAACGTACCCTAGCCAAAATCGGAATACAGAAACGTACCCTAGCCAAAATCTGAATGCAGAAACGTACCCTAGCCAAAATCTGAATGCAGAAACGTACCCTAGGAAGGGTCCATTTGCATTGAGCCGTTTTCTTGACCGTAACTGTCATGCTGTTGTATTAGATACATTTGATTGCGTTCTATAAGAAACGAACACAAACAGCAACACATATTTCGCGGTGGACAATACCACTTGTAATCAGTTGAACGGGAACAGTTTCAGTTTTGGGTTGCGGAATATGAAATATGTCTAGGGTATCGGGTATGTTTCATCCTCGATAATCTCCAGGGTATACGTTACGATCACTCTCATATATAGTGGAGAGTGATCGTAACGTATACCCTAGAGATTATCGAGGATGGGTACGTTTCTGTATTTTGATTTTGCTTAGGGTACATTTCTCTATACAGAAACGCACCTGGGGTACACATCTTTAGTACCTGTGCCGACAACGACCCCTGCAGCGTTACAGAAAGATGCGAGTTTTGGATGGCAAATTCCAATGTGTGAAAATAACGAACCTGCTATCAGTGAAGCATTGTCCTATTTAGCACAACATTGTATTATGACAATAACATGAAAACATTTGACATATAATTAACTTTACAGACTGAGACACAAATCGGTCATTGATGTTAGAAATGAAAGTTATTATTGTTCGGAAAGAATATGGATATTCAACATCTGTCCTGGAAGGCCAACTGTGACAAATGTGCTTTGGGTGACTGGCTGAACTGATCCATTTGCACGTGCTTCCTGCTGCCGAAGAGTGCCCGGATGACGAGCGTTGTGCAGATGGCGAGTAGAAAGAAGATGAGTATCGACAAGCCAATTATGACGCCAATGATCTCCGTGGATACGTCGCATTTGTCTGGTACTGTGTTCCATGTCTTTTCTGCAAAGTTAAACAAATGTAGTAGCTATGGTTACACATCTCACGGCTACGGCTACTCATACCATGACAACAGATCCAACTATAACACTAGTAGGTGAGGTGAAATTGGGTTTTAACGTCGTGCTTATGAATATTTCGCTCATATGACGACGTGCAATGTGTTTATGTGCGGCTTCTTGTACTAGCCCAGACTTTTATAGTGCTAGCCCACTGAGATACCATGAAGCATGAATACTCCACTCAGACACATTATACTGACTCCGAGCCGACCAGTCCTTGTTGTACCCATTGATGCCGAGCGTCAGGCAGGGACCAACAAGTACCATATTTTAACGTCTTTTGGCATGACGCGGCCGGGGATCGAACCCGCGACCTTCCGCTCTCCGGGCGGACGCTCTAACCACTACACCACGGAAGCGGTCGGCAACATGGTAGGCTATTCACAGTCAGTGTAACACAAGCGGTAAAGTTACACAGTATGATACATCACTAGCCGCCTTTGGTTGTCCTGAATGACATAATCATGAACCATGCGGGCGTTGAACCCGATAGCGTGGATTGTTGATATCAACCACTCGTTTGCCTAACCTAGATTCAAATGTTTAGGGCGCATGATATAACGGTTATATTGCTCACATCCGCGTGAAATATCACTCGTGAATATCACTAGGTATATCAGAGAGAGTATGTGCCTTGTGCAGAGTTGCGTCCCTTAGCTTGTCAGGATAACATGACTTAGCTATCACGTATGCTTTCCGTACCTTTCACAAACACTACTCACATCAGTCACACAACACACATGCAGCACACATCAGTGTTAGATAACGACAAAATGTACGGGTATTATTATGCATGACTACACATAAGACAGTGCGTTTGGTTTTACCCCTCTTCAAACAGCATTTCAGACTCAGGGAAGTCACCCAAGGACAGTCCAAAGGGATGAAGCCCACAGATGTTTATCGCATTGGTTAAAGTCAAAGGCGCGATCGAGATTTTGTGCTGACAAACCAACTGCAAGGAACATAATCAGGCCGAACCGGGATTCGAACCAATATCATAGGTTTTTGCCACACCTAAGGGACGTAACTCCAAACAGTATTGTGCGAATAGACGACTGATCTGCCGTTATTGGGTTCATGAATACAAATTCTGCATTGGATCATAATATATAAGTTTCACCACGGCTACATACGGCACTCACACATATAAGGCGACAAATACGCACTGATATACGTATCAACTACAGGATGTATTAATACGCACCAGTTTTTGCGTGCAAAGGGTCTCTGATGGAAAGTACTCGACCAAGAACCTTCTCCGTATCAACATTCCTCCGTCGCCGACCAAGACCAGTCTCTTCGCCACTTAGTGCACAGTTCAGCTGCTCGGAAGAAACAGATATTAGAGATGTAGCTTCACATAGCTTCATGACAGTTTGGAATCCTACGATATGATTGGCTCGTCAGTGGTTTTTGAAACCTGCTGGTATTGTTAACAAGCATGCAATCTACGTCTAAATTAAACACAACACGGGCGGTTGGGTAGCCTAGTGGTTAAAGCGTTCGCTCGTCACGCCGAAAACCTGGGTTCGATTCCTCACATGGGTACAATGTGTAAAGCCCATTTCTGGTGTCCCCCGCCGTGATATTGCTGGAATATTGCTAAAAACGGCGTAAAACTAAACTCGCTCACTAAACACAACAGGTGTATCGAGTAATTGACTTGCATTTGCCAAGTTTCGATTGGGTACTGTACGATGTCGGGGCAACCCATTGATCGCCAAGCCTCAGTTCACCGTAACACTCAACTGAGACAATGTATACTGACTCCACGCAGACAGTCCTTGTTTTATCCTCTACCGCCAAGCGCCAGACACGGTTACAACAATGACTATCTTTTAACGTCTTTTGGAATGACGCGTCCGATCGAGGATCGAACCCCAACCGGCCTTCTTCGACGGCGGTGTAAGGTTGACTGGACGTGGCTTTAGATGGATTACGGCAACCCATCACTATGTTTTTCTGTTGGTGTTTCAGCAAAATTCCAGCTCTATACGAAGGTCCTCTGTAAATAATCAAGCCTGGGCCAGACAATCCAGGGATTGACACCCTGAGCAGTAATCGACTCATGTCGGTTGTAAACATTTTATACAGCTCGCTCTACTGTTATTTCTTCATTAAATCGTCTCAATTTATTATCCTCTGTTCCTAATTAACAAGTGCGATGTTCACCGACGTCGGTGTCAAGCAGCCAGTAAGGCACGCGCTAATTACCACTCACGGCTGTGTTGATTGTCGGATTAACGAATGTTTTTACAATATATTTACAATAATCAGTTGCTAGATTGCTGTGTCGGAGTCGGAATGCGAGAATGTCGGATTAACAAGAGTAATTATCACATTATTTTTTGTCGGATTAACGAGAGCTAACTGTATGTGGGATACGGTGACATGCATGAGACAAGTCAGCGGGCCCGACCATCCAATCCATTTAGTCGCTTCAGACGACAAGCATGCCTCGCTGAAAGATAATCCTAACACAGATGTTCACAGGCCGCGTTTAGAACTAGTTACCGGACCACAATTCACTGCTGCCTCGCACATCTTTATTCGGCAACGTATGAGCAGATTGTCTCCCTTGCTGAACTTGAATGCGTCAAATACGAAGGTGACACTGCCAGTGGTGGAGTTGAGTGTCATCGGTTGCAGCGTCACCGACGCCAGGGCAGGGACATGGCAACTGGGACATACAAAGGGAGTCACAAATCCATCACATATTTATCAGCATGCTTGTTTATCTAATTAAAATACATTGTTCCTAAACAAATTCATAAACTCTTTAGACCCCAGGTTTTGATGATACAACAAATGGTCATGGTGGACGTCATCAAAATGGCAAATTGTAAGGTTTATCTCTTCAGAGAATTCCTTTCGAATGTCTTCATCCCGTACCCGAAATATATTCTGAGCCTGACAATCATTCGTAACGATATTAGGGCCTGTTCGATTATTGCGAAACTGGTTTTGGTTTCTGAAACTGGTTTCTCCTGTCATAAACGAGTGTCTAGTTTCGGATACATGGTTTCAAAGTGAAACTACTTCTATTTTCATAAACGAGTGGATGGTTTCACCATCCGGTTTCAAAATAAATACCCCAAATATGTCCCAGCTACTATATATGTGGAACGAATTGGATTGCAGCATATTTTTTTTGTTATTTCATCAGTGAATTAACAAATAATAAAGAGATAAGATGCTTTTGAAGGTAAATATTTGCGTATATGTAATTATACTGTTACAAGTAATTATATGTATACAATTTCCATAAAATAGTCATGCTCAGTAGACTGGGGTTTTGAATAATATTTTCCAAGTTCTTAGTTGAGTTTTATCCTTATTTTGGTTACAGAAACTGCTGCTCTATTTTGCTACCAAGATCAGCTGAACTTGGTGCTTGCAAATGCAGCTCAGCGTGGTGGTTTCCGCCATGTTTGTTATGAGAGAACGCGAAACCGAAACTGCGAAACCTGCCTCGGAGATGTTTTCGAAGTTTCAGAAACAAGTTTTTGGTTTTGACATAATCGAGTGCATGGTTTTCCAGAAACCAAAACCGGTTTAACATAATCGAATAGGCCCTAAGCAAAGACAATTATATTCGACCAAAACATTCCAAACGTTATCAAAACGTTATCAGGCTAAATTGTCGCCGATATACGGCAAGCGTAAGGACCAACACCCAGTTGTGATACCGGTATGAAATACAACACCATGGAATAACCTTTTCATGTTTGTTTCATTTAACCATCATCCACCATTGGCGTGTACTTGTTTTTGTCCGGTACTATATCATCGTTTAGCTATAGGTAACTTACTGAGAAGCATGTGCATTTATACTGAATTCACCCCTTGCGTACTAAAGGTAACATACTTGAAATGCGTCTTTGTATCTGGTGTACGTTAACACGGGCTTACGATAGTGTTGTGTTATTATAGCTTGATCAGCCCTTGGCCTCGCAGTGTACCTGTTTTCGATGAAGTTGGCGGATCTGTAGTCGCTGTTGGTGTCGGGCAGGTTGTTGCTGGCTGAACATTCCTCCAATCGGAACGCTTGATACTCTGTCAAATTTTGAAAACAAAGTTACAAATGCTTAGTGGCATTAATGTTCCCCAGTTCACAGAGATATTGGCAAATCGACGTTTTATAATCCTAATATAATGCTATTATTCTATAACATGCATTGTAAGTTAAGTTAGTATAATGTGAGGTTTTGTTGAGTATTGCACTATCAAAAACATGTTTGTGCATTTCTCTTGCTGAAATTCCACTTCAATGAAACTTCCCATGTGTGTAGGTGTGTAAAACATAATAATTTAATGATACATATTTGTCCATTTAGTACTGTATTTCGTAACACTTGGACGAGTCAAGAGATGTGCTCAGTGGATTTATATCAGTGATTTAATCATACTCTGACTTCCTTGCTCTGTCAGGGCTACTTCAACAGTGACGTCATCCCCCAAACTAAGCTCGCCGTTGATGACGTTGCCGTCGAGGGTCATGTCGAAATTGATGTCGCTGTCGATGGGAACATTACCCAAGTCTTTGTCGCGGAGGCCCCTTCAATGAACAACAAACAATAAAATCTATCACATTTAGTCCATGATTACGTCTTTGTAGGACTCAGTGGCTCCTCTGAAACATGAGAGCCGCTTTGATTTTATGGATAATAATCAGCACGAGGCCCACTACCAGCAGATCCTAATAATGGGATACCATGCCACAAAACGAGTTGCGTCCCTTACACCACTGATATTGTTTAAGGGAGGCACCATACAGACACTCTTCGAAATAAGTACATGCTATATGTATTCCTTACAGCCATATTATATTTTCGTTTAGATTGCTTTATGTTTAAAATATTAATACCTCATTCCGCCCCCAAATTCATCGATCATCTCAGTGATGGAGCTCAGGGGCTGCTCAGCTACTGGCTCAGTTGCCACAAGCGTGACAATTTAGCTAGGTAGAGTTGTGGCCCTTTGGCACACCAGGAGCCTGTGATTGTGTTTGAATCCCGATTTGTCCCGATTGTGTTTGAATAAGCATTTTGTCTTACGTTTCCTGTTTTTTTAGAAACGTAAGTTTAGATATTTATCTAGAACAGCGACTAGAAGTCCTAAAAATACTGCTTTCATTCTCGTCTAGTGCTTTTTACACCTTCTTCATGATCGGGGCGGATACAGCTATTATGAGAAGGGGGATGGCGGTGGGGGTTGCACAGTTCATTTTCACCCGTTTTCTCGAGTTTCAGTGTTCATTCAATAAACTTTCAGGACAAGGGGTGGTGTGTGTGTGTGTGTGTGTTTGCGCATCCATCCTCTGGATCCGCCTATGAATGGTCTACCCGCTTATGAACGTGTTCTTAACTATTATAAGGCTATAATGTAATGTTAAAATTGCATATTATAATATCATTATATTGTTAAACAATGTCATTTCTTCACATGTCACTCTCTGACAGATGCCAATCATTCACCACAGATACCCCAATGCAATGCTGACACGAGGTAAGACAGACTTACTGATTCAGCATGCCGACGGTGACTGTGGATGCCTCCTTGGTGAGGATGTTGTCGCCGCACACCACCACCACCAGCTCGTCACGGCTCGTCACCTGGTCTCCGTTGTTCAGAATCACCACTCTCCGCGTGTAGGTGTCTTGCTGCAATGAATGAGTTAACATTTAATACCGCATCAGCTTTATTTCAGCTATATAGCGACCTTGCTGCAATGAATGAGTGAACATTTAATACCGTATCAGCTTTATTTCAGCTATATAGCGACCTTGCTGCAATGAATGAGTTAACATTTAATACCGTATCAGCTTTATTTCAGCCATATAGCGACCTTGCTGCAATGAATGAGTTAACATTTAATACCGTATCAGCTTTATTTCAGCCATATAGCGACCTTGCTGCAATGAATGAGTTAACATTTAATACCGTATCAGCTTTATTTCAGCCATATAGCGACCTTGCTGCAATGAGTTAACATTTAATACCGTATCAGCTTTATTTCAGCTATATAGCGACCTTGCTGCAATGAATGAGTTAACATTTAATACCGTATCAGCTTTATTTCAGCCATATAGCGACCTTGCTGCAATGAATGAGTTAACATTTAATACCGTATCAGCTTTATTTCAGCCATATAGCGACCTTGCTGCAATGAATGAGTTAACATTTAATACCGTATCAGCTTTATTTCAGCTATATAGCGACCTTGCTGCAATGACATTCATTATATTATAAGTTGTTCACTGGTCACGATGGGGACGTTGGTTGATGTACCATGGGCCCCGAGGGACCAGTGAACAACGTATTTATGTTACCGAACACCTCAATGCTAATTTTGAACTGTTTGAAGCACGGGTATCGGACCATAATAAGGGGTACCAGAGTTAGGCAATTAGCCAATACCGGCCACGATAGAAAAAGAAATTTAGAGTTTTCTCCCTTCCTTCGATTTGCATTCGCAAAACATCGGTAATTATTCGAGATCAAGAAGTACTAACACGAAGTACCAAATGAATTCCCACAGTTCGGCTTTCCCAGCGGGTAACATACAAAATGTTATTCGCTTGTAAGCGGGGTATATTGAAAGTAATAGAAGAGCGCTCAGCCAATCAGGAAACGACATTTATGTGTCAGGTAAGATAATGTTATGGTCACTGCCCCTGACGTGACGCAACAGACCGTACGTACCCTGCCCTTGTCTGCCAGTCGAGATCCGGGAGAGTGTGTCCCCTGTCTGTCTCCGCCAAGTGATTCTTGGGACAGTAGGTCCACATCCTCCACGAGGTGATTCCGGCCAGAATACTCGTTTTGCTTTGTTTCTTGTTTAACGCCGCACTCAGCAATATTCCAGCTACAGGGGCGGTGGGGTAATCTAGTGGTTAAAGCGTTGGCTCGTCACACCGAAGACCTGGGTTCGAATCCTCACATGGGTACAATGAGTGAAGCCCATTTCTGGTGTCCCCCGCCGTGATATTGCTGCAATATTGCTAAAAGCGGCGTAAAACCAAACTCAGTCAGTCCAGCTACATAATTGAATCTGGACCAGATATTCCAGTGATCAACAGCAGTCACGATGTAACATGCATGTCTCCCACTGGGTCAGAATAAATTCTCATTTCCCCTGTTTGACTCCCTGCTGATATTCGGGGTAGAAAGGGTCCCCAATACGCCATGTTTATCTGCTTATCTTCTGATAGGCCATGCTATATGAACTCAACTATGCTTGCAATTCACCGAAAACATTTTAATATTTAATCGCAGTACGTTTGTTAATAGATCCAGTGTGGGGAACGGATGGCGCAGTAGTCTAAGTCGCAACAAATCGAGAGTTACATCCCTTTGACATGCCAGGACGCTATGATTGAGGACTCGAATATTCGATTAACCCTGATTATGTAGCAAGGTTTGTCTGCACCGTTCCCGTTCTCTTTGATTTCACTTGAGCAGAAAGCGTCATTATATTTCAACTAAGTCACTTTGGGGGTTTCCTCCCATCTGCTACGCCTTGACTAGAATACTGTTGATGGCGGCAGAAAACACTCACTCACTCACATACATCCATTGCCGTGGCCTACCAGTTCATTGTAGTCGGCGTCTGTGCAGCCACTGCCGACGTGAGCCAGAGTGAGGCTGTAGGGGTCACCAGGAGAGGCCTGGGAGAAGTCACAGATATCGTCACCTTGATGTCCCTCTATGAAGATAGAACCGTTGACGAAGTTCCCCTCGGGTACGATGGAGAGTGTCATATTGGTGCCACTGCTACAGTCTAACTGATCTAGAAAAGGAAGTGATCCAAACATAATGATATGTACACTAAAATGTAGTTCTGTTGCATAACAAGTTTGATGAAATCAATAATAATGTCACTTTCATATTCCTGATATTATTCTTTGATCATTATTCATCAAACGCCCATTAAGTTAGTATAAGACATTATGATATATATGCCGCACAGTAAAGGATCATGACTCGTGTAGATTCATCAGACCATTTCGTATAAGAATAAAAAATATATTCATGATCCTTAACCTTATTTTCTTCAGTATATGTTTATGGCTCTTAACAAATACCCACACAGGCTAACGTTGTAAAACATTCTGTGTTCAATGTGCGTATTTCATTTTATATTGATTGGTACAAGGATGACATGGAGCATGTGAAAGTCGCAAGTTCTGTGTAGATGTAATGGCAATGTTTCTTGTCCTTTACGGGGCGGTGGGGTAGCTTAGTGGTTAAAGCGTTGGCTCGTCACGCCAAAGACCAGGGTTCGAATCCCCACATGGGCAAAATGTGTGAAGCCCATTTCTGGTGTCCCCTGCCGTGATATTGCTGGAATAATGCTAAAAGCGGCGTAAAACTAAACTCAGTCAGTCAGTCAGTCTTGTCCTTTACATGACAAGTACGTCCACGAGAGGAGCGACCCAGAGAGTGGCTGGCATGATCACCGTCTGCTATTGTCACTAATCTACATCTTGCCCAACTGAATATGTCTACGGACTGTAATCCCAAATCATTCAGCTGCCCTTGAAGACCTCTGGGACAAGCGTGAGCAAAGAAGAGTTACTTCCCCTTTTTGTCTCGACACTTACAACGTGGAATTTCACAGAGGACGCCGGTGAAGTCTTCCGTGCAGTAGCAGTTGGAGTTGGTGCCGTCTCCGGTACAGATGCCGGCGTTCTCACAGGTCGTGTTGCTACAGGGAGACTGGTCTATGTTCGCTAGAGGTGGTAAATTGTATTTTGATGTACTTTAGAGTCATTTGAGCCATTATATCGATATAATACACATGCGCATAAGGTAATAAAGGTTAATTCTATTTGTTTGTTGTTGAACCCTGCACTCAGAAATATTCCAGCTATATATCAGTATCGGGATACTTAGTCCTGGGCCAGACAGACCAATGATTGGTATTATGGGAAACGGTAGTTGCCGTCGGGTACGATGACACGTAATACTCCTCGAGTCTGACCGCCCGATCCATTTTCAGTCGCCTTTTTCACTGCGTAGGTTTCTAGGGACCAGTGGACCAGTGCTACCCCGGAATCCCAACCCAGATCATACATCGCATGGTTGGTGGTGGCTAATGTAGGTAAAACGAATCTGGATCAAACAAGCCCGTGATTGACATCATGAGCTTATAACACTGTTATATAATATTCCTTCCATGCAAAACAATTCAATTCCGGGCAGAAATTGTTCTAAACCGTTCCCTTTGGCTTGATTGTCGCAATATTTTGCCTTCGAGTAAAATTATACAAAGTCCTGTCACAAAAGCGATCATGGCGGTGGGTTACCTATGACGATGCTGCAGTCTCTGCCTGTGTGGGTTGTGGCGTTGTCACAGATGCAGATCCCCGCGTCCATGTCGCAAACAGAGTTGGCTTGACATTGGGTGGGATCACGCCCACAGTCAAACACAGCACCACCTGCATTCATAACGATAAATATTGAAGCAGTATGTGTGTGTACGTGTGTGCGTGCGTGCGTCTGTGTGTTTACACATTTACAGTGCCAACCAAGAATGGGGAAGGGAGGGGGTGGGGGTGGGGGTGGATTTCACCAATACGTATCACAACTAAAGAGGAGTGGGCCGAATTGTGAAAGTGCCAGTTATTAACATTATTCAGGGAGAGTTATGACATAAATGTAAATATGATACATTAAATGGGTCGGCAAAACGTGATTGAAAGTTAAGGTACAGTAAGTGTCCCAGTCATTTTTTTAAAACGTTTAGAACTAAAAATATTAAATGTTCCATCGTGAAATCAGACATATACCTAATCCCAATTTATAAGTGTCTTGACAGATAATGCTAAAACTTACCTATGACAACTGCCGTAGCAATAATTGCGAAAAACAGCATCCCTGATTATTCTGAAACAACAGGAAAGGAATGATTCATACATTCAACGACAAATACCGGTACGTGCATGACATGTACATGTCGTACTGTAGGTATTGTATACACATCTGGTGCCACCAGCGCCACACGGGATCATGCACGTCACGTACGGACTTACTCACGGCGTCACGCAAATGGCAGCCATGTACACCATGCATACCTACTGATCTTGTGAGGAGGTGTGGTGATATCAAATGTACACTATGTATGTTTTGTTTGTTTGTTGTTGAACGCCGCAATTTTTCACCTATATAGCAGTGGTATGTAAATAATGGAGTCTGGACCACACAATCCAGTGATCAACATCATGAGCATTGATCTACGTAATTAGGATACGACCACCAATCCCGTTAGTCACTGATGATAAGCATGGGTTGCTGAAGACCAATCCTCGAGGGATCTTTGAGGATTGTTGCTTAATCAATTATGAAAGTGGCAAAAAAATACGACTCAAATCGTATAGTTTATCTTGTACTTCAGTTTAGTTTGGCACTGCCCTCTTGATCGAGCATGACGAGGGGGAGAGAAAGTAATTGAATCCAGAAGGTACTGGAATCAATGCTTTGGCTCCCATCATTGGAGGACCTGAAGAGGGGATGAGGTCGTAACATTGCCTTTTCAGGCCCTCCAACGCTTAGAGACAAAACATGGGTTCCAGTACCTTCTGAATTAAATAACATGTCCTTTTTTCACTTTCATTTTCAACCATACTTTGCAGCCTTCGTTTGTCAGCGCTTGTCAGTATTCGGGACTGCTATCTACATGTTCCGAGTCAATATATCTGGACCTGTCAGCGTGCAACACCTGCCCAGGTGTATCGGTCATACAGGTCAAGTCAATCAGCATACTGGCTGGAACACAAGTTACTATTATATGCCGTCATTTTTAATCGATATTTGGGAGTTTCAACACGCATTCATTAGACAAGTACGTGAATAGGTCAGGAAAACGCCTTCTTGAACAGTATTCAACATTAATCACCATCCTTCAGCTTTATAAGTTGGTTGGTTTATTGTTTAACGCCGCACTCAGCAATGTTATAGCTATATGGTGGCGGTCTGTAAATAATCGAGTCTGGACCAGTCAATCCAGTGATCAACATCATGAGCATCGAACTACGCAATTGGGATACGATGACATGTGTCAACCAAGTCAGCGAGCCTGACCACTCGGTCCCGTTAGTCGCCTCTTACGACAAGCATGGGTTGCTGAAGACCAATTCTAACCCGGATTTTCTAAGGAGAGAAATCTGTAAGTGACGCAGGTCTCAGACGTTTTTATCGTTAGTGAAACCTACATGCACAGGTATGGTGCAGACAAACCTAGAAATAAGTTTGGCGAACAGGGATCTGAACCCACAACAGGTTTACTCTACCTAGTTGCATACAAGATATGATCTAATTATATCATTGTGAATTTCACTGCCAGTGTGAAATTAATTTCAAGCTTGAAATTAATCGTGAAATCATCAACATATTTTCACTCCTTCATCCTAACAAAGAGAAAGCAATTTTAAAAAATTAATAATAAAACGCAAAATATTCTATCAAATTAACTTAAAGTTGTGTAGGTAACTGGTCGAAGTACCTGGCATAAACTAATCCTTGTGTGATGTCGTCTTCATGTGTTCCAACAACCCTATAATTTTGTTAGTTTCTTGCTATGTTTTTTCTGAACCACCCTTGTTTTTGGAGATGTAAGGTGTGTTGTATTGTTATAAACTACTCACCGATAATCTACAGATGATTCGTTTGAAATATTTGTTTCAAACAGTAGAATATAGGTTTATTGTGTATTAACAGAACACAATCGTCCCGCCATGATCTTGAATTACACAATGTAACGCAGTGTTAACAACCAGTGTATAACTGACGATGACACAATACCAGTTGCAGAAATTCTGCTAAAATATACGCTAACTCAATTGGCCTTTTCTGTGTGCTGATCACGTAAAAACTTTAACCATAACTATGAATTTAATAACCCATAAATTTTCAACACGTGTTATGGGTTGTTACCACGTCATTTGACTTTAATATTTTCTAAACACACAAAACAAACAGAAGATATTCCTGGGTTTCAACTGGTGTACAAAGGTCATATTTTGAACTACACTTTCACAGAATAGTAAAAAAATATTTAGGTGGTAGAGTCCCATCCGGGATTCGAATTCACCTCACAGAACGAGGCACCAACCCAGATAGCATTCAGACGTTGGCCCAACAATGGCGATGGTTTTGCCAACATTGCCAACGTTGGGCCAACGTCCGAATGCTATCTGGGAAATTGTTAGCACACAGCGATCTCACCCTTTCAGGCGTAATGTAGCCTAGGAATTGAATTGACAGAAACAAACTGGTAACCTGGTCATACATGACCATATATTTGAATCAGCATAAGAAGAAAACGTTCAAAACGAGTGAGTGAGTTTATTTTTACACCCGCTCAGCAATATTCCAACAATATGGCGGTGGTCTGTAAATAATCGAGTCTTGACCTGACAATCTAGTGATCAACAGCATGAGCATCGACCTACATGTTAACCAAGTCAGCGGGCCTGACCACCCGATCCCGTTAGTCGCCTCTTAGGACAAGCATGGGTTGCTGAAGATAAATTCTAACCCATATCTTCATGGGTCTTTTGAAATTAGAGCATAGTGAACAACCGTTATGTTCCGGAGACCTTTCGATAATAGCTGGGAAAGTATGTGACTCGGTAACCCAGTCGATTTCACTAGGACGGATTAACGGAGTTCAAATGTATCTGACAAAACATGTCCTTTCAACTAAAACACAATAAGAAAATACAAAAATCCACCAGTAAATCAACAACAAATACAACTAACTGTTACCAAACTAGCATATACTGTTTTATAACTGAAATTGTGAAACTGAAGTTCACATCTTATACATTTATACCAAATAATTAAACCGAGTCCTACTTACATGGCTGGTACCTGGAGTTCACTCAGTAATATGATGCTGTGTTACCTGACAGGTAAATCCCTCACCTGCACCGTGGGCAGGTGTATACACACAGCACAGTGGCACCGCTACATTAGGCCCAGCAGAATGAATTTCTTTGTCTATGAAAACATTCAACGCGATCTAAATCATTTGATTACAGGTGGACTAACTTTAGGCGTGTCTTTCAACTGATGGACCTTTTTAAAACAAAACTACGGATGTTTGTATAAAGTGTCAACAAGACACGTGAGTGATCGATGTATTGAGTGTTTTAATTTTTATTTTAAATGTTTTGTGAGGTTATGATGGACTGTTTTCAAACAAAACTACAGATATTTTTTTAAAGTGTCAACAACAAGACACGTGAGTGATCGATGTACTGAGTGTTTTTATTTTTACTTTAAATGCTTTTAGATGTTATGATGGACTGTTTTCTGCGGATTTCTTTTTATAAAGACAAACACCTACTGGCTATTTATAAATTGTCATTAGCAAGACATGTAAGTGATTATGAAGGGTTATATTTTGACTTTGAAGGCACGAAGGGTGTGTAATATACATAAGACGAGTGTTTTATTGGGATACAAACGTACGTGAACTATTTTTCTGGTGTTCCACATTGCCATGTTGCTGGAATATTGGTAAAATCGACATAAATATACTCAGCCTCTGAATTTCATCCCAAAATATTCAACTGGGTTTTAAATCTGGACTGGACTAGCGGGAAGCTTCGCATAATGTGACACCGCTCTGCTGTAAAAGTGCTGATGTAGCTCTTGCGAGAAATATGGAGCCGGAGCGTTATCATGCTGGAAGTTGTTGTTCAGGTGACGTGCGAAATGAAAACGGGTGTGACGTGGGGTCTGAAAGCTTGGTCGATGTAGCGCAATCAGCTGCCGCCTCTCTCCTTTCTCGGACCAAGGTTCTAAAACACCACAGGACCCGCACTCTCTGGTTCAGGCCTATTCCTTGCCACCATACCATGGCCGCTTGCACCTCCCCAGCGAGTCTCCTTCCATAACACATTGGTCTGAGTAACGCTGGCCACGTCAGTCGCCATATTCTTGTTGTTCTGCACCATCTCTGCAGTTTGATACACAGTACCGACTCTCATCTGTGAACAGGACAGTTCTCTATTGCCTGAATCGCTGGTTTTGGTGTTGTAGGGCAAACTGTAGACATTCACGCCGATGGCGAGGGGTGAGGATAGGTCCACGGTAAGGTCTACGGCAATGGAGGTTCCCGCTGTTAAGACGTCAGCGTACTGTATCAGTACTGATTGGTCTTCCGTGTGTTCCCACTGTCTGGCGTGCTGTTTCGGATGCCTGCATGAAGGGAGGGATTCTGTACATGCTGTCGCACAACATGGCGGTCTTGTCGTCTTTTGGACACCCTTGGTCTGCCAGTCCGGGGGCGATCATTTGTGGTGTTGGTCCTTGTGAACAGCACGTGCATCATGAGTTGCATGAAAAACATGGAGAACACCGTACCATCTCCGAGATTAGGTTGCGTTTTTGGAGACCATTTCCTGGAGTTCCATTTCACGGGTTTGGAGGAATGTCTTGATGTTTGCTCGGAGTAAGTTGGAGATCTTGTCAAAAATATTCAATCAAAGCATTAAATGAGTTTACAATTATCCGTTTCTGCGAAGGAAAATTCAAAGAGTGACGTTTCTTTTGCTGCTTAGTATACATTACTCGGGGCAACTAAAACACAATAAGAAAATACCGAAACCCACCAGTAAATCAACAACAAATACAACTAACTGTTTTCAAAACTAGCATATACTGTTTTATAACTGAAATTGTGAAACTGAAGTTCACATCTTATACATTTATACCAAATAATTAAACCGAGTCCTACTTACATGGCTGGTACCTGCAGTTCACTCAGTAATATGATGTTGTGTTACCTGACAGGTAAATCCCTCACCTGCACCGTGGCCAGGTGTATACACACAGCACAGTGGCACCGCTACATTAGGCCCAGCAGAATGAATTTCTTTGTCTATGAAAACATTCAACGCGATCTAAATCATTTGATTACAGGTGGACTAACTTTAGGCGTGTCTTTCAACTGATGGACCTTTTTAAAACAAAACTACGGATGTTTGTATAAAGTGTCAACAAGACACGTGAGTGATCGATGTATTGAGTGTTTTTATTTTTATTTTAAATGTTTTGTGAGGTTATGATGGACTGTTTTCAAACAAAACTACAGATATTTTTTTAAAGTGTCAACAACAAGACACGTGAGTGATCGATGTACTGAGTGTTTTTATTTTTACTTTAAATGCTTTTAGATGTTATGATGGACTGTTTTCTGCGGATTTCTTTTTATAAAGACAAACACCTACTGGCTTTTTATAAATTGTCATTAGCAAGACATGTAAGTGATTATGAAGTGTTATATTTTGACTTTGAAGGCACAAAGGAGTTATGTAATATACATAAGACGAGTGTTTTATTGGGATACAAACGTACGTGAACTATTTTTCTGGTGTTCCACATTGCCATGTTGCTGGAATATTGGTAAAATCGACATAAATACATTACTCGAAGGGACCATACCCACGCCTTACTAAACATAGTTTCCTTGTTTAGCTAGTATGTGCTTAAAATCGCATACAGTGTACACAAGAGTGGTAGGATATTTTTAGTAACTTGCGCTCTCATGTGATTTCTGACAGCATTGGAAATTCCAACCATATGCAACTTATCACAGCATTTCTATATAACGCGGATTTGTGTTTCCATTATGAATTACATAGCAGTGTGAGCCCAATTTCAACAGGTAACTTATGATCTGTAGTTCAAATTACAACCAAACAAGACAAGAGGTAGGTAAGGCTCCAAAACTGGAAGCACATGGGCAAGGTATGGGGTGGCTGAGAGTACAACAGTCAATGTGGTCGTTGTTACCCACGACCTTTTCACCCAGGGAATTTTGCTTTTGCTTTCGTATTCGGACGTTGTCTAATTAAGATCCACTATCAACATTTGTGAGTAGTTGAGATGAAGCGGACATCAGTAAATGGTCGAGCCTGGGCCAGGCAACCCAGTTAGTGACTATGTGAGCACTTTGTCAAATATCAGCAAGGTCATGTGATCACGATGTCACACGTCAGCCAGGTCACGTGATCATGATGTCAACCATGAGCCAGGGCACACATTGTGACCATCTAATCCCCATCATACGGCTCGCGTGACAACCAATGGCATCCTGAGTTCTGATCCGGGATCTTCACGATGGTAGCTATTTGAATATGTCCTCATGAGGCCACATGATAGTTTATATAAATATACAAAACAGTTGTATAACAGAACTTGTACATACCTGTGATATATCGAGCCCTGAAAAGGTAAGTAGTAACCAAGCACTATACACCTGGACAAGCCTCCTCCGTTCTCCTGTGTCACGTGACAACAGGAAGCCGTGCCCGTGACGTGAATAACGCTGCACGTGAGTTGAATAGAATGCCTTGCTGCTTCAAACGGGATTATTTGGGAGACAAGTTAACATTTATGTGTTGTGTGTTTGAGATTATATATGCTCAAATCGTTTCTGCCTTGTTCATATTTTTTGTGTCACATTTTCAACCAAATGCTAAATACAGGAAGCCTTGTCTGGAACTCTTGGCGTTTCTAGCAAATTTGATACAAGTTCTGTTTGTTTGTCCTTGAGTGTGTTTGTGAGTTTATATTTACGCCGCACTCAGCAATATTCCAGCTATATGGCTGTAATAATCGAGTCTGGACCAGACAATCCAGTGATCAACAGCATGAGCATCGATCTACGCATTTGGGATACGATGACATGTGTCAACCAAGTCAGCGAGTCTGACCACCCGATCCCGTTAGTCGCATCTTACGAGCATGGTTACTGAAGACCAATTCTAACATGGACCTTCACGGGTGTTGTTGTTGAACACCTCAAACTTCCAGCTACCGGGGGGCGGTGGGATAGCCTAGTGGTTAAAGCGTTGGCTCGTCACGCCGAAGACGCGGGTTCGAATCCCCACATGGGTACAATGTGTGAAGCCCATTTCTGGTGTCCCCCGCCGTGATGTTGCTGGAATATTGCTAAAAGCGGCGTAAAACCAAACTCAGTCACTCAGTCAGTCCAGCTGCCGGTATATGACCTTTGCTGATGGTGGTTTATTTCCGAACACGGATTACACACATCTAGCTTAAACGCACTAACATGATTATGGCCTTAGATACTATACACTCATATATTAATCGATTTATCAATAATCTGTGACAATGATAGAACAATTTGTTTGTTTAATCTTCTAAATGTCAGTCCTCGCATGCCAAATACATTTTGTTCCGAAATAAATAAAAATGCGAAGGTGAAAAACAATCTTTTAATTAATGAAAACTAAAAACGTATTTAAATAATTGTAAATGTTTATTTACATAATATACATTCTGAAATGTAAATATCCAATATGATGAAATAGTTCAATCAAACTATAACATATGCTTATAACATCAACCAAGCTCCTGATAGCAACATAGCAAAATGTCATGGTGAATTATAGGTACAAATGAGGTAACAGTACAGTACACCGAGTCATTGCGATGATTATTCGGTCAAAAGCATATATACTGAGGGAAACAAATAAGGGAACACCACTTCAAGGCAGTGTTCCTTTATTTATTCTCAGATTTTTCCCCACAGCCTATTCAAAGCTGGTGATGAAAACTGGAAAATATTAAAGGAACGCTTGAATTTTCCTTTATTTGTTTCTCTCAGTATATATTTAAAGACACTTGGTCGTAGTATAATATGGAGACAAATGACAAAAATAGTTCGAAGCGCTCGTTAAATCCCTTTCAGCAATAACCTAACACCAAACTGCAGTCTTTTGTTATGACAAATGGAATAACTCAGTGTGCCTATGGTAATTGCTAAAGGCAATTGTAAATTTCCTCTATCTAACTGCCAACAGAATACGACAATATTTTAAAGTTCTGCATTGGTATCTAAGTAATCGTTAGAAGCGCCCGTAAACCCCATTGTGCCATTACCGCTGACAACAAACGTTAAAAGTTCTGAAGAAAGATACAGGAGTCTGTCTGGAGTGACGATAATATTTTCTTGAAGTTCTCGTTAAACCCTTGTCCGAAATACGTCATCCTCTGTCCACAAACACGTTTTTGACGTTTTGAACTACAGTGTCGTGCAAAGTTACAATCGTTAAAAGCGTTACTTGTGTGAAAACAGTCTCCCAAACAAACTATGACACCTCCCTCCATGTTTTTATGTTCTTCAGCAACCGTCAAACATAGGCCGGTGGGGTAGCCTAATGGTTAAAGCGTTAGTTCGTCACGCCGATGACCCGGGTTCGATTCCCCACATGGGTACAATGTGTGAAGCCCATTTCTGATGACCCCCGCCGTGATATTACTGGAATATTGCTAAACGCGGCGTAAAACTAAACTCACTCACTCACTTAAACATGGGTGTATAGTTTCTTTTGTCCTGCAGTGTAAATGAAGCAAAGCTGAAGTGATATCGCATCGCTGATGCGGCATAATAAGGCAGCGTGGTGATCTATCATCTCACATTTTATTCAGCCTGGTTCCCGGGGTCTGCTGCGCTAGGCTTCAGCACTGCGAGTTGAAGCGTTGCGCGGCAGACCCCGGGAACCAGGCTGACATTTTACACCCGAACTTCCTTCCTATTAAACTAGGAACACGTCTATCAACACCGTTCACAGATGGTTCTCAACAGTCAGCCGTGTACTCATTGTCAGTGGACATTGAAACTGATTCCTTGTCTTTGTTGTACAGGGCATTTTCAAAACCCAGATTTGGCAAATTGGGCAGAAATTTGTATTTTCTTCTCACTACAAAGAACGCGATGACAACGAGGACGAGGAGTGCGATGAACCCGATGAGGATCCCCGCTATGGCGCCCCCTGTCATTCCACCGCTGCTGGGGCTACTGCTGCCTCCTGTAGACATAATTAGTTGAGTTAGTGAATTCAAATCTTCCGTCGTATCATCCATTATTAAGAACATGGGTTAAATTGGAAAGAAACTTTGAAGTCGTGACTTTAAATCTGAGTCATCAGTCGTGTCACCATTTTAAAGTACATGGCTTAAATTTGAAAGAAAAATTGAAGCCCGACCCAAAAGGTTATAAACCGGAAATAGGCATTGGGCTTAAATATGACACTTACGGTAACAAAGCCTGATGGAACCTACCGTTCTGGTTCACCCTGGAGGTATGAGGGCCCCCATTTCCTGTGTACGATGGTTGAAAGGTGCTGACGCCAGGGTTGCCGGCTGGGTTGAATGGTGTATTTGGATGGAATGGAGTCTGTCCACCGTGATAAGGTGTGTTTGGATTTTGAGTTACGGCTCCTTGACCTTGACTCACAGTCGTTGTACCTGCCACAGATAAGGTCTTTTAAAGGACGGAAATAAACCAAGAACAACATAGGTATCACAGTAGTAACATTGAGTCATCCCCCTTCCCAACCAACCCCCCAAAAGAGGTCGGTATCTTCAATATAGTTTATTTTTATTTCAAAACATACATTGCGTTGATCAAATAATATAAGCTTAAGTCTCAGTATACATGTATACGCTTGGACGAAGATTTTGACTGATATCTAACTTGTTAAGAGATATATATTTGAAAACATTTAGGGATGAAATCGTGCATTTTCGAAAAATAAAACATTCACTTAAAAGGTGAAAATTTATGGATGTCAACGTATTTATTATGACATCCATAAATTCTCACCTTTTTATGTGTAAACTAAATGTCATTCAAAGAAAATATCCAAGGTGTGAAATAACACATGCCGGTAAACTTTTTGTCCGCCTAAAACTAGCATTATAACAATAATAACATAATAGTATAATACGCTTACATGATACAAATAGACGAAAAAGGCTTTAAGTCCCACAGAATATGTCAACCATCTATATAATCTCATATTTGATCCGATAGCATGTTGACAGGTCACTTGTGATTATTTGTCAAGTCAAAACATTGATTACACAACAGTCTCGTTTCCTGCTGACTGGGTTCCGTCCTATTGTGCAACTTAGTACAATGACCAGTCCAGAATTTTGACACCAATTCATTCAACTGGATACATAAATATTAGTCAGTATTATTTGATACATCTAACCACTTGTATATTGCAACACTACGCTCCTTCTAATCCTTGCAAACACCTCGTGCAGCATGCTCTGTCGTACAGCGTGCTCTGACAAACGGAAATCTGGAAATCGTGGAAATCTCAAAACGAGGCTCTGCCGCTAGAAATGTTTGGCGGTTTGGTACGGACTTGATATTATATCAATCACATTGTGCGTAACAAAACTATACTGAATAAGCGTAAACAACACATAACAGGTGTAACCAGTGAGCCAGATGAATTGTGAATAATTTTACGACCTCATCAAACAGGGGCAGTCTTTGACGTCTTAGTTAAGGTCATGTTGCCTACACATCGCCATAAAATACAAAAATACGATGTTATTAAAGTTTAAAATTAAAATGAACTTGTAAATATCATTATCTTATGAAACAAGGAATTGGAATTAAGTGTAACCATAGTTGTTTGTGGTGTCTCTTTTAACTTTCACACGAGAAAATTCGGATCGGCTGAAAAGTAGGTCATTGTCTGAATAGGTTAATGAGTTTGTGTTGTTTAACGCCGCACTCAGCAATAGTCCAGTTATTGAGTGCAGTAATCCACCTATAAGACGGCTAAATAATCGAGTCTGGTCTAAACAATACAGGACTGACATCATGAGCATCAATCTACGCAACTGGTATACGATGACATGTGTCAACCAAGTCAGCGAGCCTGACCACCCGATCCCGTTAGTCGCCTCCTACGATATGAATGGGAAGCCGAAGACCAATTTAAACCCGGATCTTCACAGGTACAAATATACTAATCAGGAGACATAATGCGATGTATTGATGGTGTATTTTAGAAATCGTCTCACTTTTCGGTATTTTGCACATGTACCCGGCCTGAGTCATGCAGTCGATGTCGTTCCACATCCAGCCTCCCGACGCCATCATGACGACACAGTCTTGATGCCATTCACTGTCGGTGTCTGATGGCTCGTTGTGGGCCCAGTGTAGGTAGTTGACGGGGCTCCTGTCCGTCCAAACGAAGCCCCCTACAAGTACATTTATACTATAGTGTTATTTAACATCGGCCTTGGGGGAATATGGCGTGATGTGCCCTTTGGGTAGCCTAGTGTTAAGTTTAGTTTGATGAATAGTGAGTGAGTTTAGTTTTACGCTGCTTTTAGCAATATTCCACCAATATCACGGCGGGAGACACCAGAAATGGGCTTCACACATTGTACCCATGTGGGGAATCGAACCTGGGTCTGCAACGTGAAGAGCGAACGCTTTAACCACTGGGCCACCCTACCGAAGATGGCACTGATAGACCAACGATCATTACAAGAGCGTACAGTGATCGGATTAAGTCACAGTAAAAAGACACATCTCTGTGCGTGGCAGCTACTGAAATCAACGGTTCCCCTAGTCCACGGTCATAGATCACACCTTCATAACACATACTCGTGCCACATATTTCACATCAGAGGTGTTTGTTTATGACTTTGTGCACAAAGAAAAAAACAATACAAGTATGAATTAATGACTCCGAACTTAAAAAGTTCATGAAGCAAGATGAACATTTGAAATTGCCCATCGGTCTGGTATTTAAAAGAAGTGATTGGAAATTGGAAAAAATATCAAACGAAACCCTTTTGCGGTGACATAAATTCTTTGGCAATAGTAAGGATAAACTTGAAATTTTATCAGACCAAAAATTACAAACGAAATCAAAACTTTACTGGGCTCACATTAGTCTCGAAAACGCCGCAAACTCAAGTTCCTGAACACAACTATTAGGCCCATATCAAATACCAACCGTGATATTGCTGGAATATTGCTAAAGCGGTGTAAAACCATACTCACTCACTCACTCACTCACTCAAATACATTATCTTTTGCAGTTTATTGTATTTTAGCCACTGTCAAAGATAGGCGTATACTTTCTTTTGCCTGGCATTGTAGATTCTATATTGCTGATAGACCAACAGGAATTTGGATTTGAACATAGGCGTAGCCTATACATTCTTTTTGTCCGGGGGCGGTGGGGTAGCCTAGTGGTTAAAGCGTTCGCTCGTCACGCCGAAAACTCGGGTTCGATTCCCCACATGGGTACAATATGTGAAGCCCTTTTTTGGTGTCCCCGCCGTAATGTTGCTGGTATATTGCTAAACCATTCTCACTCACACACTTTTTGTCTGACATTTTAGATTGGATATTGCCGGTAAACCAGCAGAATTTCGGAATCGAAAGTTTATGGTAGGATGAAATATTACCATCTTCCGTTTTGGATAGTCCTATCCATATATCTGTGGGGGCTTGGCCCGCGATGCCAGCCACCTCATTCATCACTGCCTGGCTGCTGATGCTGGCCAGCTCTGCCCTCATCCTCTGACACAGGAACCGGGACTCAGGCCAGGACTTGGTCAGGTTGGTCATCACCTTGTAGCAGTAGTCTGCCCCTGCTAACCAGGTAGAGTCCGGGCAGTGTCCCTGGGCCGGCGTTGTAGTGACCGGGCCGCCGTCTGAATAGGAAATCAGGTGTGTTTTCATTACACTAGTTGAGGACGTTGAAACTAATTAAGTATGTGATTGCTTGTTGTTTTACGCCGCAATCAGCAATATTCCAGCTATATGGCGGCGGTCTGTAAATAATCGAATCTGGACCAGACAAGCCAGTGATCAGTAATTTGAAGTTGTGTCAGCTTAATAATGGTTAACACGGAAAAGTGTTTCGCTGAGCGTCCATGCACTGATCCAGATGTATTCAGGAATGTTTTGCTGAGCGTCGACTGACCAGCGTGCATCTATGAATGTTTTGATGAACGTCCACTGACCAGGGTGTATCTATGGATGTTTTGCTGAGTGTCCACTGACCAAGGTGTATCTGTGGATGTTTTGCTGACCGACATTAACCAAGGTGTGTCTATGAATGTTTTGCTGAGCGTCCACTGACCCAGGTGTATATGAATGTTTTGCTGAGCGTCCACTGACCCAGGTGTATATGAATGTTTTGCTGAGCGTCCACTGACCCAGGTGTATATGAATGTTTTTCTGTGCGTCCATTGACTCAGATATATCTATAATTGTTTTGCTGAGCATCAACTGAGCCAGGCGTATCTGTGACTGTTTTGCTAAAGCGGATGTATCTATGAATGTTTTGGTGAACGTGTACTGACCCAAGTGTATCTCGCAGATGTATTTGTGACTGCTGGTACAATTGGTATTGGTATCTGTGAATGTTTTGGTGAACGTGTACTGACCCAAGTGTATCTCGCAGATGTATTTGTGGCTGCTGGTACAATTGGTATTGTTCCACATGAAGTTCCATTTCTCCACAACACAACCTTCCCCTGGTCCTGTGGAAGGTTCCTTCCACGCCCACCTGGTCATCTTGACGGGGTACTTGTCCGTCCAGGTGAAGTGACCGTTGTCCTGAAACACGGTGTACTCACAATAATGTTACCATATTATTACCCCAGTCTAAGTAAACTTAGGCTCAGTATTATTCGTTACACTGCTATAATGTATAAGCAGTGTAACGAATACTACTGAGCCTAAGTTTACTTAGACTGATCTTTACCTCTCAACATTTTAAAATTCAAATTTGTCCCGCGACCACAACAGCTTTGAAATACAGAGTTTTCGTAGCGTGTACCTCGCATAATGAATAATTTTAAGATTGGACATGGCCATATCATGGCCAACAGTGGAGTTTGATTAAGCAAAAATAAAAATAAAAAATCATCTGAATCGTTCTTACTGAAATGAAATTGATAAAGTTTGTAACTGGACGTGAACGGAAGTGAAATTTAGACAATAGTTATCTATCAGTGGATTAAATGGGGAGGTGCTCGGAGCTAAGGTGATGATATCAAAAAAGCTGAAATGTTTCTTAAACATTACATGACCTCGATTCAGAAAACAAGCTGCAATTCCCATACTTTAACATAGATTTAGGACAGTCGTAAGCTCATTGTGCGAGTGGCCATGGGGTCTGTTCCACCATGCTGTCATGGCGCTAAGATGATCGTAACTCCCATTCTTAAACATAGACTTACGATCAACGTAGCGCTAAGATCGTTTTGTGGAACGGTGCCACAGCGCCGGATAACATCGAATTCTGGGGCGCCGTTCCACAAAACGATCTTAGCGCTACGTTGATCGTAAGTCTATGTTTAAGAATGGGAGTTACGAATACCTTAGCGCTACGATCGCTTCGAGAAACGGGTCCTGAGCGGCGTTCCACAACACGATCGTGACCCTAAGGCGGTCGTGACTCCCATACATTAACAAAGACTTACGCCAGTCGTAAGCGTTCGATTGCTATGTGGAACAGGGACCTGGTGTCTCTTTCACAACGCCATCGCTACGCTACGGCTGTCATAAGCTATGTCATATGGTAAAGTATGGGGGTTAAGTCCGTCGTAGAGTTACGATCGCTTTGTGAAACGGGGCCCAGTCCGGGATCTTTAGAAAAGACTTACGACTGTCGTTGCGTTACGATCGCTTTGTTTAACGGGGCGCACTATTCTTGTCAGTTCGGTTCCCGTTTGGTGAGTGAGTGGGTAAGTGAGTTTAGTTTTTCAGCAATAACACGGCAGGGGGCACCAAAAATGGGATCATACATTTTAACCATGTGGGGAATCGAACCTGGGTCATCGGCGTGACAAGCAACGCTTTAACCACAAGACTACCCCTTCACTCCCCTCTTCCCCCGCCCGTTTGACATACGTACATCGAGATTATTTAATCCTATCCAAGACATGCCTTGGCCTGCGACTATCAGGTCAACGAAGGACGCCTCAAAAGCATCATTGATGGAGACAAGGTTTCCTCCATCAGCACCGCACGCAAACTGAGCGTCCGACCACTGTTTGAGGGTGGTGTAGCCCTTGTAGCAGCTTTTTCCGTAGTTGATGTAGCCGTTGCTGCATCCCGCAGTGCTCTGGCTGGGGCTGGGATACGATGTTACTGCAACAGGAGAGTACCGTTATAATCGGTAAACTGAGTGCGTGCGTGCGTGCGAGTGTGCGTCTGTGTCTCTGTGTGTTAAAATTTCACAGCCCTGGACAATCTGGTCCAGACTGGATTATTTACAGACCGCCGCCATGTAGCTGGAATATTGCTCAGAGCGGCCTTAAAGATTGGTTGTAGATGTGTTGATAGCAATTGGAAATAACATGGTTCCATCCTCTGATACCTTGATGAGTATTTCAATCAAAACCTGTGCCTGAATATCTTTTTAAAGAAAAAAATCTTGCAATAATGACAGTTTTATTGCTGACAATTACTTATTTCCAACAGAATTTTCTGGGATTTTTTCCCGATAAAATCCCACCTCATCGTCCCCCAAGTATTCAAGGTCCGGTCCCTTACCATACAATCTTATAATACTGGTGTATTATACCGTAAGGAAGGACGGATAACAATATATGGATGTACAACTTCTTTATTACTGTTAATCCATATATTGTTATCCTTCTTTTCTTACTGCTCCAACTTCTAAATGCCTTTCAAAGAAGTTATTATACGGTATTCTGAAAAAGGCAAGCGTCCTCGTGCTTTAACTATAATAGTTCGGGGCAAAACTGTACTTTACACTATACATGGGGGTAGAGCAAACTGTATTTCTTAAATATAGGTGTGTTTTTTCAAGTGATGTGTTAACAGTGAATCTCATTCCCCCCAAAACTTACTTTTGGATACACTGCAGGCATATGCCCTCGTGGCATCACAGAAGTAGTCGTCCCAACCTCCGGCCTGGAACTTCCCAGTCGGCAGGGTCCACACCATCACACAGTCCCTCTGTGGACACAGGGAACATTGGTAACAGTGAGTGAGTGATTGAGTGATTGAGGAGCAGTAGGTTCTCTCACGGCGCGTCAGCCTATTCTATGCTCTCTTCCTTTCTGTATAGACAGGAAATGCTTGTGTTATGGAGAGACCTACTCCATCTAAACATCTCTCCCTCTCCTCACCGAGGAAGTGAAGTGCTTGTGTTGTGGAGAGATCTACTCCATCTAAACATCTCTCCCTCTCCTTACCGAGGAAGTGAAGTGCTTGTGTTGTGGAACGACTTACTTCATCTAAACATCTCTCCCTCTCCTCACCGAGGAAGTGAAGTGCTTGTGTTGTGGAACGACTTACTTCATTTCACCAGCTCCCACTCTCTTTCTCTCTCTCTCTTTCTCCCTCTCTGTGAGGACGTGAAGTGATTGCGTTGTGAAGAGCCTAACCCCATCTAACCAACTTCCTCTTTCTCTCGATTTCTTACTCTCTCCCCCTCTCTGTCTATCTCTACTTATCTCTTCCTCCCTCTCCCTCTATTCATCTCTTTTTTTCTCTCTCTCTCTCACTCACTCACTCTCAGGAAGGGAGCTACAAATATTCTGAAGCAACTTACTCTATGTTCTATCTTATCGTCAGTGATATCTTCATCTGGCTGGCCGGGCGCCCAGTGTGTGAACGCTACCTCTGAGCTGTCCACCCACATGTAACGGCCGTTCGTCGTCCTATCCATAAGGCCGATCCATACCTGGCCGGAAACACCCCGTAACAGTGTTGTCAGGAACTCTGGGAAAGACCGAGTTGTGATTAACAGTTGTCGGGATAATAGGTTGAAGAGGATTACAATTTATAGTACTAATGGTATGATTATATCGCCCGTAGTTGTAGAAACTAGAACTTGCCAAACATCCAAGGACTCTCCTTGACCAACGATGCATAACTTCAACTGATTTGCGACCTGGGTTCAATGCATAAGACACATCATCACATGCAAACTATAGTCCGTTTGGCTCAAAGCGGACCGATGAATTGCAATGTAACTCGAAAACTAATAAACATATATTACTCAATGAAACACTGATCATAATAAAAACATCAGACCAACACTGTGGTTTGTTTGCAGAATTTATATCCTAAAATTAAAAAAGTTGTTTAACAAACTATCATTAAAACTTTGACACAGTTCACTATTTGTTACGAGGGAGGAGTGCAGAGAAAGGGACAGCCAGGTGTGCGAGAAAGGATAGAGACGGCACAGCACAGGTTAATGAATCAATAACTTGGTGGGCACTTGTGCACGTGCTTCTCTAACACCTGGCTGTCCCTTTCTCTGCACTCCTCCCTCGTAACAAATAGTGAACTGTGTCAAAATTTTAATGATAGTTTCTTAAAGAACTTTTTTTGGTGGAGTCCGGAAAATTTTCAAATATCAGAAAGCTGTTGGGTATTAGTAAATGATAAACATGTGTACTATTTATATTTATGTGGCAATTTTGTACAATGATAAAATTTGCAATTCATCGGTCCGTTTCTGACTCAAACGGACTGTAGTATATGTCCTTTCTGCATCCCACCAACCATTCCCAGGGCGATGGGGAAGCCTAGTCGTTAATGCGTTCGATTCGATTCCCCACATGGGTACAAAGTGTGAAGCCCATTTCTGTGTCCCCTGCTTTGATATTGCTGGAATATTGCTAAAAGCGGCGTAAAACCATACTCACTAACTCACTCTGCATTCCACCAACTATTTACCCGATAAAGGAGTTAGCATATACGTTAAAACCTTGCGTTCTTCTTTACTAAGACGTTGAGCATAAATTCTCTCCTTTATATGTTGAGATCGATAACACAATCTCTAGAGAAGGGAATGTAATCCTTACTATTTTCCAGATTCGATGACACTATGGCCAGCGTTGCTCCAGTAGCCTTTGTCTGGCACATAGCGTTAGCGTTCGTCCAGTTGAGGTTCTGTGCCTTTGCCGTACCCCCCACCATGTAGCATCGGTTGGCTGAAAGAGGGGGCAAAGACGACATGTCACGGAAGTACAATGATAATATGGAGACTTGTTGATATTTCAATGAAAAGAATTTATAGGGGCCTTTCGTAACATGAGATCTGAAAATTTATAATAAGCAAAATCTTAAGAAACAGTTATGAAATTTATCAGAGGTGCACATTTAAATGACTCGAAAATGGATCGACCAGCTGATTTTAGAATGTTGTTGTAGCATGTACATGGGCGGATACAACTTTTTGAAAAAGGTGGGGTGCACAGTTAATTTTCACCCGTTTTCACGAGAGTTTCAATGGTCATTTATTAAACTTTCAGGACAAAAGTGGGGTGCGCACCCCTGCACCCTCCCTCTGGATCCGCCTGTGATGTATTTGTCCAAGAAGATGAACAAGTCTTTCATCCAAGATAATTGTGGAAACAATGCAAACACGTGCACACATATCTTGATGGTTGATGGTTGATTTCATGGTTACATTTGCTCTTGAATGTAGGTTTTTAGCAGTTTAAATCTACGTAAATATACCAGATGTAGAAAACTGCAGTTACAAGAAAGAGAAATATCTCGGTGTTAGCCATTTGAAAATGTCAGCATATTTCCAACCCTCATCATATAATATCCATGGCACACAATGCATTCATCAAAACGTGGTCGATATCAAACGAAGATATTTCCAAAAACTACTTGGAAATTCAAAAGAAGTAAAAGTATAGAAGATGTGCTAAGCATTTACCCCCATATAGTACAAATGAAATCATCTCAGATCACACACGGTCGCATGACACTGATGTGTACAAGCGTTGGTTCCCCTGCTCCTGTTAAAACCGTAGACTTACATCTGGAGAAGGTGCTGAAACCAGGGGGACATCCCCCCTGTACTACCGCCGTGGGGACTGGAGTCACGGGAGCTGTCTTCCATGGTAACTTCTGACATATGAACCCCATGATGTCATTGCAGTTCTGGTCGTACCACGTGCCTGAAAGGTACAGATCATAGGGCATAACAAGGTCTTTGATGGAAACTTGAAAACATGAAGCCACGACGAAGCAATAGATGGATGGATGGATGGGTGTGTATGTATATGTGTATGTGTCTGTCCGTATGTATGCATGGAATGGATGCATTTTCTCCATGTAAAATGTGTTGAAAAGGAAATTCGATTACACAAAAAAGACATCCCACCTCCACTCCTACCATCACCCCATTAATTTCTATATTTGCTGTTATTATGGAAGCGTATACATATTTTGTGCCAAATAAGTTGTATTTGCATAGGTTTGGCTCTGTCTACAATAACAATAAAAGTTGCGGGAGAATCAGAGTCTCAGCCGTAGCCATTCATGGGCGGATCCAGGAATTTGAAAGGGGTTACCCCCTGAACCCCCATTGGCTCCGCCAACGCAAAAAAACTACAATTTGGTCTTAAGCCATTTTCAAATAAGGGGGTGGTTGGGTGGGTGTGGGTGTGGAGGGGTGTGTGTGTGTTGGGTGTGTGTGGGGTGTGTGTTGGTGGTGGTTGTGTTGGTGTTGGTGGTTCGAACCCCCTGAACCCCCCACTGGATCCGCCAAAGCCATTCCTTGTGATGCTTGCCTTTCTTTGTACTTCCAGAATCCAGAATTCACCTGATGATGTTCTATGACAGGTGGGCGATGGGGTAGTCTGGTGGTTAAAGCGTTTGCTCGTCACGCCGAAGACCTGGGTTCGATTCCCGACATAGGTACAATGTTTGAAACCCATTTCTGGTATCCCTCGCCGTGATATTGCTGGAATATTGCTAAAAGAGGCGTAAAAACTAAAACCACACTCACTTACTCGTTTTAGGTTTTCATGGGTCTACGACCACTGTTTTGACGTCGCATAATATCACTCGGATGTGCCGTTATATGACTGAAATAACGCATAACGCGGCGTGATGCAAAACACATTCACTCAATTACTTTAAACTAAAGGAAAGTCTCACCAAAGTGGTTGTCGAGGTCGACACATCTTTTCTCGCCGAGTCCATCATTCGGCTGATGAACCTGCCAATCCAGGAACTGGACAGGGCTGCCGTCAGACCACCTGGTACGCGGAGAACATATCGTTAACACATGTGTACATGTATGCTTCAGTATTCACCAAAACAACACAAAGAAACTTTCAAGCATGATGAAATGTACATGCACTTCTTTCGCTAGCCGACAAGCACAATGAGTGAGTGATTTAAAGTTTACGCTGCTTTAGCAATATTCCATCAACATCACGGCGGGGGACGCCAGAAATGGGCTCCACACATTGTACCCATTTTGGGAATCGAACCCGGGTCTTCGGCGTGATGGGTGAACGCTTTAACCACTAGGCTATCCCACCGACCCCAAGCACAATGAGATGCACCAGCCCGCTTGAAATTAGCCATCAAGCACAATGAGATGCATCAGCCCGCTTGAAATTAGCCATCAAGCACAATAAGATGCATCAGCCCCATCAATGAGATGTGCCTGCTTGGTTGAAATATGTCTCCAAACATTATTAGATTACCTACATTAATTGTAATAATAATAGTCCGCATATATGGCGCTCATATCCAGGCGCATTGCCTGCTCACGGCGCTCCGTACATTAATATCCCCGGTCATAGGATACTATCGTACTTTCCGATACTTTTTCAACTCCCTGGGGATCATACAGCCATGCTGACTGTTAGGCGCAATTGCCAGACATCCTCACAGGTACCCATTTTACAACTGGGTGAACTGAGACAATGTGGATCTAAGTATCTTGTCCAAGGATACTACGCAAATGTATCGAACCCGTACCTTCAGCATAATAGGCAGACGCCTTACCACTGCACTATTGCGCTCCACTTGTAATTAGCATTCAAGCACAATCAGATCACGACGTGTGCATAGAGTTATTTACATGTATAAACACTGCCTAGGCGCTGCGATTCGCTGAGCACAGTTGCATCCATTAGACTTAAGAAGAATCATGCAATGGTGTTTAGGTTTCTTGGTTTGTGTGAGCTCCATATCCGTCAGTGTGCGCGTAAGTGTGTGTGTGACTTTGTAGGTGTCTGCCTACACTAGCCCGGATACATGCCAGGTAACCACAGATACCATGCCACGATTTAAACATTGATACCCCACTCAACAGTTCTTTAATGCCCATCGTAAGGAACGGTAACATCAAGTACCATGCGTGTCTTACGGCATGACGCGGTCAGGGAATCGAACCTACGACCGTACACTCTCAGACAAACGCTGTATCTACTGGGCCACCGAAGCGGTCGAATCTTTTGACTTACTGGTAGCCAGACATATCCAGGTTGTTGAAACCGATCCAATACTGCAGCCTATGGAATGTTCTGGCTGTCTGTAACAAAAAACGTTGAAAAGTTCATGTTTTGATATTTCCAGGATAAGAGAGTTGAATGCTTAAAGCCGCTTTAGATAGTGTCCCTGTTACCGCAGGGGATGCAAGTGGTACAATCTTAGACGTTTCTCGATTAGATGAAACCCACAAGCATAGGTATAGTGCGGGCAACCTGGAAACGTGATCGGGACGTACCGGATTCGAACCACGATTTCAGAAAAGTACCAGTATGTTCATAACTAAACGTGTTATTGTATTTAACATTTCCCCGTCAAATTGTATGATTTATTGCATACCCATTTAATCTTACGACAGCAATACAGCCGTGCAATACGGCCAGCTTCGACGAATTCCTTATTGCAGATCCGAGAGCCGTGCATTACGGAAATCAGAGTACAATACGGAACTAAAAAGTGTTTTCACTCGTAAAATCATGTCTCCCCCTTCCGCCAATTCAACGTTTTGACCTTAACAATTCATTTGATTCCTTCAATTTCAAAATCTCTACCTTCAAAAAGGTCAAGACCAAACAGAAACAGAAAAAAAGTTCAAACCCCCAAAAGGCACATCTACATGATATGGAGAGCAAATTTGGTGAAGATGGGTCAATTAGTTTCAGAATTATGCTCCGGAAACGAACTTTACCCTCCAAAATGACAAAGTCCAAATTCTTGCCATGAAAACAGAAAAAATAAATTTGCAAAAAAAAAAAACAAACCCCAAAAGGCACATCTACATGATATGCAGTATACCAAATTTGGTGAAGATTGTTCAAGTCGTCTTAGAGTTATAATCCGGAAACATTGGGAACACCGACGCCGATCGATGCCGACGGAAACTCAACCAAAAACAATATGTCTCCCGACCCTACGGAGGGAGACATAATTCGCCTAAGCTAGTCGCTGGCAAAAGTGATACAAATTAAATTGCCAAAGTGTAAAAAGGTAATGTACTGATAGGAAACTCATACTGGGTCTTGTTGGTGCTAAGATATCTTAAAAACTATTTATCAAATACAGTTGACCCGACCCCAGATATCCGGGCCATCTGGAAAACGGAAGAGTCTGGATGAACAAGGTTCGACTTAAATCCTTATCGACACGTGTAATCCAAAATGTACATAGTATTAACATAAGTCAGTTATCATTCATATGAATATATCTAATAACTTTGATGTCATTTTCTAACAATTTCTCAATTTCAACCAAATTTATTGTATTTTTTTTTATCCCACTGGCCAAAAAGGGACCTTATCCTACTTTGTCTTTTTAAGGCAGTTTGTTTACACTTACCAGGGCTGTTAAGAAGGCGTTGTCTTCAGGGCTGTGTATGCTGGCTAGGTCGCCCCCAGCAGCCATACAGTACCTCTGGGATTCGAACCACGACTTGTGGGCGTCCGACCCGTTTTGTGGACTCAACATGTAACAGTGTTTGTTGTAGTAATACCAGGTACCATTGCCTTTACACAGGGTCGCTGAATCAAAGAATGAAATCAGGATCTTCTAATGAGTAATTCAATCATGAATTAATTCATCAGTAATTTATTTTTCGCGTAAGCCCGATAAGTTGCTAAGCTATATTTAGATAGTACTGAGGGAGCTTTTTTAGCTACAATCACGTGTAAGCCCGGGCTTTTGTTATAATGGTAGCTACGCCCCTGGTTTTATCTGACGTGTAATTAAATCTGGATCTTGTATTGAGTTATTCAAGCAGAATCATTGATTAAATAAGGATTCTATTACTAATTAAATCAGGATTCAATGAATGAGTAATTCGAGAAGAGTCATAGTGAAGGTAATTATTTAATGATTCTGTAAATAAATAATTTTACCATATTAGGTATCAAATTTATATTATAATTTTCTGTATGTCTTTAAGTCCTGGAGTTGCGACTTTAAGTGGTAAGTCGTAAAAGGGTCTTGGGGGTGACGAGCTAACGCTTGTGCCTCTTGGATAACCCAATGTTCCGTTTGGGGAGGGAGTTTTAGGTCATTATCTAGAGCCAGCTGTGAGAAAGAGGATCCGTGGCTGCTTATAGTCGCCATACAATACATCGTGGGGCAGTGGGGTAGCCTAGTGGTTAAAGCGTTCGCTCGTCACGCCGAAAACCAGGGTTCGATTCCCCACATGGATAAAATGTGTAAAGCCCATTTCTGGTGTCTCCCCGCCGTGATATTTCTGGAATATTGCTGAAAACGGCGTAAAACCATACTCACTCACTCACAATACTTTGTGTTGGATGCTATGTTGAAGTAGACGTACATGTCGACGCTGCCGGTGGTGTCGGTGTCGTAGTTATCTGGATACCTACAAGGAAAGTGTGGATTGACATACAATATAGATTCAGTAATTATCCCTCCTTTAATTAATGTGAGACTTATATTAGAATTCTCTGAAATGCTACAATTTTCATCTACATCAAATAGACAACATGCATTTTATAAAATTGATTTTCACTATTTTATCTCGGATAATATATTATGAGGAGTTAGCGTTTGGAGAGCTGTTGTATTGATGTTTTTATATCCAGTTGTACTACTTGGATAGAGGTTTACCGTTATTCGTTAAACAATCTAACTGTGTAATTGATCAGTCACTGGATCATATAAACCCATACAGGCCGGCTGAACTCGACTCCGGTTCTCATGTATAGCGCAAGATGACGAAGCGCAAAGGGAGCAGGGAACCAACTTTACCAGGGCCCATTTCACAAATCTATCGTAGCGCTACGACTGTCGTAAGCCTACATTGCAAAATATAGGAGCTAACGACTAAGTCCGATTGGTGTAACAAATATTCTATGAGTATTCGTGACTTTCGAAATATCGGTAGACGTAAGTCACAAGCGGGGTGATTAGCTAAACACGCTGAACCCCCGTTACAACCATTTATTTTCGATCTCTTGGTCACAAGCATATTCAGAAAGAAACACTTTCAATAAAGAAACTACAGTGAATATTATCTTGGACATAAGGGAACCCACCTCTCTGGATCTGACACATGAAGTGTTTCGCTGTGTAGCAGTAGAAGTCGTTCCAGGAGTCGGAGACGAAGTTGTATTCGACGCAGTCCTCTTGGGCGTTCAAGTTGTTGGGTTCCCCTTTAGCCCAGTTGCTGTAGCCGAATGGAGATTCGTCCGTCCACTGGTACCCTGGGGTGAACACGTACACCCGATTTATTTCACAAGTCTTTAGACCCGTGAAGATCTGGGTTAGAATTGATCTTTAACCCATGCTTGTCGCAAGAGGCGACTAACGGGATCGGGTAGTCAGGCTCGCTGACTGGGTTGACACACGCCATCGTATCCCAGTTGCGTAGATCGATATTCATGTTGTTGATCACTGCATTGTCTGGTCCAGACTCGATAATTTACAGACCGCCACCATATAGCTGGAATATTGCTGAGTGCGGCGTAAAACTAAATTCACTCAGTCGCAAGTCTTTAAATATCGAAGTAAGGGCTAAGAATATACAACCTGTAGTTCACCGGGACAGGTAGTCACCAATGTGGCAACAAAAATTGGTATTCAAGCATTAGTACATGAGAGTCCAGCAGTGAAAATGAACACTAAATCAGCAATATTCCAGCTATACTGACGTACAATAGAAAGTACACACCTGGTGCTTTGGTAAAATGTTTTCTTAAAAACAGCGTAATATTTAGAAAAGTGTTTTGATTGCGACTCACAAGTCACAAACATTGTGTACGTGTTGCAATAACACCATTGAAATCGTACCCAATTGGAACATTGCTAGCAAAATATTTACGTTGTTTTAATAGTCTCAAAACACCAGGTGTGTACTTTCTTTTGTGCATCTGTATATATATATATCTGTATTTTAAAATGATTGCGTCTGGAGCAGACAATCCAGTGATAAACAGCATGAGCACTAATCAACGCAAGTGGGATACGATGACATGTGTCTATCAAGTCAGCGAGCCTGACCATCCTACCACATTAGTCCCCTTACGACAAACGTGTCGAAGACCAATTCTAACCTGGATCTTGACGAGGAAATTCATAATGATCCAAACCAGCGGACCTTCAGTAAGGAGACAAAGTATATATCTTTCAAACATTATCAAAACCAAAATAACATTTCACATATAAGAATCATATACACTCGACCCCCAATGTCTTGAATTCTGTTAAGACGAATTCTCGGTTGTGTCGAAGCCATCTCTCGGTCCCTGCCGATTTCCTTACATCTATCATTATTTTGATGTCTAGAACTAGATGTATCGAATTCCCTTGGTCCCGACGAGTTCGACACACCGGGGTTTGACTATTCAACTATGTTTATAACGAACAGACGTATATAACGAATATAACTTTTCGTCCCTGTCACTTGTATATGTTGATCAAAATGCGTATAACGAACTACGGTTATAGCGAACTAAGTGTTCCCTATAGTCCACTATAGTTTACTGTATATGCCCAAAAATGCCCGCCCGAATGGGTTGTGTATGGCACTGTTTTCAATAATACCTTACACTTACTATCTTAACGTCTGAGTGTCAGAAAGGTTCGAACCGGTGCTGGGGCCCGATCCACAAAGCGTTCGTAACGTTACGACCTGTCGTAACTCTATAGGTTATCATAAGCTTACGAATGTCGTAGGGCTACGAACACTTTGTGGATCGGTACCCTAGTCTTTGACATTATCCCCTTAATCCCCTGAACATCGGTATGGTGCTGACAAACCAAGAAACCAAACAAATGTGCGTTTTTCTTTCGAACCACGATCATAGCTGCCTGACTCCACTAAGGGACGCAACTCTGTACAGTGGTGACGTTCTTAAAAGGTACACATATATACAAACCATCCTCTATATCCCGATCGTTCAGCCCTATCCAGAAAGACCAAGTTCCGTTCCTGTAAGTAAGAAAATACATTCTTTAGTCGAGTCGAATCACCCATGTTTCAATTGCGTTTGTCTGTATATTACCTACGGTCGTTGTAACATTGTTTACTGTTAGAAGACACATAGATTACACAAATAACAAAGTACAAAACCGAATTTAGATCTGCCTTATTTACAAGAGTGACCACGGTTTGTAGACACTCTTAACAATATTCCAGCAATGTAACTGCGAGGGACACCAGAAATGGGCTTCACACATTGTATCCACGTGTGGAATCGAACCTGGTTCTTCAGCGTAACCGAAGAGATGGTATATATCAAGCAACGATCCTGGGTACCGTTGTACAAAGCGACCATAGCGTCAATTTGACCGAAACTCCCATACCTTAACATAGACTTAAGGCAGTCTTAGCACTAAAGATTGTTTGTACAACGGCAGCTTGGTCATCTACCAGATCAGCTTACCATACTATTTTGTGGAAAAAACTCTCGAGGGTGGAGTTGGAGATGCTGACGAGATCGCCGCCCAACCCGCGACAAAGGTCCCTCGCCTCCGTCCACGTTTTCAGCGTGTACGCCTTTCCTCCGAAGTACTGTCAGGGAAAACATAATATACAGGTCAAACATGATATGAAGGTACACGGAACAGGCTTTTCCCTGAAGTATTGATAGGGAAAACATAACATTTACATACTATCACAAAGACAGGCTTTTCCCCGAAGTATTGTCAGGGAAAACATAACATTCACATACTATCACAAAGACGGGTTTCCCGCCCCAAGTATTGTCAGGGAAAACATAACATTTACATATTATCACAAAGACGGGTTTTTCCCAAGAAGTATTGTCAGGGAAAACATAACATTCACATACTATCACAAAGACGGGTTTTTCCCCGAAGTATTGTCAGGGAAAACATAACATTCACATACTATCACAAAGACAGGCTTTTCCCCGAAGTATTGTCAGGGAAAACATAACATTCACATACTATCACAAAGACGGGCTTTTTCCCCGAAGTATTGTCAGGGAAAACATAACATTACATACTATCACAAAGACGGGCTTTCCCCGAAGTATTGTCAGGGAAAACATAACATTCACATACTATCACAAAGACAATTCCCGAAGTATTGTCATACATTCACATACTATCACAAAGACGGGCTTTTCCCCGAAGTATTGTCATAACATTCACATACTATCACAAAGACGGGCTTTTCCCCCGAAGTATTGTCAGGGAAAACATAACATTCACATACTATCACAAAGACGGGCTTTTCCCCCGAAGTATTGTCAGGAAAAACATAACATATACATACTATCACAAAGACGGGTTTTTCCCCCGAAGTATTGTCAGGGAAAACATAACATATACATACTATCACAAAGACGGGTTTTTCCCCCGAAGTATTGTCAGGGAAAACATAACATTCACATACTATCACAAAGACGGGCTTTTCCCCCGAAGTATTGTCAGGGAAAACATAACATTCACATACTATCACAAAGACGGGCTTTTTCCCCGAAGTATTGTCAGGGAAAAACATAACATTCCCCGACATACTATCACAAAGACGGGTTTTCCCCGAAGTATTGTCAGGGAAAACATAACATTCACATACTATCATAACAAAGAGACGGGCTTTTCCCCGAAGTATTGTCAGGGAAAACATAACATTCACATACTATCACAAAGACGGGCTTTTCCCCGAAGTATTGTCAGGGAAAACATAACATTCACATACTATCACAAAGACGGGCTTTTCCCCGAAGTATTGTCAGGGAAAACATAACATTCACATACTATCACAAAGACAGGCTTTTTCCCCGAAGTATTGTCAGGAAAAAACATAACATTCACATACTATCACAAAGACGGGCTTTTCCCCTGAAGTATTGTCAGGGAAAACATAACATTCACATACTATCACAAAGACGGGCTTATTCCCCGAAGTATTGTCAGGGAATACATAACATTCCCCTATCACAAAGACGGGCTTTTTCCCCGAAGTATTGTCAGGGAAAACAAAACATTCACATACTATCACAAAAGACAGGTTTTTCCCCGATGTATTGTCAGGGAAAACATAATATTCTCATACTACTATCACTAAAGACGGGCTTATTCCCCGAAGTATTGTCAGGGAATACATAACACACATACTATCACAAAGACGGGCTTTTCCCCCGAAGTATTGTCAGGGAAAACATAACATTCACATACTATCACAAAGACAACGGGCTTTTCCCCCGGGAAAACATAGTATTGTCACAAAGACGGGTTTTCCCCGACATTGTCAGGGAAAACATAACAACATTCACAAAGACGGGCTTTTCCCCCGAAGTATTGTCAGGGAAAACATAACATTCACATACTATCACAAAGACGGGTTTTCCCCCGAAGTATTGTCAGGGAAAACATAACATTCACATACTATCATAACATTAATACTACGGGTTTTCCCCGAAGTATTGTCAGGGAAACATAACATTCACATACTATCACAAAGACAGGTTTTTCCCCGAAGTATTGTCAGGGAAAACATAACATTCACATACTATCACAAAAGACGGGCTTATTCCCCGAAGTATTGTCAGGGAATACATAACATTCACATTGTCACTATCATAACATCACAAAGACGGGCTTTTCCCGAAGCATTGTCAGGGAAAACATAACATTCACATACTATCACAAAGACGGGTTTTCCCCGAAGTATTGTCAGGGAAAACATAACATTCACATACTATCACAAAGACGACGGGTTTTCCCCGATGTATTGTCAGGGAAGGAAAACATAACATTCACATACTATCACAAAGACGGGTTTTCCCCCAGGGAAGTATTGTCAGGGAAAACATAACATTCACATACTATCACATACTATCCACAAAGACGGGTTTTCCCCCGAAGTATTGTCAGGGAAAACATAACATATACATACTATTACAAAGACAGGTTTTCTCCTGCATTGTCAGGGAAAAGACATAACAGAAACATATACATTGTCACAGAGACATTTTTCTCCTGTATTGTCAGGGAAGACATAAAGACACATATGTTGTCACAGAGACAGGCTTTTCCCAAAGTCAGGGAAAATGTTATATACAGGCACAGTCACACAGAACAGGCTTTCCCTTTTCAGCTGAATGTCGGGCGGTGGGGTAGCCTAATGGTTGAAGCGTTCGCTCGTCACGCCGAAGACCCGGGTTCGATTCCCCACATGGGTACAATGTGTGAAGCCCATTTCTGATGACCCCCGCCGTGATATTACTGGAATATTGCTAAACGCGGCGTAAAACCTTACTCACTCAGCTGAATGTCAGGTAAAATAATATAATCTAAAGCTACAGTCACACGGAACAAGCTCACTCTGTACTGTCAGGGACAGATACAGATACAGATATATACAGATACAGCAGCACAGAACAGTTGAATGACAGGTCCATACAGGATTGTTTACAGACTAATAGCTGGAATATTGCTGGGTGCCTTGGTCCACGCATCCACACTTTATCCAACACCATATATGTTTAACGTAGGTTTACCCTATAGCACATATCATTGTAGCCATGCCAGGACTTGGGACACGGTAGGGGACTGGGCGTGGTTGGAGGCGGGGTCAGGGCGGTGGTGTAGCCTGTCCGGGGGTACTCGCAGATGTATGGTCGGTGGTCGGTACAGTTGTGGTTTTCCCACAGTCCGGCAGGGTGGCCAGATCGGATACCAACGCACGTTTTTCTCTCGTTGCCTGAAAACAAATATATACATTAGACTACATGACGAAAACGTTTTACAACGAACGGCTGTATATTTTAGTCCAAAATGGATATAAATCACATCATCATTGCTGCAAAGAGACATATTCACTTATGCTGTATTAAAAATATGCTTCCAAATCTAACTTTCTATATAAAAACTCTAAAAGAAATATTCTTTGTGGAAAAACATATATCAGCTGTATCAGCAAAAATGATAAAATAAATAATTTCCATCATAAATGGAGCCTTCTCTCCCCAGTACTTAGATGACTCAAACTGTATTGACTTGTACCTGACATTATCTGTACATTATCTATTTAATGAATTATGCATGTTTATAAATATATTAATACAAAAATATCTCACCTGTACATCTGTACATTATCAATTTAATGAATTATGCATGTTATAAATATATTAATACAAAAATATCTCACCTGTACATCATGTAGCCATATTACTTTAAGCCGTACGTATCACGGCTTGGTATATCTGCAATATTGTAATCTTGGGAACCAATAAAAAAAAAATCTTAAAAAACTACGTTGTGGCCTGACGTTGTGATACGTCAATTTTACGTCGCAACAAGGTTACGTTATTTGATGCTAACGTATTTTACGTTGTGTTAACGTTCTATTTAACGTTAGATAGTTGAATAGTTTTCCCAGTAGAGAACATTACATAAGGAACAAAGCAGAAATTCACTTCAATGGTTATTAGTCAATTTACATGTTGTTATAAGAAACGTTGTCATAAAGTTGTGAGGAGCCCACGTAAATGTGCAACGTTGTTGTTACTTTGTGACATAACGTTCTAAAATGACGTAACACTAACGTTGTGACAACGTCATGACGTTACTAATCTACAACCTTCCAACAACGTTCTGAAAACGCTGTGTGGTGAGGTGAGTTTAACTGAAACCCGAATTGGTAGTTATTCAGGTATCGTAGGCCAAAAAGGTGAATTTCATTGGTGACGGGTTATTTCATCATTTTAGGGCTTTCTTTAAAACCAGCAGTTTTGGTTATTCTCATTTTGAAGGTCCTTACCAGTGTGAGTCTCGTACCAAGCTGTAAAATCAAGGGCCTGACCGCTTGACCATTGGTACGTCCCAGGGTTGTCAATGTCGCTCAATCCCACCCAGAACGCTGACGGCTTGACCAGCATCTCGGCGCCCAGAAAGGCTTGAACATGACTGAAAACATTAACTGATGCTTAATCCATTTTATCTGATGAAGTAAGAAATAAATTTATGTTATCATCTAACCGTATGTGAGGGCTTTAAAATGTACAAGCCTCTCCGATATATACTAAGTGAGTGAGTGAGTGTGGTTTTACGCCGCCTTTAGCAATATTCTAGTAATATCACGGCCGGGGGACACCAGAAATGGGCTTCACACATTGTACCCATGTGGGGAATCGAACCCGGATCTTCGTCGTGAAGAGCGGACGCTGAAACATATTAGGCTACCCCGCCGTCCCTGATATATACTGCTTGAAGGATGTTAAGAAATTCCTTCGCAGAGTAATATGAAAGAATCGAATATTCTTAAACCTCTTTTGAGTAGCAAAACAGTTCTTTGGCCTCAGCGTTTTCTGATTAGACATTGTTGGATCTCGCGGACCTACCTGCCAGTGATGGTGGCGAGGTGACCTTTGTTAGCTATGCAATCCTTCTCTGCATCCCGCCACGATTTCGGTACCCACTTGAAGTCATAGCAGGTCGCGTGGAGGCCGAGTTGCTGGACGAGAAGGAAAGGTGTTTCAACATTTAAATATATAATATAATAAATTAATATTTCATTTTCATAGCGGTTAGTATCCATCTGTCTAGTTGCTCGCTGGCGCAATTGTAGGGGACAGTGGAGTGTGAGGGGATATGTCAAATACTGTAAGCAGTTCAGAAGGGTTTTGATTAGGCTTTTAAAAGTGGATTCACAGGAGGTGGCTTTGAGTTCTGATGGTAAAGTGTACCAACATATGTCGAAATATGTGTGGAAATACGTTGGGGTAGGCTAGTGGGTAAAGCGTTGGCTCGTCACGCCGAAGACCCGGGTTCGATTCCCCACATGGGTACAATGTGTGGAGCCCATTCTGGTGTCCCCCGCCGTGATGTTGCTGGAATATTGCTAAAAGCGGCGTAAAACCAAACCCACTCACTCACTCACTGACGTTGGCGTTCTATATGTGATATAATCGAGTCCGTAAGTTATAGAATGTCCACAAAATGCCGTGGTTTAAGGTTTCAGAGGCTTGAAAAACTTTTTATACGGATAATCATCATAAAAATAGAGCAAGCAAGTGGTGTTTGATTGGCTAGACTGGTTTTTAAATGACTTGAATGGTCTTTGACTTGAACGGTGTTTGAATGATTTGAACGGTGTTTGAGGGACTTAAAAGGACCCGTGAAGATCCGAGTTAGAATTGATCTTCAGTAACCCATGTTTGTCGTAAGAGGCGACTAACAGGATCGGGTGGGCAGACTCGCTGACTTGGTTGACACGTGTCATCGTATCCCGATTGAGTAGATCTGGTCCAGACTCGATTATTTACAGACCGCCGCCATATAGCTGGGATATTGCTGAGTGCGACGTAAAACTAAACTCAATGATTCACTTAAAGGGTGTTTGCGGGACTTCAGTGGTTCTCTAATGACTTGAATGGTGGTTGAGTGACTTAAATGGGATTTAAATTATATTTGAACGGTGTTTGAAGGCCTTGAATAGTGTTTGAATAACTTGAATGGCGTTTGGATGACTTGAATGGCGTTTGAATGGAATTTGAAATACTTGAACGGTGTCTGAATTATTTCAACTCTGTTTGAAGACCTTGAATAGTGTTTGAATGACTTGAATGGCGTTTGAATGGCGCTTGAATGACTTGAATGGCGTTTGAATGACTTGAATGGCGTTTGAATGACTTGAATGGCGCTTGAATGACTTGAATGGCGTTTGAATGACTTGAATGGCGTTTGAATGGAATTTGAAATACTTGAACGGTGTCTGAATTATTTCAACTCTGTTTGAAGACCTTGAATAGTGTTTGAATGACTTGAATGGCGTTTGAGTGACTTAAATGGAATTTGAATGACATAAATGATGTTTGAATGATTTGAATGGTGTTTGAGTGTCTTGAATGGTGTTTGACCAGCTCCCGTTTACCATGTTCACGAGTAGAATGTACAGTATCAAGCGCGGGAGTACATACGGATCCTTGGCAACCGTTGCCGAGTTCCAGCTTGGAGTTGGATATAATGGTCATCGGTTTCTTGCACACGGCCCCGCTCAGTTTGTCTTCGCACACGCGGTCTTGCCAAGCGGGATACTGCAACACGAAAACGAGGCTTTCAGTGGCATAAATTCATCCATGAACCTCATCTCTCATAAACAAACAGAAATCGATTGTTGTATCATCAATCACAAAATATAAGCTACTTTTTGGCCCATAGGATCTACATAATTTATGCAATTAGTACAATTAGTGAATGAGAGCTCGTCCTTGTGTTATTTGGATTTTCAACACATTTCTCTGTAGGTATTACAATATTCAACGTATGCATGAGGCTAACATTCGAATAACTGTTGATTTTAGTCTTGGAGGTTTTCAGAATGCATTTTCTGAATATTTCAATATGAGCTTCTTTTATCTGGGACCTCGGCGTGAAGAGAGAACGGGATACCCACCGCCCCTCGTGTGAAATTTAAATAATTTTTCCAGTGTGAAACTGGATCCTATTCTAACTCGATATTTAAGTTTTTATATCTACAAAGGAAAAGCAGAAGATCCCACTAAACTGATACGCATTCTAACTCGATGCGTAATGTCGATCAATGTGATGAAAAGCTAGGGGATATGCTATGGAATCCGAAAAAGGACATTGTCGCGATGTCGCATTGTCGCCCTCTCAAAACACAAGCAAAATGAGGGCAAAATTAACCAAAGCGCGACAATGCGACAACGCGACATTTCGGCCATTTGTCGCATTGTCGCGTTTTAATATTTTCTATTCCTCCAAAGGGCGACAATCCCAATGCTTGTTTTTGAGAGGGGCGACAACGGGACAATGCGACAACGCGACAATGTCCCTTCTCGGATTCCATAGTATGCTTAACTGTTTTAGGTGGTATAAACCCACACATGTTATTTGTCATCATTCACTCTTGGTGGTCAGTTAATGAATTTATAACAGGTATAATTAGTGGTAAATGACTTAGATTACCTGACAAAGGTTCCATTTGGTACTTGTGTCTGGAGTAAATATTCAACATTATAAACATCGATCAAAGGATTCAACTGGATAACACGTTGATTGATTAATTACTGCTATCTTATTACAGCGTAACTTTGGTTAAAAGGTAGTTTTTCTATGTAATGTAGATTTACTAATCTGTACCTGAATACACCTTTGTCGTCGGTGTCTGCGTAAAACAACGTCCCTTCTTCAAGGATTTCAACTTCGGTAATACATTGATTGATTTCAGCCCACATTGGCTAACTAAATTACTGTTTTAAAGAAAGGCGGACATTATGCAATTAGTTGCCAGGTGCTATCTCTTGGGTGACCAATGAGACTATACACCAATACCTGAAAAGATTTTATCACTTTTCTGTATATTATAAATCACATCATCATTGCTGCAAAGAGACATATTCACTTATGCTGTATTAAAAATATGCTTCCAAATCTAACTTTCTATATAAAAACTCTAAAAGAAATATTCTTTGTGGAAAACATATATCAGCCAAAATGATAAAATAAATAATTTCCATCATAAATGGAGCCTTCTCTCCCAGTACTTAGTTGACTCAAACTGTATTGACTTGTACCTGACATTATCTGTACATTATCTATTTAATGAATTATGCCTGTTTATAAATATATTAATACAAAATATCTCACCTGTACATCTGTACATTATCTATTTAATGAATTATGCATGTTATAAATATATTAATAACAAAATATCTCACCTGTACATCATGTAGCCATATTACTTTAAGCCGTACGTATCACGGCTTGGTATATCTGCAATATTGTAATCTTGGGAACCAATAAAAAAAAATCTTAAAAACTATGTTACTTTGTGACATAACGTTCTAAAATGACGTAACACTAACGTTGTGACAACGTCATGACGTTACTAATCTACAACCTTCCAACAACGTTCTGAAAAACGCTGTGTGGTGAGGTGAGTTTAACTGAAACCCGAATTGGTAGTTATTCAGGTATCGTAGGCCAAAAGGTGAATTGCATTGGTGACGGGTTATTTCATCATTTTAGGGCTTTCTTTAAAACCAGCAGTTTTGGTTATTCTCATTTTGAAGGTCCTTACCAGTGTGTGAGTCTCGTACCAAGTTGTAAAATCAAGGGCCTTTGACCGCTTGACCATTGGTACGTCCCAGGGTTGTCAATGTCGCCCTAATCCCACCCAGAACGCTGATTTGGCTTGACTAGCATCATCTCGGCGCCCAGAAAGGCTTGAACATGACTGAAAACATTAACTGATGCTTAATCCATTTTATCTGATGAAGTAAGAAATAAATTTATGTTATCATCTAACCGTATGCGAGGGCTGTCGTACAAGCCTCTCCGATATATACTAAGTGAGTGAGTGGAGTGTGGTTTTACACCGCTTTTGGCCATCTCTAGTAATATCACGGCGGGGACACCTCAGAAATAGGCTTCACACATTGTACCCCGCCGTGGGAATCAGACCCGGATCTTCGTCGTGAAGAGCGGACGCTAAGTATAATATTAGGCTACCCCGCGGTCCTAATGATATATACCAAGGCTTGAAGGATGGTAAGAAATTCCTTCTTAGAGTAGTAATATGAAAGAATCAAGATATTCTTAAACCTTCTTTGAGTAGCAAAGCAGTACTTTGGCCTCAGCGCTTTCTGATTAGACATTGTTTGGATCTCGCGGACCTACACCTGCCAGTGATGGTGGCGAGGTGACCTTTATTCACTTCTGAAATCCTTCTCTCTGCATCCCGCCACGATTTCGCTGGTACCCACTTTGAAGCTCTAAAGCTTAGGTCGCATTCAGAGCGAGGTTACTGAATGAGAAGGAAGGTGTTTCAACATTTAAATATGTAATATAATATAACAAGTTTTATGGATAACAACCCTTTATTTTCGTGGAGTGCGATGTTTTGATATGATTCTGTACCTCGTTGTCGGGCTAAGAGTGATACATGGCTGTAGGAGCTGCATATATATACTGTATAATAAATGAAACAAATATAATAGGATAAAGGAAACAAACATAATTGCCAAGGATTGGCTACAGTAAGCTTTGATGTAAAGCCAGTAAGTACAGTTGATAGTGGATGGAAGCCAGAGGATGTTACAATGAGATGTTTATAATGGATGCGAAGCCATACAATAGACTGGGCTTCTGGTGGAGGAGGATCATAAGCAGATGGAATGAAGTGCATCCTTTGTCACGGTTGATGGTAGGTTTGTGGCGTTTGATGAAATTTACTCTGTGGAGCTTTGCGTTTGAAGTCCGGTTTGGTTGTTGGCGAGAAATGGTGATGTCGGACCACCCCATTTGATGATTGGGGTTGGCTTTGATGTGTATTTTCAGAGATATTGATCGGTGTCGGAATCTGAAGCAACAGAGGTGCGATGTCTCCTTTGACTCGGGTGCTGATGGTCGACGTTCTCACCCATGTATAATTGTCCACAACTCACAGCCCATTCTTTGTAAATAAATAATACCCCGGGCTGTTGGGTTGCTGACGGTGGCTGTCTCCTGCTGGTACGGGAGGGAGGTTGTTGAGGCTGGAGGGACGCTGAGAAGGTAGTGTGCTCCATCTCTGCCTGTTGTTCTTGTGGAGTCGGCTGATTGGTGTGATGGTTTCTACTTCAATGTAGGGAATGGATATCTTGGATGGGGGCTGATTCTGCTTGTGATCTTTGGCAGGAGTGAAAGCGTTGCCTGATGGTCTCCAGCTTGACTATTCCCCAGGCGGGTAGTGGTCAGGTTCCACAAAGACTCCCTCTCCTCCCTCAGGTGTCTCAATTTCTTCCCTGTAGGTTTGTTGAGCAGATGTTCCTACCATAGCAAGCCTACCATCAGCTTACTGCCTTAGCCAATCATGGCAATTTAAGTGTTAGTTTCCCCTTTGTCTATTATGTTGTTTCCATTGTTATATACAGTATATATATGCAGCTCCTACACTTCCATGCGACCACTCTTTGGTTTTACAATTCGGGTACAAGAATCTGTATCGAAACGCCGCGACTCAATTTGAAAATAAAGCAAAGCTGTTATCCATAAAACTTGTTATACATTGTACGTAAGTCATAGCAGGTCGCGTGGAGGCCCATTTGCTGGACGAGAAGGAAAGGTGTTTCAACATTTAAATATATAATATAATAAATTAATATTTCATTTTCATAGCGAGTTAGTATCCATCTGTCTAGTTGTTTCGCTGGCGCAATTGTAGGGGACAGTGGAGTGTGAGGGATATGTCAAATACTGTAAGCAGTTCAGAAGGGTTTTGATTAAACTTTTAAAAGTGGATCCACAGGAGGTGGCTTTGAGTTCTGATGGTAAAGTGTACCAACATATGTCGAAATATGTGTGGAAATACGTTGGGGTAGGCTAGTGGTAAAGCGTTGGCTCGTCACGCCGAAGACCCGGGTCTGATTCCCCACATGGGTACAATGTGTGGAGCCCATTCTGGTGTCCCCCGCCGTGATGTTGCTGGAATATTGCTAAAAGCGGCGTAAAACCAAACCCACTCACTCACTCACTGACGTTGGCGTTCTATATGTGATATAATCGAGTCCGTAAGTTATAGAATGTCCACAAAAAAATGCCGCCTTGGTTTAAGGTTTCAGAGGCTTGAAAAACTTTTATACGGATAATCATCATAAAATAGAGCAAGCAAGTGTGTGTTTGATTGGCTAGACTGGTTTTAAATGACTTGAATGGTCTTTGACTTGAACGGTGTTTGAATGATTTGAACGGTGTTTGAGGGACTTAAAAGGACCCGTGAAGATCCGAGTTAGAATTGATCTTCAGTAACCCTATGTTTGTCGTAAGAGGCGACTAATGAGGATCGGGTGGGCAGACTCGCTGACTTGGTTGACACATGTCATCGTATCCCGATTGAGTAGATCTGGTCCAGACTCGATTATTTACAGACCGCCGCCATATAGCTGGGATATTGCTGAGTGCGACGTAAAACTAAACTCAATGATTCACTTTAAAGGGTGTTTGCGGGACTTCAGTGGTTCTCTAATGACTTGAATGGTGGTTGAGTGACTTTAAATGGGATTTAAATTTGATATTTGAACGGTGTTTGAAGGCCTTGAATAGTGTTTGAATAACTTGAATGGCGTTTGGATGACTTGAATGGCGTTTGAATGGAATTTGAAATACTTGAACGGTGTCTGAATTATTTCAACTCTGTTTGAAGACCTTGAATAGTGTTTGAATGACTTGAATGGCGTTTGAATGGCGCTTGAATGACTTGAATGGCGTTTGAAATGACTTGAATGGCGTTTGAATGACTTGAATGGCTTTTGAATGACTTGAATAGCGTTTGAATGACTTGAATGGCGTTTGAATGGAATTTGAAATACTTGAACGGTGTCTGAATTATTTCAACTCTGTTTGAAGACCTTGAATAGTGTTTGAATGACTTGAATGGCGTTTGAGTGACTTAAATGGAATTTGAATGACATAAATGATGTTTGAATGATTTGAATGGTGTTTGAGTGTCTTGAATGGTGTTTGACCAGCTCCTCTGCTTACCATGTTCACGAGTAGAATGTACAGTATCAAGCGCGGGAGTACATACGGATCCTTGGCAACCGTTGCCGAGTTCCAGCTTGGAGTTGGATATAATGGTCATCGGTTTCTTGCACACGGCCCCGCTCAGTTTGTCTTCGCACACGCGGTCTTGCCAAGCGGGATACTGCAACACGAAAACGAAGCTTTCAGTGGCATAAATTCATCCATGAACCTCATCTCTCATAAACAAACAGAAATCGATTGTTGTATCATCAATCACAAAATATAAGGTACTTTTTGGCCCATAGGATCTACATAATTTATGCAATTAGTACAATTAGTGAATGAGAACTCGTCCTTGTGTTATTTGGATTTTCAACACATTTCTCTGTAGGTATTACAATATTCAACGTATGCATGAGGCTAACATTCGAATAACTGTTGATTTTAACTGTTGATTTTAGTCTTGGAGGTTTTCAGAATGCATTTTCTGAATATTTCAATATGAGCTTCTTTTATCTGGGACCTCGGCGTGAAGAGAGAACGGGCTACCCACCGCCCCTCGTGTGAAATTTAAATAAATTTTTCCAGTGTGAAACTGGATCCTATTCTAACTCGATATTTAAGTTTTTTATATCTACAAAAGGAAAAGCAGAAGATCCCACTAAAGATACGCATTAACACATGCGTGATGTCGATCAATGTGATGTAGCTAGGGGGTATGCTATGGAATCCGAAAAAGGACATTGTCGCGATGTCGCATTGTCGCCCTCTCAAAACACAAGCAAAATGAGGCAAAATTAACCAAAGCGCGACAATGCGACAACGCGACATTTCGGCCATTTGTCGCATTGTCGCGTTTTTAATATTTTTCTATTCCTCCAAAGGGCGACAATCCCAATGCTTGTTTTTGAGAGGGCGACAACGGGACAATGCGACAACGCGACAATGTCCCTTCTCGGATTCCATAGTATGCTTAACTGTTTTTAATAGAGTTATCACTATCATTTAAAACTTGGACCTGGCGACACTCAGACATCACAGGAATATACTTCGTGGAACTCACGACAGAAATATACTCAGAACATACTCATAAATATACTCATATACTTCGTGGGCCTGGGGACAGTACAGCAAGCAAGAGTATACTGCAAGAATCTCATGACATGAAAGCAAGACAGAAATACACTTCACTGATCGCGGGACATTTAGGATCCGTGGCCAAAATGATTATACACATGTACATGTATTTCTGGTGGGAGGAATCCCTATTATTGAACCGGAGTTAACTTGTTGCTTGATGGGCATTTTAGAAGTTGGTGAGTCAATAGTGAAGCATACTACTATAACTGTCACAACTTATTGTTTATTGCATAGAGCGACATTTCGGTGTAGATTCTTACACAGTGCAAGCTAAAAATATACTTTATGGGTCACAACTTATTGCTTACTGCATAGTAATATGTCGCATTGTCGCATTGTCGCGCATTTTTGGGCTTTTTTCACACATCTTAGATGGGGCGACAACGCGACATATTTTGACCTTGAAAATTGTCGCTATGTCGCATTGTCGCCCTTTGGAGGAATAGAAAAATATTATTAAAAACGCGACATGCGACATCGCGACAAATGGCCGAAATGTCGCGTTGTCGCATTGTCGCGCTTTGGTTAATTTTGCTTCATTTTGCTTTTTATTGAGAGGGCGACAACACGATAATGCGACAACGCGACAATGTCCCTTCTCGGATTCCATAGATAACGGTGTAAGAATCTACACCTAAACGTCGCACTGTGCAATAAACAAAAGTCGTCCTGCATAAAGTTTTATCGGTGTTGACTCTGTTAACTTAATGGATGTACTCACGTCCGCCGACATAGCAACACAGTCCTCGTCATGCCCCATCCAGTTGTTGGGTTCGTTCTTGGCCCAGTGGGTGTACGACACGGGCTGGCCGTCCTGCCAAGCGAACTTCATCTCTAAAACTTTATCATTCAGGCCTATCCATACGAAATGGCCGTGTTTGGCTAAACCTGCGTATAAACATGAAGACAGTGTTATGGTTTTATGGTTTCGCAATACTTCAGCAATATCGCGACGGGGTGGGTGAAATGGCCTATGCCGAGACTAGCGAACACTCTAACCAGTATTCGACCCCGCCGCCTCGTATGTGAACATGAAAGGGGAGTTGGTCAGTGCGATACAGTATTTATCTCTCGTCACATTCTACAACGAACAAATTAGTCGACTCGGCGGATTGGAATTAAAGGTGATCTGCTTGTATCAGTTTAGTTGTGAGCTGATGAAAGGGGCCTTTTCTAACACAGCTGTGTCGAAATTGATCCTACATTAATACTTCGAGTTATCCGAAGCGCGACATTGCGTTACGCGACATTCGGCAATTTTCCAGACATGTGACGTAAATAATCGACGCTGGGTATGACAAACGAGTGATTGGTGTTATGAGCAGTCTCCAGCGTAATTGCGTTACGAATACATCCAAGTCACTAGCTATTTCGTTGCGTTTCACCGTAAGCATGCACCTTTTCGACCCTTACCTACTTTTCGAACCCTAACTTACTTTTTGACCCTTACTTACTTTTCGATCCTAACTTACTTTTCGATCCTAACTTACTTTTCGACCCTTACTTACTTTTCGACCCTAACTTACTTTTCGACCCTTACTTACTTTTCGACCCTAATGTACTTTTTTACCCTTACTTACTTTTCGACCCTAACTTACTTTTCGACCCTTACTTACTTTTCGACCTAACGTACTTTTCGACCCTAACTTACTTTTCGACCCTTACTTACTTTTCGACCCTAACTTACTTTTCGACCCTAACTTACTTTTCGACCCTTACTTACTTTTCGACCCTGACTTACCTTTCGACCCTTACTTACCTTCGACCCTAACGTACTTTTCGATCCTAACTTACTTTTCGACCCTAACTTACTTTTCAATCTTTACTTGCTTTTCGACCCTTACTTACTTTTCGGGATCATGGAGTAGACGAACTTATTTTCTCCATCGTCGATGGTGCTAGCGAGTTTGGCTCCCTGGTACGCGCACTGTTGGATGGAGTTGTCCCATGAACCAGTGTTCCAGGCGAAATAGTAGCAGGATCCGCGGTAATTACGCCAGTTCTGGGGACATTGGTATGTGTAGCCAGCTGAAAGCAGAAGCTAACTGGAATGAGTGAGTGAGTGAGTGAGTAAATTGGATTCGACCCGGAACTGAGGTGGGAGGAAAGCCCGAAATGATACAGGGTTTTTGTGACGCTCAACACGTCATCAGCATGAGCATGGCTCCAACAAACATAAAACAAACCAGGCCGAACGAGGATTTGAACCCAGCAGTTTCCTGCACGAACGATAGTAAGCACGGTATGGTGTTGACCAACCTGGAAATCAGGGATTCGAACTCACGATCATAGGAATGCAACAACAAACTGCACCACCGTTACAAGTGGGCCACCTGTAACCCCAAGGTGGGTAAGTGCAGTACAAACATTGCTTCATGGGTCTATACTATATATATACAGGTAATAACTACACCTCTCTTTTACCAACTGGAAACTTCCATAAATGTGACACAAATGTGCATCAGATAATATAACGAAATGCCAGCTACATAGATATGAATATATTCAAAACAACAAAGAGAAGGGAAGATTTGTGTATGTAAATTAGGACCCAAGCTTGGAGTTGTAAGAATAATAGTAAGAGAAATGTGTGCTCTTCTATTGCACTTCCACAAGGAATATGCTCAAATCCGAAAACATTAATATCCATGTCAATGGATTAGTGTGTACAAGAAATTCATTCTCAGCTTCCTGGGGAGTATACAACCCGAGCTGCCTGTGAGGTGCTAGAAGGTCATACAACTTCGGGTTACATCAATGTCTAATGCTACACTTCAAAACACCTACCTGGAACAGACTTTGGCGAGGTTGTCTGGGGTAGAGAGGTAGCTCCAACTTTATCTATTAAAAAAAAATGAGAATATTTTAGAAATAGACTTTATTACTTTTTAACTGTTCACATATATTTTATTGTGTTAAAACATATAAATATACTGAGGGAAAACAATAATGGATCACATGACAGCAAAAGTGTTCCTTTAATTTTTTCCAAGATTTCTTCACAAGCCTTGTATCTCACAACTGAAGAAACCTGAAAAAAAGAAAGGAACACTTGTGCTTTCATGTGATCCCTTATTTTATTCCCTCAGTATAGAAACCGCCTACGGCAGAACATAATGAATCCCGATTATGTACCAAAACAAAAGCCATGGGCTCTGTGAATTATATGAAAACGGTAAACCAGTCTTGATACCGTGCACTTGCGAACAGGATATGCACGTACGGTTCTACCCTTGCTATATCAACTGGGTGTGGCCATGATGTTATTAAATATATGAAATGAAACCTCGTTACTCCAGACTATACCTTTCAAACCACCCGTGAAAATCCGGGTTAGAATTGATCTTTAGTAACCCGTGCATGTCGTAAGAGGCACCTAACGGGATTGGGTAGTCAGGCTCGCTGATTTGGTTGACAGTAATGACACATGCCATTGTATTCCAATTGCGTAGATACTACAGGTTGCTGTGCGTCGAGAGGCAGCACGCTTGAAAAGCTCTCCTGGTTTTTGCCTATTTATCATACTACTGCAGTCTGAACTTTGCTGATTTTTAGCAAACTGGATACCACATACTTCCTGGATACATATCTGTGATTTCTCTGAAATGATTCCACAAGGAAGATGAGATATTTGGAGGACTTTGTGATGTTCATATTGCTATATTTGCAATATAGCACATTCAGTGACAAGCTAACATCAGCTTGGGGTGTAACGAGTATAGACCCATGGCCAGAGACGGACAATAGACAGCCAAATTAGCTTGCTCTCAGTGACAATGAGGACCTACTCAACTAGCGAGCTGTTGTTACTTAATAGCAAAGACAATCTTATCCCTACGAACACTTTTATGCAACTTCGATCTTTTGGTATATGTTCTAAGAAACGGACTAGGAGGGGCCTACGAAATCGTAAACACCAGTAGCGATGATAAACCACGCAGACCATTCTCCACTCAATGAATAACGAAGTTAAGTCAGATCACATTAAAGGTCGATATATCAAAGCATATGTCTGTGGAATGCACAGTCTGCTAGAAACCAAAACAGCAGAGTTGTTGACTATATCATGGACAATGATGTTGATGTATTCCTTATTACGGAAACTTGGCTGCACTCACAAGGTGATGATGCCATCATTGCTGATATGACGCCACCGGCATATTCGTTTCGTCACGAACCACGTCTCTCTGGCAGGGTGTGTGGGTGTGGCTGTGATATTTAAGGAGCATTTGAACCTCACACTGTGCTTCAATAAGATATCTTATAAAGCTTCGAACAGCTGAGCTTTTGTGCAGTACAATGTGAACGTTCATGTGAGATGTGTGTGCATCTATCGTCCACCTGTATCCAAACGTAATGGTTCTACTCAACAGGATTTCATTGAAGATTTCTCATTGCTTCTGTCAAATCTCACCGCACAGAAAAACATATTCTGGGAGATTTCAACATTCATTGGGATAATCCACAGGATGCCGTCACGAAAAGTGGATTAAGCTCCTGCGAATCTCATGAGCTTGTGCAGAATGTGGCCTCTTCTACCCATAGATCAGGACATACCCTTGACTGGGTTGTTACTCGACAGGACCGGGATATCTTGGATGATGTATCTGTGTTGGATTCCCAGATGTCTGATCACCACGTTATCACCTGTATCCTATCTTTAGTGAAACCGCCAAAGTCTGTTAAAGGCTGTCAAATCTCGCAATATTAAGAAAATTGATAGGAGGACTTTAGATCAGATTTACTAAACTCACTACTTTCACGAGCCAAACTGATGATCCGGAAACTTTATGTGAATTGTATAATGACACCTATCCCATCTCCTTGATAGGCATGCACCCTTTAAAGAAAGAATATTTACGACCGTTCGTCGTTACCATGGTTTAATGAAGAGATCGCTTCTTTAAAAGAGAGCGTCGTGTCATAGAACGGAGATGGAGACAGTCGGGTTTAGAAGTGTATCGTCAAATGTTCACTGCCGCTAGAAACTGTGTAACTAGGGCAGTACGGAGGGCAAAGTCTGCATACACTCTATCAGCTCTACAGTCAGTAAGATCCAGCAGAGAGATGTATCAGCTCTAAACCGCTTAGGCTGGCAAGGCTAAGGATTCTGCTCTCCCACAGACGTCTGATCTGGGGAACTTGTGGATAACTTCAATAGCTTTTTGTTGACAAAATCTGCAAGATTCGAAATGAACTTGATTCATTGGATATACCTGTAACGCATCATGAACCAACGCCATTGGGTCAAGTTACACTTCATCAGTGCTTTTGCACCATTTTCAGATGCAGAGGTCCTAAAGCTTTTAACAACAGCAAGACCAACATTTTGTATGTTGGATCCAGCACCCAACACGATTGTTCTTGAGTTCATTGATGTTTTGCTTCCAGTGATCACACGGATAATAAACAGCAGTTTATCTTCCGGATGTCCCCCCAAGTGTCTGAAGGTCGCTGTTGTTAAGCCACTCCTGAAAAAAGCCTGGCTTGGAACGCTGACACACTATCGAACTATAGGCCTGTCTCTAATTTATCCTTCACATCAAAATTGGCGAGAAGGCAATCAAAAGGTACGCCTTGTTGATCACTTGACCGTGAATGATCTCTATGACGTGCATCAGTCTGCATATCGCTCCGATCATTCCACAGAGAATGTACTTCTGCATGTGATGGAGAGACTCTTTGCTGCAGCTGATGCGGGCTATGTTACAGTTTTAACGCTGCTTGATTTATCAGCGGCGCTTTGATACCATTGACCATGTTCAATTAACTGAGTGTCTGAAAACAGAATTTGGTATTCATGGCACAGCTCTTGGATGGTCTGTCTCATACCTCAATAATAGGACACAATCTGGTCATTCAAGACGTGAAATCGTGTACGCATCAGCTTACATACGGAGTGCCACAAAGGTTCCGTTCTTGGGCCCATTCTCTTTTCACTCTATGAAGAATCTCGGCAATATCATTCGGCATCATGTTGTGATGTACGAGTCATATGCTGATGACACCCAGCTGTTGCGTTCCACTAAACCGGACTCACTTCCAGCCGATATGTCTATAATCGAAGACTGTATCCTTGACTCCAAAGCATGGATGATACGTGCAAGGAAGCTGAGATTAAATGACATGAAGTAAGACCGAGGTTTTGCTGTGTGGATCACCAGCAGTAGCACTGCTAAGGTGGATGGTGATGTGTCTTCGTTGGTGAGTGGGTAATGAGAAAGTTCCTTTCAGTGATTCCGTGAAAGACCTTGGTGTTTTCTAGACTCAAATTTATCCATGGAAACACACGTAAACTCTGTTTGTAAGTCATGCTATTTTCATCTCAGAAATATTGCTTCCATTCGTGATATTCTGACATTTGATGCAGCTCACCACCTAGTTCGTTCACTTGTTCTCTCACGTTTGGATTATTGCTGCAGTCTTCTTGTAAATATCCGCCAGATCTATTGTCCAAGCTCCAGAGGATTCAGAACTCTGCGGCGCGATTGATTTGCCGAGTCAACAAGCGCAGTCACATTACACCATTGCTGATACAGCTTACATTGGCTGCCCACGAAACAGAGAATAGAATATAAAATCCTCACTCTCGCTTTCAAGAGATTGCCTCCATGACAAAGCTCAATCTATCTGAAAGATCTCCTCAGTGAATATGTCCCACCACGGCTTTTAAAGATCAAGTTCTAATTGTCCAGTTGAATGTCCCCAGGTCAGATTAAAGTCATATGGACATAGACAGTTCTCTTACACAGCTCCCCTTTTCTGGAACTCACTGCCTCTTCACATCCGACAAGCCGCGTCCGTGGAATCTTTCCAGTCACAACTGAAAACTTTCCTTTTTAAACAAGCTTATGAACTTTAATCCTTTCTTCAGATCACTCTATCTTTTAGCGCCTAGAGAAATTGCCTTGCAGTTTGATTTGTGCGCTATACAAGAACACTTATTATTATTATTATTATTAGATCGATGCTCATGATGTTGATCACTGGATTGTCTGGGCAAGACTCGATAAATACAGACCGCTGCTATATAGCTGGAATATTGCTGAGTGCGGCGTAAAACTAAACTCTCCCTTTCAAAACAAAATCGTGTCCGCATAAACGAACTGCATTGCTCCGAAGAATGGTTAAAATATAATTTTTAATCAATTTTATATTGTATATACAGCAAAACTACTAACGCTACCAAGGTTCCAACGTATCCGTCCTTTCTATGACACTGTTTGTCAATAAAAGTGCAAAATATTTTTACACATTTTAAAAAGTTCTTAATGAAGCAACGATTACTTACTCCCGGGTTTGGCGCAGATGAAGTTCAATTTCGAGCTGCAAACGAAGTCGTTGTATTTGCCGTACAGCTGTGATCCAAACGTCATCGACATTCCGACACAGTCCTCGTTGCCGTCCTGGTTTGGCTCGCCTGGTTTCCACTGGATGACTCCACTCTGAATGCATCATACACGTTACCATGACAGCTGTAAGTCATTACCCTCTCAATGGAGGAGGTGAGTGAACTAATATTTCTATCCAATCAGATCACACGTTTGAGCGAGAGACATTCTGAGTCAAGTTAGTGATTGGAGATATTAAGACGAGGCCACTTAGGCATGGAATGATCCCCGGATGGTGATATTTACAGATTGAACATATGACACCCTGGATTGTCAAGAAGAACTAAACTAAACAAAATCATGCATTGTGTTAAATATTATAGCCATATTTAGGGACCATTCATAATTCATGGTTGGGGTGTGGGGTTCTTGATGATGATATAACACATGTACTGGGGGGTCAGCAGTTCTGTACGTTTTTATATTAAAAAAATATGCTTATAAATTAGGAAAAAAATCACATTCTTCATGCTTTTCCATACAAATCATCAACAAATTAATAATTAATAATATAATTATAAACAATTAAAATTCCCCCAAGTATTGAATTATCTCGATTCATCATAATATATTGGTATGTAGTGTCCTGGACGCCATTCTTACAGGAGACGTGTCATCAAGCCATACAAATCCGCCCTCGTGTTTTATGTCGTTTAAACCAATCCACCAGTTTCCGGAGGTGTCGATGTGATCTGCATAAGAAAGTTAAATGGATTGTCATGATGCTGACACCCTTGCTGAATCTGTTTCAATTAAAGGATGCCTGTCTGGAGATTGAATACACAGTGTCATTTAGAAAGTGGTCAAATGTAACATATGTTATATTTGGGATTACACTCTCTCATTAAAGTACAGATTCTAGTACTTTTGTTCTGTTGAGTCCCATCCGGGACTGTGTGCTGGCGATTAGGTGCCTGGCTCTGAGGGTGTGGGTTCGAATCCCAGATGGGACTCAACCCAACAAATAAAAGTACTAGAATCCTATCCCACATATGTTATGTCTCAGATTATTATTACTTGGTCACGTAACAGTCATTTAAGATCCTGTTGTTGACAGGCCATTATTTTCCTTACTTACACCATCACTGACTTCAAGCTGTGATGACCTATCATCGCTCACACTGTCACTAACTTCATGAGAAGGGATTGGGAGAAGATATCTGCTTATCGCCTATTTGATCATTTAATGGCGGTTCAGTCAAGGGATTGGAGAGAAGATATTCAACTCCGCTATCACGAAGACCCAGGTTCGAATCACATGCTAATTCATGATCCCATTTCTGGTGTCCCCGCCGTGTGTTGCTGGAATATTGCGGTCAGTCACTCAGTCAACGGCGTTCAAAACTTGCCTTTAGCAAAACCAAGTATGTCTGTGTTCGAGACCCTGAGAAGGTCTCCATGCTGCTTCTTGCACCAAGCCCGTGCTCCCTGCCAGGTGGTTTTACCCTTGTTAAAGTTGTAACAGCTGTTTTCAAACCCCAGCCATCCGATGTCGCACTGGTAATACACTGAAAGTCACAAGTTATTGATCATCATATATATCATCGTATATGTAACCAAATCCACGTCAGCCATAAACACTCTGACATAAATCTACAAACGTAATATGTTTGCAATATCTGTGTTCACCACACAGACACGGCCGAGAGTATTATCCAATTAAGATTATTAATGTCATTATAAAGATTGCTGATGCACAATGTGAAGTTGTTTGTTTGTTTGTTTGGTGGGTTGTTGACGCCGCACTCAGCAATATTACAGCTACAAAACAAATTGTATATGTCAATGGTTTGTAAATATTCGAGTCTGGAATAGACAATCCAGTGATCAACAGCATGAGCATTGATCTATGCAATTGGGATTCAGCGAGCCTGACCACCCGATCCCGTCAGACGCCTCTTACGACATGCATGGTTCACAATGTAAAGCAGAAACTCAACACTTTGCAAGAGTGAAGTAGTAGAAACACTATAATTTTGAAAGATGTGACAAAATGTACGCATAATCCTGCTCATATTCCACCTTGTGACCAACGTACCTGACTTTTTACAAATATACCCTCTTCTCTCGTTGCAGACGGTGTCGTGCCAGCGGCCAGTGCTGGACAGCACGGCGGCACAGTCCTCGTTGTTGGCGTAGTCGTTGGGTTCTCCTGCAGACAACAGACGTATCAGTGAACATGTAATTTAGAGGGCGGTGGGGTAGCCTAGTGGTTAAAGCGTTCGTTCTTCATGCCAAAGACCCGGGTTCGATTCCCCACATGGGTACAATGTGTGAAGACCATTTCTGGTGTCCCGCTCCGCGATATTGCTGGAATATTGGTAAAGGCGGCGTAAAACCAAACTCACTATAATTCAGATATACCTTCATCACGGTCCAGAGCTTCAAGCCGACACCTCGCGACACATTAGGATTTTCATCGTGAGGACTAGCTATTTCAGACTTCGGTACAGTTTGAATGTATTGGCATAAAGCATTCAAACTATTTGCAACACAAACATACACGAACACACACGCAAACACACGGACACAAACACAAAAACACACATCTATGTATAAGTCTCTGAGCTCGATTTACTCTTTCTGAGCGGCAATTTCATAGTTTACCAGCTATTCATATTCATTTTTTGTTGTTGAGCAGATTCTTAAAATCCTAATTCATATCCTCCATCACGGATATACTTTGAAACGAACGTGAACCACTCTAATAAATCACTATCTGGGCAGATAAGCCTTGCTTTCCCACCTGAAGGGATTCGCAACCCTTGAATAAGGAAGGCGTTGCAGCCGTGTAATTCAAGGGCTGGGTACAGCTTCGCCCATTCTTTTCCTTAAATTAAGCACGACCCACACACAAGCACACACACGCGCGCACTAATGCACACACGAACACACATCTACCTGCATTCCAGTTGAGATAGCCAAATGGTTTGTTATCTGCCCATCTCCAGCCGCCCTCGGTACCAAGGTCATTGGCCCCTATCCAGTAATCTGCAGACAGCTTTCCTCTGATTCTCCCTACAGAGGTACAACACATCGGCACTTTAATACAGCGAGAACAAACCAAATGAGAAGTGGATACAAATACTCCTTGTCGCTATAGTAATGTCTTACAAACCTTGCAAATAGTCCCAAAGCCATTTTACACCTAATTCCCAGAAGTGCCACTCTGAAATACTGTTAAACAGATATACAGACGTCATCGCACCTATGGCTTCTATCTCCAAGCACTTAATTTCTCTCGCTCCTGAGAGTAATTTGATTGGACGAATTCTTCAGCGCCATGCCATTCAAAACTAAAAAGTGAATAGCTCAGTTGCATTTATCACAACAAACGCGACAGAATACGGGAAAATCAAGGATTTACTTACCTGTAATAAAGGCGGACTCCTCGCTCGACTCGACGGTAGCCAAGCGTCCACCATGTGCCTTGCACGTAGTGTCGGCGTCGTACCACGTGAGTTGTTGATCACTGAACTGGTAGCAGTAAGGCGTCGTGGGGTCAGATTCCCAGAAGGCACCGCACTTTGTTGTCCATGGTTCTGGTGGCAGTTAGTTATTAAAGTTATTATAAGGTATTAAACTATCAGACAAAACTACAAAACAATAACCAGGTTAGGATACAGCTTTCTGAGAAAGTGGGGGTGCACACTTCATTTTCGCGAGAGTTACAGTTGTCATTTAATAAACTTTCAGGACAAAAGAGGGGATGCGCACCCCCGCACACACACGCACACGTACGTACGCACGCACGCACACACACACGCACACACACACACACACACACACCACCCCTCTGGATCCGCCTATGATAACAGTCGTTATTGAAACTTCACTGAAAACAGTTGCCGAAATTCTGCAGCAGAACGGTGATACCCGTAGAAAATCGACAAACCATTCCTTCATTTTTTCACTTTTGCTACAATCAATGCTTGTATATTTTCTTCGGTCCACCATTAAACATGCTTGTATATTATGTTTGGTTCACCATCAAACATGCTTGTATATTATGTTTGGTTCACCATCAAACATTGTTGTATATTTTCTTCGGTCCACCATTATAAATGCTTGTATATTATGTTTGGTTCACCATCAAACATGCTTGTATATTTTCTTTGGTTCACCATCAAACATTGTTGTATATTTTCTTTGGCCCTCCATAAAAAATGCTTGTATATTATGTTTGGTTCACCATCAAACATGCTTGTATATTTTCTTTGGTCCTACATAAAAAATGCTTGTATATTTTCTTCGGTCCACCATTAAACATGCTTGTATATTATGTTTGGTTCACCATTAAACATGCTTGTATATTATGTTTGGTTCACCATCAAACATTGTTGTATATTTTCTTCGGTCCACCATTATAAATGCTTGTATATTATGTTTGGTTCACCATCAAACATGCTTGTATATTTTCTTTGGTTCACCATCAAACATTGTTGTATATTTTCTTTGGTCCTCCATAAAAATGCTTGTATATTATGTTTGGTTCACCATCAAACATGCTTGTATATTTACTTTGGTCCTCCATAAAAAATGCTTGTATATTTTCTTCGGTCCACCGTCAAACATGCATGTATATTTTATTTGGACCATCATCAAACATGCTGGTATATTTTCTGGCCCACCACTCGGAAACTATGTCCACAAGGAAACTATGATCTCCTTCTCATACACATCATTTCTCAAACTTTGGTAATTATTTTAACAGGTATACATACAATCAATTTGACATAGTGAGTGAGTGAGTCAGTTTAGTTTTACGCCGCTTTGAGCAATATTCCAGGAATATCACGGCGGGGACACCAGAACTGGGCTTCACACATTGTACCAATGTGGGGAAGCGAACCGGTCTTCAGAGTGACGAGCGAGCGCTCTAACCACAGGCTAAAACAGTGAGTGAGTGAGTTCAGGTTTACGCTGCACAACATGAGCATCGATCTGCGCAATTGGGAACCGATGACATGTGTCAACCAAGTCAGCGAGCCTGACCACCCGATCCCGTTAGTCGCCTCTTACAAGCATGGGTTACTGCAGATCAATTCTAACCCGGACCTTCACGGGTACCTCTGTCAGAGCTAGGCTACCACAGTGTATCTGACATGATCATAACACAGCTTCTAAAGCTATATCAGTTATATCAAAGCGTGCCAAATTTTTGTGGGAGAAAAACCGGAAGTGATTGGGGTCTTGGTCTCATCCACTTTGATGACAGTTTCCTGAAAGTAATCCAGGAATGGATAATGGCGCCAGTCTGCCCACAGAGCAAGGATGATGTCCAAGGGGAACTGTTGCATCCCAAACCACTGTCATGGGATTCTGGCACATCTACAGTCATGTTTGCGATTTGTTTGTTTGTAACGCTACAATAGTCCAGCTACATGGCCGCGCAGTCCAGTCTTTGACACCACGGGCATTGATTTACGCAAATGGGATACCACGAGAGAAACCCGTGAAGGTCCGGGTTAGAATGAACCTTCAGTAACCCATGCTTGTCTACCCGTGAAGGTCCGGGTTAGAATGAACCTTCAGTAACCCATGCTTGTCTACCCGTGAAGGTCCGGGTTAGAATGAACCTTCAGTAACCCATGCTTGTCTACCCGTGAAGGTCCGGGTTAGAATGAACCTTCAGTAACCCATGCTTGTCGTAAGAGGCGACTAACGGGATCGGGTGGCCAGGCTCACTGGCTTGGTTGACACATGTCATCGGTTCCCAATTGCGCAGATCGATGCTCATGCTGATGATCACTGGATTGTCTGGTCCAGACTCGATTATTTACAGACTGCCGCCATATAGTTGGAATATTGCTGAGTGCGGCGTAAAACTAAACTCACTCATTCACTTAAAGGGTGTTTGAGGGACTTCAGTGGTTCTCGAATGACTTGAATGGTGGTTGAGTGACTTAAATGGGATTTGAATTATATTTGAACGGTGTTTGAAAGTTTCGTTATACGACATGCATGAGCTGCTGAAGACCAATTTAACTGGGAGTTTCACGGTGATTGCCTCTTACGGCAAACATGGGCTGCTGATGACCAAATCTAACCATTGTCTACATGCACGCCCAAGACACTAGCTTAACGTTCCAACTAATCCGTTAACAGATTACTTACTTGGTGTTGTCGGAGGCGGAGACACGTAGGCATTTACTGGAAAATATATGTATAGAAAATAAATAAGTCACATATCAGATTTAGAAAATAAAGGTGTTCATGCAACAAAATACAATTTTGGCGTGAAGGAGGAAATCAAAAAGTGGATACCGGCGAATGACGAATAACATGTATTGGACTAGAACCATTGACAGCTATGGCGTACATTGTAAGCTCATACACTTGTATTACAATCCAATGTATCAACGTTAATGTATCTTAACATGAACATGTTTTGTTTTGTCAGTGTTTATCAATCAGACTGTGAAACAAGGGATTTTGTGAAATCCCTGAATTTTTCAGTAATTTTATGAAAACCCGGTACAAACCAGTGAAGTATTGATGATGGAGTGAGGGAATGACTTGTTCCTGGCGCTACAGGTATAATCACAACACACACCTGCTTTAATCCGACATATGAAGTTGAACCTAGCGCTACAGGTATACATGTAATCATAAACACACCTGCTTTAATCCGACATATAAAGTTGAACCTAGCGCTACAGGTATAATCATAAACACACCTGCTTTAATCCGACATATAAAGTTGAACCTAGCGCTACAGGTATAATCATAAACACACACCTGCTTTAATCTGACATATAAAGTTGAACCTAGCGCTACAGGTAATCATAAACACACACCTGCTTTAATCTGTATAATCATATAATCATAAACACACACCTGCTTTAATCCGACATATAAAGTTGAACCTAGCGCTACAGGTATAATCATAAATACACCTGCTTTAATCCGACATATAAAGTTGAACCTAGCGCTACAGGTATAATCATAAACACACACCTGCTTTAATCCGACATATAAAGTTGAACCTAGCGCTACGGGTATAGTCATAAACACACCTGCATTCATCTGACATATATGTTGAATCTGGTGATACAGGTATAATCACAAATACACACCTGCTTCAATTGGACACACCTGCTTTCATCTGACATATAAAGTTGTACCTGACAATAGAGGTATAATCATAACACACACCCGCTTTAATCCGAGACATAATGTTGAACCTAGTGCTATAGGTATAATCATAACACACACCTGCTTTAAACCGACATATAAAGTTGAACCTGGCGTCGCAGCTAAAGTCATGCCAAAGACCATTCTGTTCGGGTGTCTTGGTAGCGTACATGACAACACAGTTCTCGTTGCCGTTCTGCTTGTTGTCCGGTTGACCCTTTATCCACTGTGTGTATGTAGCCTGAAGCACAAGGGTTAAGGCATATAAAATTCGAACTCAATTTGCTCGAGATCCCCTTAGAAACGACCTACGCATCGAAGTGTGTGAGTGAGTCCCATAAGCAAGGAGTGGGTGAGTTTACTTTAACGCTGCACCCAGCAATATTCCAGCTATATGGTGGCGGTCTGTAAATAATCGACTCTGGACCAGACAATCCAGTGATCAACAGCATGAGCATCGATCTATGTAATTGGGAACCGATGACATATGTCAACCAAGTGACCGCCAGGTCCCGTTAGTCGCCTCTTACCAGAAGCATGGACTACAGAAGACCAATTCTAACAACACGGATCTTTACGGGTATTTGATGGTAGATGGTTTGGTGTAGTGTTTGGGTTCAAATGGGTTTATTTCATGTAATTCGTGAGTACGGATGTTGGGATCAATGGGCAAACTTCGGACCTGTGAGGGACGGTGGGGTAGCCTAATAGTTGAAGTGCCCTCTCGTCGCGCTGAAGACTCGGGTCCGATTCCCCACATAGGTACTATATGTGAAGCCAATTTCTGGTGACCCCGCCGTTGTATTGATGGATTATTGCTAAAAGCGCAGTGTGTATGTTTGAAAAGTGACCGGAAATTGTATGCTGTTCATTTCAAATAGGGGCAGTGGGGTAACCTAGTGGTTAAAGCGTTCGCTCGTCACGCCGAAGACTCGGGTTCGATTGCCCAGATTCTGGTGTCCCCCGCCGTGATATTGCTGAAATATTGCTTAAAGCGGCATAACTCACTCACTCATTTAAAGTATGTATGGAATCCTAGAAGGGACATTGTCGCATTGTCACCATCTCAAAAACAAGCAAAAAAGACAAAATTAACCAAAGCTTTTGGCCATTTGTCGCCATTTCTATTCATCCAAAGGTCGGCAATGCGACATAGCGAAAACTTTCATTATTATAAAAATATGTGGCCCCATCTACGATGAGTAAAATAAGCCTTAAAATGCGTGACAATGCAACAACGCGACAGTGTCCCTTCTAGGATTCCATTAATATGCACTAAAGTGGGAGCAAGGCGTGGTAGGCTATGTGCAGGTGGATCTATATATCAGCATTACGTTGGTGGTTTCCCCCGGCCATGTCCACTTTCCCTCATTTGTCTGGTCGTTCAGTCCGATCCAGTAGTCTCCGTGATGCTGTACCTTACCTGAAAAACATACAGTGGAAGAAGGTTGAACACCACACTGACATGTTACCAGTGAAGTATGGCTTGACTCATACACGCGCAATGTTGTCCTCATTTTGTTTGTCGGTTAACGCCGCTCTCAGCAATATTCCAGCTGACCTATTAACTGGCTTAAATATAAGCGTTCGGTGGCGTATGAGCTGACTTGAACACACGTGCATTGGTGGCCTATGAGAGACTTGGATACAAGCGTATTGGTGACGTATGAACTGACTTGAACACACGTGCATTGGTGACCTATGAGAGACTTGGATACATGCGTACTGGTGACGTATGAATTGACTTGAACACACGTGCATTGGTGACCTATGAGAGACTATGATACAAGCGTACAGGTGACGTATGAACTGACTTGAACACACGTGCATTGGTGACGTATGAGAAACTAGGATACATGCGTACTGGTGACGTATGAACTGACTTGAACACACGTGCATTGGTGATCTATGAGAGACTTGGATACATGCGTATTGGTGACGTATGACCTAACATGAACACATGTGCATTGGTGACCTATGAGAGACTTGGATACATGCGTACTGGTGACGTATGAATTGACTCGAACACGCGTGCATTAGTGACCTATGGGAGATTATGATACAAGCGTACTGGTGACGTATGAACTGACTCGAACACGCGTGCATTGTGACCTATGAGAAACTAGGATACACGTACTGGTGACATGAGAGACTGAACTGACTTGAACACACGCATTGGTGATCTATGAGACTTGGATACATGCGTATTGGTGACGTATGACCTAACATGAACACATGTGCATTGGTGACCTATGACCCATGAGACTTATGATACATGCGTACTGGTGACGTATGAATTGACTAGAACACGCGTGCATTGGTGACCTATGAGAGATTATGATACAAGCGTACAGGTGACGTATGAACTGACTTGAACACACGTGCATTGGTGACGTATGAGAAACTAGGATACATGCGTACTGGTGACGTATGAACTGACTTGAACACACGTGCATTGGTGACCTATGAGAGACTTGGATACATGCGTATTGGTGACGTATGACCTGGAACACATGTGCATTGGTGACCTATGAGAGACTTGGATACATGCGTACTGGTGACGTATGAATTGACTCGAACACACGTGCATTAGTGACCTATGAGAGACTTGGATACATGCGTACTGGTGACGTATGAACTGACTTGAACACACGTGCATTGGTGACCTATGAGAGACTTGGATACATGCGTACTGGTGACGTATGAACTGACTTGAACACACGTGCATTAGTCACCTAAGAGGGACTAGGATACATGTGTACTGGTGACGTATGAATTGACTTGAACACATGTGCATTGGTCACCTATGAGAGATTATGATACAAGCGTATTGGTGACGTATGAACTGACACGAACACGCGTGCATTGGTGACCTATGAGAGACTTGGACACTAGCGTACTGGGCCTCCTTTTATAAAGCACTAAGGCGATCGTAAGTCACTAAGGTAACCTTAGTGCAATGTTAAAGAATGGGAGTTAAAGTTAAGCTTAGTAAAGGTTGCTTCGTGAAAGGGTTCCCTGGTGACGTATGAACTGACTTGAACACACGCGCTTTGGTGACCGATGAGAGACGTGGACACTAGCATACTGGTGACGTATGAACTGACTTGAACACACGTGCAATGGTGATCTATGAGAGACAAAGATACATGCGTACTGGTGACGTATGAACTGACTTGAACACACGTGCATTGGTCACCTATGAGGGAGCAGGATACATGCGTACTGGTGAAGTATGAACTGACTCGAACACACGTGCATTGGTGACCTATGAGAGACTAGGACACATGCGTACTGGTGACGTATGAACTGACTTGAACACACGTGCATTGGTGATCTATGAGAGACTTGGATACATGCGTACTGGTGACGTATGAACTGACTTGAACACACGTGCATTGGTGATCTATGAGAGACTTGGATACATGCGTACTGGTGACGTATGAATTGACTTGAACACATTAGTGCATTAGACTTGTGATCTATGAGATTAGTCACCTTGGGGACTAGGATACATGCGTACTGGTGACTTGAACACACGTACATTGGCGACGTATGAACTGACTTGGACACACGGGCCTCCTTTCATCAAAGCACTATGGCGATCGTAAGTCACTAGGGTAACCTTAGTGCAATGTTAAAGAATGGGAGACGTAAAGGTTGAACCCTGGTGACGTATGAACTGACTTGAACACACGCGCTTTGGTGACCTATGAGAGACGTGGACACTAGCATACTGGTGACGTATGAACTGACTTGAACACACGTGCATTGGTGACGTATGACAGACTAGGATACATGCGTACTGGTGACGTATGAACTGACTTGAACACAAGCGCATTGGTGACCGATGAGAGACGTGGACACTAGCATACTGGTGACGTATGAACTGACTTGAACACACGTGCATTGGTCACCTATGAGGGACTAGGATACATGTGTACTGGTGACGTATGAACTGACATGAACACACGTGCATTGGTCACCTATGAGAGATTATGATACAAGCGTATTGGTGACGTATGAACTGACACGAACACGCGTGCATTGGTGACCTATGAGAGACTTGGATACATGAGTACTGATGACGTATGAACTGACATGAACACGCGTGCATTGGTGACCTATGAGAGACTTGGATACATGCGTACTGGTGACGTATGAATTGACTCGAACACACGTGTATTGGTGACCTATGAGAGATTAGGATACAAGCGTACTGAAGACGTATTAACTAACACACAGGCAACCTATACTGGTGACAAACACAGACACACCATACTGGTGAAAAACACAGACACACCATACTGGTGACAAACACAGACACACCATACTGGTGACAAACACAGACACACCGTACTGGTGACAAACACAGACACACCGTACTGGTGACAAACTCTGACACACCGTACTGGTGACAAACACAGACACACCGTACTGGTGACAAACACAGACACACCACACTGGTGACAAACACAGACACACCACACTGGTGACAAACAGTGACACACCATACTGGTGACAAACACAGACACACCATACTGGTGACAAACACACAGACACACCGTACTGGTGACAAACACAGACACACCATACTGGTGACAAACACAGACACACCATACTGGTGACAAACACAGACACACCATACTGGTGACAAACACAGACACACCATACTGGTGACAAACACAGACACACCGTACTGGTGACAAACACAGACACACCGTACTGGTGACAAACACAGACACACCGTACTGGTGACAAACACAGACACACCGTACTGGTGACAAACACAGACACACCATACTGGTGACAAACACAGACACACCATACTGGTGACAAACACAGACACACCGTACTGGTGACAAACACAGACACACCGTACTGGTGACAAACACAGACACACCGTACTGGTGACAAACACAGACACACAGACACACCGTACTGGTGACAAACACAGACACACCGTACTGGTGACAAACACAGACACACCGTACTGGTGACAAACACAGACACACCGTACTGGTGACAAACACAGACACACCGTACTGGTGACAAACACAACACACGGTACTGGACACACCGTACTGGTGACAAACACAGACACACCGTACTGGTGACAAACACTGACACACAGACAAACCGTACTCGAGATAAAGCCTTGGGTGTCGTCGTCAGGAATCTTGACGAGTTGGCAGTTGCTCTGACCAGACTTGCTGACACACCAGTCTGAGGCTAAGGGATATGACTTATCCTGCTCGTTGAAGAAGTAGCAATACTGGCGATGGTTCACCCAGCCCTTGGGGCAGCTGAACGAATCTGCAGGTAAAATGTTATTGATACATTTCATTTTCCTGAAAGAAATCAATCATTTATAATATTATAATTAAATTTATAATCAAGTATCATAATTTGGTATATGTCAATACTAACGTCCGGAGGTATAAGAATGTGGGTTTTCAAGAATTTATTATATTTTTATATTTTGTGAAGTGACAATCATTGTTTCCATACCAACAGTAAAGAAGTTATTTTCCCGGGGCCACATGCTACGACGATTTTAACTCTCGACTTAACATTGACCTTCAACAGTTGTAGCGCTAAGGCCGCTTTGTGCAAATGGGCCTTGCCATTTGCTAGTAGCATGCATTACTTGTTATTTTCAAATCAGTGGTACTTCGTTGACGACACTGCTAGTTTGCTGCACTCAGCAATTAACCAGCTACATCACGGCGACCCAACAAATATTGAATCGACAACCCAAAGGCTGAGGTTATGAGCACCGATTGCCTGGTTGTTTTTGTGAATGATGTTGACGTTCCTGACCACCCACAAAATTAAGTCGACTCACATGACCACCATATGTTGCATAGGTGGATCCAGACGGGGGTGGTGTGTGTGTGTGTGTGTGTGTGTGTGTGTGTGTGTGTGTGCGTGCGTGCGTGCGTGCGTGCGTGTGTTGCAGGGTTGCGCACCCCCACCCCCTGCTACTTTGTCCTGAAAGTTTATCAAATTACCATTGAAACGCACGTGAAAATTAAGTGTGCACCACCCCACCCCCTCCCCCCTTTCTGAAGAGTGTGCACCCCTCCTTTCTCAAAAAGCTGTGATGTTTAACACGTACAACACGCCTACATAGGTAAGTGAGTGGGTTTACTTTTACCCCGCACTCAGCAATATTCCAGCTATGTTTCGGCCGTCTGTAAACGCCTACATAGGTGCCATTCCATATCACACCATAGACAAACGGAACTATTTGACGTGTGTTGTTTAACCCTGCACTCAGCAATATTCCAGCTACATGGCGGCCGTCTGTAAAGAACCATGATAACAGACTAGACTATCCAGTGATCAACAGCATGACCATCGATCTATTGGGATACGATGACATGAACCATTTGGTCCACTCAATGGATAAGAAACATCAAATCACTTCAAGAACGTGACTAGCTAGACCGACTTGGCTGGACCGACTATAAATGATTATCTGAGATATCATCTCTCACTTTGCAGTCCCCAAAGGAACACTCTGCCATCTGAACTAACAAACACCAAATCCAAAGACCTTTTCAAGCCCCTCCTTAACACCCACCTTCTTCCGCTCAGTATTCCACTAGACTTTCAGGACTGTGTGTATGTATGTGCATGGAGTTGGGTTTGTCATAGCGCCAGTAAGCGCCTGTTGATGGTTTAGGCGCTTAAAAAATTAAATTAATTAAGTTAATTAATTATTAACATTTGTACTCACTTGGCGGATGTGTAATTTGCTTCACTTGTTTATTAGTTGGTATCTGACAGATGAAGGATCTCACGTGAGCACAGTCCGACGACACGTGCCATTTTCCATTTCTGTCGCCTGTGACGATAACATGTAACGATAAAAGGAGTGAGTGAGTGAGTTTAGTTTTACGCCGCACTCAGCAATATTCAAGCTATATGGCTGCGGTCTGTAAATATGCGAGTCTGGACCAGACAATCCAGTGATTAACAGCATGAGCATCAATCTACGCAACTGGGATATGATGACATGTCTCAGCGAGCCTGACCACCCGATCCCGTTAGTGGCCACTTACGACAAGCATGGGTTACTGAAGACAAATTCTAACCCAGATCTTCATTGGTGACGATAACATGTAACGATCAAAACGGACAATCGGTTAATATCAGATTTCGTGAACACCAATAAATTAGATGTTATCAAATCGTTAGCAAAGTATTGAAAACATGTATTTATATTAAGATTAATATGCATTATGTTATGTTCAAGATGTGCTTGTTAAAACTGGGTGATTGAGTGAGTTACAATGTACAGTCAGTATTTCAGCAATATCGTGACTAAAACAAGTTATATATTCATAACACATAAACGTAGATTACAAAAAACTGTCGATGAAGGACAACACAAACAACCTGAATATCACAGGGGGTATATGTAAAAAGTATGCAAATCTGAAACTATTTGAAGTTAAACTGAACTGTACTATAGGCTTATGTCCCTACATACTGAGGGGCGGTGGGGTGGCCTAGTGGTTAAAGCGTTTGCTCGTCACGCTGAAAACCCGGGTACAATTCTTCACATGGGTACTATGTGCGAAGTCCATTTCTGGTGTCCCCCGCCGTGATATTGCTGGAATATTGCTAAAAGCGGCGTAAAACTAAACTCGCTCACTCAATCACCCTACATTCTTGGTATAAACTGTCTCTGATTAACATCACCATTCATTTTAATACTGAAAATACGAGGGTTAAATGAACATAACAAACTCCCCAATATACATGTTTAACATCATTTGTACATATATTATCACTTTAAAATACCTAAAAAATAGTCGCTTGTGATTGGCCAGCATGAGGTATCAAATTCCAATAAACACCCCTGATTGGAACAGCTGACATGACAAATGTATAATGCCAATCTTTTAAAGAAATGGTATTTCCTTATCAATAATTATGGGTCAGCTTTTTCGCAAACTGAGTGTTCGTTTACAAATCTAAATCAGCGCGGTAACATCTGGATGTAAAAGAAACAGGACTGAACAAAACAACAGTATGTGTATTCTATGGAATCCCAGAAGGCACATTGTCGCGTTGTCGGACAATTTTAGCCTTTTTTTACACATCTTAGATGGGGCGACAACGCGACATATTGTGACCTTGAAAATTGTCGCTATGTCGCATTGTCGCCCTTTGGAGGAATAGAAAAATATTATTCAAAACATATGGCCGAAATGTCGCATTGTCGCATTGTCGCGCTTTGGTTAATTTTGCATCTTTTTGCTTGTTTTTGAAAGGGCGACAATGCGGCATCGCGACAATGTCCCTTCTAGGATTCCATAGTATTCAGTGTTTGAAAGAAAAACAAATACGTAGCATACATCATGTCCACAAGATTTTAGGAGTTCCAGGCCCTGACTAAACTCAATTTAAAAAACGCATCTTGTTGTGACAATAGATCGACGTAAGTTTGTATCAGGCCATATGAACCCATATAATGTGAAACTACGGACGACACGAAATCTACTTGCCCCGGGCCTACGGGTAAGCGTGTATTCAGAACACTGCGTGCATCCCCTAGTTATTCTTACTTGTGACGATGTAGCCACAATCCTGGTGTCCTTTACTGTTGGAAGGCTTGGCACTGTTCCAGTTCTTGAAGGAAGTCGTACCTATTGCCGCTCCGTTTGAAAAAGTCCAAGGTCCAGCATCTTTGTTATTGTCTGAAAGAGTGAGTGAGTGAGTGAGTGAGTGAGTGAGTGAGCGAGTGAGTTTGTGCAGCCATGGCCATAGGCAGTGACACATGCGTTTCAGTTACTGCAAGCTCCATCACATTTGAATCTGAATGATTAATGTGCGTTCCTCATGCTGCTTCTTTCAGATAAGGGGCGGTTGGGTAGCCTAGTGGTTAATGCGTTCGCTCGCCACGCCAAAGACCCGGGTTCGATTCCCCACATGGGTCCAATGTGTGAAGCCCATTTATGGCGTCTCCCGCCGTGATATTGCTGGAATATTGCTAAAGCGGCGTAAAACTAAACTCACTCACTACATTAAACTGTTTCTTACCAGTCAAACCAATCCACAACTCCGTGACTCCCACTGCATTTTGGGTTGAAAGATACTGGTTAATGAAGGCCTGAATATTTTTGCTGAAATGTCAATGTTGAGATAATGTCAGTTGGAATTGTGTTGTTGATAGTTAACGAAACAACTGGCGTGCAAAATCGAGAAACGGTCTCTACTGCAATATCTTAACACAAATATCACCAATAACCCCTCAGTGTACAAATGACCAGGGACGGTGGGGTAGCCTAGCGGTTAAAGCGTTCGCTCGTCACCCATTACTCACATGGGTACAATTTGTGAAGCCCATTTCTGGTGCCCCCCGCAGTGATATTGCTGGAATATTGCTAAAAACGGCGTAAAACCATGGACAAGTGACCAATTTTAACACACACGCACACAAATGACCATCTCGTAACGTAAATCCGACCCATAGGCTTTTCCATCGCTCGCGGTTTGACAATTTCAATTGAGAAGGAGCGTTTTACCCGACTTATAAACGGTCAACGATTGACAGAAAGATATAAAACACCGGAACAACTTATATTAATAATTCTAAGGCCTCTTATTTAGCGATAAACTCCACGCCGTACGGGCATGGTCTAAGCGCATAGAACATATGCACATTAAAATATCCCCGGTTAACAAAGTTGCCCCGAGGAGCCAGATGGCTCATCCCCCCGGGTACCCATTCACTGCTGGGTTGACAGATATGTTACATCACCGTACAAAAGAATTTTGATGACGGCAGGAAAGACCACGAGCAACACCTCTTTTCTGGTGCCCCCCGCCCTGAGACAAAAACACATGAGACAAGTTGTAGGGAAGCATTACGTTTGTAAGGAGGCCAGGTTCCCCCCGAGTCCCTTGCAGTAGCTGAGTGCTGCCGGCCAGGACAGAGAGTAGCGGGGATTGAACAGGTAGCATTCTGGACCATACTCCAGCCAGCCGTCCGCACATGTACCTGGAAGATGAAATAATGGTTACTTGTTGAGGTATTTGTAATTGATGGTAAAAACAAAAGGCACACACACAACGCACGCACGCACGCACGCACGCACGCACGCACACACAAACACATACGCACAAGAAATATATATTTATATAAATTGTTACATTAACAGTTGAAAAGATGGATAAATGAATGAATGAGTGAATGAATTAATGAATAAATAAATAGTTAGCATAAAACAACATCCACTTAGTCAGTCAGACATGGCGTACCTTCCGGCCTAACACAGTAGTATTTATTCTTGGAGCTACACAAGGTACCCACCCACATGCAGCGGAAAACAACATCCACTCAGTCAGTCAGACATGGCATACCTTCCGGTCTAACACAGTAGTATTTATTCTTGGAGCTACACAAGGTACCCACCCACATGCAGCGGAAAACAACATCCACTCAGTCAGTCAGGCATGGCGTACCTTCCGGTCTAACACAGTAGTATTTATTCTTGGAGCTACACAAGGTACCCATCCACATGAAGCGGAAAACAACATCCACTCAGTCAGTCAGACATGGCGTACCTTCCGGTCTAACACAGTAGTATTTATTCTTGGAGCTACACAAGGTACCCACCCACATGAAGCGTAAAACAACATCCACTCAGTCAGTCAGGCATGGCGTACCTTCCGGTCTAACACAGTAGTATTTATTCTTGGAGCTACACAAGGTACCCATCCACATGAAGCGTAAAACAACATCCACTCAGTCAGTCAGGCATGGCGTACCTTCCGGTCTAACACAGTAGTATTTATTCTTGGAGCTACACAAGGTACCCATCCACATGAAGCGTAAAACAACATCCACTCAGTCAGTCAGACATGGCGTACCTTCCGGTCTAACACAGTAGTATTTATTCTTGGAGCTACACAAGGTACCCATCCACATGAAGCGGAAAACAACATCCACTCAGTCAGTCAGGCATGGCATACCTTCCGGTCTTACACAGTAGTATTTATTCTTGGAGCTACACAAGGTACCCATCCACGTGAAGCGTAAAACAACAGCCACTCAGTAAGTCAGGCATGACATACCTTCCGGTCTAACACAGTAGTATTTATTCTTGGAGCTACAGGAAACAGCCACCCACGTTGAAGGTGCGGCGTTGTTGGAAAGTTCCACGCATGTATTGTTCGCACTGGAAGCAGACAATTTGCCAGATATCAGGTGTTCTTTATATGTCGACAGTATACCAACATGACTGTCATGAATATTCATTATAATCTAAATGGGTACAGTATCGTGACCTTCATGACCTCCTGTTTCAATGATAAGTCTGGGCTCCATTTAGCGAACACATTGCGCATGCATTTTAGGTTTACAATTTTATATGAGTCAACTATTCAAATCCACCTGCCTTTTGGATTGTTGTCCGTGTCTGAAAGCGAATACTATGTAATCCTAGAAGGGACATTGTTGCGTTGTCCCATTAATTTATTGCAACACTTTAGCCAATTTTAAACGTTTTGCTTGTTTTGGAAGGGCGACAACGCGTCAATATCCCTTCTGGGATTCCATAGGTAAGGGTGACAATACGAACAACGCGAAAGTGTGCCTTCCAGGATTCCATACAAATACCTTCATGCTTTGGAAAATGTATGATGACAATATTTTTAAATTATTCATTTTCAAACACGAACCCTTCGACGTTTTCCTTTGGGAATGATAATTATAATAACCAATGTTATGACTGTAAACAAATAACTTGAGTTACTTGAATTTGGATGGTGGTTGAGAAGGTCTCCAGTAGGGGTTGCCAGCCAGCAACGATCCATCTTGCCACGTCCAGGCGTAACTGTTGCCCTAAACAGAGACATTGCTTATAAGGGTTAATGTTGGGGGTGGGGTGTGTGTGTGTGGGGTGGGGGTTGGGTTGTTTCAGTCGAGCTGGGGGCGGTGGGGTAAATTAATGGTTGAAGCTCGTCACGCTGAAGACCGGGTTCGATTCCCCACATGAGTACAATGTGTGATGCCCATTTCTGGTGTTCCCCGCCGTGATATTGCTGTAATATTGCTAAAGGCAGAGTAAAACTATACTCACTCACTCACTCCAGTGTCGCTTTCAACAATATTTCTGTTATATCACGGCCTAAGATTGCTGTGGGAGAAAAGCAAGTGTTAGATATTTACGAGGTCTTCCCCTACGACTAACGGGATCGGGTGGTCAGGGTCGCAGACTTGGTTGACACAAGTCGTATCACACTTGCGTAGATCAATGCTCATGCTGTTGATCACTGGGTTGTAGATCAATGCTCATGCTGCCATATGAATCGACTGCGGTTAAACAACAAACCAAGACTCGATTATTTTCCAGGTTGCGAGTTCCAAACCGCCATATAACAGCTGGAATAAGTGCCCAATGTTTCCAGCGAGTGCGGCGTTAAACAACAAACCAACCAACCAACAGCTCTGTGAGACAAGTGCCCAATGTTTCCAGTTTGTGAGTGCGGCGTTAAACAACAAACCAACCAACCAACAGCTCTGTGAGACAAGTGCCCAATGCTTCCAGTTTGTGAGTGCGGCGTTAAACAACAAACCAACCAACCAACAGCTCTGTGAGACAAGTGCCAACAATGCTTCCAGTTTGTGAGTGCGGCGTTAAACAACAAACCAACCAACCAACAGCTCTGTGAGACAAGTGCCCAATGCTTCCAGTTTGTGAGTGCGGCGTTAAACAACAAACCAACCAACCAACAGCTCTGTGAGACAAGTGCCCAATGCTTCCAGTTTGTGAGTGCGGCGTTAAACAACAAACCAACCAACCAACAGCTCTTTGTGAGAAACAACAAACTGCCCAATGTTTCCAGAGTGCCAGTTTGTGAGTGCGGCGTTAAACAACAAACCAACCAACCAACAGCTCTGTGAGACAAGTGCAATGTTTCCAGTTTGTGAGTGCGGCGTTAAACAACAAACCAACCAACCAACAGCTCTGTGAGACAAGTGCCCAATGTTTCCAGTTTGTGAGTGCGGCGTTAAACAACAAACCAACCAACCAACAGACTCTGTGAGACAAGTGCCGTTAAATGCTTCCAGTTTGTGAGACAGTGCGGCGTTAAACAACAAAAACCAACCAACCAACAGCTCTGTGAGACAAGTGCCCAATGCTTCCAGTTTGTGGAGTGCGGCGTTAAACAACAAACCAACCAACCAACAGCTCTGTGAGACAAGTGCCCAATGCTTCCAGTTTGTGAGTGCGGCGTTAAACAACAAACCAACCAACCAACAGCTCTGTGAGACAAGTGCCCAATGTTTCCAGTTTGTGAGTGCGGCGTTAAACAACAAACCAACCAACCAACAGCTCTGTCTGTGAGACAAGTGCCCAATGCTTCCAGTTTGTGAGTGCGGCGTTAAACAACAAACCAACCAACCAACAGCTCTGTGAGACAAGTGCCCAATGCTTCCAGTTTGTGAGTGCGGCGTTAAACAACAAACCAACCAACCAACAGCTCTGTGAGACAAGTGCCCAATGTTCCAGTTTGTGAGTGCGGCGTTAAACAACAAACCAACCAACCAACAGCTCTGTGAGACAAAGTGCCCAATGCTTCCAGTTTGTGAGTGCGGCGTTAAACAACAAACCAACCAACCAACAGCTCTGTGAGACAAGTGCCCAATGCTTCCAGTTTGTGAGTGCGGCGTTAAACAACAAACCAACCAACCAACAGCTCTGTGAGACAAGTGCCCAATGTTTCCAGTTTGTGAGTGCGGCGTTAAACAACAAACCACCAACCAACCAAATGCTTCCAGCTCTGTGAGACAAGTGCCCAATGCTTCCAGTTTGTGAGTGCGGCGTTAAACAACAAACCAACCAACCAACAGCTCTGTGAGACAAGTGCCCAATGCTTCCAGTTTGTGAGTGCGGCGTTAAACAACAAACCAACCAACCAAATGTTTCCAGCTCTGTTAAACAACAAGACCAACCAAGTGCTCAATGTTTCCAGTTTGTGAGTGCGGCGTTAAACAACAAACCAACCAACCAACAGCTCTGTGAGACAAGTGCCCAATGCTTCCAGTTTGTGAGTGCGGCGTTAAACAACAAACCAACCAACCAACAGCTCTGTGTGAGACAAGTGCCCAATGCTTCCAGTTTGTGAGTGCGGCGTTAAACAACAAACCAACCAACCAACAGCTCTGTGAGACAAGTGCCCAATGCTTCCAGTTTGTGAGTGCGGCGTTAAACAACAAACCAACCAACCAACAGCTCTGTGAGACAAGTGCCCAATGTTTCCAGTTTGTGAGTGCGGCGTTAAACAACAAACCAACCAACCAACAGCTCTGTGAGACAAGTGCCCAATGCTTCCAGTTTGTGGGTGCGGCGTTAAACAAGAAAACAAACAAATATATAAGTGGTTAATTTTTCTGGTACTGAAATAGATACGTAGCATCCATATCAGCAGCAAACTGCGGTTATATCGAACTCAAAGGGACCACTATTTTAGTTCGATATAAGCGTAGTTTGTTATGCGCATTTCGACAAAAAACATCAAGTGTTCGGGACAAAAAACATTCACTATATCCGTCAGTTCGTTATAATCGTGATAGTTATAACGCTGTTTCCTGTATAAGATTGTGCTGGATCGTTTTATTAACATGACATTCCTAAGTTGTATAATTTTTATTTTTAACGGGTGGTCAGGTTGACTTGGTTGATGCGTGCCATCGTATTCCAGTTGTGTAGATTTCGATGCTCGTTATTTCGGCCACTGGATTGTCTGGTCCAGATACTATGACTTACAGAATGTTGTCAGAATGCCGGAATATTGCGGATCGCGACGTTGAACAGTAAACAAACAAAACCAGTAATACTGATCGGCTTTGTAGTTTCAGCCAAGCACATATTCTGGCGTGGGCCCGCCGTATAGCTGGAATATTGCGGCGTAAAACTAAAAACGCGTAGGCCGCATTCAGAATTCAACAGATGTTGTTCGAACGGTCAGTCCACATTATGATGCCTTAGTTTTTCAGTGCTATCCCTGATCATATGTGTTCCGTCTGTACCAGCGTTACTTTAAGCTTTGAGAATAAACCTGCCGAGATACAGTGAGTGAATGAGTTGGGTTTTGACGCCTCTTTGAGCAACGTCAACGCATCTTTCGGCGTGTGATATTAAAACCGAAAGTGATGCAGGTCTAGGAAGAAACTTGCGATGACGGTTTTGGTGCTGACGACAAAAAGCCAAAATAGACCAAAGCGCTTGACATGACTCGCTCTCCCAGTGATGACTTTATGACGTTGTCGTTGTGACGTTATGACGTTGTCGTTGTGACGTTGTGACGTACATTGTTATGTTACATAGTTATGTTCAGTGACGCAATACCAAACCAATTTTAGCTCACCTGACTAACCGACCTCAATCCTGTCCATAAGTTGCCATGAGCTTCTCGAGCAAACTGAGCGTTAAAAGTCTGTGTTGTCAGATCATTTATTATAGGCAAGGTGGCGCCGGAATGATCGCACGAGGAGCTACAACATAAATTGAAACAAATACAACGAATTAAGTTAGATTACAAGATAAGACAATACAACTAACCAAATATACCTTTAGGCTTTTGTATATTCAAGCTGTTCGCATGAACAACTAAAACATGCAATTGTAACGAATATTAACAAAACAACTTATGATTGTCCCAACGTTTAGATGATGAGCCTTTAACACACTGTTACAGCATATTGACGATTTAGGGGCGGTGGGGTAGCCTAGTGGTTAAAGCGTCCGCTCGTCACGCCGAAGACCCGGGTTCGATTTCCCACATGGGTACAATGTGTGAAGCCCATTTCTGGTGTCCCCCGCCGTGATATTGCTGGAATATTGCTAAAAGCGGCGTAAAACCAAACTCACGCACTCACTCACTAAAACGATTTAACATACAAGATCAAACAGTCTGGTCTGTTAACATTGAAAGTAGGGATAAATCAAACTGTGCGGGTGAGGTGAGGTGAGGTGAGGTGAGGGGTGTTGGGGTTGTGGTGAAGTGGAGTTGGGTGGGATTGAGGTGAGATTTGGTGGGGTGAGGTTGTGGGTTAACGTATCATGATTATTATTGCTAATCACAGTTCAATGCCCCACCAATACACAGTACAGTGACTCAAAGCCGATCAGACCCTTGTCGAACGTTGAGGTTACAGGTTTTGTTCGTACCACCCACGACCTGGGTTTAATCCCTGACACAAGTAGCCAGTGAAGCTCATTCCTAGTTTTCTCACCATTATTATTGTTGCAATACAGCTAAAAAGCTCCATAAAAACACCAGTCGCTGTCTTGCTGACATGTCGCCACCGAGTACAGGTTAACTCACCTGGCGTCGTTCCATGTGCGCTGAGAGTTGAAATACTTGTAGCACATGCCATTGAAGCTTACCCAGCCATGGTCAGTATCGCACTTCAGGGGCAATCCTGGGGATATGAGAAATAATATAAAATATACATCCACGTTTGTTGGTAGCTAAAACTGATAACAAGAAATGTAAGTCGGTGATATATACTGACTGACTGACTGAGTTTGGTTTAACGCCGCTTTTAGCAATATTCCAGCAATATCACGGCGGGGGACAATGAGTTAATGAGTTGGACCCGGGTACCCGTCTCAATACCCGGACCCGTTATGATCATATGACTAATAGATTAAACAATGTATTTATGTTATTCTTTCATGATTGAAAGGTTGTATTGCATTTGAGTATTTAGACCTAATTACCGTCACTTCTTTTGAATATAATAATGGTTAAGATGTTGAAAAACTCGCAAGTTTAGCCTCCGAGCTGAAGAATATATTGTCATTTCTTACAAATTTGATGTCAGGAATTAACATAACGGGTATCTGGGTAGGGTAGGGTAATAGGGGTGGGGTACCCGGGTAGAAAATTTGGACCCGTCCCAGCCCTATAACACTTAATATCTTCCTTGATACTATTTTCAGGAAAGTGGCACCACTTGCACGAGAACATATATAGTACAGGTAGCGCGTGTGATAATACAGACTATTTTCCTTGGTAGTATTGTCAGAAAATTACATGTGCCACCTGCGCGAGAACATATAGATTTATGTGACAAGTAGCTCTTATGGTAACATGTACATGTTTGATACTATTTCTCATTAAACACGCTGCTGTCTTCTTATGATCTCGGGGCGGTGGGGTAGCCTAATGGTTAAAGCGTTGGCTTGTCACGCCGAAGACCCGGGTTCGAATCCCCACATGGGCACAATGTGTGAAGCCCATTTCTGGTGTCCCCAGCCGTGATGTTGCTGGAATATTGCTAAAAGCGGTGTAAAACCAAACTCAGTCAGTCAGTCAGTCTTATGATCTCAATATCCATCCTTTTAACAATTATATGGAAACCTTTCATTGTTGTTATATTTTCAAATTTAGAAAAAAAAAATATTTTGGCTAGTATATTTTGGCTCAGATTTCGGTAAACCTGCAATAATCCCTGGAACCATTCCCGAGATTCTCGCAATCTCATATTACATCATTGATTTACATTTGATTGACTACGCCACATGGTCCAACCTATAAAACAGAATGCGAGTTAAAAACATTCCTGAATAATGCTGGGTTGGCGATTTCAACAACATGGCGGCGAGTCCCATTGAATGAGATCGGGTTTACAAGAAATGCAACGTTGAAAAACTGTCTGACACGAAGATGAAAGTCCTAAAGTAATACCTCTTTGGCGTTGACATATGGATTGGTAGGCATCCCTGGTACATGAGCTAACCTCCATCTGGTAGTTGTGAATATTGACACACGACTTTGTCATGTCGTTTGTTTTGGTGGCACTGGACCACTGCCTGAAGGGGAAAAAATCATGAAGACATTTAGTTTAACTTCAGTAATGTCCTTTTCGACTCTTGAAATCTAAGGCGTGAACGTGAGGGGCATTGTGGTTTTCTTTGCTCGAAGTCTGTGATTGACGTGTGTGCAGGGCTACAGATAACTTTTTGGGTCATTGAGTTATATACTCGCTTGTGTTCATCTCAATTGGGTATCCTAATTTTTTTCCGTTGAGTGACCAGATATATTGTAGAAATGACAATTTTTTATGGATGAGTATCTTAACAATGGCGACGTTTCGGTATAGATTCTTATACCGTTTAAAGCATACACGAGATATGCACATAATGTACCCTATCATTCCCCCATATACATCTTTATAACTACGTCGTGTCACGTCTTTATAATTATTACCCACGTGGCCATCGTATGGGTAGTTGCATACTAATCTCGTACGTCACACGAGTGTCGTATCGCGTTGACCTGTGCCGTAACGACTTGACTACTACACATGCGGCCAGCCAACATAGTACCTCTGCCACAGGTCATTCGTCACATCTTACACAGTTTATTCAATATATGTACACATTACTTAACTCTTTTATTTTTGACGAGACTACACATCAGATTTAACATCTTTGCTAGCATGGTTTAGTTTCACTAAAAAAAAATATGCTCTTACGTCTTTAATTAACATCACTGAGGATGATACTTACAAGAGACCCATATTTGAACTGCTGCCATCAGCCCAAGACCACGTGTTGGTATTGCCGTTTCTCTTCAGTCCTATCCACCAGTGAGTGTAGTGACCGTGGCTCCTGGTAGTCAGCGTGTGTAAGGTTCTGTTCAAGAAGCTCTGTTTGGAAGGAAATTAACCATGAATCACGCATGTCACAGGTCACGCATTTTTCATACCGTCAGGCTTCATGACTTCCGGTTCGATGAGATGCTTTCCTCAATGGTAGACGAGAGTGAATTCAATGAGTGAATTTAGTTTAACGCCGCTGTGGACAAAATTATGTTTTACGGATAAAAATAACATGCAGCTTAGTACCTTTGCCTCTTCTTCACGCAGCCCAGTGAGTGAGTGAGTAAGTGATTGAGTTGTGTTTTAGGCCCCTTTTAGCAATATTCCAGCAATATCACGGCGGGGGACTCAAGAAATGGGCTTCACACATTGTACCCATGTGGGGAATCGAATCCCTCAGCCCAAATGATAATAGGGTATTCTCCTAATGTCAATAACCTCTGACCTCTGATCCACAACCACAAGCATGGCGAATAAAAAGAAAATATTGTATTTTGGCATCCAGTAAAAAAGTGTTGGATAGTCTCGGTAAATTCATTACTTAGTCTACATTTCATATATTTAGATTTTGATGCAAAATCACACATTGAAGGTTACAAATGGGTAGTGACTGGTCAGGCCTGTTGACGTCATCCATGCAAAACATACAGCGGGGTTTCTTGTCTTCACTTCGCTGTGCAGAGGTGTGCACGCCAGAAACCTATGATAATGAGTTCGAATCCAGGCTCTCCTAGCTGATGTGTATGGGTTTGCCCGATCCACACTCGTGCTCATGTTTTCGCCAAGAAGAGCATGGCATCAGGTTCCTCCCCCCCCCCCCCCACACACACACACACACACATCAAACTAACATAACGTGATAGAGCTGGAATCGCTCACTTATTCAAAATTTGTCGCGGTTTAGATTATAACGGATTGCATTCCCGTTGACAAGTGAACACATATCCTCATTCCTCAACCTCAGTAGTTGCCATTGGGTTGAAGAGTTATGCCCCTTGTCAAGAGGATCCGCTGATCTCGTGTTCGGATCCTAAACCCTCATTTATTGTTGAATTTATCAACACCGTACTGCTAGGTTTCGCCCAAGTGAGTGTCCATCAGGGATTTCCGCCCAAATGAAGCCAAAGGCGTGATCTAACAGGTCAAAACGGCGTCAACACGAACTCTTACCCATTGCGCTTTGCTGGTGACTTTGACAAGGTCTCCTCCGAGAGCCTGGCATTTCAGTCTGGCGTTCTCATATGTCTTAGTAGCGGAGTTCTGCGAGAAGAGGTAGCACCACTGGGACTGCGTGTACCAGCCATACGGGCAGTTCTGGCAGTGAACTATAGAACAAAACAGAAATCTGATTGATTGATTGATTGAACCAGACAATCCAGTGATCAACGTCTTAAGAATCGATCTAAGCAACTGGGTTCCGATGACATGTACCAACCAAGTCACCCGATCCCATTAGTCACATCTTACGACAAGCATGTGTTGCTGAAGACCAATTCAAACCCGGATCTTCAGTGGTTTTGATTTTAGAGGCCAAGCATGTAGCATTCAAGATCCAGGCTGTGTATTTTTGTTTCGTTTTAGTGAACGAGCTTCAACACATACATTTTATCCTCTTAAGGGTAAACTCAATATGTTATTAACCGTAACACATCTGGCATGTCTAGTAAAGTATTTCTTTTACACATGAAAACCTACGTTTCACGTCTTCTGATTTTCGTGATTATTTATATCGATCACCTTGTTCTTAAAGTCAATTTTACGTCATATCATTCCTTATTTCCATTATAATGTACAAGGGCCCCGTTGCACAAAACGATCGTAGAGCTAAGGTCATCGAAAATCCCATACTTTAACCTAGGCTTATACTTACTCGTGAAGTCCGGGCTAGAATATTGATCTTAAGTAACCCATGCTTGTCGTAAGAGGCGACTAACGGGATCGGGTGGTCAGGCTCGCCGACTTGGTTGACACATGTCATCGGTTCCCAATTGCGCAGATCGATGCTCATACTGTTGTTCACTGGATTGTCTGTTCCAGATTCGATTATTTACAGACCACCGCCCTATAGCTGGAATATTGCTTAGTGCGACGTAAAACTAAACTCACCCACTCACTCACCCAAGGGTTACGGTAGCCATAGCGCTAAAGTCGCTTTGTGCAACAGGACCAAGAGCTATAGTACTGACTTCCGGTAAAAACCTTTGAATAAGCGGTACGGTCCCATTTCTTTACCATCCGTTCACAATGCTGACCATGTTTGGATATTCAATACAATATTATTATTCCCAAACGTTGACGTATAGAAAGTATTTTGATGTAAATAATTAACTTTGGACCAAACAAATTGTCATCATGAACATCGATTACAGTTGACAACGAGTACAGACTTGACCTGTGGATGTCACCTTCTCTAATCTTTCAGTTAGACCTGGGGATACAGGTCACGATCAGATCCGGACTAGAATTGATCTTCAGTAACCCATGCTTGTAAGAGGCGACTAACGGGGTCGGGTGGTCAGGCTCGTTGACTTGGTTGACACAGGTCATCGTATTCCAAGTGTATAGATCGATGCTCATGGTGCTGATCACTGGATCAGCACAATTATTTAAACCGCCGCCATTTGCCAATAATAACATTCCTGATATGCGTGGCGTTAATCAACAACAAAACATACCCCTCAATATGAACTGCAAAAAAGTGTATTTGGGTCTGTTAACGAACGTTATCAAAACAGGGCAAAACTCTGGAAGTCATATTTCATATTTAGCCAGGGCGGCGGGGTAGCCTAGCGGTTAAAGCGTTCGCTCGTCACACCGAATACCCGGGTTCGATTCCCCACATGGATACAATTAGTGAAACCCACTTCTGGTGTCCCCCGCCGTGATATTGCTGGAATATTGCTTAAAGCGGCGAAATCTAAACTCACTCACTCACTCACTCATATTTAGCCACAATCAAACCTTGGTGTATACTTTCTTTTGTCCGTCGTATTATGTTTGGTATATTTTTGTTGTGTAGTCATACGGTCAGTGATATTGTTCACACATTTACATAATAATGTTTTTAAACGTACCTTAATGGTTTGTATTTAAACTATTTTTGCATATTGGAACTATTCCTGAACGATAATTCCTTAATCCATACAAACTTTCCTCATTCACAATGTTCACATTTAGGTACATTTACCTCCTGAGCACATTCTGCTCCGAGAGGAACCGGGTTGGATTCGGTTTCCAGTAACCCATACATGTCGTAGGAGGTGACTAACATGATTGGGTGGTCTGGCTAGCTGACTTGGTTGACATGTCACCGTATCCGAATTGCGTAGATCGATGCTCATGATGTTGATCACTGGATTGTCTGGTCCAGACTCGATTATTTACAGACCGCCGCCATATAGCTATAACATTGCTGAGTGCGGCGTTAAACAACAAACCAACCAACCAATCCCTGAATAATTCTATTTATCTGTTTATCTTATCATAATGATTTGATTTTTTTTGGCATCTAGAAGTACCACTTGATCTGTATCAGGACCCTGCACACAGTCCACTTTCTCAGTGATACGCCTATACAACAGCGATAGCGTTGAAAACTGCTGTCAGTATGTCTCAGAATTTGACCTTGTCAGCTTTAGTTATGTTTTGGTGTGAATTAGAAAAACTAAACTGAGAAGTGAAAAACACTATACATCTTGTTGCTTTATCTTGTTTCAATTTTAATTGACAATATATTGAGGTAGCGCTTTTCAAAATTTGAATTGCGTTGAGTCAACCGTACAAGAATGTGTTAATGTGTTTTCTAAAATTTCACTTTGTAAAACACCTAAAAACCGAAACTAAACGTATTTCGTATAATACACAGCTGTTCCGGCATCTTTTCCATTGAAAATCAATAAATTTGCTCTTTCGGCACAATTTTACAGCCTTTCAAACAACACAGTGTTTAGGCTAAAGCTTAGTCTCTGAAAATATATATAATTTTGATAGTAACAAACAAATTTATTTAAATTGAAAAGGAGCCCCAGGGAGACTAGAGATTCAGAATCTGAGGAAATCTAGTCTTGCTTCATATAGGGCTTTAGCATTGCAGGAAAGGGCTAGGCTGTATGGAAAATAATATGGTTCGGAACTGTGAGATAGACTAGAAAGGTATCTACAGTTGCAAATTCATTTCTTATCCCAGTCCATTTGGTTATATTTACACAATAATTATGAGGTGAGGTGAAATTGGGTTTAACGTCGTGCTTGAGAATATTTCGCGCATATGACGACGTGCATGCGTGTGTATGTGTATGTGCGGCTCCTTGTACTAGCCCAGACTTAAGCTGGTTTTATAGTGCTAGCCCACTGAGATATCATGCCGCGTGAAGCATGAAGCATGATTACCCCATTCAGACACATTATACTGACTCCGAGCCGGACCAGTCCTTGCTGTACCCATAAATGCCGAGCGTCAGGCAGGGACCAACAAGTACCATATTTTTACGTCTTTTGGTATGACGCGGTCGGGGATCGAACCCGCGACACTCCGGGCGGACGCTCTAACCACTACACCACGGAGGCGGTCCAATAATTATGAAACAAGGGGTTACCAACACTTAGAAGTTGTAAGAACATGAATACATGACACTGTTTATGGCTAACAACTTCCTCTTATTATTTATCCCAAATCATGAATAATATTTTTTGGCTCTCGATTTATGTTACTGTACAATTCAATCCAAACAACAACAAAATATCTAGCAAAGTGGTTTATGATGGATCGTGTAACATTTAACTGTTCCCGGTAGAGTCAGATTAACGAAACATTGGTTGAATTGATTATCCAATTGTGTAAAAACTGCCGCTCAAAGGATTGTACACACTTTTTAACACAAATGTCAAATCACCACCATCATCACCATTTCTTGACTTCGTTTTAGCTACTATCAGACATATCTACTGTCTGGCAGCTTATCCTAGCATCGCTGTGGACTATGATAACTGATACACAATACATATGCTATTCATTTCTGATATGATAAGTAACCGCCTCCGTGGTGTAGTGGTTAGAGCGTCCGCCCTGAGACCGGAAGGTCGCGGGTTCGATCCCCGACCGCGTCATACCAAAAGAAGTTAAAAAATGGTACTTGTTGGTCCCTGCCTGGCGCTCGGCATTAATGAGTACAACAAGGACTGGTCGACTCGGAGTCAGTATAATGTGTCTGAGTGGGGTATTCATGCTTGACTGCGGCATGGTATCTCAGTGGGCTAGCACTATAAAACCAGCTTAAGTCTGGGCTAGTACAAGCAGCCGCACATACACATACACACGCATGCACGTGGTCATATGAGCGAAATATTCTCAAGTACGACGTAAAACCCAATTTCACCACACCTGATATGATAAGTACATGATACCTGAAATGGAGAGGGGCGGTGGGATAGACCCACTATGGGTACAATGTGTGACGCTCATTCCTGGTGTCCCCCGCCGTTATTTAATTGGAATATTGCCAAAAGCCGCGTGAAACTAAACTCTCTCACTCTGAAATGGCGCTAGTACACCGGACTGGTATTCCCCACAAAACCCTCTTGTATTAGCACAAGAGACACACTAGTCTATAAAATTGAAGGACAATTCGTGTCATTTGTTTAAACAACATAATATTTTTTTAATAATAATAATAATTGATTTCATAATGATGAGTGAGTGAGTGAAATGTGCTATATTTCAGCTACACCACGACGTGTCGGCTTAATGTTGACAGAAGTAATGTAAGTCTCAGACGTTTACCATTTTGGTGGAACCCGTCAGCACAGGCATGGTGCTGACAAGAGTGAGTGAGTGAGTTTGGTTTTACGCCGCCTTTAGCAATATTCCAGCAATATCGAGTGCGGTGTAAAACTAAACTAACTCACTCGCTCACTCACTCACTCCAGAGCAATATCACTGCGGGGGACACCAGAGATCTGCGGAACCCAGGTCTTCAGCGTGATGAGCGAACGCTTTAACCACTAAGCTACCCCACCGCCCGACAAACCTAGAAACAAAATAGGGGCGAACTGGGATTCGAACCCACATTTCATTTTTTTCTTGCGTACTCTGCACAGCGAAATGAGGCTGTGTTGCCGCCGACTTAGTTTAGTTTCAGGAAATGATTTGCGCCTTTTAGAGTAAGTAAGTATTGTTTTACGCCGCTTTTAGCAATATTCCAGCAATACTCCAGAAATGGGCTTTACACATTGTACCCAGATGGGGAATAAAACCCGGGTCTTCGGCATGACGAGCGAACGCTTCAACCACTAGGCTATCCGCCGCCCCGCGCCATCAAGAGATTCTTAGAATGGTTCAATGTGGATTAATAAAGGTTACGAATTTGGGCAACATGGCTGAAACGGATGATATCGTATTCCAATTGCAGATGCTAACAACGTAATTTAATATTATTCTTAAATGCATAACTTGAACTCTTGGAAGTGATGAATCCGGATTTCGGGGTGGGGCAAGGGGGAGTGCGCCCGCGCTGTCCTATTTTGTGTACATAGAGATAATTAAATCCGAAACGTTTCAGCTCTTCATTAACATCAAAACCGCAGACTGACAATTACTTCAAGAAAAAAGTTATCTTACTTAGAAATACATGTCAACAAAATTTAAATAGCATTGTTTGTTGTTGAACGGCGTTCACAGCAATGGTCCGGCTATATGACTCCGATCTGTACATAATCGAATATCGATTACAGTGAGTGAGTTTAGTTTTACGCCGCTTTGAGCAAAATTCCAGCAACATCAAGGCGAACACCAGAAATGGGCTTCACACATTGTACCCATGTAGGGAATCGAACCCGGGTCTTCGACGTGACGAGCGAACCCTTTAACCTCTAGGCTACCCCACCGCCCGTATCTCGATCAGACAGACATCGTAAATATCGATCTATTGAAAAACGACGGCAAGCATCAACCAAGTCAATATTCAGGCCATACAAATATTATTTAGAAAGATGAATTAATCCATTTGGAATTTATTTTAGGGTCGCGGAGACATCGGTGTGTCCACTGTCTGGAAAGGGCTATACCATAGATCAACCCAGTGTGTATTTTATAATCCTACCAACTCTCTCTCACTTTGATGAATACTTTGAATATTAACCCAGCCTCGTCATACTGCTATCGGGCGTTTGGTTACTACAGCATATGGCGCTCACCGTGCCGGGCGCGGGTATGATGCGAGATTGCGAGATTGCAAAAGGCCTTAGTAAAACTTAACCAAAATCGCCAGCGATGAATGAATGAATGAATATCAATATAGACCTTAAACAGTTCTCTTGAGCGGCTACATATTTTTGAGTGTTGCTGTTTAACGCCGCAATATTCCAACTTTATGCCGATGGTCTGTAAAAAATCTAGTAAGGACCAGACAATCCAGTGACTGACATTATGAGCATTATCTACGTAAATGGGATACAATTACATGTCTGAAGCAACACACAGAATCTGACCACTTGATACCGTTAGTCGCCTCTTATGACAAGCATGGGCTGCTGAAAGAGTGGGTTTGTGTTTTCATGGACGGATCCAGGAATTTTGAAGGGAGGGGTGGGGGTGGGGGGGGGTTTTCGAACCCCCTGAATCCCCCATTGGCTCCGCCAACGCAAAAAAATCTTCAACGTAGTCTTAAGTCATTTTCAAAAGGGGGGGGGGAGGTCGAACCCCCTGAACACCCCCTCTGGATCCGCCAATGAGTTTTCATGTTTTACGCAGCTTTTAGTAATACTCCAGCAATATCACAGTGGGGGACACCAGAAACGGGCTTCAAACATAGTACCCATCTGGGGTATCGAACCCGGGTGTTCAGCATGACGAACGAAGGCTACCCCTCTGCCCCTATGGGTTGCTGAAGATCATTTCTGTCCCGAATCTTCAGGTGCTAAAACTGTACATGTTATTTAGTCGACATGTTAAAGCTTTTGCCCATCATGCATAAACGTGAATGTGTGAAACCATAGTTTGAGTTGCATGTTGTGATATGACTGGATCGTTGCAAGGAGTGTAAAACTATACTCCTCACTCACTCACTCTCACACACGTCTTACCTTGCGCCAATGCCATTAACAGAACAACACCACCGAAAGTCACCCGACTCGAAGCCATATCGCATTCGACTTCGTAGTGACGCCGTATGTGTATATATCCAACTGTTGTCACAATGGTATACAGATGCTCTTTAATATCCTTGGACCTTGAACGAATTGATAACAGACCTGGGAAAGGTATCCGTACAGACTCCTTACACCCTCCTACGTACCATATATTGCGTTACGTTAAGACGCAATGTGCGGAGTTGTTCATACGCCTATCATGTTGGGGATATCGCGAAACCATTTAGTTTGGTTATCATTTGAAGCACTTCAGATATGTTATCACTGAAAGCTTCATTGCTGAGATTCATCTTGTTTATATTTTGAAATGGTAATGTCAATATTACCAACATATTAGGTTTGGCTTTGTACACGCCCTGGGCCTAGATTTTCGAAGCTCTCTTAGCGCTAAGATAGTCGTAACTGCCATACATTAACATTAACTTACGAAACCCGTGGAAACCCGTGGAGATCCCGGTTAGAATTGGTCGGGTTAGAATGCTTGTCGTAAGAGGCGACTAACGGGATCGGTGGTCAGGCTCACTGACTGGGTTTACACACGTCATCCTATCCCAGTTGCGTACATCGATGCTCATGCTGTTGATCACTGGATTGTCTGATCCAGACTCGATTATTTACAGACCGCCGTCATGTAGGTGGAATATTGCTGAGTGCGGCGTAAAACAACAAACCAACCAACCAAAACTCCCTGGGGAGGTGCTATTGTTTTAATGATAAGGCTACTGATGTGTCCACAGGTAGATTAGATAAATACTGTGAACTAGAGTCGTGCAAACTGTAACATGAAGCGGATGGACATTATAGTTGCAGCATAAGAAGTAAATCAAAGGGAGATAACCACGCAGTACTCTATACAACCCAGGCCAATTCCCGCAACAGAGTGAGTGGGTGAGTTTAGTTTTACGCCGCACTCAGCAATATTCCAGCTATATGGCGGTGGTCTGTAAATAATCGAATCTGGACGATCCATTCCTGTGATCAACAGCATGAGCATCGATCCACGCAATTGGGATACGATAACATGTGTCAACCAAGTCAGATAGCCTGACCAACCGATCCCGTTAGTCGCCTACTTCGACCAGAATGGGTTACTGAAGATCAATTCTAACCCGGATCTTCACTGGTCTCCAGCAACAGATACACACGCACGCACACACAACAAACACACAACACACATACGCATACGCATGCGGATACGCATACGCACAGGCCTCCTCTAGATTTTGGGTCGGTCAATGTACCGAGTATTACACTGCAGAGCTGCCCTGTACTTTAACAACTGATTACTGTTAGAGACTGGCGGTGCAGGGACTCAAGGTCAACGATTGCTATCTAATCTGAAGTAATATGTGGGATGTGCACATTGACACTGTACCTGTAGGTGCGCCAGAACCAATCAACAAAAAAAAATATTGATTTTAATAGAAGTTTCATTTTAAAATCCCCGACCACGTCATACCAAAAGACGTTAAAATATGGTACTTGTTGGTCCCTGTCTGGCGCTCGGCATTAATGGGTACAACAAGGACTGGTCGGCTCGGAGTCAGTATAATGTGTCTGAGTGGGGTATTCATGCTTCACTGCGGCATGGTATCTCAGTGGGCTAGCACTATAAAACCAGCTTAAGTCTCGGCTAGTACAAGCAGCCGCACATACACATACACACGCATGCACGTCGTCATATGAGCGAAATATTCTCAAGCACGACGTAAAACACAGTTTCACCTCACTTCACCTCACCCTGGTTATACTGGGCAGAGTGTTAAGAAGTTAGGTCTTCTGTTTTAATACACGTACTTGTTTATACAGAAGAACAACACACTCAAATCAAATTTGGTTTTCTTCGGTCGTCGAATAAACATGACAACTGGAGAAATTACGTCAACGGGATGAAAAACAATATTAAAAAATATAGTGATATTGTCACGTGATGTGATGCTTGGATTGTTTCTTTGAAACAGCAGTGTTCCATCACGATAAAAGAAAATCAAAACATGCAACGTTAATATCAATGAGCTTCATAAACTCCAAGGTGAGTTTATCGATTGCCTGTTCACCATTTTATTTTGGATTGTATTATCTGTTTGTATGGCTGTTGTTTAACGCCCCACTCAGTATACGTGTAAATAAATGAACCAATAACAGACTCGACGTTTTGCATCCTACATCAAACTGCGTTAGGTTTAACTGCGCTCAATGTTCTTATCACAACCGTGCTCCTTACTGACTTTCATTAACCTGCTGTTGACACTGATAATGATTTCTATTCCGTCTTTTGGGTCTACATCGCCACCAGTATTGATAGCAACCTATGTTTACATAACAAGCACATTGTATAGCTGTCAAGAGATGCAGTTATGAGTGCATGAGATTAGATCATTCGGGTTGACGAATTACATTCCGCACGTGTCATGGTAACGATACATGAGATGTGCGTTGTCCAACTGTCGATGTGTGGGACTTGAGGTCGATAAAGAAGGCAAATTAAAAGCAAATAAAATCGTATTTAGTACGCATGTTCAATACTCCTGTACCTTTATTGTATTTTCAATATTGTATTTTGAGGACATCAGTTCGAATCGCTCCCTGTCTATGACCCGAGAACGTGTTCAATGGGTTTTAGTGTCTGGTATTTGTAATTTCTAAAACGAGCTTTGAGGATTGTGTGTGCGCGCGTGTGTGAGTGGAGTCGGGGTGCGGAATGAGATAGTGAGTGAGTGAGTGAGTATGGTTTTACGCCGCTTTTTAGCAATATTCCAGCAATATCACGGCGGGGGACACCAGAAATGGGCTTCACACATTGTACCCATGTGGGGAATCGAACCCAGGTCTTCGGCGTGACGAGCCAACGCTTTAACCACTAGGCTACCCCACCGCCCCTACGGAATGAGATAATACAATCGGGGGGACTATGCTGTGTGGCACCCTCTTAAAGCGTTTGGTTCTAGGTTCGATTATCCATATGGGTTCTATATAAGTTGGGGCGGTGGGGTAGTCAATGGTTAAAGCGTTCGCTCGTCACACCGAAGATCGGGTTCGATTCCCCTCATGGGTACAATGTGTGAAGCCCATTTCTGGTGTCCCCCGCCGTGATATTGCTGGAATATTGCTAAATGCGGCGTAAAACTAAACTCACTCACTCACTCTTGTCAGCACCATGCCTGTGCTCACGGGTTCCACCAAAATGGTAAACGTCTGAGACATACTTTACTTCTGTCAACATTAAGCCGACACGTCGTGGTATAGCTGAAATACAGCACATTTCACTCACTCACTCACTCACTCACTCACTCACTCACTCACTCACTCACTCACTCACTCACTCACTCACTCACTCACTCACTCACTCACTCACTCACTCACTCACTCACTCACTCACTCACTCACTCACTCTATCTATCTATCTATCTATCTATCTATCTATCTAAGTTGTCAGCCAGCGGGACATGGGATGATGTACCCGAGGGGCCTGGAACCGCACCCCTACTTGTCATATAAGTATGTCTTATATTTGGTCCGTAACGTTAAGGATGCCAAAGTTCATTCTTCACATTCATCGACACATCAGAGGACAGGGGACGAATTTACAGTTAAATCACATTTCATTCGGAAAATATCGTAAATATTCGGAGAGCGGCGTCTTATATAATATATTGGAGATACAAATCTGTGGGCTGTATTTTGCAAAAGCGATGCCAACAGTTCGGAAAATGTGAGCGGGGTACGTAAGAAACGTATCTTACATTTCCGCCGGGTACACTGAAAATAACAGAATGGGTGTCAGCGAATAATCCAACATGTAAAAAAAATAAATGAACACGCCTATTTGTTATGTCAACGACTAGATATTGCTGCATCCATTCTAAAGTGCGGCGTAAAAGCATATTCATTCACTCAAATTGATAATAATCATTTAGATTTGTTTTGCTAGCTTCCATTCATATTCAGTGGATCTTTGGGGGCGTTTGTTCGCATTAATTATATCTGGTTTATCTCCAGCTGCAGTATTGACCTGGAATCATTTCATGACAACAGCTTGAGATGTGTGAGGCTTGGTGATATGGAGAGGTTGGGCTATCATGCACTGACCACACAGATGGCGCGTGATATCGAGTGCAGGACACAATAGATGTTGGACAAATAACACTGATTAGCGACACCATTGTCACAGGTGCTATCAGACTGATTAAGAAGAGAAAAGGGAAACAATTGGATTGAGGAGTATGTCTCGAGGAAATGTTAAGCAATTTGGAGAAATAGCACGGCTGAAGCCAGACATGGGCTTTATACGCTATACCCATGAGTGGAATAGAACCCGGGCGGATGGTGTGACGATCGCGAGCCAACGTTTTAACCTTGGAGCTACCTCAACGTGGCTTAGAAAGAAAGTGAAAATGACAGTTGAGCTTCTCCGTGTACAGACTACCCCTGTACAAATTCAAACATAATACGTGCAAGTGTACTGAAAATCATCCTCAAATAATCTGGAATGTTTAAGCGTTGCACGCTTTTAATTGTCATTTTTCATAAAATTCCATTTTAGGGTGAATCTCTGTCTTTCCTGAAGTCATATTCAGTATAATAGTAAGTGTACTTAGTATAAACATTTTAAATCTCTGTTAACTGTAGAGAAATATTTGTTATGTAATGAGTTCCCCAATATTTAAAAATTATATTTGCTAGATTCAGGTGTTGCAATTTTAGACTAGCCGTGGAAAGGGGCAGATATTCATTATATTAACTGTAATGAAAGGTACTGTCTATACTGTAAATCTAATGGCATTTTATTAATTGAAGATGAATGGCATGTATTTTATGTGTGTTGAGGCATACTCTAGTATCAGGAATAAATATATTAAGAAATATTTTAGTAACTTCCCCACAATTATAAATTTTATATCTATTCTACAGAGTGAAAATATGGATATGATAATAAATGCATGTTTATTCTTATATCATGTAAACAAGAACCAAAACCGTAAATACTGTAAAATGCGTTGATGCGTTGATGTGTTACATATTATCATGATTGTATTTTGGGCCGGAGGCCTGTTACTGAATAAAATGTCTGTCTGTCTGAAGTCATATTCAATAATGTTCAATATTTTGATAAATATTTTGCGGCATCTGAACATGTACTTTCATGCTATCAGATTTACACCAAATACCGATTTGTTGAGACCCGAAAATGCAAGTTCGATTCAAACTTACTGACAAGGATTCGAACACGTAGCTGTTAGGCTACACCCCGCATATATATTCAATGTCATTCCGTTCCAAATGTACCGGCAAATATTAGAGTGGTCTCCCCTGTATCCCGTTTCCGGAAGTAAACAAGTGCGTGACCAGTGACGATAACAACTCATTACACCTCCTTCAACAAGCCTGTCACAGCATGTGTTGATCAATGAAGTGAACCAAGCACTTAAAAACATCACAACATTTGACTCGAGGCCAGTTCAAACAACATCTAGCTCAATAATGTTCTCAGATGAACAGTATAATCAAGCTTGCAAAGAACTTTTATCGCCCCAGTTGGACGAAAAGGATGGTTGGGAATATTTCGTCGAGTCGAACGATGTCACAATCTACAGGCTTAGAAATGAGGTGAGTTTAATCAAATAACGGATGAAATAAGTTTATAGATGAATTTGTTCTGCGAGATCAGGAAAAACGGGAAAACATTTTTGTGTGTCACACTTGACCAGGTAGGGGAAACGTACCGATCGGCCAAACGGGATATTATAGGCCGCTCTGCCTATTTTGCTATAGGCTGATCGGCCTATTTATGATATATATCAAAGAAATTTTAAGCGGTGCATGTCCGCATGAGGATATTCACATCATTCAAGTTTTGATGTCCAAAGGTTTTCATTCAAACCCTTTTTGAGAATTTTCATCGCATAATAAAGGAGTTTGGAAATTGCTAATTATATAAGTCTATAATATTTTTTGACAATTTTCATTGCAATAATGACATAGATATTCAGTGTTAGGTTTCAAAAGGAAAATTTGTGCAAAATTGTGTTCTTAATGAAACATCTTTTCCTGAACATGATATAAATTTCCATTTTGTCCAAAAACTTATTTTTCTCAAGCTGAGGAGGCCATTAACTATTCATCTGTATGATCATATAAAACCATTTCGTGCGGAAATTGATAGTTTGTGACATAATTAGAAATATGTTCAAATATAGCCCGATCGGCCTATAGCAAAGTAGGCAGAACGGCCTCGGTAGGTTTCCCCAACCTGTTGACTTGAATTCAATAAACATGGTCGTAAATTGGGAAAGATTTCCACCCGCAACCCCTGGTTTTTTATCATTCAATGCCTGGAGGGTTTTATTTTTTAATAAAAAAACCTGTTTGTATAAACAAATGTCTATGACTTTATGAGGTATGTAGTCAAAGCATCCACAGATAAAAGGGCCACAAGCACATTTGTTCCCAAAAGCCACTCTAATTTTCTTTTTTTTAATTATAGGATATTTAGATACACTCATTCTCAATAAATGGGCACATTTGACCATATCAAAGTCAAAAATAAGGTTAATATATATTCATTAACTATACAATTATTTCAGAGTAGAGTATTAGGTACATAATATACAACAAGAGTTGTTATGTAATCTTTGTTTTAAACATACTAATTTTCTACTCAAAGTAATGCTTCGAGTTTCCAAAAATGTAGCTAAGTACTGTACGTTACGTTGAAAGCGATACTCAAACACTTTGATTAGCATTAAACGGAGACATTAAAGATATATTTTCTTCTTCCTTGCCGAAGTGGAGCATATGCTGGTGTTAGAAAACACAAATAAGTGTCATGAATATCAAAGAACAGTTCCAGTCACGATCTTCAAAGGTCACATATCGTTTTGGCCAAAACCATGTCAGTGGAATTTCAAACTACATCATTTAGTTTATGTTATGTCCACAAAATATACATGTTTAGAGACAAGAACATTTCTAGAAGTCGACAATTAAACGATAATCTACTCAATAATTCAAAATGAAGTATTCGAATGTGTTCATTTCGTAAAGGATTCCATGAACATATACGTATATGAAATATAACGTACATTACTGCCTTTGTAGCACAGTTCTGAAATTTTAAATTTTCAGATAAATACTGCAAATTTCATTTCAATAATTTAATAATATTAAAGATTATGAAATTAATGTTTGCTTTGAGTGTCCATGAATAACTGGATACTCTGGTGAAATGTACGTTACCCAGTGTAACGTACATTTCACTATCTGTTTACATGCATAGTTTGTCAACCATAATTCACAATCAGCCACAGCCAAGATACAGACGTAAATTGACCTTAGGGGAAAGGATTGTATGAACAAAACTATTTCTATGTTTCCCTTACATTCTATGAGACAAAGAAACATTTTGATACCAAAGTTTCAATCACCATTTAATCATATTTTGAGCGATACTAATGATATTAATCTGTAGATTTGCCGCCTCAGGACTCTATGACACGTGGTGGGTTAAAATAGTGACGTGTGCAAAAGTCGTATCGAGCTGGGCAACGTCGGAATAAGAAAATTCGAATGTACTGGTATCGTACATTTCAGTAACGTATATTTCCTTCTATCAACAATTACCCAATATCTGTTCAAACTTGTTAAGAATTAAACAACAAATGTTGATATCGTGATGACACCATTAATGTTTATAATTATCATGCAAGATAATTTGGATATATTTTGTTTACTTTGATGTCATAATAATCAGGTCGTTACATCCTTAACCAAACGCATTTGACAGGCCTTGTTCAAACAGGGACACAGTAGAAACATGCAAACTTTGGGGATCAGTCAGACTTCTTTTCATAGCCCTTTCTCATGACTATCTCAAAACAGATGTATCATACTCGCATATATCTTAAACAGTGCCCCAAATCCTTAAATAAACTAAAGAAAGCTGACACAAATTTTCGTAATTACAAACTGGCGACAGACACTTTAAGCTTGTCAGTTAATTTATTTAACGTCCTGTTTAGTTTCTTTGATAGGTAAATGAAACGTCTATCATTGCAAAATACTACAGTGTGTTTACCGGTTTATCAGTAAAGAAAATTACATACTGACTGTCCTTTAAGGTGTGTATACCACTTGCGGCGACAGTCACGTACGTTTCAAAATGAACAATTAATTGCATATATTTCATTTAGTCCCAACATGTGGCAGACACGTCCTGTTTAAATCTTTAATATGGGTGGTGATATGTTGCAAAATGCAAAAGAATCCACTTAAAAGGAAATCCAGGAAAACACAGAGTGCAGCGACACAAATGCGCCCTTTTATCGAGAATGAGTGATAGCGCACATATCCATGCAACTTGTACATGCGCATCGGATGTCAATCTCAACGGCACATCATATTATCAATCTCAATCCCTGAGGATCATACACTAAAAGTCAAGCCCCAAATCAAAATGTCCTTTTCAAGAAGTCCAAAGAACATAAAGTCCAAATAACAACTTTTTACAAATGAAAATATACATTTTGTATCTTATAAATCTACGTCAATTCCGTAACAAATATCGATCAATTTCTTCTCATTTACTTGACAAACAATCAGCTTATATGATATTGGTTTGTATCCTGATTCATTAGTTTAATTACATGAGTTCATATTGTTTCCCTTTTCGCAGGTGAATCTTAACCCTGCATCATTCGTTTTCAAATGTCAGATAGCAAAGATGGCATATGGTAGGGGAGAAATATAAGCTTGGGGATATTGCGCAATATTCTGCTATTTATAGCTATCTGGAAATACTAGAGTATCTGCATTGGTTCTTGACCGTTTCTGTTATTGTGCACATGTTTTTGCATCAATAAAACTGATGCATAGTATTGTGAGCCTCGTATCACAATACATTATTGTATTGTCATATCAATACACATTTAGTCCTCACTAAGTGTTATAACCATCACTCTGACAGACACAGAGTCAGTGAACATAGTATGTATTGTAAACGTTCTGTACAGATAATGTGCCCACTCACAGAGGTTTAACCACTGTAACAAAATGTGTTGAAAATATTTATGAAAATACATATGTGTGCTTTAAATTTATAATTTTCATTTGGCCCTTTTGTGTTATTGAGGTGGTGGTTTTGTCAATGGTTTTTGTCACAACTGACTTTTTAGTGTGGTGTTTTCAATTTTTTGCTGTGATGCCTTTTGTTTTGGACCGCCTCCGTGGTGTAGTGGTTAGAGCGTCCACCCGGAGAGCGGAAGGTCGCTGGTTCGATCCCCAGCTGCGTCATACCAAAACACGTTCAAATATGGTACTTGTTGGTCCCTGTCTGCATTAATGGGTACAACAAGGACTTGTCGTCAGTTTAATGTGTCAAAGTGGGGTATTCATGCTTCACTGCGGCATGGTATCTCAGTGGGCTAGCACTATAAAACCAGCTTCAGTCTGGGCTAGTACAAGCAGCCGCACATACACATACATGCACATCGTCATTTGAGCTAAATATTCTCAAGTACGATGTTACACCCCATTTCACCTCACCTTTCGTTTTGTTGTCTGAATTACTTTAGGTGTGGCCCTTTAGACCTGTTCCCATTTACTCTCTGCTTCAGATAACCTGTCTTGTAACATATCTTCTGGTCTAGTAAGAACAGCATATACCAGTCAATATACTGTGACTAAAATCGGCTGGCAATAATTTATGAATACAAGGACATGATAGTAATAGATCTAATGCTGTATTTCATGGCAGATTTGATATTGTGCTGTTGTGTGGTAAGACTGTGTTGTATTTGACCTCTGCCATGGCCACTACCATACAATCATATTTGTTTATCTACAGACGTCCGGGTTGTACGAGTACAAGATCTATGGCTACATGAAGGATGTACAACCTGACATCTGTGCCAAAGTCTACATGGACACAGAATATAGGAAGAAGTGGGACAGTTATGTTAATGGTATTTCTTTTCTTTTTGAACTAATCCATCACTGGGATTACATGATGAACAAGAAACCCATGAAGATCCGGGTTAGAATTAGAGGTGTGACGATACGGAAATGTCACGATACGATACGTATCGCGATATCTTGGAACGATATGATTCGATTCGATGCATATCACGATATGCTATCTTTCGTTATTTTCTTTTAAAAAGTATATTTTGATAGCAAGTAACAGTGTACATTTTTACATAACCGTCAATTTCTAGTGAACATTAACAATTTTAAGGTCAATGATTCATATCACGATACGAACAAAAGTATCGATATATTTATCGTCAGCTAAAGTATCACGATTATCGATACTACAATATATCGTCACAGCTCTAGTTAGAATGGATCTTCAGCAATCCATGCTTGTCATAAGAGACAACTAACAGGATCAGGTGGTCAGATTTGCTGAAATGTCATTGTATCCCAATTGCGTACATTGATGCTCATGCTTTTTATCATTGGATTGTCTGGTCCAGACTCGATTATTTACAGACCGCAGTCATATAGCTGTAAAATTGCTGAATGCGGATTTTGGACCAGACAATCCAGTGATAAACACCATAAACATCGATCTACGCAATTGGGATATGATGACATGTGTTGTATTCTTGTGTAATGTTAGTGATTGGTATTTGTGTTGATGACTTGTTGAGCAATCTCTTAAGTTCTTATTGTCAACATATTTGTAATTGAATTAAATAATTTTTGCATTGTTGTATGTGGAAACATAAAGTCATGTGTGAATACTTTGTGTAAATATTTAAATTAAACAGCATGACATTTGTTACAAGTTTGAATCCATACACACATAAACCACTGAAATTATTTCTGAACTGAACCCATGTATAGTGGTCCTGTTGTATGTGACAGAGTTGAAGATAGAGAAGACCCTGGACCAGGAAGTGATCTACTGGAACATCAACTACCCGTTCTTCATGTCAAACAGAGACGTATCCTTTCATGCAACTTGATTGCCGCCAGACTCATGACAAAAGCTTGGCTCCAGATATTTCTTTGAGCCACGAGCATTAAGTCAAAATTAATCTTTCACATTGTGTACTGTAATGCAGATGTCCTAAATGAATTAAGTCTGAAGCTCAACACCTCATTGGGGGTCTTTTTCAATGTAAATGGACGTTTAGGAGGAATTAAATATTAAAGATTAAACTTTACTTTAGTTTTCTCTGGGATGTCAGTCTCTACCTAATTTTGCTACTATTTTAATTTTATACCAGTGCAGAGCCATTTTCTTGTACATATTTCGGGGTAGTGGGGTAGCCTAGTGGTTAAAACTTTCGCTTGTAATGCCAGAGACCTGGGTTTGATTCCCTACAAGGATGCAATCTGTGAAGCCCATTTCTGGTGTCCCCTGCCGTGATATTGTTGGAATATTGCTAAAAGCAGCGCAAAACCGTACTCACTCACTCTTCCTGGTGATGTTTCTCTCAGGTGATGCTGTTACCTGAGTGGTATCCAAGATGGACATATATATGCTCACTGTCTCATACCATCCATTACCTGCTGAAGGAGTAATGATATACTCCGAAACGTTGTGTTCCTCATAATAAAGAAGTTGACATCCATGACAACTCTCTTCTTTATGTGTATCACTTCCAAATGCCATTCAAAGACCCATCCAAGATTCACACTGATTATGTCCTTTGGTCTTTCATTGAGGGCGGTGGGGTAGCCTAAAGCGTAAAGCATCTGCTTGTCACGCTGAAGATAATTTCTGGTCTCCCTTGCCAGGATATTGCTGGAATATTACTAAAAGTGGCGTAAAACCATACTCACTCACTCACTCAATTCAGTGCCATACCTGTACATGTGGGTTCACAAAATCCTGCTTCACTGTACCTTGTATAGAGATAAGGGCTGCATCACTGTACCTTGTATAGACATAAGGGGCACAAAGGATGTGAAGCAATTTAACGTCAACTCACTTAATTTGAAGTTATTGATGTGATCAATACACTCCATGAAGATTTTGGTTAGAATATGAAAAATTTAAATGAAACAAGTGCCATTGGAGGTTTTGCAATGTTATTTCCACCTTAACTGCCTTGTAGTATGTGTTTTCACGAGAACTACGTGAGATTGACTATGAAAATAACAAGATTTGGGTGGTCCTGGCAAAGAGTGCGACCTCGGCAACGTTCCCTGAGCAGTCCGGTGTCATCCGGGTCACGGACTATTTCCAGAGTGCTGCCCTCATGACTGATGGCCAGTCTGGAACTAAAGGTGGGTATTGTACATTTGCAGTGTGGATATTATTTGACTGGATACGTCACAGATGCATCTATACCAGGTAGGGCTGGGACGGGTAACCCGGATACCCGGGTCGGGTGGGTAATGAGTTGGACCCGGGTACCGTCTCAGTACCCAGACCCATTATGATCATGTGACTAATATATTAAACAATGTTATATGTTATTCTTTCATGATTAAAAGGTTGTATTGTCTTTGAAGATTTAGACATTATTTACAGTCACCTGTTTTGAACATAATACACGATTAAGAAATTGAAAGAAAAATTAGCCTCCGAGCTGAAGAATATATTGCCATTTCTTACAAATTTAGCGACAGGAATTAACATATCGGGTATCTGGATACGGTAGGGTAATAGGGGGTGGGGTACCCGGGTAGAAAATTTGAACCCGTCCCAGCCCAAATACCAGGCAGCACAATTTTCTGACATCTGTATTGTCCTACTGTGGACCACAGCAATCCCCAGACCACCCAATCCCTGAACCATCCCCAGCCCTACCTTCACCACCCCTACCCTGAAACCTCTTCTCCCCACCCCCACCCCACTACCCATTTGGCAAACCTACCTTGGACCACCCCTACCCAGAACCACCCTCTACCACTCACCACACCTACCCTTGGCCACACCTACCTTTGGCCACACTTACCTTGGACCAGCCCTACCACTGACCACCCCTATCACTGACCACACCTACCATTGGCCACACCAACCTTTGGCCACACCTACCTTGGACCACACCTACCTTGGACCACCCCTACCCTTGGCAACACCTACCTTGGACCATCCCTACCCTGAACCACCCCCTCTACCACTGACCACACCTACCCTTGGCCACACCTACCTTGGACCACCCCTACCCTGGACTACCCCCTCTACCACTACCCTGGACCACACCTACCCTGGTCTACACCTACCATTGACCACACCCACCTTGGATTACAGTGAACCACCCTATCCTACCCCATACGTTTTTGGACCTACCCCACTATGACCTTTGGCCATGCCTAGCCTGGACCACCCCACCCCCTACCCTGCCACACCTACCCATGACCATCTACCCTTGACTTTGACCCTGCAGTGGACCACCCCTGACCTTGGTAACACACAGTGGACCACCCCTACCACTGACCACCCCACCCTGAACCACCACCACTGGCCACACCTACCTTGGACCACCCCCTACCACTGACCACCCCTACCCTTGAACACACCCTCTACCACACCTGCCCTGGACAACACCTACCCTGGATTGCAGTGAACCACCCTATCCTACCCCTCTACCTTTGGCCACACCTACCTTTGACCACCACAACCTTTGGCCACACCTACTGTGGACCACCCCTTCTACCACTGACCACACCTACCCTTGGCCACACCTACCTTGGACCACCCCTACTCTGATCACCACCCCCCACACCTGACCACACCTACCCTGGTCTACACCTACCATTGATCACACCCACCCTGGATTGCAGTAAACCACCCTATCCTACCCCTCTACCTTTGGCCACACCTACCTTTGACCACCACGACCTTTGGCCACTCCTACCCTGGACCACCCCTACCCTTGGCCACACCTACCCAAGACCACATCTACCCTTGACCACACCTGCAGTGGACCACCGATGACCTTGACGACACCTGCAGTGGACCACTAATGACCTTGGCAACACATGCAGTGGACCGCCCCTACCCTTGACCACACCTGCAGTGGACCACCCCTGACCTTGGCAACACCTGCAGTGGACCATCCCTACCCTTGACCACACCTGCAGTGGACCATCCCTACCCTTGACCACACCTGCAGTGGGCCACACCTACCCATGACCACACCTACAGTGGACCACCCCTACCCTTGACCACACCTGCAGTGGACTACCCTCCCCTACCCATCCTACCCTTGGCCCCCGCTCCCTAGCTGCACTGTACTCTGTATCAACCCTACCCATGGCCACACCTACCCATGACCACACCTACCCTGGTCTTTCCACTTGGTGGTCCACACCTACATGTGACAGGGACAACCCAGTAGTCTGAAGTGCTGTGATATGCTGTGCAGTGTTAAATCCTCTTCGGCAAGCCAGATGCCCATGTTTTAAGGCTTGTTAGCACCATCTTCATTGTATTGGCTTTTAACAAAGTGCCAAGAGCCTGAAGCCTGCATCACTTCAGGTATTCATCCCACTCAATGTTATACATCTAGGTGCCATTGCACAATTATCTTAGTACTACGACTGTTCAGGGCCTATGTTAAGGATGTTATCAATTACCTTAGCGCTACGACTGTTCAGGGCCTATGTTAAGGATGTTATGATCACCTTAGCACTAAGATGGCTTTGTACAACGGCAGCCTGAAATTCGTTAGACTCCACCCTTGCCTATCTTAACCACTTTTCTGGACAGGTTTATGATTAAAGATTGTATAACATGATACTGTGTGCTTATTGCATGCAATGTTGTTGCATCATCATTTTTAATACTTTCAGCATTTATGCATTACTATGACAACCCTGGTGGTATGATCCCAACCTTCCTCATCAACTGGGCAGCCAAGGTAAATATGCACCAACCTTTTTATACATCTTAAGGTAAATAATAATAATTATGGCTATTTATAAAGCACCTGTTTCCACGCACATGTGCATGCTCAAAGCATTATTACCCCGGATAACCCAAGCTGCCTGTGAGGCACTAGAAGGTTAACAGTCATATGACTTATCCCACCGGGTACCCATTCACTGCTGGGTGAACAGAGGCAATTCATGAACAAACTCACTTGCCTAAGGTGAGACCACATATGGCACATGTGCTTCATTGTGGGTCAGGACTGAAGTCCTAGAAATGTCAAGTACACACTGGTTACACTGACTGAGTTTGGTTTTACGCCGCTTTTAGCAATATTCCAGCAACATCACAGCAGGGACACCAGAAATGGGCTTCACACATTGTACCCATGAGGGGATTCGAACCCGGGTCTCGGTGTGACAAGCCAACGCTTTAACCACTAGGCTACTCCACTCCACCATTGGTTCAGTATGCCCCATTTTATGGGTACTAAATGAGATGTGAAGCCCATTTCACCTGGTAAATTCCCCATATTGCTGTAAATGTCCAACATATTGCTGGAATATTACTGTAAAGTAGTAGGGTGTCACGATACACCAATCTCACGATACTGATCATTGGCACGTATCACATTTTAAGGTCATGATACAATCGCGCGCCTTTTCATTAGCAGCAACGTGACGCCGCTGATTGGTCCATCAAAATAGTCTAGCCAATCACAAAAGCTGTTAGTTTCCAACCTATTTTTAAGTAAAGCTAGCTACATCTATTTATCGGAGCGGTCTCAGATAATTTTACTATCAAGACTTTGAAGGAGATGGATATAGCATAAAAATTTGAATCGATAAAGTTTTAAAATAGGAATCGATACACGCAAAGCATGTATCGTATCGTAGATCGTCAGTAAATGATATTGCTGGAATATTACTAAAAAGTAGCGTAAATCATACTCACTAATATTGCTGGATTATTGCTGAAAGCAACATAAAACCATCTCACTCACTCACCCTCCACCTTGGGCCCTATGTGCAATTACAGCAATTTCATAATAATCATCTAAACAATGTCATCCTAAAGAGAGGGGTCAAATACAGTCTACAATCATACAGGGTATGACAAGTCACACAGTACATTTAATTGGTTCCAGAAACAAAATATACTGATATCTTGACAACAGATTCTTTTCAAAATTAATAATCCTATTTACTTTTAATCATGAATATCAAATTAATGCAGAAAGTCTATGTATTTACAGGTCACTGAATGTTAATCAACCTTTGTTTGTAGACTGGTGTGCCCCAGTTTCTAACGATCATGCAGAAAGCTTGCCGTGGGTATGACGATTATCTACAGAAGGCTTCCAGTTGACATCCTCATCATCATTAGAAACTATCTAGTTCAGCATACTGATCGGTGCATTTTTTAACATGCTGCATCAGTTTATTTATTTTATTTTTTTCAGAATTTGGCCAAATAAAATAATAAATGTTTTCATGGCTCACATTGTTTATTTCATAAAAATATTTTTTGAAACAACAGTTTCAACAAAACTACAAGCAATACATTCTTTATTTTTTTAGGATACCGATATGTTGTTTTCAGTCATATTAAACATTTATGATAATTTGTATTTTGCTGATAAATAACTTTTTTATCAAATGTATTTTATTCAAAATTTAGTAAAAGCTCATCCATACTTTAAATCAAATACAATATTTAGATTATCAATATATTTACTTTGGCAAAGTTTATTGTTGACTTATTTTTACAAATGTGAGAATAAATTGGTCCATTGTAACAGTAATATGCAATATTAAGGTATGTGATTTTAGAAAATGGTCTATATAAGAAAATGATACTTTTGTCAAGATCACAGATCAGTCCCAGATAAGCACTACTGTTGCTTTGAAACATGCATTAAGGTTGATGAAAGGAAGATTCATGTGGCTCAAGCATTTAAATTTCACATGATAATGTAAATGGGCATTATCGACCTTGTTTAATTTCAATCCACTTGTCAGAATGTTCATTTACAATTGTTTGTTTCTGAATATGAGGTATTTTTAAGATGTAAGAATATAGGTAGGTAGAAATATATTTTTTTCATTTTTAAGAATTTTAAAGCATTGAAATCAAGAAACAACAATCTGCCATGTCTGTACTTTAAATCACCATGATATTCTTTCCAGGTGCTTGAATGAATATTTTATTAAGTCTGCAAAATGAATATTTCCATTTTAGTTGTACATTACATCAGAATACAGATTGTCATTTGACATCATATCATTGTTATGCATTTTGTTGATGTATTTCATAAAGACATGCAAATATTTCCAAGTGGTTTAACATTTAAGCATTACAGAGTACATTTTATGCTTACACATATGTACTAGTGTCAAAGTAGCTACGAGGTAGTGACTGTCCGGAGTGTTATTGTGATCTTATTCCTTGTAATTGTGATATATTAATATATAATATTGCATGTTTAATGTGTGTTTTATAAAACATTAAAAGGTCCGCAATTTCTGTTATTTGGAATGTAATGATTCCATGAAGAATTTGAGAATATATATATTTTTAATAGTGTATTTTGTTAGATTCAGTTTTCACACTAGAAAACAGTAAAAGAGAATGTGATGAAGTATATTTGCTATTGTGTGTATTTTATATCACTGCCATTGTAAAGAATCGGTACATGAAAGCCATCCGCAGGCTAGGCCAGTTGTATGTGTACCATGTTTGTTAAAATGGTTTTAGTATGATGATCACAATGTGGAATAAGCTATGGTTTTGAGAAACTGAATACAGTTATTTACCGAGGACAAACATTTGAACTGGTATCTAATACTTCCCAATTAGAATTAACTGTACTTTTGAAAATTTTGCTTCAAAAGATTTTCTTCAAATGCAGTGGGTGGTTTTCTACAAACTTTTCACATCCTTGTCTAACATTTCATCCTTAAATAAAATCACAATGGCGAGAGCTGTGGCAGTTTAGAGTTGAGAAACCATCCTGGATATGAGTTTGATTCTATTGGACTTTATTCTATAGGTCCGGGAGACAGACTATTAATCTCCATATAGTGGGTTTTTTATCCAACAGGAATGATTCAGCAATACTTTTTTGAGAGCTTTTCATAAAAACATTACATTAAAGGGATCTCAGTTAAAAGTGACTGTGTTTGTCACAATGAAGTTTAACATGTTATAACCAAATGGAACTGGAAACTCAGGTACACCTCGAGTCAAAGCTGCCATGGGGAGGTTGGGTAGCCTAGTGGTTAAAGTGTTCACTCATCACGCTGAAGTCCTGGGTTTGTATATATTGTCATGGGTACAATGTGTGAAGGCCATTTCTGGTGTCCCCTGCCATGGTATTGCTGGAATATTGCTAAAAGCGGCATAAAACCAAACTCACTCACTCAAATCGGCCATCACTGGAAAGTGTTGTGACCTATATTACATTCTTTGTTGTGGGAAGCATGCCAGTTTTACAATTAATCTGAGGTTAACAAATTTTTGTTGATTTTTTTTATCTGGTTTGTTTTGTTACAGTTTTGGATGGGATCTAGGGTAGCCCACTCATCTAAGAGTTGCTTCCCTTGGTCACATCAGAATCCTATGATCATGGGGTTGATTCTCGGTTTATCAACACCACATCCTGCTAATGAGTTTCAACAAAGTGGTAAACATCATTTTAAGCTGTGAAGCCCATTTCTGGTGTCCCTCGCAGAGATATTGCTGGAATATTGCTAAAAGGGGTGTAAAACCATACTCACTCACTCATTTTCGGCTGACATGCCGAGATGTAGCTGGAATACTGTTCAAAGACATATTAAAGCAAAGTCACTCACTCACTCTGGTTCCTAGGGATGTGCATCACTGATACAGATCAATGGTGTGTTCAATTTCAACTCTATAATTCACTCGCAAACCATCTCATAATTTAAAGTTTATCTGTCACCTTTTCATCAACCTCCCATTCCTATATTTTCCATCTTGTTGTCAGTGATGATGCTCATGAATGTTTATTGTCGGAGTGTTTTTCTTTCTGTCTGTATGGTCCCCTGCCGTGATATTGCTGGAATATTGCTAAAAGTAGCGTAAAATCATACTCAGTCGTTCAGTCAGTCTATCTAAATGTTCATGGACTATAAAGAATATAATATTTGTATACTAGTATATATATTGTCTTGAAAAGTTGTTGATTATTAATACTTTATGTTAAACTAGAGTTTGGCAATGTTAATATAGTCATATATAGTTAACATATGTGGATAACTGGCAATGTTAATATAGTCATATATAGTTAACATATGTGGATAACTGGCAATGTTAATATAGTCATATATAGTTAACATATGTGGATAACTGGCAATGTTAATATAGTCATATATAGTTAACATATGTGGATAACTGGCAATGTCAATATAGTCATATATAGTTAACATATGTGGATAACTGGCAATGTCGATATAGTCATATATAGTTAACATATGTGGATAACTGGCAATGTTAATATAGTCATATATAGTTAACATATGTGGATAACTGGCAATGTCGATATAGTCATATATTGTTAACATATGTGGATAACTGGCAATGTCAATATAGTCATATATTGTTAACATATGTGGATAACTGGCAATGTCAATATAGTCATATATTGTTAACATATGTGGATAACTGGCAATGTCGATATAGTCATATATAGTTAACATATGTGGATAACTGGCAATGTCGATATAGTCATATATTGTTAACATATGTGGATAACTGGCAATGTCGATATAGTCATATATTGTTAACATATGTGGATAACTGGCAATGTCCATATAGTCATATATTGTTAACATATGTGGATAACTGGCAATGTCAATATAGTCATATATTGTTAACATATGTGGATAACTGGCAATGTCAATATAGTCATATATAGTTAACATATGTGGATAACTGGCAATGTTAATATAGTCATATATTGTTAACATATATGGATAACTGGCAATGTTAATACAGTCATATATTGTTAACATATGACTTATATATGTGGAAACTTTAGATGAAGAATACAAAGTGAAACATTCTGATCGTATATGTGAAGTGGGGCAGCCTAGTGGTTAAAACATTTGCTTGTCACACGGAAGACCGGGGTTCGATTACCCAAGGGTACAATCTGTGAAGTCCATTTCTGGTGTCCCAGACAATGCTGTAATATTGCTAAAACCAGAGTAAACTCATACTCACTTAGTCTTATTGTATATTGGTGCATCCATTTGATTTTATCTGGGGGCGGAAAATTATTTTGAGATCAATATATTTTCCCCTCTATGTCAAACAAAATGTTTATTTACTGAGCATCATCAATCTTTTTTTATCTTTTACTGCAAATTATTTTTACATTTGGATGTTTCCCATTAGAATTTATTTTGTAATAAATTGATTTTTAAAAAATATGGTTATAGATAACTTGAATTAAAAAATCAAACAAACCTTTCATCTCCTGAACTATTTATTATTCACATGGGATAGTGAGCTTTAAGTCACACATGTGACTGAGATTTTAGTCACACATGTGACCGAGTGCTTTAAGTCACATGTTACATGTGAGGTTTTAGTGACAGATGTGCCATCGAATGATGCTTGCAACAAGTCACAGATCATGTTGCAGTGTATAACTTATTTTTATTGGATGTCCTCTTGTTTGTTGTCAGTGAGCATGTAATCCTATTATCCTATGGTCATGATATTTTACCTTTATTGTAGATACCAGTGCCAGTAGTTTTCTGTTTGTGTGCATGAAGAATAAACATTCCTATGATGACAATGCTGTTTGTTATTCTTGTGCACTGCACTACACATGGCCTGCACAACACATGGCCTGCACAACATGTACAACACATGGCCTGCACAACAACATGCACAACACATGGCCTGCACAACACATGGCCTGCACAACACATGGCCTGCACAACACATGGCCTGCACAACAACATGCACAATACATGGCCTGCACAACAACATGTACAACACATGGCCTGCACAACAACATGCACAATACATGCACAACAACATGCACAACACATGGCCTGCACAACATGTACAACACACATGGCCTGCACAACAACATGCACAATACATGGCCTGCAATGCACAACACATGGCCTGCATGCACAACATGGCCTGCACAACATGTACAACACATGGCCTGCACAACAACATGCACAATACATGGCCTGCACAACACAACATGCACAAATACATGGCCTGCACAACATGTACATGGCCTGCACAACAACATGCACAATACATGGCCTGCACAACATGTACAACACATGGCCTGCACAACAACAACACACACATGGCCTGCGCAATAACATGCACAACACATGGCCTGCACAAACATGCACAATGCATGGCCTGCAACAACATGCACAATGCATGGCCTGCACAACAACATGCACAATACAACAACATGTACAACCACATGGCCTGCACAACAACATGCACAATACATGGCCTGCACAACAACATGCACAAACACATGGCCGCAACAACATGCACAATACATGGCCTGCTGACAACATGCACAACACATGGCCTGCGTGTGTACAACACACACCTGCATGCACAATACATGGCCTGCAACAACATGCACAATACATGGCCTGCACAACATGCACAACACATGGCCTGCACAACATGCACAATACATGGCCTGCACACAACACACATGGCCTGCACAACAACATGCACAACACATGGCCTGCCACAACATGCACAACACATGGCCTGCACAACAACATGCACAATACATGGCCTGCACAACATGTACAACACATGGCCTGCACAACAACATGCACAACACATGGCCTGCACAACAACATGCACAATACATGGCCTGCACAACATGTACAACACATGGCCTGCACAACAACATGCACAACACATGGCCTGCACAGCATCAGGCACAACACATGGCCTGCATAACTTCAGGAGGTAAACATGTACAACACATGGTCTACACATCAGGCACAACACATGGCCTACACAACAACATGCACAACACATGGCCTGCACAACATCAGGAGGTAACACATGCACAACACCAGGCACAACACATGGCCTACACAGCATCAGGCACAACACATGGCCTGCATAACTTCAGAAGGCGACACATGGCCTGCACAACACCAGCCACACCACATGGTCTACACAGCATCAGGCACAACACATGGTCTACACAACATCAGGAGGTGATACATGCACAACACCAGGCACAACACATGGCCTACACAGCATCAGGCACAACACATGGCCTGCATTACTTCAGAAGGCGACACATGCACAACATCAGGCACAACACATGGCCTGCATAACTTCAGAAGGCGACACATGGCCTGCATAACTTCAGGAGGTGACACATGCACAACACATGGCACAACGCATGGCCTGCATAACTTCATGAGGTGACACATGCACAACACCAGGCACAACGCATGGCCTGCACAACATCAGGCACAACACATGGCCTGCATAACTTCAGAAGGCGACACATGCACAACATCAGGCACAACACATGGCCTGCATAACTTCAGAAGGCGACACACTGATGCACAACATCAGGCACAACACATGGTCTGCATAACTTCAGAAGGCGACACATGGCCTGCATAACTTCAGAAGGCGACACATGGCCTGCACAACACCAGTCACAAAAGTTCCACAAAAGTTCACAGCACAAGAAGAAATATGTTTGCTGCAATAAGTCGTGATCTTAAAGCAGTTGGGAGTTTGATTTATGGCCTCTAATCAGCAGGAAGTAATTGTTTAAAGCAGTCACAAGAATATATATTGAAAATGTATTTATACAATAAATATGCCTATGTTGTGCTTCCAATTGTTTTACTGGATATTTTTACCTCAGAAAGAACCATCAGGGCCAATGCAATACTTGAGAATTCAATTTGACAATACCAATAATAATCTGTCCACCAGTGTCACAGTCACTTTTTAACAATTTTTGTGATCGTACATGGAATATATCCAAGACATTTTTGCATTTCAATAGGATGGATAAATGATAAAAATTATTTGGTAAGTAGGTACTATAAAGATGTAAAAACAATTTCTATGTACATCTAGTTTACGTTCATCAAAGACCATGTACTGGGATAGACGTACATAGAAATTACATATTTAAGTCTTTGGTTCCTGTATTCACTGTTTACATCAGTAGCTTTTTAATTAGTATGACATATCGATTGTTCAGCAGTTAAGAGTGTCTTCGATAAACGATCAAAGTAACATATTAAAATACAAATAAGACATCAACATACATTGAGCACTTTTCAGTATGTGAAATACATGTAACAGATTGTAGGAGAAAAAGTCCAGGAAAAAAGTCCTATTGTAATAAAAACCTATTTATTCATCAACTTTAATGTCAAAACATTCATAACACACACATATGGGTTATTGTCCCCCGCCGCAACGCGGAACGGGGGACTATGTATTCAGCGGCGTCCGTCTGTCCGTACGTCCCGATTCTTGTTAACGCGATATCTGATGAAATGTTGTACCCAATGTCTTCAAATTTGGTGACAGCCTACATTGGGAGATTATGCAGACACCAGTCAATTTGGGTGACCTTGACCTTATTTTCAAGGTCACCATGACACTTCGACCACTTTTCAAACTCTTGTTAATGCGATATCTCATGAAATGTTGTACCCAATGTCTTCAAATTTGGTGACAGCATACATTGGGGGATTACGCAGACACCAGTCGATTTGGGTGACCTTGACCTTATTTTCAAGGTCACCACGACACTTTGACCACTTTTCAAACTCTTGTTAACGCGATATCTCATGAAATGTTGTACCCAATGTCTTCAAATTTGGTGACAGCCTACATTTGGGGATTACGCAGACACCAGTTGATTTTGGTGACCTTGACCTTATTTTCAAGGTCACCACGACACTTTGAACACTTTTCAAACTCTTCTTAACACGGCATCTCATGGACTGTTGTATCCAATGTCTTCAAATTTGGTGACATCCTACATTGGGGGATTATGCAGACACCAGTTGATTTTGGGTGACCTTGACCTTATCTTCAAGGTCACCACGACACTTTTCACACTTTTGACATCTCATGGACTGTTGTACCCACGTCACTTTTCACACTTTTAACGCGATATCTCATGGACTGTTGTACCCAATGTCTTCAAATTTGGTGACAGTTTACATTGGGAGATTATGCAGATACCAGTCAATTTGGGTGACCTTGACCTTATTTTCAAGGTCACCACGATACTTTGACCGCTTTTTAGAGGCGATATCTCATAACACATTGCACCCAATGTTTTCAAGTATGTTGACAGCCTACATTGGGTGATAATGCAGACACCAGTCATTTCAGGCATCTTGTATGTGACCCAAAAATAAAAAGTAGTAGATATAGATATTCCATTCTTTAGCGGCAGAGGACATTGCCATATCAGTGGCAAACACTTGTTAAAAAGATAAACTGATCTATTATCTTTTTTAATGACACTTATCAGTGTAGGAAACATAGCCCGTCCCAACGTCCGAGACGGACGAATTTTGTGGAGGACGGGTTAAAAAAATATCTAGTCCGTCCTCATGTCGGGTCAATTTTAGCAAACCAATGACATATATATAATGATTATAACCTTTTTGAATATTTACTGCCGAAGGTGTTTTATTTATATTTGGAGGACAGGCTAGATTTTGGCAGGACTGGTAAAAATTTGACCTGCCAGTCCTGTGGACAGGCTAGATTTTCTACATCTTTCCAACACTGCACTTATATAAACATGAAGTACTCACATACAATGGGTGATTAACAGGACTTATTCAATATTTAGATAGGTCTTTGATCTTTTAAATGAAATTTAGAAACATGAAGTACTTACATTCTGTGATAATAACAGACAGAAGGGTGCCCCCTATATGTCTCCACCACGTGTCTGGAATGACATTCCTGACCTATGCTCACAGTATGGCGTAGTGTGGCAGTAAACATTAGAATGAATACGAGTCAGTAGACATTAATATTCATCAATATTCTGTAGTATGAATAAAGCTGAAAACCTCTGTAATGTATACAGGATATCTGTCTATTTTACATTTGTTTTATGAATATACAATACATGAAAGTGAATAAACGCTATGATCGCGAAAAAGTATGAAAAGCTAAAAAATACTTTTTATTCTTTTCTTTTTGGGAGGACTTTTTTCCAAGGCAAATTTAGGACTTTTTTCCAGTACTTTTTTTGCGGAGTAGATCTACTTTTTTCCCGCACACCAAATAACAAACCGTCATTTTTTTTATTATATTGGTTTCTTGTACATTTAAATATAATGTGTTATTCTCTGAATCATACCTGCAGTGACATATGAATCATTGTTATCTTGTGATATTTGGTCTTCTTGCAGAATCTTGAAAATTTTAGAAACTGGGATATATGGTAAAAATATCTTGGACATCTAATACAACTTCTAAATGCTGCTAAAAGACACTATATGATAGTAGTAAGAAGAATATGAATACATGGCACTTTCATATGGATAAAAAAATTACTCTTTGTGCACCGTGTGCAGAGGCAAGAAGAATTCCATGATAAATCAAACAGAGAGAAGTTGCCTTTAGTTGACTGAGATGGAATATTTTGACTGGGGGCCGCATTAGTCAAGTAAAAGAAAGAGAATCGCTTGGCGTTCGCGCACGCCTATCTAGAAACCAGTTAAGAAAGCGGTACATATATTTTTAAAACAATTAACTATTTCTATTTTTTTTAATAGACAACATCATAATTACTCTTTCGAAATGGCATGCATACATTGGATTTTAATAAATAAACGATATTATCCAAGTTAATGTATTCAACTCCCGCGCTTCGGAGAATTCGCGAGAAGTGTCATGGCGTCGTGTTCTTTGTGCGAGGAGATGGTAGGTGTTCTGGCAGACTTCTCTGTTTCTTTTTTGTCACATTAGAAATTTTACAGTTACTATGTTCACTACAGGGTCACTAATCAACTGCTAAACTATCTGTCGTATTTTGCGAGTGATAGCACAGATAGATTTGGAGTACTATGCTCGTAGACAAATCGCATTTGAAATGCAACAAAGACAGACGAAAGGGTAAACATTTTAAATTGTGAAATGACCCGGCATCCTTGTAAATGTCTTAAACGTAATAGAACAACCTTAACGTGTGCATATAAACCTGTGCATATAAGTGTCTCAAAACCTTTGAAATTCAGGAGTTTAATGGTCTTGTCTGACTGTTTCAGTCATATCCGTTCGCATTCGATTTTTTATCACATAAATTTAACTCAGAGTTGGTTATGGTCAAATATTATTCCAACCATCAGAATGGTCAAGATACTGGGAAATGACAAAACATGACATGTAAACGAAGCTCAGAATGGAATTTCTTTTACATCATGTAATTTTAAAACCCAAAAGGTTCCCAAACCTTGAATAATGTTAGGCATTTCCTTCTTCATAACACTATGAGCATTTTGGTGTTGAGTATACTGCTACTGCAACTGTATTTAAACCCCTTTGTGTTTACAGCCTAACTGTTTCAACAAAATACATGTAATCCTAAAATTTAGGTTATGAAGACATGCTTCTAAGCTATGACAAAATATTCTGAATGGGTACACCTACAGAATACCGGATACCTACCAGCCATATTGTTTAACGTCACGTCACCCTAACCCTAATCCTAAAACTAAACCTAACCAAAAGTAAACTCGCATGCTTTCAAAGATAATGGAAGGTATCCGGTATTCTATAGTCTTACCTCTGAATGTTACCTGTAATGGGATGTCTTCAGATCTTTGTTTAAAGGTCACATGCAAAGTAAAACACAAATTTGCAGATTCTGATACCTTTCGGTATGGACTTACAGTAACAAATGATCAAAAATGCAAATTCAACTTATAAAGTTGAAATATATCGCAATGAAAACCCTCCCTCGAAATCGGAGTTCAAAAGATTTACTAAATTCACCCCAGCTGGTGAAAAGTGGTTTCAACAGCTGTGCTGCACTGCGCTCATGGCACATGTTTATTTGTTTTTTCATAATCAGCAATGTATATTACATGTCATGAATAAGTGATAATTGTGTTTTAATTATGTTTGTTTTTTGGTTGCATGTGACCTTTAACAATAGCAGTTTCAGGCTACTTCTGATTTGCCCCCATGCCAGGGTTTTAGCACATTCAACATAATTTTCCATGCACAGTAATATTATATGTAATCCTCTTTACTTTCCAGATATGAGACGCATGTAGTCAGTAGATAATAATATGGCATTGCCGAACTATCGCCAGGTTGCACAGCCCACTCCAGCAGTTCGTAAGTTTCTTGTTTGATTGTCTTTCTCTTTGTTTTCCATCCTTATTATCAGAATGAATTGTGAATAATGTAAGCTATCCATAGTGTATCCAGTGTTTAGAACTCATGAAAACATGTTAGTAAAAATGTATTAACAGTGTTTGTGATAGGAAAAATAGCTTTGCATTCCTAAAATGCTTAGCCCCAAGAATCATGAGTGTGCATGCACAGCGGTTGTATGTCCCAGCCAGAATGTAGCGAGGTCTAAAATTTTTTGAAATTTAGACATCATTTCCTTCCATTTTAGAGCATGTTGTCATCATTTATTTTGCTGTTCCTTGGGCAAAGTACGTTTTTCGGTTACTTGTTCCCAGAACACGCAGGTAGACAATATCGTGCATGAAATGTAGATTTATTTTCGTGAAACACGCAGGTTTTGGCATTAACGCAAACACTGATTAAAGATGAAACAGATGAGTTAAAATCAACAATTTAAAAACATTTGTGCAATGATATATAATTGAAACAACTTTGATAAAGTAAAAAAATTAATGTTGGATGACGTGTTTCAAACACATTTAACATATCAGGTCTCTTTGCCGAGTGAAAACAAATTAATGGTCTGTAGAACTTTTATTTATTCTTGCCAATGTCAGAATCGCTGTTCTGTAAGAATTATTAGGAAATTGTAAGAGTTGACAAGTGTTTACTGGCATTATCATGAGAAAAACCCAACCCATTAATTTGATTTACTTGACTTATTTGGCAAAAGTGTATGTTTAGCCATACTTATACTAAAACTACCAAGTTAACTTTCTCCAGAGAGAGGGCGCTCTGCACCTGGCACACCTTCCGCTTCTGAGAAGGTAAGTCACAGACTTTAACTTTTTAATTGTTTTTTTGATGATATGCCTTATGGTCTTGCACCAATATATGGATTCGGAATGACTATACAATCTACAGATTATGCCCCTTTGGGTATGCCAAGCTTTATCTACCCATTATAGGCTGGATGGTTTTACAATTACATTCAGCTTTTAGTCTGTGTGACCAGTTAGTGTTCCAGCATGAAAGCCAAGGGGTCCTGTAGCTCTGATGTTAATAGTTAAAGATAAGGATGACATATAGATACCATTCTTATAGGAGCAATCATCAAGGGCCCAAAGATCCCTCTATATTTCTCACATTGGCAATAGTGGGAACTGAGTCTCATGCAAGAATTGGTTTGATTTATGGACAAACATGTTGTTTAAAATGTACCTTACATGCTGGAGGTAAAACAATATTTGTTTACAAATTTACTCTAAATATTTAGTACTTTTGGAGACACAGACTCACACACACACATGTATAAAACAGGTATGCAAATAGGTGAAAAGGATTTAAACAAAGTGTGTATGTCATTTCATACATTTATAAGATCATAAATGCAAAAACACATATTGAAGTCACTTCATATATATCATTATAATAACTTAAAAAATGGCTTATATAATGATGAACCCCAAATAGTTGAAGGCAATAATGCAAAATAGTGATATTATTCAACACACCATTTGCAATTTATTTATTCATTAATATATTACCTAGATTTAAAAGTTTGGTCATTCTTGCAGTGAAATGATTTTTCTTTTTCATTTGTGTTTAATCTCTAGGGCTCAGGCGGTAGCCCATTCGTCCAGACCAGTCATGGACATCCCGGCTTTAATCCTACGAAGGTTGGGAAATCGGCCCCTGTGAGTATTCCAGCTATTATCACAGTAATGATACTGAGGGCTTTTAAACATGTTTAGATGCTAATGTTAGATACATAAGAAACAATTGTCTGCCTACACAATAAATGCAGGCTACCAACTGCTAATGATTAGGGTATTCTGAGCATATTACTGTTTTGGACTTTAAGACTGTTTCGTTCAGAATATTTAGAATAATTGCCTACATCTCACTTCAATGGGATATACATTTGAAAGGAAAGAGACTTCATAGCCCGTGGGAAGTACTTAGAACTACAACTGTACACCAATGTACTGTGGCATTTACCATTGGTTCAGTTTTTGATTTGTTGTATATTTTGGTTTGGTACAGTATTAGCATTACAAATTGCCTGATAGTACAACAAGCCTCTTGATTGGTCAATTCTTGAAGCTCATGAACTGTTATTTCTGAATCTTTTTTTGCCATCTTGACATGTTAATTTATATGAATATTCTAATTTTGTATTCTCATGTACCACCGTTGGTGGTGTTTCGAGAAATAAATTGAATTGAAATAAAATTGAATCTTAATCCCACTTTTTTAATGTGATTGGGAATGAAGATGTTTACAATTCTATTGTATTTAACATTCTGTTAATTCCAGAGTGACCCTAGGGTGCCGAAACCTCCCAAACCCCCAGACAAGCCTCTCATGCCTTACATGAGATATAGCCGTAAGGTGAGTAGGAAGGTGAGACAAAAACGCGAAAGCGACATTTTTATTTTCGGTTATGTTCATCGCTTCACCGTAGTCCTAGCGGCCGTGCTCAGAAGTTGATTAACAGCTAATACCTGGAGAGGAAGGGCTCGGCCTAGAGTACTTGACGCTGCATGTGTTCCGTACAACGTGTTTTGCATGACTGTTTGTACATGCGTTCCTCCATCTCGCACAAGGCTTGGCATTACGTAAAACCGTGCGGATCTTGCAATGTTTCCTGTTCCTTCAGCTTCCTTCAGAACTGTTTTCAAGTCCTATCTCAACTTATTCGTTCAGGCAAAACTTGGTGGGAAAAGGTTAACAACAAAATTAATCATCATAGAAAATTTGAAATACCATTTATGAAGTGCCTGCCTTGTTTTAATATTGTACAGATATTGATTCTGTTTGAGCTGGATTGTGTTTTGCCTGGTCTTGAGTTGGAGGAACTGCATCTTGTTACTTGTGTCACAGTTAGTATTAAACCTTGTTGTAGTTAGTTGATGCTAATACTGGTCATATGGGCTCTGTTACTTCATGCAATGCATGTTAATTAAGGGTGCAAACTATGTGTGAAAAGACACCGCCAGCTTGAACTCTGAATGCCAAAGTTCAAGCAGCTATACTACTTGCCAAGTTGTCAATTAGATGGCCTAAGGCTGACTCAGATATAACACATTGTAAATTGTGATCTTTTCAAGTTTAACAGTGTGTTTGAAATAGCAAATTTCATCGAATAAAGGCCAGTGTATCTTGGCACACTTGCAATTTTTATTGTGTTTCCAGTTATGCCCCCTTAATGTCAATGTTAGATATGTTAGATGCTGGAATATGTTACTGTGTGTTTGGTATGTTTGGTATTAATCATACTCACACTGAAACGACCTGTCAGGATGTCGTTTGTTTGATGAAAATATTTTTATAAACAATCTGTTATTTGAAGTAATTTGTTATTGTTCATCTGTAAATGGTTGAGTCTTTGTTGTAGTTCTTCAAATCCTTCCTGAAGTTTGAAATGTTTCATGTTTTATTTCTCTAAGGGAATATCCTGGCAGGATCATGGGTTCATAATTATACAGCCTGTAACTTTAAAAATATAAGTGAAACGTTTGTGTTGATGTGGTTTTATATGATCATATCTTAAGATGATTTAAGTAAACTGATCAAGCTGTATGATTTATGTTCACCATCTGACTGTAATTATATCATGTTGTTGAATTAGGAACTCTATTGTATAATTCATGTGTGGTCTGTTCATTTGATTTTTTGTTCACCTTGACGTTGTCAGAGTGGGTTTATTTGCTTATTTGAACATGTGTTTTAAGAGCTTGTCACAGATTGACTTAAATAAGTGTGAAAACATTCAGAAGATGAGGATATATTGTTATCAACATAGCAGATCTACCGTCATTATTGATGAAAATACTCTACCATTCTTCACTCTACCTACAGCAGCATGCTTAAATAATTCTGAATAACTAGATTTAGGGAAATGCTAGCAAAGAAATTTTCAACTTCATACTTTTATAAAAAAGTTGTATATCAAACCGATGTTCATGACAAACTATGGTATGTTAGGCGGGACAGAATTCATTCTGAAACATGTCCTGCACAGAAACTCATATCTGACAATTTGTGAGGCCATCTGTTCTCAGATAATGAACCACCTCTGTTCTCTAGTAGATGGAAAGCCAGTCCGGAGATCCCGGAAGGTTGGTGGGTCGATCTCAGCTGTGCACACACATGCATGTGCATCACTGTATAAGTATCGCCAGATAACCATTGGGATGTCAGTGAGTGCATGGGGTGTACATTCTAACTGCACTGCTGATGTTTATGTTCAGACATTTGCACTCATCATTGAATACATCTGAAAGTTAATTGTAACCTGAACAAATTTTTCAGGCAGGAAATTAAATTATTAGCTGAATCTGTATGGGTGTTTCGATAGCACATCACATGTGGATAACACTTTCCATTAAATCATCAGAAAGTATATAAGGTATTAGAATTTGAAGAAAAATGCAGATTCATAAACATGGAGGTATTCTGTTGAATGACTTGCTAAAATTGTCACTGGACACTTTTTATTAAGATATAGTGGTCAGTGACTCTGACCTCAAACATTTCTTTAGGGCTAGGATATGTGGGGAAAAACTGACCATGTAATGGATTAATATGTTATGTCATTAAAAAGTTCAGAAAATATTGTAATGGATAAATATTTGCTTGTTGACTCAAAAAATGTTAAACAACATTACTAGTTTTGCCATGGGGGTGATGGTGTAGCCTAGTGGTCAAAGTGTTAGCTTATCACACCAAAAGGACTGGGTTTGATTCCCTACATTTTACAATGTATGAAGCCCATTTCTGGTTTCCCTCTCTTATACTGCTGGAATATTGTAGGAATATTGATGAAGTGGCATAAAACTACAGTGAATCACTCACTCATCATTCTAATACTATGGTTGACAAACATACTGATTAGAATTTATGAAAATCTTAATGTGATGATCCAACACATATCATGTAAGTTATTTAAGGCATTTCTAGTAAATTCTAGTAAAGTCAGATCAGTAATTGTGCGTAAATCTGGAGAAATATCTTCCTAAAGTTCTTATTGTCATTGTTGCGAGCAGGTCTGAAATAATATACATAATAATGATGAAATAATCGAGCTACAGGCCTTTATAGGAACAAGAACATGACCACAAAGTAAAACTTCAACTTGATCTAAATGATTTTGTAGTCAGATATAACAATGCTATCTTATTTCTGTTTGTGAAAAATCATTTCCTTACTATTTATTCATGGAGTTACAGATTATCAATGATTTATGTCTATGGTGATTCTATTGGGTCTTTTTATGATATGAAGCTCAAGGTCAACAGATTTCACATAGAGTTGGGGACAGATCAGATTTTGTGTGATGCTTGGACATTGCAAAAGGCAGCAAGCACAAATGTTAAAGTGCTTTTCCTGTGAAAAGTTGCCTCCCATCCCTTAACATGTCAAGGCAATCATCCACCTGCATCAGTGCATTAAAGTCTGTGGAGTTACCTGCCCCTTAAATGTGATAGGCAGAAAATGGACAGTGCAACTGAATGGAATTGCATTATTGGTTTCTGATCAATCAGGTGTAACCAGATGTGTACATTTTGAAGTAAGACACTTAGACTAATGTGTTAAGATATGTATATCCTTGAAAATTTGTTAGTTTAAGTATGGGGGCGGTGGGGTAGCCTAGTGGTTAAAGCGTTGGCTCGTCACGCCGAAGACCCGGGTTCGAATCCCCACATGGGTACAATGTGTGAAGCCCATTTCTGGTGTCCCCACCGCCGTGATGTTGCTGGAATATTGCTAAAAGCGGCGTAAAACCAAACTCAGTCAGTCAGTAGTTTAAGAATGTGTTAAGATTCACAATGAAAAGCAATTGGGTGGATGAGCAAGCTCTTTTTTATTTCTAAATGGATATATACATGTATATATGTCTTACTATATCCAGTTGGTTATGACTGGTTCTGCAGTCAAGATCTGAAGGGCCAGTCTGGTTATATCTGTCTGTTGGGATGCAGGGTGGACCATGTCTATGTTTTCATTCAGTTCATCGGTCTGTAGGGTAGCCTAGTGGTTAAAGCATTTGCTTATCATGCGAAAGACCTGACATTGATTTCCTACATGGGTATAAGGTGAAGTCCTGATGTCCTCTACCAGGGAATATTGCTAATAGCGACATAAGACGATACTCACTCCTTCAGCTTAAGGAGTGAGTTTAGTTTAGTTGCACTCAGCAATATTCCAGCTATATGGTGGCGGTCAGTAAATAATCAAGTCTAGACCAGACAATCCAGTGATCAACAGCATGAGCATCGATCTGTTGCAATTTGGAACCGGTGACATGTGTGAACCAAGTCAGTGAGCCTGACCACCCGATCCCGTTAGTCGTCTCCTACGACAAGCATGGGTTGCTGAAGATCAATTCTAACCCGACCTAGAAATATTTAACAATTACTAATGGTATATCCTTGTAGTGGGGTAGCCTAGTGGTTAAAGCGTTCGTTCATAATGCTGAAGACCTGGGTTCGATTCCCCACATGGGCACAATGTGTGAAGCCCATTTCTGGTGTCGCCCCTGCCATGATATTGTTGGAATATTGCTAAAGCTAAATTACTCACTCCTTGTGGACTGCCCCTTTCATTGGGAAAATGATAATTTTTTCAGAATTACTAAATTATGGAATTAGTTCAAACGTGAGAGGATGATGGGGTAGTTAGGTGGTTAAAGTGTTTTGACTGATTAATCATAGTAATATGAAATAATGGGATGGTGTATCTTGTAGGTTTAGACCAAGAATCGGACAGATTTTTAGACCATGTGTATATGTAAGGTACAAATGAAATAAGGTAGCATTGCTATGATAAAGTTTCTTTTATCGATGTAAATTTCCTGTTCATCATGATTGTATTTAACTGTGAATTTGTACATTATTTATGTAATGAAGTAAGTAGGTGATGAATTAGGCAATCAGGATGTAGTCATGATTGCCTAAATATAACCATGCTTACATGTGCTTGCTGTCATATTGAGAATGTATATCATAACATTATGTTCATCCAATCATGTCTTTTACATTGTCAGCATACTCCATTTCACAAGACAAGTATGCTGCATAAAGTATCACCATCCACAAAGCCAATTAATATCACTGATAATTTCTATTAATGTGTATTTGTGCTAAAACAGGACTTGGTAACGCCTGTTCTGTAGTGTTTCATAACGGAGCATGTTTGTAAATGAGTGTTTTGGAAATGCACTGCTTAAGAAATTATTACTTTTAGTAGCTCCAGTTATTCTTTATTTGCGAATGAATTTTCATATGTTTCGAGCTTGCTGAATATTTTCAACATGTCGTATGATAATGGAAGCTTAAAGTTTCTCCGTGGTGCAAGTTGTTGGTGTACGTGGGCTGAGGTGTGTGTCAACATGCGGGCCGGGGGCGCCAAACAGAGTAAGTCATGCCGTAGTTGACCTATTGCAGGTATGGGAACAAGTAAAGGCCTCCAACCCAGACCTCAAACTATGGGAAATCGGCAAGATTATTGGACAGATGTGGAGAGACTTGAGTGATGTCCAGAAACAAGAATACATGGACGAATATGAAACTGAAAAGGTAGTCAATAGGTTTCTACAAGAAATGTAGAAATAAAATTTGAAAACTAGGGTTTTCCCTGATATTAATCATCCCTAAATGCCAAAACCATCATTATTAGTTGTCATTTGTGCAGGAAAAGACGTAAGGTGTAATAAACTATTAGGTAAAGGAGCTACTTTATGTCATATTAGACTAAAAGTGCCGATAATTTTGTAAGCAAGGCTGTACATCATCTCATATTTTGAGGTCACATATCTGTACAGAGGAGGCATATGAAGCTTGGAGTGACAATTTTTGGTTTCAGGCAAAAAAGAATGTCATTGCTATTTATAGCATTTGAGATGCCAACACTTTAAGTATAAAATGGCATCATTTTCTTTTGATGCAATTTTTTTTAAAGTGTGCCAGTTATAGACATAAGAGAAGGATGGGCTGCTGTTGTAAGGCCCTGCAAGAAGTCGGATGGGTGGGTCGGGTCGGTTCCAGTGAAACCTTGATTTTTGTCACTCACTGTTGACATGTACTTTTGAAATTACCTTTTAGAAATGTAAACTTTTATATTAAGCAAGTGTCAGAGACTGATATATCTTTTATTTCTATTGACATATTCATGACATATTCATACAATCCTCAAGAGTCAGGACGGTTTACAGATAGACATTAACGTTGTTTGGGAAATGAAAAACACCAAATGTGGATTGGGATTTTGCATGTTATGGTTTTTCTAGGATTTACAAACTCTAATATGAAAGGGCTTGTTGGTCTATCTTTTCCCATACAATATGTATGAATCACCAGTAGATACTTGCAGATTCTGGCCTGTTTGGTGATGGCTTATTTTGACATGGTAAACTTACGGTTTGTTTGTCACTCCAGGCTTCATCTGCAAAAACTATGTATTGATGTTTTCCTTTGTGTAGCCTACAACAATGATATGCCTTGCCTACACAAATTGTTTGGCAGTCCTGTGCAGTACAGTTTTCAATGTCTGGGGAAAACCCTATGAATGTTTTAGCTTTTGTTTAATGATAGTGGCAATTTTGTTTTGTTTGGAGTAATGCTTTCGTTAAAAGGTAATAATGTTCACATTGTGACAGAGCGATAATTGCATCTTGGTAAATTAAACTCAAATGTTTTTAACATTTGAAGTCAAATTTAGTTTCAAATTTGGGGAAAGGATTAAAATGTATTTAAGAACCTAGCTGATGAAGTAATTTGGGTGGCTAGTCTTCATGGTCATGAGATTGTGGATGTGATGAGCCTGATTTTATCCATTGCAGGTTACATACAATGAGGCAATGAAGTCCTACCATAACTCTCCTGCTTACCAGGCTTGGGTAGCAGCAAAGGGAAAAGGTGATTCTTCCTTTTTGTCCTTTCATGCTATAGCGCTGGACAGTAAACAAACTGAATAATGTTCATAAAATAATACTGATAATGAGAAGCGTTTTTTAAGATTACATTTTAGTAAAGTTCTCATTCTAGTATTTAGGGTTTAGTCCTAGTTTAGTCCTAGCCAGGATTGACACCCTGAGTGAGGCACTGCCATACCACAATGTGAGCAATTTAACTTCACTCAGTGGTCAATGGAACAGGCTGAATTCGATTTTTAATTCACAGCTTCCTGGGAAGTATATGTCCTGAGTTGCCTGTCGGTACCCTATGCTTGTTGAAAGAGCTGGCCAGCCTCATGCCTCAAAATCAATTCAGTACGACATAGCTCACACAAAAACATGTCAGTACTCATTCAAAATTCTCAGTACACCTCCACTTGCAATATGATGTGTAAGTACACTCACACCTCCAAAAGTTATCTGGAGCCCTGATTGTAATGATCTCTGAATTGTAATGTTTACTTCTCAGAATTACTGTGTAATGTTTTTCAGACTAGAGCCGACAGAAACAGTGTCTATGTCTCAAGTGTCTCTGTAGCTATTTTGTCCAGACTTTCAGACCACTGTCAAATTGAACATTTCTGACTGCAGGTTTAAATATCAAAACAACCAGACAAACAAATTTTGATAATTTATGATGATGACTATTTATTAAAGTGAAATACAGTGCTGTGGCACTATTTTTTAATTTATGGAGTAAACTATGTCTCATCCTATGGTGATGCATTGATGTACAAATGTTAGGAAGCTGATGTGTCTGTTTCAGCCACTGAAGCTGCGGCTTTGGAGGAGGAGGAATCTCGGGCCGAGAGAGCCACTGCTAGCTCCCGGCAGTCGGTAAGAGTAATGGTCTCTGCTTTATTTTTCAATTCTTACATTTACAACAACATTATAATAGCTTAAAATTCATCCATGTGGATTAAAGTTTTCTTTCTGTAAAATGTGAAGCGTCATCCATTTTCGTGACGTAATTTGTTCTGATAACTTAATGTGTGTTTATTATCAGTTATTATAACTTGCTCATTAAGATTCAATCACATGATAAGAGGGGCTTCTGGGGTAGTCTAAAAGTTGAAGTGATGGATTGTCATGCTGGAAATCTGATTTCAAACCCCATATGGGTACAATATGTGAAGCTCATTGAGGGTGATCCCTGTAGTGTTACTGCTTTAAACCGTACTCATATGGGGATAATTTGAGTTGCTCATTGACATAATCATATAATAAGAGGGGCTTCTGGGGTAGTCTAAAAGTTGAACTGATGGATTGTCATGCTGGAAACCTGAATTCGAACCCACATGGGTACAATATGTGAGGCTCACCAGTGGTGATCCTTGTAGTGTTATGGCTTTGAAACATACTCATACAGCCTGGTGATTCTTTGAGTTTGAGTTTAATGTGTGCTGTCCTTTCTGAAAACGAAGACCTTGAACGTGCTTTGATACTGCCGAAATGTTATGAAAGATATTCTCACTCACATGACTAGAGGATCACTGTAGACAGTTTGAGTTCAATAATTGCTGTTCTTTCAGAATACCAAGAACATGGACATGCCCAGAATAAGTATTCAGCCTGCTGAAGATGAAGATGGTATGTATAGAACTTTAAATACTGACAGTCATTTCTGATATTCTGCTTGTTTGAAGTAACCTACACTGTCATTTCTGATATTCTGCTTGTTTGAAGTAATAAAAATCTCTTGGCCATGTTTTACAAAGTTTTGCTCAGGATACCACTCTTTTTTGAGCACCCACTTAGTGGTTGGTGATTTAGCAGCAAAAATCTCTTGGCCATATAGGATAAGCACCCACTTTTGTTGAATTTAGCATTAAATTTCCATTATTATTATTATTTATCTTTAGGGCCTGCCATGATATTGCTGGAATATTAATAAAATCGACATAAAACTAAACTCACTCACCCTTTAGGGAAAGGGACATTATTGTAGTTTGAAATTATCTAATAAGTTGTTCCTTTATTCTCTATTAGATTCTGCTTTTTCTGGATTATTTCCCTTTTATCACAGAATACAGTAAATTCATGGTTTCTGTTTTGTTCTAATGTATGTTTCAGTTTATTTTGAGTTTGTGTAAACTTCCTTTCCAGACTTGGATGATGGTTTCTCGGTGAAGCATATCGCTCATGCTCGCTATCAGCGCAATCATCGGCTCATCAATGAAATCTTCAGTGATAGTGTGGTTCCTGATGTGCGGACAGTGGTCACTACAGGCAGAATGAGTGTGCTCAAGAGGCAGGTCCAGTCTCTCACAATGCATCAGGTAGGCTGTCAGGCTATTTGAGAGTTGTGGGAAGGGTAGCTCTGTCATATTGGAATAGTTCAATACTGATGTTTGGAGTACCTTGAAGATCAGTGTTAGAATTGGTCTTCAGCAGTCCATGCTTGTTGTAGAGGCAACTAACAGGATTTGGTGGTCAGACTTGCTGACTTTGTTGACACATGTCAATCGTATCCCAATTGTGTAGGTCGATGCTCATGCTGTTGATCACTGGATTGTCTGGTCCAGGCTTGATTATTTACTGACCATATAGCTGGAATATTGCTCAGTGCAGCATTTAACAGAAAACAAATTGATTTCTGTGGGGTTAAACAACATTCACATAGTGATTGTTTCATTTTTCTTGTGTTCCAGAATTTTCTTGAAGAAACACTAAGCAAAAGAAAAGGAGATGTTCCAGAAAAAACTGGAATCTGAGAAAACACATTTGTTACAACAGATAGAAGAGAAAACATGAAGTCAAGATGACACAGGCAAAGAAAAGGAGATTCATTTTCTACTGTATTGGAATTAGACTTTTGTAGATTACTATCCATTTGCAACCTTACATTTTTCTTAATAGTGTCCCCAGATGGTCAATTTAAACAAAGAAAACATTTATGACCCATTAAGTTTGTTAGACATGAAGCCGCCTCAACGAAGTCCCATGACAGGCATTCCTTTCCCGATAATCAATCGGCAGAAGAAGCTTGGGTACTCAAGCCTGATGTTACACCGAGGAGTCAGAAAAGACCACTTCGTCACAGATCATCCCAGAAGACATGATGCCATGGAGGACCAACAAACTGCGCAAGCAGGGTCCGAAAGTTTACCACTCCCAGGAGGCACCCGCGCTATGAGCAGCTTGTCACCTTCGCTGCTGAAGTTCATAACAGTGGTCTTTGTTTCACCATAGCTAGACATGTATCACGAAGCTATATCATCGATCGGAAGAAGTCTTCGTGTTGCTAAGGAAATTAAAATCGGTGCCAATACTGTCTCCGGTGAAGATCATCCCATAGTTATGTTTATGTTTTGTAGCTATGTGATGGTTTTGAGGATGATGGAGGGAATCATATTTTCTGATGCAGAGATACGGTATTGATGGTCAATAACTCCTAGATCTCACATCACCATCTAAAAGTGGCAATACAGCTCAGACGCTATTTGACAGAAGGAAGATGATCCAGATGCAATCACTTCTACCTCGATCACATAGTAATTGTTTTATTTTTCTTGTGTTCCAGAAAAAACTGGAATCCGAGTTACAACAGATAGAAGAGAAACACGAAGCAAAGAAAAGGAGATTCTGCGAGTCAAGTGAAGGTTTCCATGAAGAGCTAAAAAAAGTTGGTCCTAGTTCATCGCATCATCGCAGTTGCTAGAGAAAAACACATTTGTATTGGAACATTAGACTTGCTATTGCAACCTTACATTTTTCTTAATAGTGTCCCCAGATAGTGAAATTTATGACTCATTAAGTTTGTTAACATGAAGCCGAAGTCCCATGACAGACATTTCTTTCCCAATCATTGGGTACTCAAGTTAAAGGGCAGAGTCAAAGACCATTTTTTTTCCAATTTACCAATATGATTTAAAGTTCATAACAGTGGTCTTTGTTTTGGCTAGCATGTATCGAAATGATGTTGGAAGACATGTTGAAATTAAAAGGTGCCAATACTGACAGTTATGTTTATGTTTTGTAGCTATGTGAGAACAAGCCCCAGGTGACAGAAGATATGTTCAATGGCATGATATCAAAGGCGAGAGAGGACATGCGTCAACGGCATCAACAACTCATTCAGCAACAGGAAGAGGAGAAGAAGAAGCAGCAGCTGCGTGATGAAGAGAGAAAGAAAAAGGAGGAAGAAGATAGAAAGAAGGAAGAAGAAGAGAGGGAGAAATCTCAAGAGGAACAGATGGACGTTGATCAGGCTGAGAAAGAGGCTGCACCACAGGTCATTCATTCATTCATTCACCACAGTTCATTCATTCATTCATTCACCACAGTTCATTCATTCATTCATGCACCACAGTTCATTCATTCATATTATTAATGTAACTGAAATTGAATGTTTCTGCGTGAATTTTTTTTTTTTCATATTCATTATCTTGGACCATGTGATTGTTTTACAGCTGACAGTTAATGGCACGGACACAAAACCAAAAGAAAATGGAGTGGACTCAACCCTTGTATGTATAACAAGCCCTTCACACAACTGAAGGATTAGATTCCAATTAGCATGTCCTGCCTATCCTTTCTTATACCATGTGGGCGGTGGGGTAGCCTAGTGGTTAAAGCATTCGCTCATGCCAAAGACCCAGTTCCATTCCCCACATGGCTACAATGTGTGAAGCCCATTTCTGGTGTCTCCCGCCATGATATTGCTGGAATATTGCTAAACGTGGCTTAAAACGTAACACACTCACTCTTACGCCATGCATGATCATCACAGTCAAAGTACATTATATATTGTAAATTTCTCCTGAGTTTCTTTTCATATCACAGTACATGTAAAAGCAGAGACATAACAGAATAACGATAAACAATTAAAAACCCAGTACTTTGGTATGAATTAATGAGATTTTTTCATATTATATGACACTTGGGTCATATTGTATTTATCCTCCCATATAGTTTTTCCACATTTTTTAGAACATTATTAACCTTTGTCTTAGGTGTAGAAAATACAACAATCCTCATTCAGTGAGAGAGAGTAGCAATGAAATTTGATTGTGGTTGTCTGCAATGAATAGTAATGAAACTTCATTGCAGCAATATCTCCCAGGACATATTGTTCGCTCTCACCTGAGCATTATCTCCTCTGGAAGTTCTCATGTTGTACTTTGATGTTATGAAAAACTGAACTTTGTATACAGGAGGGGTGAAAAGTCTTTATGAATATTTACAACACTATATGTAATCATCATTTTGCTTTTCTAACACCTAACAGTAACCTGTGAAGGTCCGGGTTAGAATGAACCTTCAGTAACCCATGCTTGTCGTAAGAGGTGACTAACGGGATCGGATGGTCAGGCTTGCTGGCTTGGTTGACACATGTCATCAGTTCCCAATTACGCAGATCGATGCTCATGCTGTTGATCACTGGATTGTCTGGTCCAGACTCGATTATTTACAGACCCCCGCCATATGGCTGGAATATTGCTGAGTGTGGCGTAAAACTAAACTCATTCACTCACTCACCTAACAGTATTTATCATGTTGAAAAAGCAATTAACTTCATTTTGAATGCTAATGTCATGTTCAAACTGCCTGGAATAGACATTTTGGAAATCGTTAAAGTAAACTGATCATCGTTTGAAATTATTTGAATACAGTATCTATTTGTTCATAAAAAACTTTTCATCCATTTTTGATTCAACCCATCAAGTCAAGGAGTTTGCTCCGATAGAATTACTGTTGGACATGCCAGAAACAATGATTCTGTGTGTGTGTGAGCACTATAACTGTGCTTCTGTGTTTATAACACGTGGGATGAGATTAGACATGCTTTGATGTGAATGTTATGCTGTTAAAAATGCCATGTTAACCAAACTAACTCATTCACTCACTTTCATTTCCTTGATGTTTTTTCTGCTTACTTTGTTAGTGTGTGAATTACAGATGTGTCATGATTCAGAATCCATATTGGTAACAGTAACTGGATGTTACCAACTCCAGGTGGTGACAGTAACTCTGTTTCAGACTCTAGATGGTGACAGTAACTGGATGTTAAGAACTCCAGATGGTGACAGTAACTGTTTCAGACTCTAGATGGTGACAGTAACTCTGTTTCAGACTCTAGATGGTGACAGTAACTGGATGTTAAGAACTCCAGGTGGTGACAGTAACTCTGTTTAAGACTCTAGATGGTGACAGTAACTCTGTTTCAGACTCTAGATGGTGACAGTAACTGGATGTTAATAACTCCAGATGGTGACAGTAACTCTGTTTAAGACTCTAGATGGTGACAGTAACAGTAACTGGATGTTAAGAACTCCAGATGGTGACAGTAACTCTGTTTAAGACTCTAGATGGTGACAGTAACTCTGTTTCAGACTCTAGATGGTGACAGTAACTCTGTTTCAGACTCTAGATGGTGACAGTAACTGGATGTTAAGAACTCCAGATGGTGACAGTAACTCTGTTTCAGACTCTAGATGGTGACAGTAACTCTGTTTCAGACTCTAGATGGTGACAGTAACTGGATGTTAATAACTCCAGATGGTGACAGTAACTCTGTTTAAGACTCTAGATGGTGACAGTAACTCTGTTTCAGACTCTAGATGGTGACAGTGTTACCAACTGCAGATGGTGACAGTAACTCTGGATGATGGTGACCAACTCTAGATGGTGACAGTAACTGGTTAAGAACAGATGGTGACAGTAACTCTGTTTCAGACAGTAACTCTGTTTCAGACTCTAGATGGTGACAGTAACTGGATGTTACAGTAACTCTGTTTAAGACTCTAGATGGTGACAGTAACTCTGTTTCAGACTCTAGATGGTGACAGTAACTGGATGTTACCAACTGCAGATGGTGACAGTAACTCTGTTTCAGACTCTAGATGGTGACAGTAACTGGATGTTAAGGGCTCCAGATGGTGACAGTAACTCTGTTTCAGACTCTAGATGGTGACAATTACCCTATGTTTCAGACACCAGATCGTGACAGTTACTCTATGTTTCAGAACTCAGATGTGGACAGTAACTCGATGGATGTGGAGGAAGCAAAACCAGCAGATGCCGCAAACACCGAAATGAACAAGGTAGGTTGATATGTGTACAATGTATTAAACTGTCAAAGATTTAGCTATTTCTTACGAGGGAGGACCACTTGCTGGTGGAACAGCCAGGTGTGCTAGTTGTACATGTGAAATTGAAATTTCACTGCACATGCTTATTGATTACCTGGCTGTTCCACAAGCAAGTGGTCCCCCCTCGTAAGAAATAGCCCAAAGTGACAAAATAATGATCGTTTGTTAAACAACTTTCATATTCTGGTGTCCAAAATTATGAGACAAATCATCAAAGTTGGTCTGTCGATTTCAATTTGGTTTTGTTGCAATTATTAGATTTTGTGGTAGTGAGCAATTCATCGGTTTAAAATGTCTAAAATGAAGTCAAACAGACTATAAAGTGCTGTAAAAATGCATATTAACTCGTGTGTTTTGAAGGAAATGTAGGCCAATCAATCATGAAAGACGTTAAGGTTTTCAATATGTACACATAAGAAAAGCTCAATGATCTCAAGATTATATTCCCTGTATTCCCACATCCTTTGTGCTAAAGTCACAGGTGGTCAAAATTGGTGCCAGGGAAGTGAGTGAGTGAGTTTATTTTGACGCCGTTCTCAGCAATATTACAGCTATATATGATGGCAGTCTGTAAATAATCGAGTCTCGACCAGACAATCCAGTGATCAACATCATGAGCATCGTTCTACGCTATTGGGATACAATGACATGGGGTCAACCAAGTCAGCGAGCCTGACCACCCGATCCCGTTAGTCGCTTATTCCGACAAGCATGTGTTGCTGAAGACCAATTCTAACTCCGTGACCAGGGAAGTGAGACCTGTTATACCTTTTCATGAACTATTCCAGGTATGTGCTGAGCCAGACAGTACAGTTGAAACTCAGTCAGCTGCTCCAGCCTCAGTACCAGCCGAATCGGAACCAGAGATACCATCAGCTACAATGCCAACTCAGGTGCAAGACACACCTGATGCTACAAACACGACAGGTATGATAGCACTCCAGGGGAGGAGGATGCTTGTTATCTTTATCATGATTCTGTAAATACAGAGAAAATCTGTGAAAGCTGTATTTTATCTCTGTGTAACATCTAATAATGTCTTCTCTGTGTAATAATCACATATATGTTGATTGTATCAGTACACATAGCATGTCGATTATAACCTGTATGTTTGTCAACAATGGTAAAAACTCCTGAAATCACTATAAGTGTGCTTCACATCCATTTTTGTTGATTTGCTTTTCTTGAAACGTTTCAATGATAAATGCTGTTATGTCATTTATTCAAGTGATGTTTCATTTTCAGACAAGCCTGAGAACCCTTCCAATTCTACTCAGCTGCCCACAAGCTTAGAACAAGAGAACAAGGAGGTGTCTGATCCACCAGTGAAAGAGACAGACACGCCAAAAGAATCTGCTCCAGAAGAAGAAGAAGAAAAAACCTCTATGCAGCTATGACCTGCAACTTAGAATTCAATATGAATGAAGTAATATGTTACAATTCATTAAATTTGCTGTTGTGCTAAACAGTATTCTGTGTACATTTTTTAGAGAAGACCTGTTGGGATTGGGTACATATGTAAGGTAAAGTTATTGAAGTTTGAAGTAAGAATCATGTTTGTATGCAAACAATTTTAATGTCGAAATTATGAGCATTTGAAAAGACTGTTCCAGTCTAATTTATTAATAAATGTGTAGGTCAGAAATGTTATTCACTATGTTTAAATATCAATGTTTGTCCTAGTTTTATCCATGTTATCTGAGGGCGTATGTTCTTGCGTCTCTGTCATTTTATTGTCTGCATTTTCATACCATTTATGTCATGTCATATATCATGCTAGAATAAAATGTATCATAACTGAGTCAAGCTGGTTTTGTATTTTATGTACATGTGACTTGAATGTGACTAATGGTGAAACAGTCATTGGGAATGATAAATACACACAGTCATGATAACATTCACAAAGTCAGTATGATTGAAGCGGCGGTGGGGTAGCCTAGTGGTTAAAGGAGTTCGGGTTTGATTCCCCATGTAGGCCCATTTCTGGTGTCCCCCGCCATGATGTTGATGATGATGATAGGATATTTATATAGCGCACATATCCACGCACTAGTGCATGCTCAAGGCGCTCCTGGAATATTGCTAAAAGCGGCGTAAAACCTCACTCATGAAGTTTGTTAGAACGTACGTGTTGAGGAGGTCAGATGCTGTAAATCCAATCATCTAAACTGTTGTGAAAGAGGAAAAGTACACAAACATGGTTATTTGATGTGTACAACTCAAAATGAAGTTATGAGGCCCTCTACTCTCTACTATAAGTAATCCATCATGGCATGACAGATGAACTAAGGGAGCCCTTTGCCTGTGATCTAAGCACTACAATGACCTAAACTCTGTTACTTTAACATAGACTTAGGTTACAAACATATGTTAAGTTTGATGAAAGTGTGACCCCGACCCCCTTCTACTGGCTGCTCTTTTTGGTCTTGTCAAAATTCAGCTTATCTGCAGTAATATACAGTATTATTATATAGGTAGTAGTTTTCCTGTATCACTATTGGTCAAAATACCGTCCACGCGGATTGTCTACAAAAGCGATATCAGTTTTCTGATAAATTACGATATTGACTTGAGTTACTGAAAATAGACGAGGAATCCCATCTGTTCCCCTGCTTTTCAACCATAGATCAGTAGTGTTCACGGCTATTTTTAGCCGTTCAGCGATAGCTTCAGTGTTAGTCAATAGAAATCAGCGCTAAGATGGCTTGTGCTAGTGGCCCCAGTAATATGAAAGAATTGGTGGTTCTTAAATCTCATTTTAGTAGTATGTTTAATATGGATTTCATTGGTGACAATACATGCATTATATCAATGAGTATCTCACAACAGGTTACATGTTGCCTCTCAAGGAGCATTGCGTTGCAAGTCGATTGAGGGAGGTGCATGTTCTTTTGTCTGGTAGGGTATGTATGCTGAAAAGTGGTATATTTAGGGATTGTTCACAATTTATGGCTTTTGGGGTGGTGTGTGTGTTTTGATGATTTTAGGGGGTTATATTTAAAATTATGAGAAGTGGAGGGGGATGTCATTGATTTTGTACATGATATGCAGGGGGTCACTTTGTAAATTTAAATTTTAGGGGGTGGTCATTCACATTGATTGTACATGCTCCTGCATAAAAATCATCACTACTTTCCCTTTTCAATTTCACATCAACACTTTGAAGACTTCAGCATGTTAACCTGCATGTAGAGATTGTCAGCAAGATATCTCAAGAACCATTCACTGGACTTTCTAGGGAAGGTCATATTTGACACCAAGCTTCATCTAGGACACTTTGAAGATTTCAGCAGGTGCAAGTTCCAGTCGATTTTGGTGACCTACATATAATTTTCAAGGTCAGTCCCAGTCGATGTTTGTGACCTTCACATAATTTTCAAGGTCACAGCGACACTTTGAAGATTTCAGCATGTTAAACTGCATGTTAAGATTGTCAGCGAGATATCTCAAGAACAGTTCACTGGATTTTCTTCATAGACTTTCAAGACTTCCCTTAAATGTTTTTCAATAAGCAATTTCTTTATTACCTGGTGCTATTTTTGCATATTTCATACACTAAGACATTAATGTCAAGGTCAAAGTGAGTCTTGAAAATATTTGTGCGTTTGAACAACTACAGAGCAAGATATCAAGACAGGTTGACTGGTCATGTTTTTGGTGACATTTAACTTCATCTTAAATTACGACCTTCACTTTCATTTCTTTTTAAGTTTGAGTTGATAATTTGCGGTGGGGGATTATGTCACCTTAGTGACAATGCTTGTTTTACATAAACTGTTTATCTATGACTTCTGTTAAATCCTTGTGGTCATGCTGGGTCAGAATTCATTCCGAGCCAACATATTGGTATTGCACAGCTCAGTGTATCAGGTGATTAAGATTAATGTCTTGTTAAAATTACTCGTCACGCTGAAGACCCTGGTTCAATTCCCACATGGGTACAATGTGTGAAGCCCATGTCTGGTGTCCTCCGTAATATTGCTAAAAGAAGTGTAAAACTAAACTGACTCACACTCACTCACTTGGTTCAATGATTGCATTCTGGTCCAGACTCAGTTCATTACAGCCAGCCATCCTACAGCTGGAATATTGCTGAGTGTGCATTAAACAACACACAGACAAGAGATGAGTTATGCTTTAAAAACACAAGCATTTATTTACACCAAAATACATTTTTATTTACATCAAGATGTTTTATTTTACATTATTTTACACAATTTTATACATGATATAGTGTGACAATTTTACAACATAGCTCTGATGTTTAAGAAATCAGAACACAGGATTTGTCTTTTCCAGCTTTATTATATAGTGGTTATCATTTTTAAGACATTAGGTACCCCAAATTCCAAGCTGATGTTGTTAATCTTTTCAAATGTTTGAATGTTCGGAGGATGTCCATAAGTTAGTCTATGTATGTGAATGATACAATTATAGTTAAACACTGGAAAGCCTGTTAGCTCAAGCTTAGGCCAGACTGTTTCAAACCTGGTTACAAATCTGTGGATTCCAAAGAATTATAAGGAATCAAAGAAAAATTTAAAAACCCCAGTGAGTTCTTAATTCCAATTCTCCTGACCACAAATAAGTAACATGTTAAAAAACACCTCATTTATTGTCGCTAACATTATCAGTGAATTATTTGAAAAAAATTGTTTAAACCTGTTGTAAATTATCTAAAAAATCTTGCCCCTGACCCCCTCCCAAGGTAAGGTACAAGTGAACTTACAACAATATCCTCCAGAGTTTTAATCAACATGCAGTGGTCTGGTCATAGGAATCAGAAATACCTACATTCAGATTTAAAGATAAACAGTTGTCACATACATGTTCAGTTCTACTGCTTTAAGGTTTGTTAACCTGACGTTTCATGGATTCATGGACATCCAAAAATACAGAAATACTGCTAAACTACTTTGTGCAATAAATACTTGTTGGTGGTAGGGATTGGGTTTGATGCAAAGTCCAATACATTCAGGTACCATATGACAGTATTACTGCAACCTGCTTTGACATTCTGGCTTAAATATGCTGGACATTATAGATGGAAGTGGGGTGTAAATATTCTGAAATGTGTAGTAATTTACACATAAGGAACTGGGGGAAACCGGTTCAACCTGGGAGGCTACCGAGAGCATAGCCACTGACCGGCAAGCATGGAGGACAACTGTTGAGGCCCTATGCTCCTCAAGGAGTATAGAGGATCAAGACAAAGTACATGTAAGTCCCTCCTGTCAGAATAGACAGATTGATAAATAGATAGATGTATTACTTAAAAGGAGTATAAGCACACCCACCGGCTGCTACAATGGCTACCAACCATGACAGATTAAATATTGTCATCTCATAAAATAAGTTGTTTTGAAGGGAAGGATGTTAGACAGTTAAAACATAAGTTCAATATTTTAACCAGGATTCCTGTAGAATTATGGTTGAACCCAAGAATAACAGATTTTATAGCATGTGGTGAGTTTATCTTCAGCAAAAATATTTCCTTTCCCTCGAGAAGTTTTATGTTTATAGCGAAGGCTTTAAATGTAAATCCATCTTCAAAAATGGATTCATGGATGACAACTTCTTGTTTATTGCATAGAGCGATGTTTTGATGTAGATATGTAATAAACAAAAAGTTGTCATCCATAATGTTGTATGCTTCAGTTTTGACTCACCAACTTCTAGAATGCCAATCAAACAATTAAATCAATTTTTGAGTTTAAAGTTTCTCTCGATATAAGGCAGTACATTCGTGTACAGTCACTGAACATCTGAACATGGAGATGCATGAGGTCACTTGTGTTATCACATGGGCATATATTTACAGTATATCACAATATATCACAATATATCACAGATCTTGCTTACAGGTTGTTAGGTCAACACCTAGAGTTTGCACAGAAATATGGGTTATGACATGTATAATCATGGTATACGGTACATTCTTCAACAACATGTGGAATGGAAAATATTAATATCACATTCTCAGAATTCCTGTCTCACTTTCCCTGAAAAGGCACATGGATCATCGATTTTTCACGCTATTGCCTCTTCAAGAATTAGCATGACACCAAACTAGGCTTCATGTAAAACCTTTCTGACAATGGGACAAAAATTGCTTATGTGTTTATGTGTGCTTGAACCTTTGATTTAGTTCAATTTTTTTTTTCTTCTTTGATATGAAATTGAAGAGGCATGTCAGAGACAAGATTTGTGGATTCCTTGATAAAGACTTAACATTCCAAATTTTGCCGCTACAGTATGTATTTCGTCATCAGAGGTATACATGTCAGAAGCCAGGGTGGTGAATAAGTAGACGAGAACATTGGCTTGAAAGATGTGGCTTTTCATCGCATGATTTTGCTCAACATAATTCTATTTTATAAATCATCTGACCGTCACCAAGTCCAACAGATATATGGAAGCTACAGATCCTTTGTAGGATGCAATGTGGCACATTATCGGGCATGTGACATCTTTCCTGTCTTTATAGATCTAACAGGACCTGGTAGGACAATGGATCTGTAGAACAGGGTGTCTAATTGATCATAGCGCTAAGGTGACCTGCACTCCCACACCTTAACATAGACTTAAGGTAGTCTTAGCGCTAAGGTGACCTGCACTCCCACACCTTAACATAAACTTAAGGTAGTCTTAGCGCTAAGGTGACCTGCACTCCCACACCTTAACATAGACTTAAGGTAGTCTTAGCGCTAAGGTGACCTGCACTCCCACACCTTAACATAGACTTAAGGTAGTCTTAGCTCTAAGGTGACCTGCACTCCCACTCCTTAACATAGACTTAAGGTAGTCTTAGCGCTAAGGTGACCTGCACTCCCACTCCTTAACATAGACTTAAGGTAGTCTTAGCGCTAAGGTTGTTTTGTACTACAGCACCCTGATCTACACTTTGTGAATCCATGTTTACACATTATTAAACATATTTAACATAACCCGTCCAGTTTTGGTAGTATATCACAGTAATCTATCACTTTCATATATTTACCAGATACACATGTAATAATGTAACATTTAACTGTGGTCAGATAAATACCATGTGGAGTATACATAATGTGTTCTTGGTTAGGTTATATCCACTAATTTGAACTATTTGATTAGGGATCATGAGTTTGTGGGGTGTATTTTGCAGTGAAGATTGGACTCCCATGTCTCGAACAAATCCCCCAATATGTTCATGATCCCTAACTTCTATTGTTCTTCCATTGGATTATCACTTGCGGTCTGGATAATGAAGGATTGCTACCGTGGGGAAAGTATTCCGCATCCAGTGTTGCTCAAGGGTGATACCTATACAGGAAATCTGTGCTTCCTGATAAACAGTTCAAGAGTTTGATGATAAACAGTTTCAAATATGTTCCTCGAAACTTGAAATTTGAACATAAGTTGATTGCTGCCTCATGAAAGGTTCACATGTTCTTCTGAAGTTCTCCCAGCAGTTCATCATCAAATATTATTTTTTCGTTGTTAGCTTCTCTCCTCGAGGATCACTAGCAGCAGCCTCCCTTAGTCTCTTGATGTACTCAGCACCCCACTCACGTAGCAGGTTCTACAATAAGGAATAAACAATTCATATACTCAGCACCCGACTCATACAACAGGTTCTATAATAAGGAATAAACAATTGATATACTCAGCACCCCACTCATGTAACTGGTTCTACAATAAGGAATAAACAATTGATATACTCAGCACCCAACTCATGCAACAGGTTCTATAATAAGGAATAAGCAATTGATATACTCAGCACCCCACTCTCACAAGAGGTTTTACAGTAAGGAATAAACAATTGATATACTCAGCACCCAACTCATGCAACAGGTTCTACAATAAGGAATAAGCAATTGATATACTCAGCACCCAACTCACGCAACAGGTTCTACAATAAGGAATAAGCAATTGATATACTCAGCACCCCACTCTCACAAGAGGTTTTACAATAAGGAATAAACAATTGATATACTCAGCACCCCACTCACGCAACAGGTTTTACAATAAGGAATAAACAATTGATATACTCAGCACCCCACTCATGTAACTGGTTCTATAATAAGGAATAAACAATTGATATACTGTGGTCTGTATTTAATGTTAGAATAGGTCCCCAGGAACCTATACGATAATCATAATAGTGACTAAATGGTTGGTTGACTGTGTGTCTTTGTGGGGCGGTGGGGTAGCCTAGTGGTTAAAGCGTTGGCTCGTCACGCCGAAGACCCGGGTTCGATTCCCCACATGGGCACAATGTGTTAAGCCCATTTCTGGTGTCCCCCGCCGTGATATTGCTGGAATATTGCTAAAAGCGGCGTAAAACTAAACTCAGTCAGTCAGTGTGTCTTTGTACCCTGACAAACTGAATATTGCTCATAATATTATAGATCACCACACTATACAGCATTTCTCACTGCAATTCATGGCTTCCAGTTCCAGCAGTGAAAAGGCAACAGGTAGCTTAGTGGAAAAGGTGTTTGCTCATATCTTCAACCTTGGTTCAATTTCCAACATCAGTGTAATAGTGTCAAGCCCATTTCTCGTGTGCCCATTTGAGAGAATGTGTTAATATTTTTAAAGCAGAATAGAAAACTCTCTCACTCACTGATTGTGACTCACCTCACAATATTCATATGTCTTCCTTAGAGATAGGTGGATACCTCTCATCTCATCGTCCCTGAACACATACTTGACCACCTCCCCTGGGATAGGCTGAAACAGGAAGTACTGGGGTATAAAAAGGCAGTGTTACAGACGGACGTTCTGGGCCTCAAATGGTTACGGGGCGGTGGGGTAGCCTAATGGTTAAAGTATTAGATCTTCACACTGGACACCCAGGTTCGATTCCCTACAGGGGTACATTATGTGAAGCCCATTTCTGGTGTCCCCGGCCATCCGCCACCATGTTGCTGGTTACAGGGGATACAAAGCTTTAACCACTAGGCTACCCCACCTCCCCTTGAGCATACAGAAAGCACCAGAATGCTGAGAGGTTCAAATCCAAGTTTGCCCAGATTATGTGTCTCCAGGCTTTTGATCACCAAAGCCATGCCTGTGGTTTACTCCAAAATGATACACTTCTAAATCGTGCATCAGTTTCCTCCAATAGCAAGGGCGGTGGGGTAGCCAGGTGGTTAAAGTATTTGCTCATCACGGCGAAGACCCAGGTTCAATTCCCCACATGTGTACAATCACTCGCTGTGATATTGCTGAAATATTGCTTAAAGTGACATAAATAGTAAACTGACATGCTGTAATATGACTGACATACCATCAAAAGAGACATTAAACCCGACTAACTCACTCTTTCTTCAACAATCTTCAGTCTTCAACAGATGCATTGCTTACCATTGTTGGTTGTCCTTTTGGTCCTGAGGCTTTGCGAACTACATACAGCAACACAGTGGACAGAACCTTGAGGTTCCGCTGATGGATATCACTCAGGGGTTCCGTAGAAAGACCGTAGTCTATTGGCTTCAGCAGCAGCTGTAGGTAAAGAAGTGTTCCTGGCATTTCTCAATACATGTTGTTAGTAAAAAGTGAGTGAGTTTAGTTTTACGCCACACTCAGCAATATTCCAGCTGTATGGCGTCGGTCTGTAAATAATCGAGTATAGACCTGACAATCCAATGATCAACAGTGTGAACATCCTTCTATGCAATTGGGAAGATGACAACATAGTCAGCAAGCCTGACCACCCGATCCCATTAGTCGCCTCTTATGACAAACATGGGTTACCGAAGATCCCCCCAAAGTCAGGTATGGCGATAGTCAGCCAAGTCAGCAAGCCTGACCACATGATCCATAGAGTCACTTCATACAACAAGCATGGGCTGCTATGGACCTGTTCTGGACCAAATAACTACAGGTTTCAGCTTAGGGTAGGCACAATTTATTGAATTTTAAGAATTCTGTTTTGTGATTCGAAATTTGATCACTTCTGTTGACAAGATCCTTAAGTTTGTCAGTATTCTTACAGTTGTGATTAGACTCCTGGAGACGAAGATCCCAAGCAACAGCAGATATGCCTCCTGTTGTCCGATATTTGTTGTCCTGCCTGAACCATTGAACTGGAGGCGGTCCTACAGACAAGAAGATAATATCACAGAAACAGACAATAGCAACATATACTGCACAGTAATAAGAGTATTTTACAGAAGTGTGGAAGCATATGAACATGTAACTACCGTAAAAAAATGTTTGCTTTAAGTAGATTTCCTTGAGTAGAGTGATAACAAAACTCACCAATTCCACTTGCCAGAAGTACCCATCAGGAAAGCGTTGGCCATTCTTGATAAGTTCAAATACTGCTGCTTTTCGATGGGTCCCCAACACACCTGACCTTGGCTGAAACATTAAGTTGTCATTAGGGGAAGCATAAAAACCCTTTAAAACTCTCTGTAACCTGATGCCTTTCAGTGGCATTTAGATGTTGTACAAAGATGTCCAAGATATTTTTATGGATTATACTTCTTTTTTATTTCCCTCACAACTTTTCAGGACCATTCCAGGTGAACTCACCTGATGAAGGGACCTGGAATGGTCCCGAAACATTGAGCCTGTGGCTCCCCTAGGCTCTCCAACCATTCCAGGTCCCTTCCTACCTCTACCTACCATGACCTACATGGTGTCCAACTAGTAACCAAGACCTCTGGGGCCTCTACCTGCCATGACCTACATGGTGTCCAACTACCAAGACCTCTACCTACCACGACCTACATGGTGTCCAGCTACCAAGACCTCTACCTACCATGACCGGTGTCCAACTACCAAGACCTCTACCTGTCATGACCTACATGGTGTCCAACTAGTAACCAAAACCTCTGGGGCCTCTACCTGCCATGACCTACATGGTGTCCAACTACCAAGACCTCTACCTGCCATGACCTACAAGGTGTCCAACTACCAAGACCTCTACCTACCACAACCTACAAGGTGTCCAACTACCAAGACCTCTACCTACCACGACCTACATGGTGTCCAGCTACCAAGACCTCTACCTACCATGACCGGTGTCCAACTACCAAGACCTCTACCTGCCATGACCTACAAGGTGTCCAACTACCAAGACCTCTACCTTCCATGACCGGTGTCCAACTACCAAGACCTCTGGGACTTCTACCTGCCATGACCTACAATATGTCCAACTACAAAGACCTCTGGGACCTCTACCTGTCACAACTTACATGGTGTCCAACTACCAAGACCTCTGGGACCTCTACCTGCCATGACCGGTGTCCAACTACCAAGACCTCTGGGACCTCTACCTGCCATGACCTACATGGTGTCCAACTACCAAGACCTCTGGGACCTCTACCTGCCATGACCGGTGTCCAACTACCAATACCTCTGGGACCTCTACCTGCCATGACCTACAAGGTGTCCAACTACCAAGACCTCTACCTACCACAACCTACAAGGTGTCCAACTACCAAGACCTCTACCTACCACAACCTACATGGTGTCCAGCTACCAAGACCTCTACCTACCACGACCTAGACCATGACCGGTGTCCAACTACCAAGACCTCTACCTGCCACGACCTACAAGGTGTCCAACTACCAAGACCTCTACCTACCATGACCGGTGTCCAACTACCAAGACCTCTACCTGCCATGACCTACATGGTGTCCAACTACCAAGACCTCTGGGACCTCTACCTGCCATAACCGGTGTCCAACTACCAAGACCTCTGGGACCTCTACCTGCCATGACCTACATGGTGTCCAACTACCAAGACCTCTGGGACCTCTACCTGCCATGACCTACATGGTGTCCAACTACCAAGACCTCTACCTGCCACAACCTACAAGGCGTCTAAGTACCAAGACCTTTGGGACCTCTACCTACCATGACCTACATGGTGTCCAACCTCTGGGCCCTACTGCCAACCTCTACCAAGACCAAGACCTCTAACATTGAGCCTGTGTCAACTACCCAGACCTCTCCTACCATTCGTGGTCCAACTTCCTACCTCTACCTACCTGCCATGACCTACATGGTGTCCAACTACCAAGACCTCTGGGACCTCTACCTGCCATGACCTACATGGTGTCCAACTACAAAGACCTCTGGGACCTCTACCTGCCATGACCTACATGGTGTCCAACTACCAAGACCTCTACCTGCCACAACCTACAAGGCGTCCAACTACAAAGACCTCTGGGCCTCTACCTGCCATGACTTACATCATGTCCAACTACCAAGACCTCTACCTGCCATGACCTACAAGGTGTCCAAGTACCAAGACCTTTGGGACCTCTACCTACCATGACCTACATGGTGTCCAACTACCAAGACCTCTACCTCTAACATTGAGCCTGTGGCTCCCCAGGCTCTCCAACCATTCGTGGTCCCTTCCTACCTCTACCTACCATGACCTACATGGTGTCCAACTAGTAACCAAGACCTCTGGGGCCTCTACCTGCCATGACCTACATGGTGTCCAACTACCAAGACCTCTACCTACCACGACCCACATGATGTCCAACTACCAAGACCTCTACCTACCATGACCGGTGTCCAATTACCAAGACCTCTACCTGCCACGACCTACAAGGTGTCCAACTACAAAGACCTCTGGGGCCTCTACCTGCCATGACCTACATGGTGTCCAACTATCAAGACCTCTACCTACCACGACCTACATGGTGTCCAACTACCAAGACCTCTACCTACCATGACCGGTGTCCAACTACCAAGACCTCTACCTGCCTGCCGACCTACAAGGTGTCCAACTACAAAGACCTCTGGGACCTCTACCTGCCATGACCTACAAGGTGTCCAACTACCAAGACCTCTACCTGCCATGACCTACATGGTGTCCAACTACCAAGACCTCTGGGACCTCTGCCTGTCATGACCTACAAGGTGTCCAACTACCAAGACCTCTGGGACCTCTACCTGCCATGACCTACATGGTGTCCAACTACCAAGACCTCTCCTGGGACCTCTGCCTCCAGCCATGGGACCTACAAGGTTCCAACTACCAAGACCTCTACCTGCCATGACCTACATGGTGTCCAACTACCAAGACCTCTGGGACCTCTACCTACCATGACCTACAAGGTGTCCAACTACAAAGACCTCTGGGACCTCTACCTGCCATGACCTACATAGTGTCCAACTACCAAGACCTCTACCTACCACGACCTACATGGTGTCCAGCTACCAAGACCTCTGGGACCTCTACCTACCATGACCTACATGGTGTCCAACTACCAAGACCTCTACCTACCATGACCTACAAGGTGTCCAACTACCAAGACCTCTGGGACCTCTACCTGCCATGACCTACATGGTGTCCAACTACAAAGACCTACATGGTGTCCAACTACCAAGACCTATACCTACCTACGAACTATATGGTGTCCAACTACCAGACCTCTCTGACTTCTACCTACCATGATCTCTGTGATATGGTAGATGAGGTTTTCCACAACATAGGCAAGTACTTGAAGCAGCTGAGCCTGGTCTCGTGTGATATTCCGTCCACCCACCAGTGATGAAAGGTCTTTTGCATTAGGTCCTATGATGTCACCCATCACAGGATATATATTGCCAGTTGGCTGAAAAAGGCAAATAAATTTGATATATATGATTCATAATGAAACAGATTCAAGCACATGATTTTGTTAGTTGTCTAACACAACACTGACACCAAATTCCAGCAAAATGCTGGTGGCCTGTAAATAATTGAATTGGGACTATATGAACAAGTGATTTGTATCAAGCACCATTGTGGTGCCATGACAACACAGTCAAGTCAGTGAGTCTGACCATCCGATCCATTTTGCTGGAATCCAGCTACAACTCACAATCTTCAAAAATGTGAAGAACAATGAATTTTACATAATAATTTAATGTCACTTTTAGCAAGACCAAAGAGGAAACTGACTGAAAATGATTTGCAGAGAAACCCTATTAGTATAGACACAGATTTGAAGATTGTATCCATGATTCTCTATAAAAAGGGACACTAATATCTATGCATGACTAATTAATCTGCAAACTTTTAAATAAGGAAACATTTTCCAATTTGGAGTGGGCGGTTCATGGTTTCTGGTTTTTTTTATTACAAAGGTACATTACTTATTTGAAACCAAGCAGGATTGTATCTGGAAATTCCGAATAACCAGGGATGGACATCCAGACAGATCACGAGACACTATGACAGGTTGAGAGTAATATTACTGCATACACAAGCAATGGGCTACATTGTAAAGTGGGATGACAAAGCTGACTGAGTTCAAGGTTTGAGACAGCCATGTGTAATTTTCAAAATAAGTAGGGTAAATGTATATGTACTTATGTAATGAGATGGTCGGGACTGGAGAATAGGATCTAAATATTGGTATAGTTACTATGCTACTATGTTCAGGATAATGATGTTGGACAGTACATTGAGTGAGTGAGTTTAGTTTTACGTCACTTTTAGCAATATTCCAGCAATATCATGGTGGGGAACACCAGAAATGGACTTAACAAATTGTACCCATGTGGGGAATCGAACCTGGGTCTTCGGCGTGACCACGCTTTAACCACTAGGCTACCCCTCCGCCCGACAGTATATTGAAGATGGGCTACAGACAAGCCACGTCCATCACTTTGTTTTATGAGGTGGTGTCTCATAATGGGAGATGGCGAATTTTAGAACATATACATGTACTTACATTGAGATATAACCGATGAAGGGCTGCCACTATTTCTTTCAAAATAATCCCGAACAAGAACACGCTACTAGGTCTACTGCCTTTATTCTGAAAAAGAGACAATTTCAAGGATAAACAGCAGTTAAAGAAGGTCTTTATAATGATACAATAAAGGGACATTGGAAACACTGTATAATCCAGGAGGAGAATAAATTGTATGTGTGGCTCCTGCAAACTACCAGTTACAGGAATTGTGTTGTATATGTAGACAAACAGGCATCAACGTTTTTCCCAGTAGTAAACAGATTATATACCCAGAATAATAAATTGTGGATTTTCACTGCACTCAACAATATTTAACAATGACAATTAATGACAATGATCTTAATTTACTGAGTCTGGATCAGATAATCCAGTGATTGATACTGTAATACTGAATACTGAGTGAATCATAACAGTACTGATCCATACTACCTTGGCAACACTCTATGGGCTTAAGTATACACAGAATTCATTGATGACAGAGATGTAAAGATGTGAGATGACTGTGAAGTACTGTCAATGTGCATAAAATATATATACTGGTGGGACATTGCTGTTAGTTACTGATGAACATGTCATCAAGTTGTGCCACTAGGGAGAGACCATTTGATTATGTGGAGCATGGGCAGCACTTTGGTCAAGTAATTCAGGCTTTTTTATATAAAGGAGCTCAGTTATGCTTTCCAATATAAGCAGGTGCTCAGTCTGTGTTTAATTACATCATAAAAATAATTCATGGCACTTAAACAATTTCATGAAGTCTGCAAGAAAAGGGCAAGCAAATGTTTGCATTAAAGCAAAGTAAAAGTACATTCTTTTCTGCAAAAACTGGGTCTTGACTATGTTTTTAAAAGAAATCCTGCACCCACGACCCATGCTACCACACCTGTACAATCAAATGGTTGTTCCATAGGCTATTGACAACTGGACACCTAGATATCCACTACTCATCCATGTTAATTTGTTAATGGTGTGAGTGCATCTTGTTATTACATGATATCAGAGACATCAGTTCTCTAACAACATGCATGCAATAAACTCACGCTCAAGGAGTGAGTGAGTGAGTGAGTGAGTGAGTTTGATTTACATGCTTTGAACACTCCTTTGATCTTATCAGGGTGTATCAGCTTAAAGTGGAGGAAAGTCCCGATTGACAATAGTTGTTCATTCAAGCTCCATCCCATTGTGTTACACCTTAGTTCCCCACCCTACACAGCACATTATGTAATTCAGACTTTGGAACCTTTTGTTGCATGAGTTCCCAGGTACAGTTATACATAGATTAACTAGTGTAGATTTTTCTCTGTCTCTGTTTATCACCATTAATGCATTATTGACTGTAGACTACTTCAATGGTTAGGAGAGGAAGGACAGACAGTGCTCCTGTATATCTGATTGCGTGTCAGTGTTGCTATTGACAACAGAGAGTGTCAGACAGCATTGAAAATGTTTAGAAAAGGAGGAAATAGGATGCAGAAATACGAAAAATGTCAGCAAAGACAGTTACAGTATTCGTTATATTTATTTTCATCTCTACTAAGAAAACAAAATAAAACAGAATTAAGCACTAAAACAAAATTAAAACTGATGAATGAAAGAAAAACTGATGAATGAGTGTGTAAAAAGTAAACAGTAGAATAGAGCTAATAGTAAAAAAAGGTAAAAGATATGGTGTGCTTAATGTGCATGCTAATTCTATAACTTAATAATTTAAAGCTCATGCAAAAGAAAATAAATTGCAAAGTTATTCTGAAAACAAGTGACCAACAGGTTAGAAGGTGTTGAAGTCTATAAGGAAGAAACCATGTACTTACAACCTCACGTTTCATACAAAGCTAACTTCATTTCAAAATAAATAACAACATTTAAATGCATTCATAGGAAGATCGGAATGTAATAGACAGTATCTTACAAAAGTTAAAATTTATTTGAGGATTTACATTGAAGAAATTTTGCTTCTTGGAAATGATTTGTTCAAGAATAAAAAGGTCTCGAGAATATCATAAACACCACAGTTTATGAACACCTATGTCAAACAACATATGCCATTAAGATATGAAATATATGATCCAGATTTTAGTTCCATATTCAAAATGCTAATAGGATTAAGTTTGGTGATTTTAACAGTGGAAATGCAAAGTTACACACCTCAATGATTGCTGAAGTGATTGATAATTTTTTTATTTAATCTATTTAAAATACAGTCTTGAATGATTCATCTGTGTAGACACCACATACTGAGACTGTTTTATAAGGTACATGTTTCTTCCTGTGTTAGTCTGTTACCTTCTTGACAGAAGCTTTTAGACAGGCTATAAACCAAGCACAATACGCAATATGACGGAGGCGCCGAATTCCCTCTGAAACATAAACATAAAACATTTAACCTTTTTGCCAGGTGAAATCTTCATTCTTTAAAACAAATTTACAAACATTCCAATTTAGAAATATCATATTTTTTGTCTTTATGATTCAGGGATTGTGGCCTGGATTAGGGTTAGTTTTAACAATGCTTGGCCTTTTACCAGGATAAATTTTCATTTTCAAAACAAATCTACCAGCATTCAAATTCAGAAATATTATATGTCTTTTGTTTATGTTTTTTTTAAAGATAAAAGCATTTGACTGTTTGATTTTATGCCGCTTTTTAAATTCCAGATAAAAGCATATGATGTGACCGGCGTGACGGCGAACGCTAACCACTAGGCTACCCCACCACCCCAAAAGCATAAGATGTGACCTGGGTTAGGGTTTGTTTTCACAATACATGATAGTTTGTGATGTCTGTAATGAGTGAGTGAGTTTAGTTTTACGATGCACTCAGCAATGTTCCAGCTATATGGTGGTGGTCTGTAAATAATCGAGTCTGGACCAGACAATCCAGTGATCAACAGCATGAGCATCGATCTGCGCAATGGGGAGCCAATGACATGTGTCAACCAAGTCAGCAAGCCTGACCACCCGATCCCATTAGTCGCTGATGTCTGTAATGCATTGACAATGGCTGAATTTCACTTTTATCGATATCAGTACCTAAATATTTAAGTAGGAGCAAAACAAATACTTACTTGATCCAGGGAAAGGATATTTATTTACCTCTAAGCGTCGTATTGCTGAAATGTACATCAAATAATGTGTAATGATGCCAGATATCTTTCAAATTTTACCAGAAATAAAACCACACAAATTATGTTTTTTCATGTTGAATCCGGTTTGCGGTCTGAGGACAGATAGTTCATAAACATGTAACATAATGCTAGGACAGAATTGATTTCTTGATCAACACTCTTTTGCTTTTGTTTAGAAAATTGACAATTTGTCCCCAAATCTAAATCATCAGCACAATCCTCATACATTACAGGTTTTAGTACACCCTCCATCACCCATGCATACAGTATAGACAGCCATGGCTTGCACAGAGTACAATTTGACTTATACACACTTTTTTTATTTTAATTGACAATAATGATTCCTATTTTCCATGTGTAAATCTATTTTGACTTTTCAAAAACTGTCCCTAATATCATAACATGACGGTGATTCATAAACCCAGACAACTACAGTGTTATACATACGGATGGCAGCATCAGGAGTTTTCTTGGAATTGGGTGGAAACTCTCCGTCGTATTTCCTTCTGAACCTTGACCTTCCCCTTAATCCTGTGTAGAAGCAGTTTAGACATACAAACATACAACACCATAATTGGCAGGTCAGTGATGTTCAGACGTACAGCTACATACCTGGCAGGTGACTGACATAAGAACATACATGACAGGTAAGTGACATACAAACATATTACAACATACCTGACAGGTGAGAGAAGTACAAGCATAGAGCTACATACCTGGCAGGTACATGACAAACAAACATACAACATACCTGGCAGGTAAGTGACATACATACAACATACTTGGCAGATAAGTGACAGACAAAAAACTATTTTTACTGATGAGGTACCCTGAATGTGTAGATGGGAGAGATAATGTATATGACATACAGATACAATCTGAACAGTATTCATGTTATATCATGGCATGTCAATCTGATGTGTGAGGAAATCTTGAAGTAATGCAAGTTTCAAATGTTTACAACTTTTGTGAAACCTACGGGACTTTGCATGGATTGGTCACACACCTAAAATCATTATTGATGCAAACCAGGATCCCAACCCATCATCTTAGGCTTCTGGCAAGGACTGCACTTGCATATTGAAGACAGTGAAATTTGAAACTGGCGTATAACTTTAAGGCTAGCACGCCCACCTGGCCAAAAATATCTTGGGACTATTTCACACATTGTTCCCAAAGAAAGTTGTTGCACAGAAACTGGAACAAGTACCATTTTGATTCATAATGATTTCCAGCACCCCATGTCTGAAGGGGTGATCATCCATGCTCGTAATTTTCTCTTTTATATGTTTTCTTATTCTGAATTGTTGAGAGTAGCAATCTCAAAATCAGAACCGCATGTTTAGCATCTGGGTAGAAAATCTGACAAAGATACTACTGTATTCCAACCCCAGAGCTCACCCGGTGACCATGACAACCTCACACCTTGCAAATTAGATAGGGTCTCTTCATGTGATCAGAACCTGCTTATAATATTGCATATAGTTCAGGATGATGTATATAGCTCTAGGTCTCATCCTGTTAGTGACATTACATATGGTTCAGGATGATGTATATAGTTCTAGGTCTTATCCTGCTTGTGACGTTACATTTAGTTCAGATGATGTATATAGCTCTAGGTCTTATCCTGCTGGTGACATTACATATAGATCAGGATGATGTATATAGTTCTAGGTCTTATCCTGCTGGTGACGTTACATATAGATCTGGATGATGTATATAGATCTAGGTCTGATCCTGCTTGTGACATTACATATAGATCACGATGATGCATACAGTTCTAGGTCTGATCCTGCTTGTGACATTACATATAGATCACGATGATGCATATAGTTCTAGGTCTGATCCTGCTTGTGACATTACATATAGATCACGATGATGCATATAGTTCTAGGTCTGATCCTGCTTGTGACATTACATATAGATCACGATGATGCATATAGTTCTAGGTCTGATCCTGCTTGTGACATTACATATAGATCACGATGATGCATATAGTTCTAGGTCTGATCCTGCTTGTGACATTACATATAGATCACGATGATGCATATAGTTCTAGGTCCTGATCCTGCTTGTGACATGCTTGTGACATTACATATAGATCACGATGATGCATATAGTTCTAGGTCTGATCCTGCTTGTGACATTACATATAGAGATCTAGGTCTGATCCTGCTTGACATTACATATAGATCTGGATGATGTATATAGCTCTAGGTCTGATCCTGCTTGTGACATTACATATAGATCAGGATGATGTATATAGCTCTAGGTCTGATCCTGCTTGTGACATTACATATAGATCAGGATGATGTATATAGCTCTAGGTCTGATCCTGCTGGTGACATTACATATAGATCTGGATGATGCATATAGCTCTAGGTCTGATCCTGCTTGTGACATTACATATAGATCAGGATGATGCATATAGCTCTAATCTTTGAAGGGCATTTAGAAGTGGAACACATAGGAAAAGCAAGATTTTTATGGATGTCAACTTCTTTGTTGTGAAACTCCAAAACGTCGTGTTATTCACAACAAAGAAGTTGACATCCATAAAAGTCTTGCTTTTCCCATATAGCTCTAGGTCTGATTCTGCTTGGGACACATTACATATAGATCAGGATGATGCATATAGCATCCATAGATTCCTAGATTCTGAAGGTTCCAACATGTGAGGACCTATCGATATGATACTGAGCATGTGTAGATATCCATTCATGTGATTACATTCCAGTAATCCCTGGATCTGAAAGTTGCAAATACATTGTGGTCCCCACAACAACATGACAGTCCCTGATACAGCTCCGGGGCTCTGTGACGTGCCATATTTTGTATTATAGAAGGACTGTGCTCAAAGGTCAGTTGCCTATTTCAGTTTAGATTCAGACCTTGTAGTAAGTGTCATGTCTGAAACATGTCTTTGTGCAACAAATCTCTACACATCAGATCATATCAATCACAAAATTTGAGCTGAGAGAAAACGGATGTTTGAATAACTTGACTTGAAATGACAAGGACTGCCAATTTGAATGAGCACAGTCCCCCTTTAATTATTGCTGTAACAGCATAATACTTAAATGTGATAAGATCCATCAGTGTTCAAAGTAAAATTGTACATTCTGGCTGAAGATACAAATCACCTCCTCCAGATTTCCTTTGTTAGTGTTTAGATCTTAAAGATATGGACAGAAGCAACTATCAGACTACGACCACAAAGGATGGTTCTAAGCTAAATGTGAAACAGAAAAATTTGAAGTGGACATTATATAACACAGTAAAATGATGTTAGTATGTCTTCGGTATCATTGAATCATATCACACAGATGATTGTAATCCTACGTTAAAGTAGCCCTAAGATTGTGAAATGTCCAGTTTATTTAAATGTCCAGTGTGCTTACTTCCAACATTCATTTGTCAGCAGTTTCATAGTAAACTTATATTTCAAGACCTTGTGACACAAAAACAATCTTACTAATAACCAAACAGCATTTTCAAGTAATATCACTAACATTTACTGTATCATTTGCCTTTATATTTTAGGCCTTCTTGCAGGCTTTGGCTATATTAGCACTTAACCATCATATCTCCCATACACAGACTTGCAGTAGTCTTGGTACTAACATTGGTTTGTGCATGTGGGCCCTGATCCATTTACTGTTTTTTTCCTTCACTGACAGTTAAAAACATTCTCTTTTTAGTGCAATACAACACTTACTGAACAATATACCGTTGATCCTATGTGTTACAATACTCTGAAGAGCAAATATTCTACAGTATATCTGGCTCAATGTTCACAATTAATGGAGATTCTTACAGGTTAATAAATGAGTACACAAAAGTTTTTAAAAACTTAAAACAGCACAGAAAACCGCAAAGGATATGTGCAAAGCTGAATTTTTTCAAATGTCTTTAACATAAACCAAACATTAATAAGAGTTTGGTATAAACAGATACTGAAACTTGTAACCAGGAAGTTCGAGTTGAGGTATAATTTCCTTACTTATGTTTACCTACATATATCCTATATAGTATATTTGTAGGAAAACAGTTAAAACTGGACTGGACCAAATTCAGGATTTCAGATTGTCATCATTTACCATATGCTACTGATACTCTAGTAGTGTTAGAAGCATAGTATAATCTTAGTATTAATTAGAAATATGGAAGCTCATTACTTAGGTATTTTCTTCAAAATCATTTCCTTTACATAAATTCAATATTATAACCCATATACAAACAAAATGAAACTAACTTTATTTCATACACTTTCACATGACAAAAATATATATATTTTACAAAAATTCCACACATGATATGACAACAGATCCACTGTTTTAAGTTGTTTATTATCATGGACAATTTTGTTTGTTTGATAACCAATGAGAGCCTTCCACCTTTCTCCTAACATACAGAAGTGACAGATGCTATACTCACGCAGGGTGCTGTGCTAAGAGGAAGAGTGCAGAAATAACAAGTGTTAGTTTGTAAATTAGTAATGCAATTCTGGATGAAAACATATAAATACTACTCCAAAAATAGAGAAACAATTAGGTGAAAAATGTTAGAAAATACCAAAAGAAAGAATGTTCAGATAGATGTTAATTTTCTTTGAATCAAATATAACAACAAATTTGTATCTACATTGAATTTTATTTCTCACATATGTACAAAGGACGTTTTTATTTCATATTGTCCATTAGCAACAAACCTTATTGAAAAATGTTCATAAAGGAGGATTGTAGTTTTGAAAGAATTTGGTAAAATGTCAGTGTCGCTCTGACAAAGGTAAACAATATTTAGGTATTTCGATAAAGGAACAGTATTGTCACTAATTTTCCCATTTATAGAATAATGAATAAATACATCTACATTCTTATTTACAGCTAACTTTGGTGTAGCACCATCTATGTACATCTATTATTTCTAGTTATGTACATAGTTATCAACAGCTGATTAGTATAGTAATAAACACACAATACTTGGTGTGGAAATAAAATATTCAATTTTATTCTCAAAGAAAATGAAAAAAAAATTCATGATGTTATTTGGATATTTTTAAAAAACATTTTTTTGAAAATGTCACTCAGTGGCTGCATAGCTATCATGTTCGATTTATTCTCAGTGCGAAGTTTAGCACCGAAATGATTAACATATGTCAATATCAGCTGCTTCCATTGTTTACAATAGTTATTTTTGATAACCAAAAACGAATCCGAAAGAAGAACTATTGTAAAATGGAGACTATCATTACTACAAGACAGGCATATCAATGAAATATATGTCTACACATTATCTATATATTTTTCGATTCAAGCATTCCAACTCACAAATCGCAGTCTTAAGTCATAAAATTGGCACAGCTAAGTGACCTATCACAGTCATTCAAGAACTGAAAATATCATATACTGACCAATCATATTTGAATACCCTCATATTCAAACTGACCAATCAGCTTCAAGATAACTTGAGATTCAAAGTTTGAGTGGTGCAATTTGCTTTAGTGAAAGAATATGATTGGTTCAGAACATAAGGTGGGAAGACTCTCCTTGGCTCATCACTATGGCAACATCCAAGGCCAAGGGTTAAAAGTTCAAGGTCAACAGGTTCTTGGGAGGTGTCAGTGGTATACATAATAGTTGGATCCATCGTCATACATCATGTAGGGGTTACTGTAAGATTTCACTGCAATTGTAAACAAAAACAAACCGTGAGATATAAATATATGCAACATGTCACATGCTTACTTAAGTGACAAATGAAATGATATCGATTCTCATGAATGGGCCAAAACTTTTGTAAAATCTCAGTGTAAGTAATTTTTTTTAAAAAATCATCTATTTTGGTAGAAAATTTGTGAATTTATTCATTTTCCTCACAATTTTGATTGTATATGAGTTATTATATTTCATTCTAATTTGTCACCAATCTTTTTCTAGCTAATGCCGTGGTCCATTGAATGGCTATGATCTAGTTCAGGGACCCGTCATTTAATATTCTGGGAAGCGCCTGGGATTAATGATTCATTACTTTTCAGTCACATCAAACATTTAACATTTCTGAAGGAACAAGCCAAACGAATTTATTTTTTGTCACATCCCATGTTCTTTCAGGATATCCAGCATGTTTAATGAACAATTTTTCTTTTGTGTGTAAAATGGACAAATATTTTTGCAAATCCCAGGCTCTCAAGAATATGAAATGGTCGCTCCCTTGTTCCTGGAACAGAAGGTTGTAGTTAGCACATGCATGACATGGGGTCAGGATAACTCACCTCCTCCTCCACCTCGTGACCCTCTACTGAAAAGGATAAAAACCACCCCTGTAAACAATACATAGAAATACAATACACGGTTATAATGCACATGTTTAATTCACAAGTAAAAAACAAATATGAACAAAAAACATTTAGAAATTTAAACTAACCCTGCAACATGCTGGGTCAGTTGTACATGACACTTCCGAAAAGGATTAACATGGAACTTGTATTGTCATCTATATTCATTCAGAGCTGTTCCACATGGTAAAAATGATCCAAAATAATAAACTTTTTTAAATATATTTAATTTAATAATGTATAACACGTTACACAAATTGTGTGTGAATATCTATTTACTGAATATAAGAATATATAACATTTAGTGGTGTTTAAAACCAAAATTATCCTGCTGATGACAAGGTTAAAAGCCATCTATATCTACACATGCATCTTTGGAATGTTAAAAGCTCTTTATCCCGTTCAGTTAGTTGGGTTTAATTTCAGCTCCATCATGACATGACATCTTCAAGAGGTAGGAAAGTCCAGAAGATGCAGGCCTTAGACAGTTACTACCTTCCTGATAGCCGTTAGCTCAAGCATGGTATAAGATACACCTAGAATACTAATCAAGGTGATTATCAAGATCATAGGTTTCATGCGTGCCAAATGGATGTCAGATAATGGCAACTCTGAGATGCAAACTCACAGATATTGGGTTTCATGCATGCCAAAAGGATGCAATTCTGCACAGCACAGACACTGAAACCCTGTTAAGCCAGTATGTTCCCATTGAAATTGTCTGAATTATTGAGTCATGGGCATGTTGTAATTCCACCTGTATTCATAACGACTTTTTCAACAAGTGTCAGGCCACTTGAGCTGTGGTTCAGATGTTGTTGAACAACATCATGGGAAGACTCACACAATTACAAGAAACGGCATATTAGTCAAATGCTGAACTGCTGATGAAATATTAAGACTATGCGCCAAAGCTGTTAGGGCCCAATAAAGAACAGGTGTTAATGATAAAATGTTTTAGCATGAATATTCAAACTCATTATGGTTTAATCAGTTGATCCAGTCAGAGAGTGCAAACATGGCTAAAAAAGTTATTCATCTAAAAATAAAGCTACACTTATTTGACTTCAGGGTACCCAGTGCCCAGTTAATATGTTAAACATCTGTATATAAAAATGCCAAATCGTCAGTGGTGGGGATATATGCACAAAGCATAATACATATAATTATAGAAATTATTACACATATATGTTCTCTTTTAGCCTTTGCCTGTTTTAAGATTGTTAAATGAGAAAAAACAGCATTAAGATGTATGCTATAGATGCTTTAGTTTTCTGCTGTACAAACTGTTGAGTAAAGGACTTAATGCTATCAAAGGCTAATGGTGAAGATCGGTTAGTCATTCTGACATAAATCATATATTTCATGGTTGATAATTTACAAAAACATAACCATGCAATAAATTTCAACATTCTTCTTCAGAACTTTAGTGAAGTTCTTTTCTAATTGTTTATACACATTTTTCAATGAAGGTCAAATAATAAAATAATGTCTTTATTTTAAGGGTCAACTGACATTGTCATCATACTGTCATGTCATTTCTTGGTGTGTCGTGTCATGTCGTGTCATGGTCCTGTCATGTTCTCAGTTATTCAGCTATTGATCTGTCCTCTGTTAGTGTATTAAATGCAACACAGGTTATTATCTGTACTAAGAAACATTGTTACTCTGCAACTTACGACATATCGTAATTTGGCATTGACTGGTGGTGGTACATCATTGGCGCCGCTGGTGCCGCCATGCCGCCATAGTGATGGTGGTACACTGGTCTTGGATACTGAAATAGGATAATATTGTTGTTATTATCCTTATTCATTTTCAAAACCGTTTTAACATTATTTTTCACTATAGACTGTAAGTATACCGAAAGTATTGAGATATGTGAAATTGCTAAATACCAAATTTTGTTAAATTTCAGTTTAAAATAATTTTTCTATATCATTGACATTTTCTGCTGTGCTTTTCTAGAATTGACCCACTGTATATCCTAAATTGTACTGGTTGAGTCGAAAATTCTAAATCAGTCAATTAGCAAAGTCGCCCCCAGCTATTAAACTTTAGAAACATCCAGAGATGAACCAACTGCAAAGGTAAAGTCACCTTATCACTGGGATGAAATTTCGATTTTTTTTTTTTTATTATTGATAGTCAGCCATTAATATTGACAATACGAAATTAAAGAGATATATTTGAGAATGAAGCTTACAGAGTATGGCTCTACGGGCGCCACGGGCGCCACGGGATACGCCGGTTGCTGTGGTGTCATGTTCTTAACCATCATCTGCTGCATCGCCATATGATGCATCTGGGCATTTTGCATCATCATCATATCCATGAATTCTAAAACACGGAAAAGGAGGAGATTAAAACAAGACTTACGACTGGAGCAGCAGGCATTACGGGTGCAGCAGCTACGGGCGTGGCTAACTGTGCGGGTGCTGACCCCTGGAGATTCCGCACCATCATCTGCTGCATCGCCATGTGATGCATTTGGGCATTTTGCATCATCATCATATCCATGAATTCTACAAGTACATAATCATAATGACCAATTTGGTCAATCAACGTCCCTATTATCAATCGATTTTTGTTGAAAATCCAACTGATACAATGGTCCAGATTTGATTATTTTCTGACTACTGTGATTCAACAGGAATACTATTTAGTGCAGTTTTCACTCAAAACATATACTTTCAATACATTATATTTTTAGAATTGTTGTTAGGATAATATGATATATAAAGTAAAACAGACAAACATAATGTATTTGGCGTTTCTTTGGATGTCAAAGAGTTACTTCCCTTCCCTTTTATACCCATGAAAGATCCGGGTTAGAATTGGTCTTCAGCAACCCATGCTTGTCGCAAGAGGCGACTTAGTAAACAGGATCGGGTGGTCAGGCTCACTGACTTGGTTGACACATGTCATTGTATCCCAATTGCATAGATCGATGCTCATGCTTTGATCACTGGATTGTCTGGTCCAGACTCAACTACTTACAGACCCCCATATAGCTGGAATATTGCTGAGTGCGGCGTTATACAACAAACCAACAACCAAATCCCTTCCCCTTTTAATCGTCTATGTATTTAAATATCAGTACAGGAAGTAAACATATTATCCTAAATTATACTTGTGTACTTCTGAGATGGATTCCTACAAAAACATCAACATCATTATATTGACACTTTAATGTGACCTGGAATAATATTCGGATTCTTACCTCCCTTGTTAAAGAAGGTGCTCTTTTCTTCTTTCCGTGGAGCTACCAGATCTAGCGTCTGGAATTGTGGGACAGTGGTAATGATAGGGGAAGGGGAAGCCATGGCTGCGTAGCCGGGCTGCATAGCGGGCTGAATGATTGCTGGGGGGGTGGCTATTGGCGGTAACTGGTATGTGTGAACAGCTGGAAGTTCAGGCTGACGGTACTTGTGTTCAATCACATGCTTGACTTGAGACATATCGGTTCCGATGGGTGCTACGGCTCCTACCGTTCCAACGGCGACTGAACCTGGAAGCACCATCAAATAGGCATCATTGGACACATTTTCTCAAAGATATATTCAGTACTGACTAGGTGTAGGGTTGGTATAGTGGGTAAAGCATCCACTTGTCATGTTGAAGACCCAGGTTTGATTCCCCATGTGGGTACCATAATTGAGTGAAACCCATTTCTGCTGTCGCTTGCTGTAATAGTGCTGGAATGTTGCTAAAATCAGAGTAAAACCAGACACACTCACTCACTCACGTACTGTATTAAGGACATATTTATAAAAATACCTCGACGACAGTGCTTTAGACAAGCAAACCAATTTGAAATAGATATTTTGTTTGAAACTTTGGGGGAATAGAACCCAGGTCTTAAGGGTGACAAGCCAACACTTTAACCACAAAACTACCTCAGTTTTCAGAATAATATGTACTACATAATTATTGCTGAAAAATTCTTATAGTACAGTTTAATATGAATTAAGAATGAAAAACATGTTTACTTTGATAAATTAAATCTAAAAACTGAACATGTACATCATTAGGTAAACATGAAATGTTACTAACACACCCACAATGAATACTAGGACGATGTTTTTAAATAACAGTGTTAATCTACAAGTGAGAGCATTGTGCCAGTGTTGAAATACTGAAAAACAACATTTAGTGGTTCAAGGAAATGACTCTTGGACAGTTGGTACTCCAGATGATGTCAGAGATGAAATCTGTTGTAGGTTGTTCCTTGGACAGTGTAGTGCATCTAAGTGTGACGTTAGATGGGTATTAGTATTATAAGGACAGAGTGGTCCCTTGGAATGACTGATGTTATTTTTCCTGTGCTTAAGGTTGTGCAGTGAAACCTCATTAGCCAGAACCCTGTTAATCTGGAAACCTGTAATTTCAACTGAGAAAACAGTTGTACAAGACCAAGAGATCAACTATGCATCATCAATGTTTATTGTGGTGATTTCTGTAGGAGTGCTACTGTCTGATATAACAGCTTTCACTGCGTATAGAACAGGTCTGAACTTGTCTAACTTAAGTCATGTGTTGAAATTTTCCCTCCATCAAGACATGATGTCATTTTTTTAGCATTCCAGATACATTCCTCATGTGATTAGTACATTCTAAAACAATGCATAATGAATTAATAAATGAAATTTCACAGAAATATCTCACTTGACACCAAAAGAATTTCATCGGGTAACTGAGAAATTAAAAAATAGTTTTGTTTTTTAAAAGATTGCACAGATGTATGACCTGAGCACTGATGAGCATGTTAAGATCCTATAGGCACTGATATATAAGTTGCCATAGATTAGAAACCTCAGTGAGAAACCTTAGTCTGTGAATAACAAGAACTTGATAGTGCCAGGAAGTATGGTTGAGAAGCAACCTGTGGATGAACGATGACGGCCTGTGAGTGATAGCGGTTGAGACACCATGCCCTATGGTGTCCTGAGAATGGTAGCCACTATGGTTGAGAAATCAGTGTCAGTTATGGTAACCTAAGGGTGAGAGCCATCTCAGGTTGACAACAGGAACCTAGCCCTGGGAGCGACAGCACCTTAGTGACAGAAAGCATGGTTGAGACACCAATCCCTGTGAGACAGCAAGAATGGTTGAGACACCATGTCCTGTGAGACAGCAAGCATGGTTGAGACCCCATGCACTGTGAGACAGCAAGCATGGTTGAGACCCCATGCACTGTGAGACAGCAAGCATGGTTGAGACACCAATCCCTGTGAGACAGCAAGCATGGTTGAGACCCCATGTCCTGTGAGACAGCAAGCATGGTTGAGACACCATGCACTGTGAGACAGCAAGCATGGTTGAGACCCCATGTCCTGTGAGACAGCAAGCATGGTTGAGACCCCATGTCCTGTGAGACAGCAAGCATGGTTGAGACCCCATGCAGTGTGAGACAGCAAGCATGGTTGAGACCCCATGCACTGTGAGACAGCAAGCATGGTTGAGACACCAATCCCTGTGAGACAGCAAGCATGGTTGAGACACCATGTCCTGTGAGAAACAGCAAGCATGGTTGAGACCCCATGTCCTGTGAGAAACAGCCACCTCAGACGGTGACACCCTGTGAGATAGTGCCCAGTGCATACCCAGTGTTTTGAGTGCTATCCCTACCAGCATTATCCCCCTCGGCAGGGGCTTTACGGTGGGGACTTGGAGCACTCCGGGGGGCCTGATACATGCACCCTGGTCCTGGGAGAAACATTAAGCAAGACTTACCCTAACACCACTGCATTTTCTGACCCTAATATCACTGCATGTTAAACAGAAGACTCTGAGTGTTATAAACTAGAAACATAGTCCTAAGGGACCAGTCATTTTACAGGAGGGAAGCTTAGGATACTAATTTTTTTAATACTTAATGTACTGAAAATAATGACCTCCCCTAATGCATTTTCCTGCTGTTAGATGACACTGCCCCTGCCTTGTCCGCTTCTTTCATGACCTCCCCAAAAGACAGAACACAAAATGACCTTATATTTTAGTGTAAAATGTGTATTTTCTCATGACTCTCCCAAATATATGTATAATTTCTTACATTTGCTGTATTTTTGTGTGACCTCCCCTTGATTCCCTTGACCCTCTTATAAAATGACTGGTCCCTAATATGAAGTATATTGTCTTTTAAACACATGAAAATACAAATCTGAAATATGACAATTATTATGTAGGTAGGCCAGATCTATTTATCTTCTTTTTCACTGATGTTCTTGGTCAAAAAAGAAGGAAATATATTAACATTTTTAATTCATGGTAGATATGAGGTCAGTTCAAAGAAGGAAAGCAGCACAATCAATAATGATTTAAAGAGGCAAATTTTCAGCAAAATGCCATTGATTCCTTTTAATATTTCATTTGCATAATTTCAGGTAGGTAAGTCGAAAACACAAAAAGGAAAATGATTTGGCCTCACTTGAACAAAAACTATAATTATTTTAGTTATTATAAAGGTTATCTGATTCTATGTTAAGAGTTCGATCTGGGTTAGAACTAGTTCTTATAGCACCCCATGCTTGTCATGAGGAGACAATGGTATTTGGTGGTCAGACTCTTAGACTTGGCTGATGCAAGTCATTATAACCCACTTGCATATAGTGATGCTCATGATGTCAGCCACTAGCCTATCTGGACCACCCATTTACTGCAGGTGACACCAGAAATGATGCTCATGCCCGATGTTAATCACAGGCATGCGTGGGACTGTCTTGATCCGCAGTTATACCACTCAGACTACATTATACTGCCTCTGGGCCGACCAGTCATTGTTGTACCCATTAATGCATAACATACCATGATGACTCGGGGATCAAACCCACGATCCGCTCTCCGGGCGGACGCTCTAGTCACCTATTGACAGACTGTCAAAATATGACTGAAATACTTGAGTACAGCATTAAACAGGAAACAAACAAGTAAACACACAACATCCTAATCTCACATCTCTTCACAATGAGACAATCGCTGATGATGATGATTATGATGGTTACCTCGGTTGTTGGAAGTGTGACGGTAGTGGCAATGCCTATGTAGATCTGGTAATGAAAGTCGTGACGGAGGGGGTGGAAGGGGATCTGGTGTGTAGCGACGTCGCTCGACGTGCGACCTTGGACGGTTCAAATCGGACAATTGTTCTTGCTGAAATGACATATTCACGTATTTCTGGTTTGGAAATATCAATAACAATAAACCATGCGATAAGGTCTTCATTCATGTTCAAATAGGTTCAGAGTCTTGCAAAGAAATTTGTTCTATCATTTATTACACCAATTTATGCCCTCCTCTAAACAGTCAAAAAGTGATAATCCAAGATACACTTATTTTGTTCGTATATTTAGTTAAGTAATATTTAGCCTTTGACCCAATGGTTTTCAGAGCATTATACATCAGAACAGTAAGAAAATATGTGATATGAAAAAACTTCATGAGTTTGTTATGTTATTGTATCACTTGGTGCAAAAGTCACATTGAAATCATCAATTTTGTCTGGTCATTAAAAACTCAAATATCCTCTGTACATTAGTGTTGTCTACATACGCGTATTCTGTCTATAAGCTCCTGTCTCCTTAGCATAGCCTGCTGAATCTTCAGCTGGTCTACATTATCGTCACTACCTGCAACACACAAAACAGACATGTTATATACCACTCTCAACCTGCAACACAAAACACATAGACATGTCTAAAATTTCCCATCAGTGTAAGGAATGTCCTAAACATTGCATATAATCCCCACATGGGTTTGTGAAGTCCATTAACTGTCCCCGCAGTTGTTTCATTGCTAAAAGTCAAACCGAACAGTTTCAGTCCTACACAAAATAATACTTGTTTGTGAAGTCATTAACTTTTATGTACAGTTGTTTCCATAAGTCATAATTAAAAAAACAAATACTATTGCAGAACATTATTTTTATGCATTTTAAAAATAATACTATAAACAAACATAGATTTTAAAATACAATTGTAATGAAATAAGTACACACATAAAATTTGAGAATTTCTCTAAAACTATATGAGATATTTACATATGGAAAACCTTGTTAAATCTATTTAATATAAAGGTCATTTGATAACATACTAACCACAAGGAGGGGACATTTGGAAACAATTAAAGTTTAATTCATTTATCAAAAATATATTTAACATTTTCACAGTATGTTTTCTTAATAAATTGCCAATATACACCTAAAATCTTACCCCGACCTCTCATTCGTTTTGTGCACTTCATTGTCACAGCTTATATGTTTGTTACCTAGCTACCACTGTTACCATGAATAGAAATTACTGTTGTGTACACCTTGTGCATCAATCAATTGTATAAATACAATTCAATCAATTATACAAGTTACCAAACTGGATCAGGTAAAAAAGTCATTATTAGAATCTATAAAACTAGTTACCTCATATCATGAGTACATATATATCTTTTTCAGATAAGAGACATCAAGGCAATATAGTTTTGTTAAGAGACAGTTTACCTCCTAGGGTCTGACTTATTAACTCAATTAGTCTATCGATATACCTTCAGGATTAAGGGAGGGGAAAGGTCATGTTCCTTCAAAGGTGTTCGTTTAAACTATCTGATATAGGCTAAATATACAACAATATAACTGATTCAAAGACTAGTCATTCTAAATATTTCTGTTGCTTGACAGCATGTTTGTTTTAGGTCAAAAAGTGCCACTTGGGGTGTCAAAATTCCATAACAAGACAAGACAACCATATTATTTCACGCAGTGTGCATAATGAACTATTTTTTAACTTTCCACATTCTTTCAGATGGTGAAGTATGAGTTTCACTCAAGTGCTTAACCTCGAAATAAACATAATATAAATGTATAATTATAAAAATGAGTGGCATTTTTTATGAAGGATGCCATTTTTTATTGGAATTCTGAAATGTGTTTTGCTTACTTGAAACACTGGAAGGCCTGTGTTGCAATTTGTCTCTTTCATTTGCAAGTTTCTGAAAAAAAAGAGATCTTTATTACAAACTTTGTCCATATAATCAAATTACATTTCCGAAACAAAAGTGTTTCTGAAAAAAGGAGAGAAAGTACAAATAAAACAGGATTTTCAGAGACTTCAAATACTCTGAAAGATGTATCCACTGGTAGCATTATATCATGAGCATGTTTTTAATTCCAAAGACGATGTTCGGAGTTGATCAAAATGTTAAGTAAACAAAACTCATTAGCAGCCAATGGAAGTTCACACAATTTTTCAAAATGGCTGCCACTTTTCTTCTGGAACATGCAAGGCTGAAAACAAAACATATTCAGCTACAAAATGACATAAAACTTGTCAAGAAAAAACAGCTGACAAAGATATAGAAAAGGTCTACCTCAAAATATGTCCTGAGTTCCGTTATTGGTAAATGTATAGCGAAACATTTTCATTACTAGCAGGAGCAACAGGCTGGGGATAGGTATAAAGTAGCAACTGTTCTTCACATCTTACACTGTTGTCGATGATATATACACATGATTATCTCATGTCAAGATAAAGCGGCAATCGCAAGTGATGTTTAACTGTCAGATTAAAGATTAAGAGCTTACCTTGACATTTTAGCAGTCATAGTTAGGAGGCTAGACAAGTAGAATGTAGTACAGATCCGCCATGTTTAATATAACCGTTTCGTCTTAGAGACTCACAAGTTCTCTCACAAATAAGGAAAACACAGCGTCGTTATGACGACCCATTCAGCCAGGGCGGTGGGGCCCATCAATAGATCCTGCATACATATAACCCTATACAGAACATTTAGGGCTGACTCTGGCAAGAGGTCAATTTGTCAGCACTTGATTGTGTGGTATTGAAAAGATTTCTCCAGCTACGACTTCCAAACAAACATTATGCATTTCTCTGATCTGTCAACACTGTCAGTGAGTGTTATTGACAATACTGATTCGCTGCCGATCTTCGCGTTGAATTGACAACTACAATGAAAGACATACTGGATAAAGGCAACACTTTGGGAAAGCTTACCTGCGTTTGACTGAGAAGAGATTTGACTGTTTTGTATTTGTTACAATGAAAGAAAGCCTATTGACTTGTTCAGTACCGCTACAAGGGTTTGTCTACCATAACTATTTCAATTTAATTTTGTTTGACAGACAGAAAGTTTACTCGACTTTCTTTAGCTAACTATGACTATAGAATATGGGGATCAGATCATGGCTGTTTCAGTAGGAGCATGGATTCAATTGTATCCTGCTTTCATTGGCTGGTTACATTCAGGTTTTTTGAGACAGGTGGCACTGTTAGTAGGTATTAATACCCAGTTTAGGATGGTTATACCATGGCCACACTGCTTGATCATTTGACACAAAGAATATGACGCATATATTAGATGGGTGTGGTGGGCAATGCAGATCATTTACTGTACAGGGAATGGCATTTTTGTTTGAGACAAAATATTTTGATGTCAGCACTTAATACTTGTCATTTTTTCAAAAATAGGAGCCAAAAGTTTGGGGAGTGCCTTCAACAGATGATTTTTTAACATGCTGTATGTTCAGTGAATTATCTAAAAATATTTTGTTCCCAGTATTTTAAGGAACTGAAGATTTAAGAAATGCATATTCATGTACCAGCTATTGCCAGATATACAATGGTCAACCCTTATCAGTATGAATGACATTATTCTCATAACGAGATATGTCATATGAGTGAGTGAGTTTAGTTTTATGCCACTTTTAGCAATATTCCATCATTATGAAGATGGGGGATTACAAAATGGCCTTCATACATTGTACCCATGTAAGGGAATTAAATCTGGGCCTTAAAAGCAATAGGTGAACAAGTTACTGCTATCATCACTTCCTTGATAACGGTGTTAGTACCTACACCAAATTGTCGCACTCATTGCAATACAGAAGTTGACTATCCATAGAACTTGGTTTTCCTTCAATTTACTCCTATGCTATCTCACTGCTCCAGTAGCTGATACAATAGCATCACTGGGGAAAAGTTTGTGTATAATTTGCATGTAATTTTAAAATGCAAATATGCTTTATCTCAGGTTCAGAATTGTGAAATTTCTGAAGATTTCACAAGTAATATCCTTGGAAGACAAAACTTAACATTTATTACATATGATGACATTGATCAAGAATGTATGACTTGTGTTACAATAAATTTCCAAGATGACCTTATCTTTATCAAGGTCACTTGGAACAGGACTTCAGTCATATCCCACTGGGTCAGCTGGATTTGGGAGAGGAGGTCAAGTCTTACACCTATACCACCTTGGTGAAATCTACAAGAACATGCATAGTGCTGGCGACCATAGACATTTAGTCAAGGTAGATCTGACATTCAAACCCGAAATAATACAGTTCTGCCACAACTATAGGACACTTCTTGCCACAGTGACTTGACACCATTTTGACACATATGTCCTCTGTCAGTTCAATACAAGACTAATATGGCTGTGGTAGAAGGATCTTCTTGTGTGAAAGCAGTTTCAGTTGAAATATGGTGGTACTAATATTGTGTGAACCCAACAATGGTTCTAAATACATTCACAAAATAATATACATTACTTTGTTCAGAATGAGTGAGTGAGTTACACTGAACAATATTTCAGACATGAGTGAGTGAGTATTGAGTTTTAGCATTATTTCAGTCATATCATAAAAGGGGACACATAAAAGTGGCTTCACACATTGTACCAAAGTAGTAAATCGAACCCAGGCCTTCAGTGTGACAAGCAAACGCTTTAACCACTAAGCTACCCTACCATCCCCTTATGTTGGAGAACATTCCAAAATGATGTGGGTCCTACACATTTATCTCTATGGTGGCGACTGTGGTAAAGGACAGACCAGGGATTCAATATGAGTTTGAGACCAGAACCTGTGACAAACAAATCCTGACAACTATAAGGGAGACAACTGCAGCTTTTTTCCAAAGTAAACATAAAATACTTTTCTCTGAGATGCTAAAATTGTTTTGATGTACTTTCTCTTGCCTTACTGCTTTTGTGCCTTAGACAGTTTAGATCATGCATTTTCTTTGTTTTAGCTGAGAAAAGTTCCTGGTTATGATTTGAAATAGAAAATAGCACTGGGTGAGGTATACATATTATTCTCTATGGATTGCATTCCTTCAATACCACTGTAATTATGATGGTATATTTTGTAAGTGTAAGTATGGTTTAGGAATGAATAAACATCATCAGATATTCCTTTGCTATTTACATTAAGTCAAATCGAAAAACACCCAACAGATTCTGTTGAACTCATGATAATTCTTCAAAGTATTGTAACTTCAAACTATTGTTAAAAAGCAATGATTCATTTCTCCGCTGTCAAAAGGGATCTGACACATCACATTACTGGGCAAACCATTCCATTGAAAAAGTCAGGACAGATCCTCAAAACACGTACATGTTCCAAAAATAAGGTAAATCCTCAAACCTAATGAATCATGGTGACACAAGATAAGAATCCATTTCTAGACGTGATGTGTAGCTTGTCTTCAAGTCATAGCGAACGTCCCGAGTGTGAGTTGTCCTTGTTTCCTAGTCACAGCTCCCTCGATCTGGTTGCCTTCCAAACAGTCAGGAACTTTCTCACCCACCCCATAATGCATTTATTCTTCTCCATTAATGCGAAACACAAACTCACAATTCAACACTGGTCTCTATTCATCCAACAGTGTCACATGGAAATATATTGGGCTTACCGTTATTGATATTCATAAAGCAGGACTTCTAATCGTATACAAAATGTGCCTTTATATCGGACAAAAGGTGCCATGCCAACAGGGCTTAGGGTCCCAGAATACTCCAAAACCAGCACCTATACAAATAAGCTGGTCATATTATGTTCTGGGTTTGAATACGGTGAAGTCAGACTAGGCATTCTACAAGGAGATATACTTGATGCAGGTCCATGTAAACTGTGAGGGGCATGCAAGATTTGTTAATGGAAGACTTTAGTTCACTTGTGAACACTTTCTAGCTTCAGAAAGAAAGATTTGTTTACTCTTAAACACTATTTTCTAAATTTAGAGTTGTAAAAACATGTTCTGTTTACACCCAAACCCTGTTTTAAATCATGGATATTTATTTTTTTTTTTAGAAACCATGATGCAAAAGTCAGTTCAGTTCAGTGACACTAACAAATGAGCATTCTTAAAATAAAATATTCATTCATGTTTCTTTTCTAAACATGTTTATAAATATGAGAGCAATAGTAACTATTAATTTAGGTGGTACTTTTAAACAATTATTGTGACAATCTTGCCATATATCCAATTTTTACATCAAACACATTTCTGTGGCAATCTTGACATATAGCCTATATATCCCAATTTTCCTTACATAAACACTTTTCCGTGACATCATGACATAGCCCTATTTTTACCTCAAACACCTTCCCATACATCAAACACTTTTCCGTGACATCATGACATATAGCCTATTTTTTTCCTACATCAAACACCTTTCCATAACATCTAGACATGCATCCAATCCTTACATCAAACACTTTTCTGTGACATCATGACATATAGCCTATTTTTTACCTCAAACACCTTCCCATTAACATCTAGACATGCATCCAATTCTTACATCAAACACTTTTCCGTGACATCATGACATATAGCCTATTTTACCTTAAACACCTTCCCATAACATCCAGACATGCATCCAATCCTTACATCAAACACTTTTCCGTGACATCATGACATATAGCCTATTTTTACATCAAACACCTTCCCATAACATCCAGACATGCATCCAATCCTTACATCAAACACTTTTCCGTGACATCATGACATATAGCCTATTTTTACCTCAAACACCTTCTCATAACATCCAGACATGCATCCAATCCTTACATCAAACACTTTTCCGTGACATCATGACATATAGCCTATTTTTACCTTAAACACCTTCCCATAACATCCAGACATGCATCCAATCCTTACATCAAACACTTTTCCGTGACATCATGA